GTGGCCCAGACCCAGATTACAGAAATCCAATCGTACTGTTTAGGCTGCGGCTAAACCAAGACCCATGGTAAATTATATATCCCACATTGATAAATAATAAACAAAATTGTATTCTCATCTTTCTCTTTCAGATAAGAATAGATGTTTTCCTGCCTATATTTAATAAAAGTCGTAAATGGTACATTGAAGGAGTATATTAAGCCTGCCGCCGTCCAATTCAATTCGTCGTCGCCTCATCCCAATCGAGACCGGTCATTTGCTCGTGTTGACCGGCTGTCTCACGTAGCCGCCGCATCGACGGCGCCGCCTTGTTTCGGCCGGTGGGTCTCCCGGAGGATAAAGCCCCTCAAGTCTTCGATCAACACCCCCGATCTCCTTAGATCCGGGAACAAGTAGAAGGCGTGGATGGCGCCGGCGTACTCGATGATCTCCGCCTCCTTCCCCCTCAACCGCAGACTCCGGAAGTACTTCAGCTGCCAGTCCAGCAGCGGATCGAACTCACCCACCATAACCACTACCGGCGGGAAGCTCTCCCCGAGGTCGGTCGTCGCGGCCTCGGGGTTCGCCGCTTCGTGGTCACGGGTGGCACCGTGGGGGAGGAATGCCTTCCAGAGCCAGTCCGTGCGGTCGGTGGTCACGACGGGCCCACGAGGGAGGCGGATCTCAGAGTCCACTCGCTCCTCCCCGCCGAAAAAGGGCTGTATGGCAACGAGCCCCGCCAGCCTGATCCGACCCTGCGATGGGCGCTCCCCGGCGGTCCACCGGCGGGCGACGTGGTGAGCTATGTTGGCGCCGGCGCAGTCGCCGGTGAGGAAGCAGTTGGAGAGGTCGGCCGCCTCGAAGAAGTCCCGGAGAACGTCCCCGCCGGGGACATCATCCTTGGACTCGAGGAAATGGAGGACGTCCACCCCGTCGTCGTACTGGGCGGGGAACCGGTGCTCCGGCGATAGGCGGTAGTTGACTGAGACTACGGCCACGGGGAGCTCGCTACAGATTCGGCGGCACACGGCGTCATACTCTTGGGAAGCGGCCGAGAGGAACGCGAACCCGCCACCGTGGAAGAACACGACAAGGGGCAGCGCCGCTCTCCCGGCTCCGCCGTCGGATGCGGGCAGGAAGAGGCGGATCCAAAGTCCGCGAACGGGGTCGAGGGTGACGTCGGCCGTCCTGATGCCGCAGACGGGGTTGGGGTTAGGCCCGGCCTTGAAATCCACGAGCGAGACCAAGCGGCGGTTGAGCGTGCCGTCAGGGCGGCGGACGTAGTCGCAGCCGATTGAGAGGAGGGCGACCTGCAGCTTCGTCCAACATGGGAGGCTGGGGAAAACAGTTGAGCGCTTGTAGCTCATCTTCCTCCGAAAATGCTTAGTGGAGCCGCTCCTCCACCCAACTTCTTCATTCGCTCCTTATTAAGAGGATAGATATTGCTGACGTCAACAATTACAAGATTAGCCGCCGTATTAATTCGGTTCCCACTTGTCCATACTCAGGTCGCTAGTTGGAAGGAGGGTTTCACCCGATCTCCAGGACCCGACCGGGGCGCCATGTACGGACGGATAGTCTTTCCGAAAAGAACAAGCCAAACAATATGGAGGACTCCCGGGAAACCTCTGCGTGAGAGGGATCAAATAGTTGAGAGCATCAGGAAGACATTAACCAGATGTGAAGAGGAATAGTGACGTCGAATGAGGGCCCATTATCTTGTCGAGCCCAATTTCTGTTTTCATATTAGGCCTAATACTGCGCGAACCATTGGCCTAGAGGCGGCTCCATTTTTAAGAATAATTTTGAAGAATAGCAAGCCGCCGCCCCCCTTTTCGTTTGTCTCTACTCCTCAGGAGTTGGTCGTGAACACCCTGTTTCCCCTGAAGGGTTGGTTGAGAGGACCCCGTCGCCCTAGTAGGGTTGACCGAGAGGACCCCATCGCCCAAGTAGGGTTGGTTGTGAGGACCCTGCTGATCCCGGTTGGAGCTCCGTCATTCCAACGCCGTCGTCACTTTTCATCGCTGCCACTGCCTCCGATCTGTCTCCGCAGCTGCCTTCATTGCCGCCGCCGCCGCCGCCGCCACCTTCATTCGCCACTGCCACTGGCGCTGCCGCATTGCTGCCACTGCCGCCGCTCTGCCTCCAGACACCTTCTCGCCGTCCTACGCCGTTATCTTGCCAATCTGGAGCGTCAGCGCACCGTCATCCGAGCTGCGCCATTCTGATCCAATGCCGTCGCCACGCTCTACCTGTTGGAGATTGTCCACGACCATCGTCATCCACCGACTCTGGATAGCTTATATATCCGGCCGCTCCCTCTTTCTCGCCGCCCGCGGGTCGTGATCTGAGTCTCACCAAGCGAATTCTTCCCTAGTTGGTAATCCCTTGCCCTTTTCGCAGTCATCATTTACTCATTTAATATATTCTTCTTGTGACTGTCGCCGAGTGTCCATAGGATAGCCACTTTTCTAATATTGGATGATCATGACCTTGTGTTAAGCCGGATTTGTCTTATAACGTTTCGAGCACCCTACGTCTGGTGGTTTACCAACATTGTCCGTTCCAATCTTACTTTTACTCGTGAATGATGAACCTTAACCTGCATTCCGAATTCTTCCATCTTGATTTTCTGATTTCAATTCTGACGTCTGCAACATCTTTATTTACTCTCTCACATGTCTTTAGCTTCATCCACATCAAATAAATAGTCTGCAACGGAGATAGTGAGAGAGTCAGAGTGCACCTTACAAGGGGATGGACAATAGAAGGATGAATGTGCAAACCTAGGCCAACTTGTTTAAGGCATCTCATTGATGGTGATGGGCACCTAGATGGCAAGAATCCGGGTATTCGGCGTTGCGTGCGATTGTACCAAGAACTCTTCTATTGTAATAAAAAAAATTGGGGCCGGGCTCGCTTCTGATGCACCCAGGTGAAGAGGCTGCGAGGTCAGCCTAAGAGTGAGAACCCAGTGAGCAGGAAAAAATTCAATCTTGAATGTGAGTTTCTGTGAGGTTAGATCCATGGAAAAAGATTATCCTAGGGAAGATGACGTGAGGTCACTCATGGAGGAGAGTAAGCCGAAACCATGCAACTAGGGGACTGAAGAGGATCCTAGAGCGATCCCATTTCTCTTACTTGCAGAGGATGATGCATTGGGAGAAGAATGATAGTTTGGGCTGGGTGTAACCTGGTGCTGTTGCTTGGGGAGGGCTTATCTTGGCCCGAAATCTGTTTAGAGTGAGAAGATGTCAAGAGATGAAGAGCACTACTCATTTAGGATAATTTTGGAGAACTCTAATGTAAGGGGAGGTGGGTTTCATGTCAGTTCCCAGGTGAAACGATCGACAAAACCCTAAAAAGTTCATGATGTAGGTAGATGAAGGAATGAGCCCTAACGCACCGCCAAACCACAGAGCCTTTTTGTACAGGCTGACGATACCAGAGAAGAACCCGAGAGCATTGCCTGAAACCTTTTCCCTCTCAACTTGACAAAGGCAAAACCCTTGTTGCAGCTTCCTCGTCCTGTGTCAAATGTACACGAACTATATGACCTCCTTTGAGAAGGATCTCATATCAGATCTGATCAGTCACCTTCTTATCAATATTACCTGAAGTGAATAGAATCAAGAAGAAAATCAGCAGTGCCCATGCCATACCCAACAAAGATGAAGGAAAGAAATGTGTCGAGTGATTATATGGATAAAATGGAAGAAACTGGGATTACGAAGCACTGACCAAATGTGGGGACGATAGACCTTGTATGGAAGTTAATTAAAACATGGAGCACATATTTTGTTAGGATATTTACAAAATCATGTACATCAATGGAATATGTAGACCAGCAAGAGGAAAGACAATTCAAGGTGACGAACAATCACCCAAATCCAGATCCAGATAAGCATCACCCATCTGGTCTGGACCCAGAAAAGAAGACCATAATTAATGATACTATATCTCTTTCTAGCATTACATTACATTTCAAAGAAAAAGGATGGACAGGATAAGTGGGTCTTCTTCCCCCTTCAAGATGTCAGAATTTCAGTGAATGATCAATCACCCACATGTAAGACGACAATGTTGTAGATACGAACTTCATACAAAAATCAGGTTTGTTCATGAGGTTTTGTGAAAGTGGCACGCGGTCACAAAATTCCTTTTAAGGTAAAACATAAAATTAAAACGAAATGGTGATTATATGAAAATATAAACCCTTCTTACTCTGGAGAGCTACCTAGCTACCTATATGAAAAACTTTATGTTTCACCAAAAACACACACAATATCTATGCCGGTCAGGTCAGTTATTTGTAGAGAAGTTAATTAAAATAGAACTCATATTCAACTTTTATAAAATCACAAACTTCAACTGAATTTATCGAAAAGAAAGAGGAAAGAAAATTCAGTGTCCGTTGGAAAATCACTCCAATCTAGATCCAAATAAGCATTACCCATTTAGAAACTTAATGGACTCAAAAGGGAAGGCCTCAATTAATGATACTTACTTCTACATCTATGTCTACCATTACATTTAAAACAATATCAGCATTAATCTCGAATAATCACCAATGATTAATAAAAAATACCTGCTCTCTCCTAATGTGGGTGGAGTAATGGGTCTGCAGATATAAGCATATACAAGTTCTAGTGGTTGTGATGCTCGAAATGTGGAGGCTTTAAGAAATAGAGCCCGGTGTTACTTGCTTGCTACGTACCTCCTGCAAACCTGAGTAGGTGCCTTGATCTGAGGAAGTCCTTGCACCAGACGGTTGCTCGACATTTCATTCAAAAAGTAAAAATTCAAATCTTCTACACTTAGCCTCAATAAGTAGACCCTACTTTTCGATCGTTGGTCAGCCACATATGCTCGGTTATCTGGCTTCTTTTTCTCGTTGCGGCATTCATAGGCAAAATGCCTAAATTTCTCACAATTATAACATTTTACCTGAGATTTATCGAAATATTCTTTCCTCTTTCATTCAACTGATTTTGCTCTTGTCCGTGGTCTCTGCCTCTACCTCAGTTGTGGTGTCTTCCTCTTCTACGAGATGAGGACTCCTCCTCAGTTGAGATCTTCAATTTACTCAATGCTGTGGCCAGTAATGTTTGTTCCTCCTCTCCCAATTCATGCTCCTTGAGTCGCAGCTCGTGGACGCTCAGTAAACCAATGGTCTCGTCAAGGCTCATTTTATCCAAATCGTCGTATTGTTCCAAAGACAAGGTGAGAGCGTCGAATTTTGAAGGCGTCGCCCTCAGAAATTACATACTGCCTCTCTTTCTTCCATCTTCTCACCCAAGTTTTGGAGCTCTAAGACGATTCCAGTTACTTTCGTTGCAAAATTCATCACGACTTCATCCTTCCACATCATGAGAATTTCATTCTCACGCTTCAATCCTTGAATTATTGATTGAATAACTTGATCCACACCAAGATTTTGAGACTTGAGAATCTCCTAATTCTCCTTCGCCGTCTTCTTTGTGTCAAGAATTGACATCATCTCCTCCAGAACTGCTCCGAAGATCATGGACAGAGCCAAGCGATCTTTCTTCTTTAGGACATTCTCACCTACAATTGCTTGCCACAATTCATGAGAATCAAGGAATACTTCCATCCACATCGCTCAAAGATGGTAATTAGTCTTTGACAGCATAAGAGATGGAGCCGGTGACACCATCTTCACCCCACACTTGTTGGAAGTGCTTGCCTCGCCTCCTTTCTTCGACATCTTCTTCCTACCTCAAACCGAGTGGCTCTGATACCACTTGTTGACTTCAAAAAGCTTGAAACCGCTTCAAGAACTTCCGGAAAATGTAAGAATCAAGAACACCGGAGAGAATGAGAAAGATCGTACAGAAAGTATTCCAAGAAACATAACGTCTTATGTGTTGAATACCTTGTGCCCCTTTATATAGGGGAACTAAGAGAAGAAGAGAAGAACAAAGTTCTATTCCGGTGAATGAGTTCGTTGGTGGCGGAAGAGCCATCGTGTAACCGAAGCAGCTCCGTCATATGGGACTTCGATCTGAGATCGACAAAAGGAAGGACACAAAACGACCCAAGATGAGGGGGTCAACCTCCAACTTCCCGATTTCTCCGATGCTCACTTCTCCCAAAGATCTCCTATGTAGGAGATCCGTCCTTTGCACGGCAGTAGGACCAGTGGGAGGATGGACGACACCTAGTCGAATACGGTGGCTAACCTTGTCATGAGACGCTAGCAAGATTTTTAGAAGGTTCACGACATTTCATAATCTATAATTTTTAGTATATGAAACCCCTCTTTCTCATCTTCTACTCTCTTGTCATTCTCGCCTAAAATCTATTATTTCTCCCAAGATATCTAACCTCGTTTTTCCTTCTCTCTCTCTCTCTCTCTCTCTCTCTCTCTCTCTCTCTCTCTCTCTCTCCTATCTCTCTATGTCTCTCTCAAAGCTGTTTCAACTCAAAATCATTAAACTGATTTTTCTCACTAAGCATGTTTTGAGCTCTCTACAATTACTTTACTTTTCCTTTCAACAACTATATTCTGCTCCAAAGTTTTTCTAATTTTGAGTTGACTTCTAATGTCATATTTCTTAAAAAATGCCTCAAATTCTTAATATGTAAATTTTCTCCCTCCATCAATTCAAAAGGTTTTTATAACATCTCACTTTAAATTTTAGAAAAATATTCAAATACTTCAGATTTTTTAGTAAGAAAAGAGACTTAACCTATTTGTGTAGGTCATTATTAATTAACAACAAATATCAATTTTTGTTCAAAGATAATGTCTTCATTGGATCACATATATCAACATGTAATAATTCAAGAGAAAATCTTGCTCTCTAAGATTTTATTATTGAAAAAGACAATGGGTATTGTTTTGCATAGGTACACCCTTCACACAATCCATCATTTCTTGAAATAGATGGTAAATTAGAAACTATATGGTTATTGATAAGTCTTCATTATCATGAGTTAGTAATTAGTAAATGATATAGTTTTAGTCTTAACTCATGATAAATAGACTTATATCTATGTTAAATTATGAAAAGTAGTTTTTAATTTATTAAAGTATATTTTTGGCTAATTATATGATTTTCTATGAAATTATTTAATTTTTATAATCTTATTTTTGAGATAAATAAATTAAAATAAATTAAAATAAAAATATAATAAAAAAGAAGGACCCCCGACTAGTTGGGCCCGCAAGTAGGTCAGAAGTGCAATTAGGGGGGGAGCCACGAGTAAGGGCTCGAGTAGCTAGGACCAACGTGTGTGTCACTTTTCTTCCACATCACTAATAGTCAATCGGTTGTGGGGTAAGAAGTGATCGTACATGCAGGAGAAATGAACTCATTGCTCGTAAATATGATATTACTATATATTCACTCAAAACTTCAGTGCACAAGCGATGTGAGACTAAATTCGTATCACACCTTTCTTCAAAAAGGTTCAACAATTTTAATACTTAAACTATCTCTTCGTTATAATAGAGATATATCATAATGATGTCACTTAATAAAAGCATTAGAGTACTTATTTCAATCTTTCTTATGTAGGCAGTCAATCGACATAGGTTTGAATCTTCCTAAAATCAAAATTTATATTTTTTATTTAATTATCACAACTTTCCTACATATTGTTAGTGAAAGATTAAGTCGTTAGAATCGTTGAATCATCAGCAAAAATCTCATCAACGCAATTCGTGAAGCATTGTTACTAAAATTGCTAAATGATTTGTGATAAAAGGACCACAAATTTATCAATTAAATCATCTTCAATTGATTGACAAATAAGTTATTATTAGAAAAAGACAATCTGTTAAGAGAAGAGTTACTACCTCCTGAGAGCATATCGAATGTAATGAAAAGCTTTCTCTTGTTACACAGACCTAAGGATGAAGCTCCTTGACATAGGCCCCACCTCCATCCAACTCTTCTCCATTAGGTGACAGTAATTAGAAAGCTGCAAAATTATCATTTTTTTGTTTCATCAGCTGCTAGAGATAATTCAACAACTCATTTCATTGATCTCTAGACTTCACAAAGAGATCTAGAAATTGCTCATATCATTTTTATCTAATAAGAACTTTTGAGACCGTGGACACTACATGACGATCCTCTCAAACGATTAGAATTTCAGTGCCTTGTCAACGCATCGTCGCCGCGACGCCAAAACTTTATTTTTCTACTTTCAACTTAATTTATACTTCATTTAGTGATAATTTATATGATTTAAATTTACCAAGTTATATTTCATTCAATTACGATTATTCTAGCTTTTATAGATCTTTATTTGATCAATTAAATCATCTATAATCATTTACGTACGAATTGTCAAGTAGAACTTTATTTCCGTTTGATTTGCGTTTGTCAAACATTGACGTCATCGTGACATCTGCACCCTTATTTTCTTTTTTTGAGAATTTTAAATATATTTCATTTTTATTTCTTAGTATAAAATTTATAAAAAATCTTATTATTTGAGGAAAATTTTAAAAAATTATCTGATATTATATTACATATATGTGATTGACTTAAAAAATTATCACTATTTTTAAAAGTTTTATTGAATCATAATTGTTATATTTGTTCAAAAATACTTTTAAATATCTGAAAAATAGTAGTTTCTAGTTTTATAAATTTTAAATTTACATGATTTACTATACAATGACTAAGTCATGTTAGTTATGATGTAATAATTTGAACACATGAAATTGTAAATGATAATAATGTAAAGACTAAAATGAAAATAGACCATTTTCTTTAGTAATTATTTCAAATTCAATCAATCTTAAAATATCAAGATAAAATATCTTTTTCCCAACCTTATGAATTAACATGGGAGGCATGTCACTTTTCTTATATTTGATAACACATTTATCATCTTCAAAACAAACAATATAACCACACTCTAACAATTAGTCCGCACTAAGCAAATTGTGTACTAATTTTAGAATAAAATATACATCATGATTCAAAGTATTTATATATAATTTTTTATGAACATAAATAGTAATAAATTTCTAATTTATGCATTATTTCCATCACTAATTTTAATATCACATTTCATAAGTGTATCTATATTCTAGAATAATTTTCTTTCTCCTATCATATGATTTTTGCAACTATTATTTTCCTTGCTCCTTTTGTTTGACAATTTGTTTTAATATGTCCATACTTCTTACAAAAATTACAATTTGTCTTTGAACTACTTTCTCTAATAATTTATTAGTGTTTTACCTTATTCCAACAATATGCTTAAATATGTCCATTTTCTTACAAAATGGGCATATCATCATTAGATAATTTGATTTTTTATTTTTATTATTTCCATCATCATACTTTTATTATCCATACTTATATATACCATGACATCTTCTTTGGCCTCATTTATCATTATTTCCTTACCTCTATTTCTATTATCATTTTGTTGGTTTAAACTCGCTTCATGATTTTTCTTCATTTGTGAGATTCCCTCTATAGTTTGAAATGCTTACACAAGATACTTTTTTTGTGAATCTATTCATCATTTTTTCATGTGCCAATAAATATCTCATTAGTTCATTTTATGTGTAAATAGAAAAATCCTTAACTTTTTCAATAACAATAACAACATAATCAAATTTAGATGGAAGACACTTTTCAAAAAAATTCAAAAATTTTCTTTAATGAAATAACTTCTTCAAATATTCTCATCTGATTAATAATAACTGAAATATGAGAAAAAAATATAAAAAACTCATCTTTCAAATGTTGGGCCGCCTCAAAGAAATCCCCCGGGAGCCCCCCGCAGGGGATGCCACCCATAGACTCGAGGAAATAGAGGACGTCGAGCCCATCATCGTACTGGGCGGAAAACCGGTGCTCCGGTCACAGTCGGTAGTTGACGGAGACCACGGCCACGGGGAGCTCGCTGCAGATTCGGCGGCACACGGCATCGAACTCCAAGGAGGCGGCCGAGCGGAACGCGAACCCGCCACCGTGGAAGAACACGACCACGGGCCGCACCGCCTCCCGGGAGCTGCCGTTGGAGGCGGGCAGGAAGAGGCGGACCCAGAGTCCGCGAGTGCGATCGACAGTGACGTCGGCCGTGCGGACGCCGCAGACAGGGGAAGAGTTCGGCCCGGTCTTGAGATCCACGAGCGAGACCAGGCGGCGGTTGAGCGTGCCGTTGGGGCGGCGGACGTAGTCGCAGGCGATCAAGACGAGGGCAACTTGTAGCTTCGTCCACCATGGGAGGCTCGGGCGAACGGTTGAGAGCTCGCAGCTCATCTTCCTCCATCGCAAGTGCTTATTGGAGCTGGTCCTAGCGCCTTAGTAAGGGGGCAACTGTAGAGTAGATGTCAACCATTAAAAGATTACTTGCCGTGTTAATCCACATTCCCACTGGTCCATATTGCAAGTGGTTAGTTGAGACGATGGATCCAGACGAAATCTCCGACAGTCTGACCGATTGCACTCTTACGAACCGATCCTTTCTAAAAATAGCCAATACCCACTAGACATTAAGTATGAGTAATGCCACCAAAGAGAGGTCACATTTTGGTTTTTAAATGTGTATCGAGGATAAGTTTGAAGATTGATCATCTCAAATTCAATCTATTTGTGAGAGCCACTTTCACAAACACATACACAATCTCTCTTTTCTTGAGCCCAATATACATATATACGTGTATATTGTTCTATCAAAGGAAAAACCCATATCAAATTAGTATCAAAATCATACCTCACAAGTCAAATGAGCAAAAATAGAGTCTTCGAGAATGAGCTGAAAGATTCTCCCAAAGATCTCTGTGGCCTCCAGCAAGGGATTGCCACATTATAATCTAAGGATAGTGAGATCCGAGGTGAAACAATCTCAATCAAATAATTGTTAGGATATATTGTCTACACCCTCGAAGTCCTATGTTCTTAGTCGAATATCATTGTTATGTAGTCAAAAGGACCACCTAGACAATTGTGCTCCTTGCAAATTGAGTCACGGCCAACCTTCACAGTCTCGAAAAATATCCAAGGACTTGGACCTTAAGAACTGGCCTAATACCCATTATACTGACTTGCGAAGGCAAGGGTTGACCACAAACAAACCCCCATATCTATACTCAAGCTTTCGCATGGCAGATACAAACTTGAGATGTTGTTATTCCATAGCCAAGATCTAGAAGGTTGCCTTTCATGTAGAATACCACAGATGGGGAAGGAGATTGGCATGGCCTTGAGATCCACAAATGATACCACGCGGCAGTTGACCAAGCCGTTGGGGCAGAGGATGTAGTTGCAGACGATTGAGACGAGGACAACTTGTAGCTTCATTCACCATGGGAGGCTCGGGTCAACGGTTGAGAGCTTGCATCTCATCTTCCTCCTTTGCAAGTGCTTATTGGAGCTGGTTCATGCACCTTAATTAAGAAGACAAGTATTAAGCAGATGTCAACTATTAAAAGATCAGGTGTTGTATTAATCTACATTCCCACTGTTCATATTGCAAGTGGTTAGTTAAGAGGATGGATCCAAATGAAATTCGACATTCAAACTAATTGCACTTTTACGAACAAATCATTTCTGAAAATAATCAATACCCACTAGACATCAAGTATGAGTAATGACACCAAAGAGAGATCACCTTTGATTTTGAAACATGTCTTGAGGAGAAGTTTGAATATTGATCATCTTAAATTCAATTTGTGTGAGAAGTCACTTTCACACACACAATCTCTCTCCTTCTCTCTTTTCTTGAGCTCAATATATATATATATATATATATATATTCATATATATGTATGTATATTGTTATATCAAAGAAAGAAACCCATATCAAATTAGTATCAAAGTCATACCTGACAAATCAAAAGATGCAAAAACAGAGTCTTTGAGAATGAGCTCAAAGATTTTTGCAAAGATCTCTATGACCTCCAACAAGACATCGCCACATTATAAGTTAAGAATAGTGAGATCTGAGGTGAACAATCACAATCAAATAATAGTTATGACATCTCTATGGCATATTTTCTGCACCCTTGAAGTCCTATGTTATTAGTAGAATATCATTATGTTATGTAGTCACAAGGGCCACCTAGACAACTGTGCTCCTACCAAATTGAGTCACAGCCAACCTCCTCATCCTCGAGATGTCATTATTCCATAGCTAAGATCTAGAAGGTTGCCTTTCATGTGAAATTATTTTTTCTCTATGCATTAGCTCTCAACATCCAAAGTTCGTGAGTGGGGTCGAGGCTAACATCAGCTGTCCATATGCTGCAAATGTGAGAGTAGTTTGGCATGGCCTTGAGATTCACAAACAAGACTAGGTGTTAATTGAGCATGCTGTTGGGGTGATAGACATAGACACAGTTGATCAAGATGAGGGTCAGTTGTAGCTTCCTCCACTATGGGAGGCTTGGGCCAATGGTTGAGTGCATGCAGCTCATCTTCCTCCTTCCCAAGTGTTTATTAGAGCTGGTCCATGCACCTTAAGTAAGAGGACAGCTATAAAGCAGATGTCAACCATTAAAAGATTAGTTGCCATATTAATCCACATTCCCACTGGTCCACATTGCAAGTGGTTAGTTAAGAGGATGAATCTAGACTAAATATTTGACAATAGAACTAATTACACTTTTATGAATGGTTCCTTTCTGAAAAGAATCAAAACCCACTAGGCATTAAGACTGATTAATGTCACCAAAGAGAGGTAACCTTTTGGTTTTTATGTCTTGAGGAGAAGTTTGAAGATTGATCATCTCAAATCCAATTTATTTCTGAGAGTCACTTTCACACACACACAATCTCTCTTCCTCTCTCTTTTTTTTAGCTGAATATACATATATATTCTTTCAAAGAAAAAAACCCATATTAAATTAGCATCAAAGTCATACCTCACAAATCAATGATGCAAAAATAAAGTCTTCAAGAATAGGCTCAAATGTTTTTGCAAAGATTTCTATGGCCACCAATAGCACCCCATATTTTTATCATAAGGTAAAATCAAGTTAATATTATATTATTCTATTAAAATTCATTGTCAATTGGTCATACTTTGATTTTTTAACCTTTTATGTCTTTGATAGATTTTGCTCATAAAAATGGGGATTGAGGCAAAAATACAGTCAATCTTCTTCCATTCTACCTCCTTTTGGCATGGCTCATTCTATCTCACTCTATCTAACCCTCTTTCTTTCTTTCTCTCTCTCCCTACTCTCTCCAACCCTTTTTCTCTCCTGCCCTCCCTCCATCTTCTCTTTAACCCTCCTATTGACATGACTTAGTCATTAGATATTAAATTATGTAAAATTAAATTTTATACAATTAGAGGAAGAAGAGGGTGTGAATATCACATATCAAGATCAAGTAAAGGTGGAAGAAAATATTTTGATACTTTTAAAGAAATTTCAAAAGAGATAATATCAATTTTAGTCCCTAAAGCTCTAGAGCCTAAACAAACAAAGAAGAAAAGAGCATAATGAAAAATTGTTTTTTTTTACTAGATGCTTAAATTAATATTCCTTTACTCATGGCTATTGAACATATTCTTAAATCTACTAGAGTTTTAAAAGAAATGTATACATCAAAAAGAGGGCTACTGCTAAAGACACTTCACCACCACCTACTTTTCTCTCTAAACTTTACATAAGAATCCAAAGAGTGCCCATGTTAAGTATGTCCAAAAAAGAGAGCCTTCAAAGTCATGAACATCTTTTGAAAACCTTACATATAAAATTTCAACGATCACCATCATAATGCCAAAACTTTATTTTTCTTATTTAAATTCACTTGATACTTAAAATAATAATATTTTTTTTGAATTTAAGTTTTAAAATCATTCTTTAATCTATTCTGATTATTTACAAATCTCAATTTCATCAATTGAAGTTTGAAAATCAATTTCAGAATAATCACTAAGTGAAATTCTATTTTCACCTTATCATTATTTTTCTAGCATTTACATCAACTTGATGTCATCACCCACATTCTCCTTTATATTTAATTTTAGAAAAAATCTTATGATCTTTTAATATAAAAATTTTAGAAAATTACATTTTTTAAAAAACAATTGAATTTTTATACAATATTATCATACATCTGCATAATCAACTTAGAAAATTCTCATTATTTTTGAAACTCTTTATTAACTTAAATTGATATATTTCTATAAAAATAATTCTAAAAATCTAAAAGTTGATATTTCATAATTTTATAAATTTTAAATTTACATGATTTAATAAATGATTAAGTCACATCAGCCCTCATAAAATTATCTCATTAGATAACAACCATAACTAAATCATGACACTATCAAAAGTTTAACATCCAATGTGTGTTCTAGAAAAGGTTGAGGCCTCAATAAAATGGAAAGACCTCCCAACATTGAAGGCCATTTGGGAACCTTTTAAAGAATTCACCTATAATTTCAAGATTTTTACTTTACAAACAAGATTAAAAGTCCTATGGGGGAATATTAATGAGACACTCTTCTCCAAGTACCATCCATGTCAAAAGTTGTGACAATGGTTAGGGAAAAGGCTCACCATCGACGTAAGACAACTCTATAGTGAAACACATCAAGCTAACACAATCACAAAAACAAATCAACACTCACTAGGCATTATAAATATGACCCATGCCATTGAGGAAGGGACAGCTTTTGCTTTTTCAATGTGTCTTAAAGAGGATAAGTTTGGAGATTGACCATCTCGAATTTGGTCCATCTACAAGAGTTCCTTTCATAGACACACACTCTCCCCCTCTCCCTCAGACTCTCCATCCAACTGTAACCCCTTCCCTCCAAGTGTTATCTCAAATGAAGTCTTCACTTCTATTTGAGCTAGATATGTATATTTTGTTCTCTCAAAGAAGGGGGCCATATCATAATCACATGATTGAGGGTATTAGGAAGACATTAACCAGAGGCAAAGAGGAATAAGCACTCTACAGTGGAGAGAGAGAGATAGTCAGAATTTACCACACAAAGGGTATGCACAGAACAGGAAGTTCCATGTGTAAACCTAGGCCACCTTGTTCTAAGGCATCTCACTGATGGTGATGGGCACCCAGATGGTGAGAACCCAGGCATTCGGCATTGCATGCATGCAATTGAACCAAGAAACCTTCTACAGTAATCGAAATCGCAGGGATCTGCCCCGTTGCCGATGCACCCAGCCAAAGATGCTGTGAGGTCAGCCTACGAGTGAGAACCCAGTGAGCAGTAAAAATTCAATGTCGAATGTGGAGGGTGACTGGAGGGTAATATAGATCCATGGAAGAAGATCACCTAGGGGAAGACAACGTGGGGTCACTGGAGGCTAACCAAAACCCTGCAACTGGGCGACTGCAGAGAATCCTGGAGTGATTCTGTTTTTCTAAAGTGCAGAGGATGAGGCTTCACAGACGCATGTGAGTTTGGCCTGGGTGTTGAAGGGGTATCATTGCTCAGGGAGGGCTTACCTTGGCTGGAAATCTGTTCAGAATGAGAAGATTTCAAGGATAATGAGCACCGCTCATCTAAGATAATTTTGGAGAACTCTAACGGAAGGGGAGGTGGGATTTCCTATCAGTGCTCAGGTGAGACAATCAACAAAAAACTAGAAAAAGCATGATGTAACTTGGTGAAGGAATGATCAATAACGCACCGCAAACCTCAGTGTCTTGTTATACAGACGGACGTTGCCAGAGAATAGCCTTACAGCATAGTCTGCAACCTCCTCAGTCTCAAACTCAGCAAAGGCAAAACCCTTGTGACGGTTCGCCTCCTTATCCTGAGGCATAAATAGATCGACTATATGGCCCACTTGGATAAGGATCTCATATAAGATCCGATCAGTCACCTTCTCATCCAGATTACCTGAAGTGAACAGAATCAAGAACAAAATCAACACAGTGCCCATGCTAGACCCAAAAACGATGAAGGAAAGAAATGCATCCAAAAGATGAATCAACAAATGGATAAAAGGGAAGGATTGGGGATTATGAGACACAAACCAAATGTGGGGACGATAAACTTTGTAGGGAAGTTAATTAGAAAAATGGAACACATATTCTAGTTCTACAAAATCACAGATCTCAACCGAATATATACAAGAGGAAAGAAAATTCAGGGTGACGGATAATCACACCAATCCAGATCCAGAATAAGCATTACCCATCAGGACACAGCTGATAAGAAGAGGATGCCTCAATTAAGGATACCTCTGTCTGTATCAGTCTCTATTATTACATTTAAAAGAAAAAGGAGAGACCAAAAAATGGGTTATTTTTCCCCCTCTAGATGTCTGAATTTCGGTGAATAGTCAATTTCCCACATGTAAGATGACAATCTTATGGATACCAACTTGATACGCAAATTAGGTTTGCAAATGAGGTCTTGCAAACGTGGCAAGTGTACACAAAATTCATGTTTAAGAGCATACACAAAATTCAGATGAAACAATGATTATGTAAATAAATCCCTCTTCCTTTGGAGAGCTACTCAGTTAATCCGCATGGAAGATTTTGTGCAGCCCCATAAAAACATACAAAAAACTGGGCCAGCCAGGTCAGTAGACTTATCAGAGTTATCATTCATTCCAAGCCTTTTAAAATAAACCATGGGTGAGATTGGAGGTAATTAGGACCGCACAACAAGGGGTCGAATATCCTCAATAACTAACAACAGGGGGTTAAATGGACACGCAACACGCTGGAATTAGATGTCGTGATACAGCCAAAATCGGCATATCCTCTCACGATGTCGTGCAGCATTTTTTCTTTGTTTAGAGCAAAGATTGTACAGTTTGTAGTGAATAGATTTTGAAAAAGTGCCCACACAGCCGCAAGATATCTGGCTACCATTCTCAAACGCAACGTGAGAAACCACAGCGTGAAACCATGGTGGGATCAAGTAATACGATTGCGAGGATAGAGAGAGGAAATCAGAACCTCCGTGAAGAAGCCCTTATCGCGCGTATTCCAGGGCAGGGGCAGCTTGTCAAAGCATAACCGAGACTACTATAAGGATAAATCACGAACATCATCTGTCTCCTTCACGTCGAAGAGCATGACTCGGAAGATAGAACAACGCCAACTTAAGCAAGAAAGAAACGCCACCACCAAGTCCGCATTATACGCTAAAATGCCGACATTCGACCACAGCTTCATCACCGAAGGCAAGATGAAATAAATCGAAGCCAAATGCCCAACACAATCAAGTTTACCTATGTACACAGTGCAGATCGGATTCCGCCCCATGGCCTACTGACCAATATCCGAACACGGGACAGAAGCTCAAGCTAGAAGAAGGTAGGTCGTAATTCAAACCACGAATCCCGAAATAATCGTACACGGCTCAAGAACATACGAATGATCCCTATAGGATTCAGAAATGCGAACGACCCCTTCCTCGTCCAGCACTTATCGCCTCCCTTGGGGGGAGCGCGGGAGGGAGCAGAGCCCCTCTTTCGCCGTATCCCCTTTCATCTAGGGGCCGTTTGTCGTTAAATTCTGCTTACGTGGAGGAATCTTCACCGTGCAGGCCTATCTGACTTCACCTAGTATCTCGCCGTTCCGTTAGTCAACGAACGAAACAGAACGGAAGCATTTACTTATTTAGCCTTGATGATTTCAACTATTTTATTCATATCCACATGAGAAACTGAGCTTAACAGGTAACGAATGGTGGGAGGAGGACAAATAAGTAAAACGAAAAATACTGTATATTTACTGGTTTTTGCAATTAGAGACCAACTCTCTTTTATTCCTCCTTCCATTTCCGTGGTCCCCTATTCCCCGTTCGCAGGGAGAACACAGAAGGGCTTTCCTCTCTCTCTCTCTCTCTCTCTCTCGCATCTCCAGAGCGACTAGCTGCTGTTAGTTGATGGATTCCGGAGACAAACGCCACTTCTTGTCGACCTTCCGTTCCGTCCCTAGACAACCTGCCGTCCTGTCGCCCCCGTCCTGTCTCTCTTCGTCGTCTCCAATCACGCCGTGGTTTCGGGAGCTCTGGTTTAGGTTTTCTGGATAGCAATCGTAAGTTTTATTTTTCCTCTCTCTGTGTCTCTTTACGAGAAATTTGTATTCATATTTGTATTTTTGGAAGTTTTATTTTTCCTCAGTTTTATCGAGAGTTTGTATGGCTTTTATTGCTCGATGTCTCTGTTTATGTTTATGTCCTCTGGAGTTTGAAATTGAAAACGCCCATGGTCTGATTGGAGGTTCCTCTATATGAACCATCGTTACTGCCGATTATGAACTCAAGACACTTGAGGTGGGTGCTTCTCGTATGTGTCCTTAGAGGGTATGAAATTTCTGTTGTCCAAACTTTGGTGTTAAAAGATGATAATTTACTGTTCTCACCTATTTATTGCTCAAATAATTTTGATGTCCTCACCGATTTCGTTTCAAAATTCCCTTCTATAAATTTAATTGCCTGTGCCTTGGTTGTTTGAAACTACCTAGTTATGATGATGTATAAACCCTTGTGAATAATTACAAATTATATTTTTCGGGAAGATGCTCATTGTATTTATTTTCAGCTATGACTTTTATCTGTTTTATGTGTAGATCATAGTTAGTACCCTGAGGAAAACAATGAAGGATTGCGTGTATCCATTTCTAAACCTTGCAAAATAGAACATCTTTTTGGAAGAGCAGCCGTTGTTTCAACCCTTAAAACGAAATTCTTTCAAAATTATGAAATGGAGAAAATAAATTCTTCATCAAAATTTTCATGGGCTTTCTGCTGGTTCTTTATAACATCATCTCTTAAATCTACATATTGGTTTCTTTAGTATCCTACTTTGAGCTTCTGTATGTGCATATTGAGTAATCGTTTGGGAGTTTGTTAATTTATCCTCTTTATCGTCACATAGCTTATTGACTACATTATGAAACTTTTGATGTCGATCAGAAAGAATTAGGCCTCCCATATTGTTTTCTCTATACATGCTATTTGGCATTGTATTTTTATTAGGCCTTTTAAAGTCTCCATTGATGTAACATGACCAATTCTTTGAAGCTAAGCAATATGATTAATTCTCTTTGACCATGTTAAGGAGAAATCATTGACATGTCAATTACATTAAAACTCTATTCACGACACACAATGCAGTCACTTTTAAGTCGTCAATAATGGACTGATGTAATGTACACTGCTCTTGAAGGTGTCACCTATGGCAGGTTCTCACAGTTCACAAATTGAGGGGAAGAGGGTCAAATCTCCTGGTTGGACCGCCTTTGACCGCAAGATGCGGAGGAATGAATGTCCGGAACCCAAGGATGGCAACGATCCTTTTCCACCAGTTTCAGACCCTCAGGGTCCCAATCTGGGCTTGAAACACTGGTCACCGATAAGGAGTTTCTCTTCAGTAGTTCATGCTTCTGTGGATTCTCAATCTCGTGAGCATAGAATCAAGTTGGAAGATTTGGATGAACTTCATGCATCGAAGCCCAGAGATGATGCAGATCATATTTCCATGGAAACTAATGCCCTGTCATCTATTGAGCGTCTGAAATCCATTCATGGATGGGCTGATGAGGGTTTGATTTGGGATATCTTAGCAGAGGTAGGCAATGATGAAGATAAGGCTACTACGCTCTTAGGAGCCATGGTGTCACCCATATTTAGTTCGAAAGATACGGACCCTAAAGAATCAATGATTGTTCCAGAGGACCAAATCTCCGAACTGAACTTTTTGCCGAGAAATCACTCTTTGGATAATTCTTTAGAGAAACTGATGTCACTGAAGTTGGTCTCTGCACCTGTTGAGCCTGATTGGGAAGAGGATGACGTCTACTTAAGCCACCGCAAGGATGCAATTAGGATGATGAGGTATAAATATTTTATGTTATTCTTCATGAGTTGACCTAAGAGTGAATTTGACTTCTCAATTGCTATGATCGTGGTGGCCTTTGATTCAAAATCGAATTCCCCATTTATCATTTTCTCCATGTTTGATCCTGTTTCCATATCTTGATTGCTTGACTATGCGCTCTTCTTTTCATCCGACAGATCAGCAGCTAACCATTCACGAGCTGCTGCTAATGCCTTCCAAAGGGGCGACCACCATTCTGCAAGGCAACTCTCGCTGAAGGCCCAAGAAAAACGTGTTTCTGCAGAGAAGCTGAACACAGAAGCTGCCCAGGAGATTCTACGTATTCGGAATTCTACCAATGACATGTGGAAATTAGACTTGCATGGTCTTCATGCGTCGGAAGCTGTGAAAATGTTGACAGAGCATCTTTCTAGGATCGAAACACACCTATCATCTAAGCATGAGCCCAACGATGGGCCGCTGGTCCATTCATCACTCAACTCTCGCAACAAAATGGCAGGACAAGCAGTCTTACAAGTCATCACAGGTGGAGTAATTGCCTTATTGATATATCTCAGAAATAGTCGGTGTTTTAACCTAGAAATCTAGCAGAATGATGCTATGAAATATTTATACTCTCATTATTTAATTAAATATTGTGCTGTTTTCCCTCAGGTACTGGCAACCACAGCAGGGGGCCCGCTGCGCTCCCCGCAGCAGTGAGAGGCTTCCTCATCGAAAATCGGTAGATTACTAACACCAAGAAGAACTATATGCCCAGTCGGCCATATTTTCTGTTATAAATTATGAACATTTGATCAATGTTTGCATTAACGCTGAAGACCTGCTCCCAGGTATCGCTTCGATGATGTGAGAGCCGGGGTGATCGCTGTCCGTCCAAAGTTCCGCCATCGATCTATGGCAAGAGATGACGCAAAATCCCGGCCGTAAATCTTCATCTTTTTTTCAATTTATTTTCTCTCACATATTATCTTTTACTACAACGAGTTGATCGATTGCGAGAGATGAATCGAAGACCCGCCAGTGGAGACGATGATGGTGAAGGAAGGACCGGTCTTCATCTGTTTATTTCCTCTCATTCTTTTTATTACGATAAGCAGAAAAATATTATCTTCAGCAAGCACCTCAGATGGGGCCGTGTTGACTTGTACGGACGACCCAGTTATAAGATGATTCACGAGCGCCGTCCTCTGATAGAGAAATCCATCTGAATTCTGATATAATTTCCGTCCCATTTAATGAATGCCTAAAAATGTGATAAATTCTTGAGAGAGAGAGAGACAGATGTGAGCTGGTTGTTTTCAAATTTACTCTATAGAGTTTAGAATATTACCATAAAACCCCTAAAATCTGTAAGTTCCATTTTAGGTACACCATCTTGAGTTAATTTATTTCAGATGAGTACTTGAGGCTGGCCGGGGAGACCTCAATGATTCCCGTTTACTGAAGGGGGACAAGACGAGAGCGGCGCGCAGGGTAAAAACAGAGATAAGTAAAACTTGGAAGGGCCTAATGTAAAATAGTAATGTTTTTTGGGGACTCGCAGGAGTATTTTGACCGCGGATCTTGCCAGGAATCGATGGGACTGCTCATTTTGAGTATAAATAATAATACATAAGGTTAAGGTAAATATATAAAATTATCGAATGTTTTGGGGTTTCGGAGAAATTATGTTCCGTTCCTGGTACTGGTAGCCCCGAACGATATGCGACGATCCGAATTCCGGGTGCTTCCATCAGTTTCTTCTCGCAGTACAGCTGGAGCCTCGTAATGGGGAGTCGTCGCGTTCTTCAACGGCTGTACTGGTCGTCTCCTGGAGTCGATCGAAGACCAGGCAGCAGGAGCTCACGGGAGCCTTTGCCCGAGGCCTTTCAACGTCGCGGAATTATTTTGTTCTCCCTCGATCCCTCTCGATACAGGTAGACGGACGATCGGAAAGTAGTTAATAAGACGCGCCTTTGATCCGATTTGACCGGCTCTTCGATTTTTGGCCTCATAACTCGCACGTAAATTCTCGGCCCTGCAGAGCGTAGCCGGTTAGAGATCTTGCTTTATTCGATTACCACCGGTTCCTCTTGAGGAAAGTCTGAGAGGGAGTCGAGAGCTATTCAAAATTTGACTATTCAGACAGGTGAGTTCTCGTTCGAATTTTTTGATTTCCCCAATAAATATGGCCCATTACACAGCGCCATGAATCCTTTATATTAGTGGCAGCATGCGCTTTTTTGTGAGATAGGTTGTGAGGGGGTGGGGGGGGGGGGCATTCTTGCGCCACTAAAAGCGTGAACTGGACTCGAGTGCGTGGAACGAGCAGACCCCCAAATGACAGTATTAGAATTATGACAGTCAAGAGTGTCCAAATGGATGCATTATTTGGGTTCGTTGGCCATTAAAAAGAAAAGAGAGAAAGGAACGGAAGAGCACATGAGAATTGGATTTGGTTTTCCGGTTTCTGTACTGAATCAGTTTTTTTTTGTGAATTTCACCAAATATGTGGACGGTAGCAGGGAAAAATTGATTTCATCTGCCTTTCATCCAAAAGGAAATTCCCGCGTGTACCTTGAATTTTTCTGGGCTGAGAAGTTTGTATTTTTTTCTTAATTAGGAATTGGATAATTATCCTTTTTGATCTCTTTCATCTTCTTCTGTTGTGTCCTTCACTGCAGCTGGGAACTGGATTGATGTCCAAATGCAGGGATCCAGTCGACGTCTTCCACAGGGAAGAGCTGCTTGTGAGAACTCTGTACTAGGAAGGAACAATTTATACAAGGCGACTCTCCTTCAGGTTCTCCTGTTGTGGGGCCTTGTCTTTATTTTGAGTTTCGTCATCAGCCATGGAAACGGCCATCAAGGTAGAGTTCGTATGTACCGTCTCAAGCTTGATTTTATGATTAGTGAAATTAGCTGGAAATGGTGTGAATTTTATTTTTTCTCTGGTTCATACAGTCAGTGGATAAACGTCTTCTCAATTATCACTCTTAGTGACACCTTTTACTGAATCCATTCTTGACAATGCTGTTTTTTCCCCTAGTTTTCTCCTATTATTAGGAGTCAATCACCGTAGCTTCTGCCTTCCAATTCTTTTCTTTTATAACTTTTTATCCTTTAGTTGTCATTCTTTATTCATAAACTATCTAAAGTCCAAAAAAAATCTTATTTTTTAGGTTTTTTTCTCTTTACAACATGAATCCACAGAGCGTGGGTATTAAAAAAATTAGCACATCTCATTCTTCTAACTTTTGTTGCTACTCATCACAACTTCAGGCATAGTTAAGTGAATTGACAGCTGTGAAGTTCCAAAACATTGCTCTCATTAATGCCGCTTTCACACAACTTTCATGAAAACTCTCTGTAGATAGTAGAGCATGCATTTCTCCGCGAACGTTTTCTTTTCAATCAGATATCTTTTTTTCTTATTTTGCATGTCTCTTCTTTGGATTTGTAGATGAACACGGAGTTGTTACTGAGTCAAAGTGGTGTGAAGTCGATAAAGACCAGAATAAAGATCCCCATTCTCAAGGTCTCTTGAGATTTGAAGATGTGAGATCCAGGAACAATGATCAGGATACTCATAATTCAAGGGATGACGCCGACGGTGATAATGAATTCTTGATGGATAAAATCAATGAAATGCATTTACTCTCAACTGAGCAAGGTAATATGCTGGAGAACATCTGTAACCCAGATGTCAAAGAAGAGAAAGAAACTCCCACGAAGACTGACGACAGGCTATCCCGTATTGCTCCCCCTGGTCTGGACGAATTTAAGAGTAGGACAATCACTCCCAAGGGAAAGCAAGAGACGGGCCAAGTGGGTTCGGTTGTACATCGCGTGGAACCTGGTGGGAAGGAGTACAACTACGCCTCTGCCGCAAAGGGGGCAAAGGTCTTGGCCTTCAACAAGGAAGCAAAAGGTGCTTCCAATATCTTAGACAAAGACAAGGACAAGTATCTCCGCAACCCTTGCTCAGCTGAGGATAAATTTGTCATCATAGAGCTTTCTGAAGAAACCCTGGTGGTCACGATTGAGATTGTCAACTTTGAACACTACTCATCCAACATGAAAGATTTCGAGCTGTTGAGTAGCTTGGTTTATCCGAGTGACACTTGGGTAAACATAGGCAATTTCACTGCCTCAAATGTGAAGCATGCGCAGAGGTTTGCTGTTCAAGACCCAAAATGGGCAAGGTACCTGAGGCTGAACCTAGTCAGCCATTATGGCTCAGAGTTCTACTGCACACTTAGCGCTTTGGAAGTGTATGGAGTTGACGCTGTGGAAAGGATGCTGGTGGATTTGATATCTGTTCGAGATGCTCACGTTGGATCTGAGGAACCGAAACCTGATGAGACGTCATCAGTGGACTCCATTTTCGGCGAAGATCAATATGCAGACCTCATGCCCGGACCGAATTGTGATCAAGGTGATGCGGAGAGGGAAGCATTGACTCCAAGGCTGGATGCTGCGAAGGGAAATGGGGTCGATCGAATTGCCGATGCTCGACCTTCACAGGGTGGAAGAATGCCTGGGGACACCGTTTTGAAGATCCTAATGCAAAAGGTCCAACATTTGGTGGTGAATTTCTCCATTTTGGAGCGGTATATTGAGGAATTAAACGGCAGATATGGACAGATTCTGAAGGATCTCGACATTGATATCAGAGATAATGACCTCCAATTGGAAAAGATTAGAGAAGAGATGAAGAACCTCCAAAATAACAGAGAAGAGCTTGTGAGTGTATCCCAGGGAATTCCTTGTTTTCTTTCACTTATTCTTCCTGATATCTTACTGCGCCGTGTGGTTTGCAGACCAAAGACATTTCGGAGCTTCTCTCTTGGAAATTACTCGTCTCCCTACAGCTGGAGAGTTTGGTCAAAGATAGTGCGGTTCTCAGGTTTGACTGATTTCTTCGCTTTAGTGTAACCCTTTAAAGAAAAAAGAAAAAAAAGAAAAACCAATGGTTAATGACACGTCCGACTCAATCCCGTGTTTTAATAGTCTCGTAATCTGATGATATTAATGAGCAGAATGGAGATGGAGGGGCTTCGTGGTCGTCAAGCAGAGATGGAGAACAGAGGCCTTGCAGTTGTGTTCATTTGTTTTCTCTTTGGGAGTCTTGCGGTTCTCAGATTATTTACGGTTACATTGTTGAGTGTCTTTAGATTACGCAGGTGTGAAAAGTTTTGTCCGCTGACCTCTTCTTGGTCTGTATTACTACTGTGCAGTACTCTTGTAGCTCTCATCCTCGTGTTATAGTAACGCTCGCGTTCTCTCTCTCTCTCTCTCTCTCTCTCTCTCTCTCTTCTCTGTGTTTACTCCTCAACACGCCCAATTGCAAAACTGGAACAAGATCTTATTAAGAGACAGAAAGTAATTGAACACCAAAAACTCTAAAGCGGGGTAGGGACAATCATCACTGCAATGAAACAGATGGAATCAACTCACGAGACAGCAACTCTAGCGAGTCTGGGCCGAGGCTGCCTCTCTGATCCCTTGTTCTCGCCCACAACCTTCATCGGTGGCAGTTTCCTCTTGCCATCTGCCTTTGCCGCAGATTCAGCCTCCATTGCCACCGCTGCCGCCGCTGCCGGTCGGGTGTAGTGCCTCAGCTGCTGTACGTCCACCGCTTTAAGAGGTTTCAGGATGAAGTCCTCCGCTCCCATGGCCTGGCACCTACAATGAGAGACCAACAGACGCCAATTGGAGATGATCTCATTTTTGGAATTCATCACCACTGGTTATGGGTCACCTGGGTTCCATGCCCTGTGTCTAAAGTTGACTTCTTTAGGTAGACTTTGTCAACCCAAAGGAAACGGCACATCCGAACTTATCTCCTTGCCTTAGATCAAACTTCCCCCGAAGTCAACGATCTCTCATTCTAGAGTGAAGCGGGCCACAGAGACCGTCCCATCCATGGAACCTTCCTAGGAAACTCCTTTGCCAATCATGCCATATTGAGGCAAAAAATAGGATGAAATCCAAAGAAGTAGCAAATATGGAAATATCTACATTTTTCATATTAACATACTAAAAGAAGAAAATAAGTGGAAAATAATTGTGTTGGCCCAGATGACTAAATCTTCAGGTTAATGGATCTAAAGCTAGGTTTATGCATCAGTTATCAATCAATGAATATCCACTTCGTCCATCTGCAGCAGCTGAGAAGAAAAAGCAGGGAAAGAGAAGAAACCAGAGATCAAGGAATCTGGGTTTGAATCCCACCTGGTCATCCTCTGTGGGTTGTTCTCGGATGACATGAGGACCACTGGAATAGACTTTCGAAGCTTGTGCTCCTATCATGGCGGAAAAATAAGGCTAGCGATGGCAGAAACAATGACGAAACAAATAAGCGATTCCGAAGGTCGGAGAGCACCAAACCTTGACGGCCTTGAGAAGCTCATAACCATTCATCTCTGGCATACAATAATCAGTGAGGATTAAGTCAACGCTACAATCCTGCACCACAATTTCCGCTAATCATCATTCAAACTCGCGTTGCAAATAATAATAGCAACAATAATAATAATAATAATAATAATAAAGAGAGCATAATCCTGGTGAAAGTATTACTGCCGTCTGTCGACTGTAGGAATGAGAATGCGTAGAGGAGAAGCAATCGATTAGACACAACACGGCCATATGAAGGATGGAATCATATGATCATTCGGTTCATCACGTTGATGCCTTCCATCACGAGGAAACAAAACTTTATCACCAGAACCCTGTCGTAGAATTTTTTTTACTAACAATATATTTACTTTCATCTTCAAGCACAAGGCATATTCTTACGGCTTTATGATCCTGTTCGTGCTAAAGCTGAGCGAACTTAGGAGATATGGGATCTCTGACTTTCTTCTGGCATTATCTCTGGTCAATACCACAATGAAAAACTCCTACGACAAGAGGGAGATGTTGAGTTCTCCTCACATTGTAATTTATAGGAACACTCGGTTTCTCTCTAATTAAATGCGACTGTCGCGACGTCGACTTACATTGACAGCTTGAGGATCGTCCACCGCGTAGTTCAACCCAAGAACTTCGATCGCCTTCTTTCCCCCATCCACGGCAATCACTGGAAAACGAAGCAATTTATTTCAGCAGTGAACAGTACAAAAATCTTCAGATTAAAAACTAATAATCGGAACAGGTGCCATAAATCGGTGATGAAAAGCCTCTCCATGGGGTGGTTGACATTTCTCGGAGATGAAACCCGTTCCTCACCTTCGAAGAGGTTCCCACTCCTGAGCAGAAGCCTCTCCACGATCTTCCGGTCCACAGGCGAATCATCCACAACCAGCACCCGGAATCTCTCCCCCTCTCCTCCCCCGCCTTCTCCGGCACCGGCAGCAGAGCCACCGTCTTCAAGCCCCATCCCGTCCCCAGCGCCACACTCACCCTCCTCCATTGCCGTCGAAACGGCGGACTACCGCGCAATTGCCCCCGTCCGCCTCCAGCTTCCGCTCCCTTGCCGCCGACGAGAACGGCGGCGCCGCCGGTGGGAGGAGAGAGAAGAGGAGCTCCTTCGGGCTCTACCAAGCTTAGTGGATTTGGTTGTCGGAGATGGAATCGGAATCTCGCCGGAGAATTTGGTCGTCGAATCGGCGGGTTCGGCGGGCGAATCTGAGGAGCACCCAACGGACGGCGAGATCAGCATCAGACGGCAAGCATGGCGAAACGTGGCCCTATCTTTTCTACGAGGCTGGATTCGCCATCATCGCAGTCAGTCTGGCAGGTGGGGCCCACTGCAGACGACGGGGCTTTATTAATGGATTGCCAAGAAATGAAGTGCCCATTATACCCCTTCCTTCCTCCAGGAAGAAAGTGGGCCCATTAGGCTTAATGGGCTTTTTAAGCCTCTGTCACCAAATCCACGGCTCTCCGGTAGCCCTACCCATTTAAAGAGAAGGCTCATCCCTCCTCTCTCTCTCTCTCTCTCTCTTCTTCAAGGTCATATCTGACGCGCCCTGGCAATCAATGAACGGGTAAACAGATACAGGCACCCGAAACCTCGGCTGTCCCCCGCCTCTGACCTCTCTCTCTCTCTCTCTGTGATTTAGCACAGTTGGCACGAATGGATTATTTAATGGCGCAGCCCCGGCCTTCTTTACTTTCTCCGACTGTTTTCGGCTCGCTCTCGAGAGCTTCGCCGAGTTAATTCGGCCGAGTTAATACGATGGTAGCGTATCCGCATCAACTGAACTTAGGACTGTTTTCTGATTCTCTCCAGACTTTGTTTCATGGGGGCCCGGAAATTTAATTGCCAGGCGATAGATGACGGCGTCGGGCCTCAAAATGAAGCCCATATAGAATTATGGGCCATATAAATATATTTTAAATACTAAAACGGGTTAAAAATGCGGACATATTAAAATATGGTCTGTATTTCCCATAAATTTCGTAAAGAATTAGTGAGTGAGAGGGACAAAATTAACGGGCCGCGCCAGACTTGTATTGGTTCTGGCCCACGAAACAGTGATCCAAACTTGGAGCTGGTGGGCCAAAGTAGTTTATTTGCCCTCCGGTCCGGTTATCCCAAGCTGCGGGGTTGACTAATTGCCTGTGGAAGCCCATTAAGGACTTTTCGGCCCATTAAAGGTAGTTGCTGATCTTCGTTGGACTAGGGCATCATTCTCCAGCTCCGCCAAAGACAACAACAGATGATATAAATAACATTCATTAACAAAATCCTGAATTTTCCGAGGCACAACGCGATAAAAATATGTGCGCCGCTGGTCTGCCTGTTTGTACACGAACCTGTTTCTCATGATGCCACCTGGACGAAAGGGCAGCACACCAATTCCGGAAAATAGAATAAAAAATATATAAAATCAGCCCAGTCCCCTGAAAGGAGAAAAATTATGGGTCCCACTTCACCCACTTCAGGATCATGGTAGGGATCCAAGGCGGGAGAGGAGATTGACTTGGCAGGACACGCATTGACTTCCTTCTTCACTGGAACCAAAATAATCCCAGAGGAGCTGAACACCCTCCGAGGACCTTGGAACCGTTCAGGGAAAAAATTGGAGCTTGAATTCAGTTATTGACTGGATCTTGTGAGGGAAAACTGGCAAAATCCTCGTCCAGTTGACTCAACAACTCTCTGGGGTCGTATCTTTGGGCCTGTGGGATGAAACCGGCTGCTCCCTGATGCGAGACAGCAGAGCAGAGATCTCTTCAGATGCAGTATCCAACCTCTCCTTTGACTTTGCAGCCTCAGCCATGAGAGCTGAAACCAAAGACTTTAAAATCTGAATCTGGTCAACCCGGTCAGTCAGAGAGCTCCCCGAGGCCTGCTGCTTTGGGGGAATCGAGTTGACTCGACGCCAACGTAAAGGCAGGTACTGCTCTGGAATCTGAAAGCAGTTGACAGTAGAGAGGACCCGGAGAGCATGCCTACACAGGATGCCCGAGAGCTCAAACATATGGCAGCTACAGGCAAGGCCCTGATCCCGCGGGACCCAGATAACCTTCCTGCCGCCATCAAGTTTAGTGTGGTGTCTCACAAGGAAAGAACCATCCTCCATCTGAAATGAGGCGTAGTGGGCAGCCATAACCAGCTCATCTTGGAGCTTAAAGAAGGCATATGGCGTTAGGACAGAAGCAGCATGGGATTCCATTGGTGCACTGGTTTTCAGGCAGATGTTCTGCAGATTCTGCTGCATTATCTGCTGCTCTGCGGCTTGATCTTTGAAATCCACAGCGACAGCCGCCTGCAGGCAGAAGGTGGTCAACGGGGTTAAGAACACATTTGGAAATTATTCCTGCCTTAAGATCCGAATTCCACCCAAAAAGAAGGATTCCTAGCACGCACTAACTAACGCATATAAAATTATAAACAATGGGTGCGAAAAAATAGATACCTGCTCTATGGAATGAGCTAATCGAGCTTGGGCGCTCAGGAAGCGCTGGATGAAAGAATTTATTGACTTTGATATTCCCGGCAGAGTCATCCCCGCAAAGAAATGACTCCTCAGATATGGCAAAGCCCAGAGATTACGGAATGCATACAGATTGGCTATGTGCCTGTTTGTGTGGAGCCCAAATGAGTTGACCATCTCTCTCCAGCCAAGTTCAAAGTCATTGACAGACTCCATGTTGTAGAGCCGATAAAACTCGGTCTTCCATTCATTGTATCGTTCTCCGAGGATCGCATTAAACCAGGATGGGAACTTCGCCACAAGCAGCCATATGCAGAGAGCATGCTTTGTATGGGGCATCTCATTCGGTATGGCTTCCTTAAGGCACATATTCTGGTCTGTCAAGACTGTTTGAGGGACCCTTCCATTCATGAACCTCAGAAATGCCTGCCACATTCATAGAATCCATATTTAGCAAAATGAAAGAGATTATGAGATAGATTATCCAGAGGTTATTACCTTAAGTGCCCATGAGAAAGACTCGAGATTTTCCTCTCGGAGAAGCACACAGCCAAATAAACAAGGCATTCCGTAGTTGTTCACGCCAATCCATATTCCTAGGGGCATGTTGAAGGCAGTCAAACGATGGGTCGTGTCGAAGACAACCACGTCCCCGAAGACATCATACGACTGCACACATGACGCATATGACCAGGCGATGTTCTCCAACCTGTTGTTCGCGTCCAATGTAAACTCATATCTGAAACTGGGGTCCTTGTCGTAGATGTTCCTACACATTCTGAGAAGGCTGATGCTCTCTTCACTCTGCTCCATTCTCCTGAAAGTCTGTATGAGGTTCCTCACATCTTTCTCTGTGAAGGGCAAGTACCCAGGCTCCACGCACTTCTCGAGCTCCATCACTCTCATCATCTGCTGGACAGAGATCCCAGACTTTGCGAACATTATAATGCGATTCTTGTCAGTCTCTGATATCGCGCGATAGGCGGGGAGGAATCGGACTTGGTGGGCTTCCAGTAGCTCGTGGTTGTGGTGGTTCGCAAAGCCCGTGACTCGCCACTCGGGCGCCCCCGAATCCACGGTTTTGCTGATGCGTAAGTAAGCTTGGCAGCCACAGCGAGAGGACTTCCGGTTCCTCTGTGGTTTGGCTTCGTTCGAAGCTTTCACCGGCGTATTCCCAGCTCTGTGGCAGACGAAGTAGCGTCTGGTGAGCCCTTTGCCGACCCCATCCTTCCCTTCTGTTCGATGTCTGCGGATGGAGAACCCGCATTGCCTGGCAAACTCGCGATAGAAGTCATACGCATCATCATGAGTGAGGAATCTCTGCCCGATGAAAGGGAACAGATCATTCGATGGTTCCAGCGAAAGCTTTGTGTCCTCCGGTGATTCCTCAGCACTGCTGGAGTCATCCAGAGACAAGGATCTATGCTCTGATGGGTCATCGTACGCCTCCAATACTGACCTAACGCCGTCAGACATACTTGCTTACATCAGATCAATTTTCTCGGAAGTAAGAGCTGCATTGACGTTTTGCCGATCAGGATTAAGCTCGCAGATATGTGGGAAGAGTCAAAAGATCATCAATAAGCAGATGTGATGCTCGCGAACAATTTAAACACGATTTGAAGTTCCCCGATTTGGGGATGAAATCATGAGGAAAGAGGGAATAAGATACCGCGAGAAAGTATTCATTGAGGCAGAATTCAACAACGAAGTGAAGACAAGCCTTGTGGCCGTCTTTTTTCACACCATAAAATCCATTTCAGGATTAGTCAACTCGACGATACGAACGGGTTCTGGTATATCAGATTGATTCTGAGAATGAAACCATAGACACGAGGGTTACAAAAATTCAACTCATGCCCGCCCCCGAGTTTCTCATAAATGCAGGGCCCGAATTCCCCAGAAATTCATCTAGCTCGATGAAAGAGGAAGAGGAACTCAAGCATTATGCATTGAATCAAGAGCATTCCCCAGGGAACATCAGAGGATGGATCAAGAAGTCTCACCCCTTATATATGGCGACGGGAAAACTTCAGCGGATCCCGCGGGTTCCTACGAGAATTTCGCGCCGAAACGGCTCAAAAGGGGTACATTATCATCGACGAGAAGCCTCAAGGGAGCTCCCCCCACCTACTCCGTACGGCCTATAGAGGGGCGGGAAATGGTGGATCGGATAGAGATGCTACAAGAAGCGATTACCCCATGGAGATTCCCTGAGAGCGAGAGAGAGCGAGAGAGAGGATTAGAAAGGGATAACCCTAACCTGCGCATGGTGCAACCCCCCGGTTATCGTGCCCGAGAACCCATCTCTGGCTCCGAGGGAGGGTACTCGATCTTCATCAGACGGATAGTGTTGATGATTCACGGTGGTCCTTTACGGCGCACGATATCAGCATTTTCGTCGCGTACGCCCAAAATACCCCTGCATTATTTTCCTTCCATGAATGCCCCCGCTCCCAAGACACACAGTCAGCTTTGCTCCCGAATTATCATTTCCGAGGGTTTTAGGCATTCTTTCCACGGATATCTCCCACATTCAGACGAGGATTTTGGTCCCGACCGCCGTCTGCTCGTCAATGCGCCATTCTGGCCAGAGGACTCGTGAACTCCGGCCCCATCCCCCCGAGGAGATGGACTTGCTCAGGGAGATGATGCTCAGCTGATGCCCGGAGTAGGCTCTGTAGCTCTTCGACAAGCTGCGCGAGGGATGCCCGGTGTACAATGGTATGGTCGACGCTACCTTCATGGAGAGGAATAGTCAAAGAAGCCATGGCCTCGTACCAGTTTCTCCTCGACGGCCCGTTCAAGATGAATGCTGTCCGCCTGCGGCACGCTCCTTGAGCTCGTCTTGAAGCATGAAAGGAACGAGGAGGCTGATGAGCTTGCTCGCCATGGACAGCGACCCCTACAACATCACGGCTAACGAATGCTTCAAAAAGGGGGGAGACCCGCGGAGGCCATTGATGTCTTCCACAGGTCTAACACAAAACCGTGTGCCATGGATGTTGGGTGCTGCGAAAACCTAATCGGGAGGCTCTCAGAAAATGGTTTGTTTTCAGTGCAGAAAAGCTGTTCTATGAAATGCCTGCTTTCTAGGAAGGGAGAGTGAGCCAAATGTCTCTCTTTTCGAAGAGATGATTGGGAGTAGAAAGACCACCAACCCTGAGCTTCAAGAGATTGTCATGGACGCTTTTGGCAAAGACGGGCAGGCAGAAGAGGTGTTCAGACAGTTTGCCTTCGCAGGCCTAAGAGGTAGCATCTCTACCTGGCCGCGTACTCTTTATTTAGCTGGCTATTGCCTGAAATTTTTATTAAAATGGTAGTAATATTGTTTTCCTTTGCTCGTCATTTAATCTCGGTGAAAAAGAGGAAGTAAAAGCCATCACCGATCATTTATTACTTGAAAATTAATCTTTCTTATTACTTCAGTGGCCTAGAAATTTTAATTGGCAATTGAAAACCAGGCTTGAAGCCCCATTTTTGGAATTTTTCTTTTTAAAATTATATTTTAAAAACATTTAAATCATTAATTATATTGTTGCTATTATTCGTCATCATGAAATTAACAATCCTTGTTTGTATGTCAAACTATGATGATTTTAATCATTCCACAATTTTATTTTTGTTCTGGAAGATATTATGACCAAAATCGCTATTAAAACTGTTAATATTCATTATAAGCTTATCTATAGGTAGTCACTCCTACTGATACAATCTATAAGCTTATCTTCCTTAAATATTCAGGAACTGGTGCAAGAAATGGCATGGTTAGCAGGAGCTAAGGCTTTCTAGGTTGTAGTAAGATCTGTAACACGGTTGGGGAGGCGTCCATTGGGCTTCCTGAGGTGGGCAGCTCTCCATGACGCAGGTCATCTGAATCCAGCTGGCCAGAAGGAAGTTCTGTCTCTTCTCAGTGAGCATCTTGGTGAGAGGTGGAATGAAAGCATTTTGCAACGATAAACGGCAGAAAGAGCTGCTTCGGGACGTGCTGTTCTTGTTGTTTCCACTGTTGCGCCTGCTTTTTATGGGGATTTTACACTGGTTCTTGCTGTATCCAGTGCTTGCTCTTTCAGAATAAGGGGTGAGAAAATAGCTCTTCTCGTCATGTTATCACCGAGATAAATCATATGGTAATGCTGCAGCCTCCAGGAGATTGCAAAGAGAGCTGCTGAGGTTTATATTCCCAGAAAGTGAGATGAACCTTCAGGGAGGGAGCATGGATGAAACCCTAGGAATAGAGAAAGAAAAATGAATGAACGGAATCCGCCAACGGAATTTTTTTCTTCTTTTTTTTTTCTGATCTTTCCTTTTCATTCTCAGCATCCCACAAGCATTCAAAGCAAGTTCAGCGGCACTTTCACAAGTCAATATTTACTGTGCAAAGATGAAACCAGAACCAATAGCACTGAGAGAGCACGGTGAATAGCAGACCATTCCGCACAGTAATAAAGTTTCAAAGATTTCAAAATTTCAGCACTGTGGAGCTGATGTTGAGAAGGGCCTCCAAGGTACTGGGGGCAAACTTTCTGGCGAACAAGAAGCATACCGATGTTGGCTTAGAATTATGTGTGCAGACTGTGCCATTATCTCTGATCGATTGAATAAAATTCACTGTAATGTCTCCACGGCCAAACAGTGCTGGATGTGGTCCACGTGTTGACCAGTCGACCCAGGTGATAGTTCTATTCGAGTTCAGAGCCCCGTGGAACATATTTATGAAGGTGGGCATGAAGTGCTCATCAGGATAGCAGGAGGGCTTACAGTGTTTCATGAAAATGGAATAGTACGTGACGTCTGCAACTATATTCACAGCCAGTTTACGGTTCAGTTCAAACCACTCCGACCCTTTTCTCCAGTGGTAGAGCTTGATCTGGGGAGCCATTTGACGTCTGTAACGTCCACGTCCACGTGGAGTATGTTCATCAAAAGACTCTACAAAGCTATGCTTTGAGCTAGTTAGGTACTGATAGACTGTGGGGAAATTAAAGATGGGTATACAGCTCTCAGATAGAAGAATGAAGCGCTCATTGGAGAAATCCAGCAAAGCATTGGCCAGGAGACGCTTCTCTGCATCCAACAGTGATATTGAACCCCATTGAACACCCTGCATTGGAAGAAAAAGCTTATAGGACAATGAAGAAATCATTCTTTTTCACGAGTTGTGTCAACGAACAATACTTAGATTCTATTCTCTAATCCAGGTGTGATTGGCATAAATTTTCGGCATATTGTTTCATCTTTCCTTCTTGATTAATACTAAATTATCCAATTGTAAAATAATTTCATAAAAGAATCCTGAAAGCATGTACTCATGGCAGAGGTTCAATGCCCATCAAAACAAAACAAAAATTCTAGTTGTTCAATGGTGTGACATCGAGAGAATGGATGCATGACCAACATGAAAGGGTAAATGATTCATATTTTCCGATTCCGACATCAGTGTTTTTTTTTAATTTCCCAATTCAAACAATGCCTTGGAATGTTCTGACATTCAATTGGTAGGAGAATTGGGATGGAAGACAGTGGATGAAGTACGTTAACTGTTCTGTGGATTTCCCCCAAGAAATGGTCAAATTAATGCTCTGTTGTAACCATTTTTCCGGTCTGTTCGTTGTATATGAAGATGCTTCGTGGTGATACAGATCATAGGGTAGCTGCTTAGAGGTCTACTGTCGCCAACAAAACGATAGTGTCAAAGACCACAAAAGCAACCATCTAAAGCATTCCACATTTTTAAGAAAGGTTAATCAATTACTTGGGAAAAAAATATCCTAAAGGCATGGCTAAAGCCCGCAAAGAGGAAAAAGGAAACATGCAGATACATGCTCTCTTGCCATGAAATAAGAGCACTTGCAATGAAATCTCTCCTCTGCATGTAGACTAGGATCAATTGTCATCTTGAAGACAAGACTGGTAGACCTGATATCTTGTAGAGACTCATAGTTCACTTGGATTTTGCCAACTAATTTGTGACTAGGAATCGTCTTAACAGTATAGATCTTCTTTTAAAAGTTTTATCCTTGGAACTTGTAAAATGCTGACATGTATGGCGAATTTCAGAAAGAAACCAAGTCATCCATGAGTGAAACCTATTTTTCACGGAAACATGATCACATATCCAAATACTTGATGCAAATAGATCTTTTATGAGGAAGTGACAACCAAAGAGAAAAGATTTGAGATAGACTCCAACAAATGCCTCGCAAAAAATCCCAAGTTGAGAGAAGTGGTTCAACGATAAGGGTTGTGAACTTCATTTACATCAAGGAAAGATCAATTCACTTCTTTCTCGTTAGAATGTTCATATGTAGTGACTAAAAATGTTTATGGTAAAATAATGACCTTGCCCATTTTATGGGAAAAATCGTGTGATTCAGATCGTAGACACCAAAATCTTCGGATTTTGGGAATTGAAGTAAAGGTCTCTGAATCCCATCTTGAAAACTATTGATGTACAATGGTGACAGGTTTGGGGTACACTAACAGGGGCCTCAGTTTGTTAACAAAAGAGTAAAATAAGGACGACGATATGACCAGAACAGCACCGACAGACAAACTCAATCTCTTTACTGTTTTAACTTTAAATGAATTAATAAGATAAATGAATGACTACAGGGGCCTATAAAAATCAGGAAAACAAGATTCGTGAACTCTTTCCCCAATAACTGCAGACTACTGAAGAATTTAAAATTTAAAATTTATCACTCATATGAAAGGAAACCATTCAGACATTAGGTTACATCTGGAATCTGGAAACGACGTTCTGGCGTCGATTCAAAACTCTTTTCTTATCTGTTCCTTCATTTAAAGGCTAACAATATAGTGTCTAATACCTTTCAATTTGTTTTCGTATTGAGAAATGGTAAATGTCGTCTGAACCTTACTACCAGCTCGTACCTAATGCTTCCTAAAGGTAGACAACCTCTGAGGCATGTTTGGCCACCGATAAAAATAATAATCAAGCTCATATTTTCTGTTATCAATGTCTTCATAAAAATGTTATGAAAAAGCTGAAATACTAAAATTAATTTTTAACAGAAACATAATAATGAAGGCCAATACATGCTTTGAGAAATTTCTTCACAATTACTCTTAACGATCTCTTCAGTTTTACCGGGAGAGTCTTTAAAACCTCTTCTGATACACCATACGAATTTTTTTCGAGAGAAATCGGATAAAACTTAATGTGCTATACCTGGCTCGGTATTTGGCGTCCATAGAAAGGAGACGTCTTGGAGACATTCAGTTTGTGGTCAGGGGGAGAATGAACATAAACTGAAAAGTGATCTTTATGTCCATGAAAGAACCTTTCCCATAAAGGCGCAAGCGGCAAATCTCCCCTTGTCAGAAACAGGAAAGCCACTCTTGGAACTCTCTTGTATGGAAACTGCGTTTTCGTCGGAACCATCGACGCCCTCCAGAAAAGTTCGTGATCTGTCATGTTATGCTGCAACCACTTTGGTTCGATATAGTTCTTTATGCCCACGAAGTCCATATCATCGTTTGGCATATAAGGAGCGGAGGGAAAGAGAACCTCGGTATGTGACAGGTACTGAGTAAAGTGGGCACTCGCAGACAAACCTAGAACTACCCCAGCTGTGAAAATAATCAGGAAGATGACAACCTTAATCAGACGAAATGACCAATCCTTTCTAGGAGAGCTTATAAATGGTTCCACTTCCCCTTTGTCTGCTTTATCCCTGAGCACAGGCCTCATTTGACCCTCACTGCAGATACAAAGTCTATTAGTTGTTATAGGCAAAGAATGACAAAGAAACCATAACTAAAAACAAACTCAATTTCCTATCAGTTACAATACCCAAGAGATTGACGGTCAAGGATTCAATTACAAGTTGTTAGCTGTCTCCAACACATCAGCATAGATATCAGAGAATTGAAGATCAATGTCATCATAGAAGAATAAAATTTTCATGTGAGCATGGACTCACGATGTAAAAAAAATATTTTCGATTTAAGTATAAATTAGCTGCCCACAACACATCAGCATAGATATCAGAGAAATGAAGATCATGGTTATCTTATAATATTAAAATTTTCTGGTGAGCATGGATTCATGATGTAGAAAACGCTTTCAATCTATTACAATTTAGTTGTCCCCAACGCATCAGTATAGGTATCAGAGAACTGAAGATCAAGATTATCGTAGAAGATTAAAATATTCACGCGAGCATGGATTCATGATGTAAAAAATGTTTTCAATTCAATTACAAGTTAGCTGCCCCCAACACATCAGCATAGATATCAAAGAACTGAAGATCAAGATTGTCGTAGAAGATAAAGATTTCCACGTGAGCATGGATTCATGATGTAAAACATGTTTTCGAACGAAGCTAAACTTGATCCCTCACGCTATAAAACAGGATCATCACGGCCATATGGCAATACTAGCATAAGTCCAAAATAACCCGGGGGAATCGAAATTCGAATTTACATCACTAACCTCAATCTCTGAGAATGATCCACCCGCCTCTCGGAGTACGATTGTTAGAATTCCTTGATTGCCAAGGAACCAGATGCTGCCTCAATCTCTAAGCCCACTGGAGATACACCTCTGCAAAGAACACGAAACTACTGAGACGGACGCAAGGGAGGTGATCGTGGAGAATCCGAAGCATCGGAATAAATATCGGAGCAATCACATCACCCATGAAGGTTCTCTCTCCTAGAGATTGCCCCCCCTCTCCCCCCCCCCTGTTTTTGAAAGCCAACAGCCTACCAGTCTCACCATCCACGCCAGTAAACAGCTTACGGAGACGGGAGGGTCCCCGAAAGCGAAGCGAAACGGACGCCCAGCCGGAGCGAGAGAGGGAACGCGTGAGCCCCGAAGGGCGCATGGTAAGGAAAGCCTAGATCATCCTTGCTATCTTGCTCCCCGGTTCGCCGCCACGTGGCGCAGCCTCTTTATATTCCCGCAACGGTCGCCATTTATGTCTCCCAGGAGTTGACAGAGATCTAGCGGCAGCCGACCGTCCGTTCAGTGAATCCACTTACATGCCGCGGTTTCGATTTTGGGCAACGTTTACGGCATTGCCAAAACGAATCTCTAATCATAACCGTCCATGCCGTGGGTTTAATTCCAGATCATGAGATTTTCGTGATCCCACGTGGACGCCTCGGTCACGCCAGGGGCCTCGTACCCACTTCCGCTGACTGGTTAGCAAAAAGGAGAGGTCAGAGTAATCTTGGGATCACCGCGGTGACGGTAAGGAGACCCCATCCGCTGCGGAAGGGGGGCGTGCGGCACAGAGTCGCACCACCAACCGTTGGAGATCATTCAGCCACGATGTTTATTGCATTTTTTTAATGGTGGTGCAGTGAGAGAAGACGGCCACCGGCGGGGTGGCGGTGGCCAGGGGGTTGCAGGGGAGGGGAGGAGGGAGGGGAGAGCGGGATTATCCAGCCGACTGGCAGAAAAGCGGGCGCCATTCCCGTTAATCCGTAACCTGGGGAGGACTTCGTTCACTCCCTTCGTGTCTCTAAGTTTTTTGTTATCGGCAGCGTAGGGCACTGAGATGGGGATCGAGGTGCTGGCTCTCTCCCTTCCTTCGCCCGCTTCCCAGTGTAAGGATTTTTCTAATGTTATTTACTTTCCTCGTTGGTGGAAACTTTTTGTTTCTCGTCCCGATGTGACGATGCTCCGTGTAGATTTTGGTTCTAGTTGCGTTTGGGGTGAAGTCAACGCGCTGTTTCGCCTGGAGATGGGAGTCTCTTGTCACTTTCCTTCGTTTACTTTATCCATTCAAGATTTCGTCTGGGATTGGGGCTTTCATCGTCTCTTGTCGTCGTGAGACTGCTGGGATTTTCACGTAATTATCCCCTTTCGATTAACTTTTCTCGCTGTACCTGTCCTTCTGGAACAATCATTTTATGTACTTCTATAATTACGGTAATGAGATCCTTGATCTCTCCCTTTCTTGTGAGCGTGCTGGTTTTAAATCCGTAGATCTTGGGTCAGAATTGTTCAATGCCTAATCCTCTGTTTCTTTGCAATCGGAGGTCATTAGAATCGTCTTCATTGCGTTTTTCAGCTCTCTGTAATTTACTATGAAGAGGTTATGTGTTTTGGTTCACTTTCCTGGAGGACAATTTCGAGCCTACATTTGTGATTTGATCTTTCTGCCTTTGGCTTGTTTTAGGGGATCGTTTATCATCATCTCATCAGGCAAGTACCCGGGGTGTTATTGAGTTGGGTTCTCTGGAGCTCAGTTCCTCGCATTCCACTCAGCAGGCATCCACCATATCGAGGTGAGGTCTTCTAGTAGTATACGGGGGCCTGCTATCCACTTTAGTTTTATGTATCAGATATGTCCATTGGAAGTCATGGTCTTTATTTTTTTCTCTTTTCCTCGTTTATGGGTGACTGACAATGGTTGTCAACTTTCCTAAGTGATAATCGTATACTGTAGAAAGCTGCTTACTTGAGCTTTTAGTATATGGGGCTGGAATGCTAATTTCTGTTGTTTCTGTGACCACACCTTTTTCCTGTGAAACCAAGGAAATTTCTACCCAATTTTGATTGCCGTGATGATTTTCTCTTGCTGCATTTTCTTTGTTCTATGTTATCAACTATCATTCCTTTGTTGATCTTGTATTGTAATAGTGTTTCAAATCGCATATATACAATGAATCTCTTTTGTCAGCTAATTCCTCCAGCTTTGGATCTACATATAAATATAATTGTCGTTGCTATAGGTTTTCTCCGCGGCCAAAACTTAAAACCGGAGGTTCTTATCGTTCTTATGCGACTACAACAAAAACTTACATCAGGCCGCTTCTTCCAAAGAACCTCGTGGTCGCAAAACATCATTTGAGGCGGTGGGACCTGGCTTCATCCCCCATTCAGCGGGCTTCTAAGAGGCAATTATCATCTTCTGAGGCACTGCTGACTTCTGAAAACCAGGATGCATCTTCCCGGCTTCTTGTTGACAGCGAGAATGTTGGAGTATTGTTGCTTAATCTAGGAGGCCCAGAGACCCTCGAAGATGTGCAGCCCTTTTTGTTTAATCTCTTTTCTGATCCGGTAAAAGATAGCTAACTTTATGTGCTTTTAGAATCACTATTTTCGAATTCACTCTATTTACGTGCATCTGACCATACCTAGTTCTATATTTATTGAAATGATATACAGCATGCGTATTATTTTCGGCGTCAGATACCAAGTTGGTTTGTTGATAATTTAATTTAACTCCTTTAGTTTCTTAATTGTTTAATGGGAAAATCAAGTGCATGAAATCTTGATCAAGAATGACCTGTTTTCTTATATAGGCAAAGATGTGATAAAGTATGCCCTGTCATGCTTCCGATGATAAAAAATATTTTGGTGCTTTGTCAATGGTTGAGTCGGCGATTGTTTACTAACAGATTGTTTTTCAGTGTAAGCGAATGATATGGAGCCTCTACGTACATGAATTGCTTAAGAGATCTAGTTGTGTGATGTCATGTGTAGGTCGAGGCCTCAAAATCGTAGGTGCATCGTATGACCGTTGAAAATTCCAATGTGGGATCTTATTACCATCACTTTGGGGAGGGATTACTCAGGTCATATCATTGTTGACACCTTATGAGAAAACAAAAAGAATGCTCATGTGAACCACGAGGGGCTTCTGTTGATTTGTTAAGAAAAATTATTTAACCATTGATGCATTATGTGGCAGCATGCAGAGAAGAAGATGCAAAGTTTGCAGTATATTTATTGATTGGATAAATCTTGAAGATTGTGACCCTAAACTATATATTACTAATTATAATGCATGCGGTTGGGAAATTTAATTGCATCTATGTGATGACCTACGTACTCTAGTTATTGGATGCTACAGCCAGTTCTTTTTGCTTTGAATCTGGATGTCGTGCAGTCATTCGAGAAAGAAATGTTGTTGCTGTCAAATCCGAACTATGTTGAACAAATAAGAAAATATACTAAAGTTCAAACATAAAATGCAACTGAGGAAGTCTGTGTAATGAAACATGCAAGTCTGGAACTGAATTAATTGAATCAATAAAATTTGAAAATTGTGAACCTGAGCAGTGTATTTTAGGTAATTTCTTGGTTTAAGTTATAATCTTGTCATTTATTGTTGTGAATGATTGGGAACCTCTAGGTTTGCAGACAACTGCCAGCCTTTTGGCTGAAAACTTGCCACAGATCCAGTTCATATGTTGATCCACTGTAGTACTCAATTTCTCATGATTGGATGTTTAGTTAGCTATATGATATGAATGGATGACTCGCACGTTGCTAACCTTTGGTAGCATTGCTAATTCCTGGTACCATGCTCTGTTCTTTTAAACATGCAGGACATAATACGTCTACCTAGGTTGTTTCGTTTCCTCCAGAAGCCCTTGGCAAAATTCATATCTGTTGTCAGAGCACCAAAGAGCAAAGAGGGCTATGCTTCCATTGGCGGTGGCTCTCCTCTTAGACTTATAACTGATGCTCAGGTATGAAATTCTCTAACTCACGTAATGTTTATAATACGGAAAAAGCTATTGTGAGCTTGCTATTTTCATTAAGCCCAATTATAAAAGTTTTGCAAAATCAATTAAAAAATTGATTACGTACCTGTTTCTATTCCGTTTGCAGTTGCTGAATTTCGGTATACTCCTCTTGATCCACTCGATGGTGGCTAGAATTTCATTTTCCAGTTGTCATGTGGTGGTTCTCATACATGTCCTACTGGAGTGAAATTTAGTTTTGCATCTTTGAATGACATGATGATATCCTGAAAGCTGTTAGTGCCTTGCCTCATGGTATCTTTCTATGGTTGTCTTAGTTTAATATTTCATTGTCACAATGGATTATGAATCCTATTTTTTTAGCCATTGGTTGAATTTTCTCGTTCTAATGGATAATTTTTAGTCTTTCAGTTATATATTAGCAACTGTTCATAGAATTTCGGTTGTAATTACAGACTCTAAACGGTAAAATGTTGGAAACCTTGAAGAAGACTGAAGACCACTAGTGCTGTGTTGACCTCTAAAATGGTCTCTGGTGTTCAACATCTGTCCCATAGGCAATGAATTGCATTTGTCAACTTGTGTTGGCAGAAGAGGCCTCTATGGCTAGTTTGCAGTGTTGGTTTTGTTCTCTATAACATCAAGTTATGTCTATTGTTGAATCTTGATGAAGTTATTCTGATAGTGATAGTTAATGAATTTATCATCGTAGAAGACATTTACTATTTTCCTTTCATTCTGGGGATATGTTCAGATCTTCACATCCCTCTTATAATCATCTTCCGTCTTGTTTCCTCTCATCCTTCATTCTCATCGTTCACTTAACAGATATATAATGGCTCACGCTGGCAACATACCCATGACAAGATTAACTAATATCAAAATATATCTGTTTTCTTGAGGCATTCATATAATTCGACAACTGAAATAGGTTTTTCTGGCCTTCAAACCAACGTAGACTATGGCTCCTTTATTAGGTAATGCAAAGCGGTTTAGAATTTTTAGGCAGTGGATGAGGTGTTTGTTGACTAAACTTTCTAGTGTAGCCTGCATGTAAGTAGTTCAACTTTAACTTTAATTATAATTCAACTTAATTGTGGTTTCCTCTGCTTCGTCACATAATATACTAGAATGCTGTATTGAAACAAAAAGACACGAATACGTGTTAATTCACATAATTGTTGTGTCTGCAATTTCCACACAGTGCACTGGCGCCTACTACGTTTGGAAACTATCATGAAATGAATTTTAAATTCTGATAATGATGTTGCTCGCGCTGAAGGAATTGTGATTCTTGCTATTTGTAGTGCTTGCTTTGTGGTTGGACGTCTAAACACGATTTTATTGATTATTTAGTAGACTGACTTTCTTTGGGTGGTTTAGGCCGAGGAATTGAGGAAATCCCTCAGTGAGAAAAAGATCCCAGCAAAGGTGTATGTTGGAATGAGATATTGGCATCCGTTCACTGAAGAGGCTATTGAGCAGGTATTGCTAGGGTGAGACCTGAAGGATAAATGGTTTTATTCTGCTGAAAAGATATATGCGTGAATAAATCTAAGCATATCATAAATCAATGTCACATATGGGTCATACAGGTCAGAGTCATCCAGGAATTTATGTTTTATGGTCCTGATCTCTGTGTATGTTAAAAGTTATTGTATCTTGTTTCAGACGGAAATATCCCAAGTAGGGGTTATCTAAGCAAAATTGTGCAATATATGTCCAGATGAAATTACTCGCATTAAAGAACAAGCACGAATTGAAATAAAGGCAGATCTTCCATGTTATTTCCTTTGCATGATGTTTTTTTTTTTTGGTTGAACCTGTTTTCGGTGTGCATAACCTACCTGAGTAGATCTCACCTCTCTTTCCTTTTTTCCCCCTTTTTCATTACTATTTCCATAGACTATATGAACGTGTCAGGGTTGCCTTCTAGATGTAGGGACTAAAACTGTGCAACTTCGGATCTCCTTGAGTATCATGTGATTCGTCTTACATAACTTCCTTCAAATGCTCTCGTCTTAAGGTACCTTGAACAGTACCATCTTGTAGAGGGTTAGTTTTAAGGTAGATGTCTTCTTGGAAAATTTGGCCAAAAGCTTAAATTCTTTTTTGGACCAGTGGATCTCAGATTGGTGAGCTAAGGCTTGTGATTATGATAACTAACGGTGTGGTGTAATATGCCCATCTTAGATTGGTGCGTCAACCAGCCCAATCCAATAGCTTCTCTCAGTAATGAAGTGCATTTTCAAAGTTACCATTATGATAAATAATGTTTTATGATGTAATATCCCCATATGATCTTTCTATATTCTGTACAGTGAAAAAAAGTTATCAGGATTAAGGTTGGATTAATTAGGTTAAAGTACCACGACTAAGAAATATCAAGAAACAATGATACAATGTGAAAATGTTATACTGATGCTGTTCTTCCATCTGACAACATTTCCTGCAATCATTGATGGCTGTGGAAAATGTAACTCAATCCATTCACTTAGCTGTTATTAGTTTTTCTATCGAACGTTCTGTTCGGGTCATTAGTTGAATGTCACTACGGTTGAACTGCAATAGGGTCTATAAATTTTGAGGAAGATGAGACCTTTAATTCTTAACATGCATTTGTCAAATTTCGTGTTCTCTACTTAGTGAGTTTGAAGTATCTTTTGTTTCTGATTTCCCTTTTCTCCCTTGCAGATCAAGCGAGATGGAATCACAAAGCTGGTCGTCCTTCCCCTTTATCCACAGTTCTCAATATCAACCAGTGGTTCAAGCCTTCGCTTGCTGGAGAGTATATTTAGGTGATGAATTTACTGGAAATGAGTTCAAAAACAACTTTGATGAAGTTTATTCTTTTGTGGAATTTAATTTTTTTCTCGGGGATTCATCTGCTTGTGCAGGGAGGATGAGTATCTTGTGAATATGCAACACACGGTTATACCTTCTTGGTACCAGAGAGAAGGTTATATTAATGCCATGGCATCTTTGATTGAGGGAGAACTGAAAAAATTCAAAGATCCAAAGAATGTGGGTTTCTTGTCCCTGGTTTACATTCTCACATTCTTTTTTCCTGGTTCGTGATCTCAGTTGTCTCTATCATGTTAAGTATCGAAGAATCCATTTCATGAGAACCTTTTTTGTTTGCCGTTTGGTAAATTTTACTTGGTTTTGGTTTAATTCATATGAATAGATGTCATACTGCATATTAGGTCATGATATTTTTTAGCGCCCACGGAGTTCCATTAGCGTATGTGGAAGAAGCGGGTGATCCTTACAAAGCAGAGATGGAGGAGTGTGTGGATTTGATTATGGAAGAGCTGGAGAAACGGCAGGTCACGAATGCATATACTCTTGCTTATCAGGTACGACTTATGATGAGCTGTTCAATCTCGGGCATCAATAGACTTTACTACTGTCGTTGGTTATGTAGTTACCAGATAGGAATTGTTGGTTCTAACGGTAGTTACATTTACAGAGTAGGGTTGGACCGGTAGAATGGCTGAGGCCCTATACTGATGAAACCATTATCGAGCTTGGACAGAGGGGTGTAAAGAGTCTTCTCGCTGTTCCTATCAGGTTGTGACCATGCTAAACGTCATTCTTCTTTAGGTTGAATTAGATCATAAGCTTCCTGTTCCGATTCGTTTTTAATTCTATTCGTTTCTTTTCTAAATATTCCTTCCTGCGTGTGTATGACCATGTTTCCGTAGTTTTGTGAGTGAGCATATTGAAACACTTGAAGAAATTGATGTGGAGTACAAGGAGTTGGCTCTGGAATCTGGCATAAGAGAATGGGGACGAGTCCCTGCGCTAGGATGTGAACCAACCTTCATTTCAGACCTTGCTGATGCTGTGATAGAAAGCCTTCCTTATGTTGGAGCAATGGCCATCTCAAATATTGAGGCTCGTCAGGTAACACACCCGCTGATTGGGTCAATATATTGTGGTATTTTACTTCTGTAGATCCTAATGTTTTGCAGAGCACAGATTCATGATAGGCTTCTGTTATTGTCGATGTATGTTTTGATTTATTGTAGTATAAGCTGAAGATAGTTGATTATTTTTCTATATATATGCCATTGGAATCCTAGTTTCTGCCGAATATAGCTTTATCCACCCATTTTCAAGAAAATCGCTTTTTATACGCTAGAAATTCGCTCATTTTGTGTTATTGTTATTCTTTTTTCTGGATTTTCCGGTAAAAGGTTACCTAGGCGTAGGATTAAACTGGATAGACAACGACATCATCTTCATCGTTAATCATGTTTATAGATTTATTTGGGGGTTGAAACTTTACGTGGTTTCAATGACCCCACGTTGTCCGCAGTCCCCGACCTAACAAAAGGTGTGACTCGGTTCCTGTATTTTTGAGAATTGCTTGTTCTGGGAATTAGAAGAGATTCCAGGAATTCCCTTACTCCTGATGATTCATAGTATGGAATTTCCTGCCAACTGCCCCATAAGGAAATGGCGTCCTTGTTGTCCACTCAAATCAAATATGTGTGTTCTTTCTGCTTTTTGTTATGAGATTATCTTTTACTGTAAGTACATTCCCATCGTTATGTTTTATCACCTGACGTTGAATCAAAAATAAATAAAAAATAAAAAGGGGAAAGAAACGAGTGAGAACTGCAAGAACTTTACTATTATGGTAAAATAATCTAGGATAATATTATCATCATGCCACAATGCTTCACAAAGCTCCTCCAGAACTGCAAGACTATTGCTACCTTTTTATTTGCCATCATGGAGAAACAGTGCATGTCTAATCAGCCCTTCTTATAGCTCTGAAATTAGAATGATCAGTCCCCAATCCAGTTCCTAGTGTAGCAGATCAAACCCATTTGACTGCGGTAATCGATTCCAATCTGTAGGAGCTATTCAAAGAAGGGAACGATCTTAGTTTTTGGTATTCGCTGAACTGTTGTTTGGAATCAGAATCCAGGAACACATGGGCAGTATTCCCTGCTTGGTTGGTTATCATCCCCCAATCTCTTGCACTACTTTCAGATAATTTGCCTTTTTATTTTATTTTTCTCCCTTGACGGAGATTATGAACATGCCCAAAAATTTCGTCCCCTGATACCATTTTCGGAAATTTTCTAACCCGGAACAATGCTCTCTGTGCAGTCATTGGTCCCTCTTGGCAGCGTCGAGGAGCTGCTTGCAGCATATGATACGAAGCGGACGGAGCTTCCCCCTCCGGTGACGGTCTGGGAATGGGGCTGGACGAAGAGCGCCGAGACCTGGAACGGCAGGGCCGCCATGCTGGCGGTCCTCGCCTTGCTGATCCTGGAGGTGACCACCGGGAAGGGGTTCTTGCACCAGTGGGGCATCTTGCCGTTGACTCACTGAACTAGAAGAAGACCCACCCGGCCCTCTCCAAGCGGAAACTGTGACCCAAGTTTTGAACTTTCGGCCTCAAGTTGAAGCTTTCTTCATCCGGGGATGCCAATAATAGTACGTTATGGTTGACTTTTGCTCTTGTGTTTCTGTCGCCACACGTACCACCCTTGCTGAGGTGGGTTCTATCCACATCAAGATATGGCCCTGAATGCACTTTGTGGATCGTCTTTTATTTATTTATTTATTCCGTAATTTTCTGTATGCCTGGTTTTCTTGGAGGAGCCGAGCACCGATGGATAAATAGGTTCCTATTGGGCCTGGGAACGTCGAAGGCCGTCACGGCCTCTGTGGGCCGGGCTGACAACGAGCGGCGCAAATGGCGGCGCCGAAAGCGATGCCCCGGATTTCATGGAGATGTCTCAGATTGATCTAGTTTCGTCACACACGTGCGCAACTACTCGTAGTTTTTTTCTGGCAGCCTTCGTGCCCACTTCTGAGAGGATCAGAGGATCTTGCGAACTGGCCAGTAGGAGGAGCGAAAGGAACAGGGGACCTGGTTTTTCTCTTCCTCAATGCGGCGGGCTGCATGGGTTTCACGCGAATGGGTTCGTCGGTCGAAGTCCCCGCCGCCGGAGACGGGGAAGAAGGGATGGGCCGTCGCCGGCGTCACCGGAGCCGCCCACCCACATGCGGTGTTGGGGTTTCGGAGTTCGTCCTCTTTCTCCGGCTTCGCCGGGGGCATTCTTCTTTCAAACTAATGGCGGAGGACCCCCCACCGCGGCGGAGACGGCGGCAGCCGCAGCGTCGCCGGAAAACCTGGCAACCTTCCAAACCAGACCACCGGAAAAACCCGCATGCATTCGGAAGCTACTCTTCCGGCTCGTCTTCTGTAACTCCTGCGAGCGCCTATAAATCCTCCTCCCCCTCACCCCAGAAGCCACACTCCTCACCAGGTCGACCCACCCCACCCATTGCCGAGTTTCAGCCTTCTGCACTGCTATGGCCCGCACCGGCGGAACCCTCTGCCTCAGCGGCGTCCTCATCCTACTAGCTCTCGTGGGCGAGGTCAGGACTCAGCAGGGCGGCGGCGGTGGGTTTGTGAGGACCAGCGGCGCCGAGTTCGTCCTTGACGGCGCCCCCTTCCTGTTTAATGGCTTCAACGCCTACTGGATGATGCACGTCGCGGCGGAGCCGAACGAGCGGCGGAAGGTATCGGAGGTGTTTAGCGGCGCCGCTGCGGCGAGCCTCAGCGTATGCAGGACGTGGGCCTTCAGCGACGGGGGCGAGGGGGCTCTGCAGACGTCCCCTGGAGTGTACGACGAGCGCGTCTTCCAGGTTCGCCATTAAAACTCTCTTTCCACAAGCTCAAAGTTGTACTGCCGTGGCGTGGGAGCTGATTCTTATCCCCGCAGGGCCTCGACTTCGTGATATCGGAGGCCGGGAGGCATGGGATTCGCCTGATCCTGAGCCTGGTCAACAACTTCGACGACTTCGGCGGGCGGCGGCAGTACGTCCAGTGGGCTCGCAGTGCGGGCGTCTCCGTCGCCAGCGACGACGACTTCTACACGAACCCCGTGGTGAAGGGATACTACAAGAACCACGCCAAGGTACGGAGCATGAACATCTGACAGGATGCGTTCACAGTAGCCACCATTTGTGGAGACATGATTCATCTCAACGAGCTTCTTCTTGGGCTGACGTCCTCTCGCAGAGGGTGCTGAGCAGACTCAACACCGTCACCAAGGTGCCATACAGGGACGACCCGACGATCATGGCGTGGGAGCTGATCAACGAGCCCCGTTGCCAGGTCGACTACTCCGGGAGAACGGTTCACGTGAGACTCCAACTTCTCTGAGGACGAGCCACAGAGAGCGAGAGAGAGAGAGAGAGAGAGAGAGAGAGAGAGAGAGAGAGAGAGAGAGAGAGAGGGGAAGAGAGATTGATAGGTGAATGCTGTGGTTTCAGGCTTGGGTTGAGGAGATGGCTGGTTTCGTCAAGTCCTTGGACAGGAATCATCTTCTCGAGGTGGGGATGGAGGGGTTCTACGGGGACTCCGCTCCGGACAGGAAGCAGTACAACCCGGGATACCAAGTCGGCACGGACTTCATCAGCACCAACCAGGTCAGCGACGTTGACTTCGCGACGATCCACGCTTACCCGGACATATGGTGAGTTCCTCCCGCCGCCGGAAATCCCCTTCGTGGCACTCGCCGGAAAAGTCTGAGGGGTCCTCCGTGATCTCTGCAACAGGCTCTCCGGGCAGGGCGAGGGCCCGCAGGACTCCTTCGTGCAGCGGTGGATGTGGAGCCACTGGCAGGACGCCATGACGGAGCTGAAGAAGCCGCTGGTCTTCGCCGAGTTCGGCATGTCGAAGAGGGATCCTGGGTACACCACCGCCGAGAGGGACGCCTACATCGACGTCGTCTACGGCGACATCTACAGCTTCGCGAGGGCCGGGGGGGCCTTCGCCGGCGGCCTGGTGTGGCAGCTCATGGCGGCAGGCATGGATTCGTACTACGACGGGTACGAGATCGTCCTGTCGCAGGAGCCGGACACCGGCGGAGTCCTCGCGAGGCAGTCCCGTCTGATGACCTTCCTGAGGCACACCATGTCAAGGCCCCACGGCGGTCCACAGAGCGGCAGCGCCACCGCCGGCGTCGACCGGCAGGAGGACAGGAGCCGGCAGCCCCGGCACGTCCGCGGCCGTCGCCATGGAGCTCGCGGGCACGCGCTCCCTGGATCGAAGATGACGCCTTGAGCTAATGAAGATCGCACATTTATCGTAACTCTAGCGAGGATTCCTCACTAGGGTTCCTATCTTTTTTCTTGCTTCATGGGAATAATGAACTTTCATCCTCACCAGGATCTTCGCCTCGATTCGCCTCATAAGTTCGTCGTTGTCCACGAAGCCTGAAAACTCTCGCTTTGTGAACCGATTATTTCCGAGTCGCTTGAGATTCAAATTATAAGTGAGGATTCCAAATCCTTTTGGAAAAAAAATAATTTAAATATTTTTTATCTACTCCAAGAAAACCCTCGATTTGGATATCTTGGTCGGCCCACCAATTTTTTTTCTAAAAGTAATCATTTTAGCGTCCATTACAGAAAATAAATTAAAATTAAGATTTACTTTGATGAAAAACAGAAATCGAACACATTTTTAGCGATTTTTAATATATGTAAATATGCTTTTAAAATAATGTGACAGTGGAATTAGTTAAGTTCTCTTCACTCATTGTAAAAATTAAATCTCTAGAGCTTATTTTTTAAAAAATATAGGGTTCATATGACGTGCACAAATTCCTTTTGATCTGAATTGTCAACTATTTTTTCGCCAAAAAAGTAAAGTTTAATCTTGTACACAAATAATAATAATAATAATAATAATAATAATAATAATAATAATAATAAATGATTCGTAAAACCCTACTTACCTTTTGATATCCAACATAAGTAATAGAAATTACATCCAAGTATTCGTTGAAGGCCTCTCACGCTGCTCGGCCGGGTCCTGACTCGGTTTACGCCGGGGTTGATAGAGAGCGATTCAGTCCGGAGCTAACGCTAACGGAGTTTGTACTTTTTTCACGTGGATTTATCATAAACGTGCGGAAATAAAAATTGCCTTTTGGCGGGGTGCTTGCCTCTGTCTTGTTGTTCCTCCTCTTCAAAAGCTTCACGGTTTTGATCTGAATGGAATTATCAGACAAACGCCCAGGATCTCCGGAGACGAGGAAGAAGGGACGGGGTGCCGGCGCCGGCGACGTCACCGGAGTGGGGCACCCCATGCGTTCTTGCGGTTTTCGGGTCTCCCTTTTTCAGCGGGCTCCTCTCAGCAGACTTCCTTCCTACTCCCCCGACCAGACGAATCGGCGAGACCTCCGTGATCCTCTTCACCGCCTGATCTCATTCCCGTCACCTGTTCATCGTCATTGAAGAAGCCAGGCGTTTTCCATGAGGTCCAGATTAATGGCGGAAGGCCCCGCGTCGTTAACGCACGGCGACGGGGGGAGCGAAACGAGGGCGAAGGGATGGATATAAATTCCCCCACCCACCCCCTCTCAAGGGTGCCGACAGCCATGGCCGGCCGCGGCGGAGCCCTCTGCCGCTGCTGGGTCAGCAAGGTCAGAACTCCGCAAGGCGGCGGCAGAGGGCTCAGCAAGGTGCACGTTGCGGCGGAGCGGAGAGAAAGGTCAAAGCTTTTGGAGGTGCGCCGCCGGCGGATTCTATCAGATCGGACCTGCGGTGCGTCCAGGTCGCGGGCCCCCGGCGGCGGCGCCGACGGGTCTCCGCAGACGTCTTCAATGGGCTGTGGGCCTTTCCATAACCAATTTTCATTTCCCAAGGAGAGGTTTTTTTCTTCCCCATTGGAACAAGACGACAGATTCTCTCCCATCGCAATAAAAAAGCCGAGACGACATAAGAAATGACACATTTGGGGGCATATTCTTCCCAGTTCTCATTACCATATAACGTCTACGCATAGAAACACGAGTGTTCTTCCTCCAGAGTTCCATGCTTGAGGCGGCGCATGCCAGCACCATATAGAACAGTCACGGAGCCAGAGCCTTGAAAACGTAACAAAGACCGATCTTCCCGCCACCCACCACCCACCCTCCCACCATCTCTGGAGCTCACCTCAGAGCAAGCGCCGGCCATGGAGCCACCCCCGCCGCAGGCAGCGACGCTCGGATGACAGGGACCCGCTTCACCACCGAGAATGCTTCGTTGAGCCGAGCGACGGGCACCGTGAAGGGAGAAACCTGCGAATTTCAAGCCACACCCGTCGATAGCCGAAGAGGGAAATTAAACCCAAGATCGAGGTCGGAACAACCCTTTTTTGACTAATTACATCCAATATTCGCCATCAGACGGCGCTAAATTGGAAAGGTTGAACCCATGCAGCTGATTTTGACGTGGGAATGACGTATTTTTGGTGTATTTCATCTAATGTTGGTCATTAGAGGACACCCGGGTAGCAAAAGTGGTGCTGTAAAGTAAGAAGATGGGTTCAATTCTTGAGACCGGTGGGGCTCGGAGAAGTGGGGGCTGACTCCGCTGGGTCCGAGAAAGTCCAGATTTTGATGGCGAAAACCGAGAAACAATGCTGGCTCGACTCAGATTATTGGATCAGGAGAGGAAATGGGTTCAGACGGGGAAGGGAAATAGGGGCAACACAGTGGACTATGATTTTCCATAAATACGGCAAAACAATAATGTTATTTTCCTACGCTAGTTTCCACAAATTTGATGGGACAAGAAGCCCACATCAAATGGCCTGCATTGGTCAGATTCTCATCCAGTTCAAGATCGAGACCGTCGATCAAGCGTATTCGTGCATTGATCCTGACCGAGAACTTCTTCTTGCTCTGGTTAGCCACAGAAGGAGGCTGAGGAGGAGACGATGCAGAAGAAAGCTGTGCCCAACCCCAAAACTGGATGCTGATATGGAAAACATTAAGAAAAATGAAGCCGCAGAAGGTAAGCCTGGGCCTATCCAAATCACCTCTCGAACAGGGAATCACCAACTTCTCTGTCGGTTTGCAGTCAGATCGGGTTGGAAGTTGGCAAATTGCAGGAGAAATCGGATGAACAGTCCGGCATGTAAAGCTCGTCTTGCTCGAGTTTTTAGACCACGATCGAGAAAAGGGACGAAACTTTCCGGCATGATATGATCATGTTCCGGGAGTGAAAATGAACTACGATGAGAAATATATATCCAAAAAAGATTATTTTTTTCCGGGTATAAAAGACTCTTGCTTCAGTCATCTTGCTTCCCTCTGGAATACGTTCTCCGCTCCAATAAAACGGGCCAACTAAGACACTCACCTTATCGCCAACGCTGACTTTGAGAGGAATGCGCCGGCTTTTGGGCTTCTTCCTGTACAGCCTCCTGCCCAGCATGAAGGCCCCCATCAGTGCCGCGACCATGGAGATTGACCAAGTGGGCCTAATCTTGAAAGCGAGGAGCTTCAGGAACTCCATGGGTAACTTCCACCACACAAATCCCGCCTTCTCCTCTCTGGCAACAGGGAGCCTCTCCGCACAGCTCATCCCAGAGGCCCTTTCCATCGTGGGCGGCGGAGGCGCCGCAACTGTGGCCTTCGGACTATCACATGGCTCCTCCCCGGTTTCCTCGGAATGAATTCCTCCCCCCTCGCCCTCTCCCTCTTCCAGAACCGGAGCGGATTCAGGATTCAGAGTGCCATCCGCAGGCCCTTCGAACAGACTCTGTAGAACCGGCGTCTCCTGTCCAACCGAGGATCCATTCGATGCGCAGAGCTCGCCAGGATCCTGGCGCTGGATGTCAACCCCCTGACTAGGCGGCTCGTCCATAAAAGCGGGGTCGGAACTGGATTCGACCCAGTTCGGATTACCTGCGTCTGGAAGGCTGTTCTCCAAGGTTTCGCCGTTGGAGGAGGATGGCCGGAGAGGGCCCCAAATCTCCGTCTCTACGACAAAGTAGTCAGGCTTGATCACGCCGCCTGATCCGCTTTCACTTCCTTGGGGAGCGTCCTCTGAGTCTGGCCCGGGTTCGCCATCGCCGGAACTGAGGAACTCCCAGTCCTGGAGCCCGGCGACCTCCTCCATGGAGAAGACGAGCAGAACCAGAAGATCAGAAGGCGAGACGAGGGAAGAACCGGACGATAGCACGGCGGATACGAGTAGGGGCGGCGAGCCGACGAAAAGGATGCCTTTCTCTGCCGGCAAGGAAGGAGTGATCGACAGATAATGAGATAGGCACTGATTGATAGAGAGAGAGAGGGAGAGAGAGAGAGTTGGGGGGGAGGCGGGGGGGCGGTCGATCGTTGATAGCGACTGCTAGACTTTCCAATGTTCGGAAGAGGAGAGGTGGCATTGAGAGTCTTCGTCCAAATGACCATGCACCCGTCTTGATGTTCCACTAATCAAATGGCTTTAATTCACCTGTGCTCGGTAAATAATCACCCCACGCCTCGTCACGTGATTCGTCTCGAAGAATTTTGACGTCAAAATACTCGAATAATTTCATTTTTTTCCACAACAATTTTGATACTCCGCCCCCCCCCCCCACATTTCCCGGAGACTTTTCGGATAAGGCGGCGCGGCAGAGACAAGTACCTCGCCCTCTTATCCAGGGATCGTATCCATCCACGTGTCCCTCATCCTTCCATCTCCCTGGTCAACCGGACCAGAAAGATCCCCATTCAGATATTTTCCAAATATCTCTCTCATTCTGCGTCCGCCAGGCGAGGCCGTTTTCCCGCAAATAAGCATACGATATTAATGATATTTAATTAATCTCGGGGTAATTAATTACTTTATTAATTGTTGCGTGAGGGCGGAGACAAAGGAGTGTCTGGACCACAGCAATCTCCCAGGTGGTCCCACACACGTCGGACCATTCTGTGGCTGTCCAGTTGGCCTGTGGGCCCCCCAACAACTGTTCCGGCTCGTTCGATTGGGTCAACATCGTATCATTGCCCCGAATGGCCTTCGCTAACCGACGGATGTGACCTCCGAGTCGATTTTTTCTTTTGGCCAAGAAGGAATTCTCATCAATTTACTTCCTGAAAAAAAACATCCTAGAAATTGTTCAATGCCCTCGAAACTTCTTTTATTTGAAAGAAAAGGTGTGTTTTAACGAGCAGTTTACGAAAATATAAGCAAATCACCGACCACAGATAATGAGATGACCAAGTAAAGAAGTATATTTTTTAGTTAGAAAATATATATATACTTTATAATATAGCATTTACACCCTTTTTCATGGGGTGGCCCCGGCAGAGTCGGCGAATGTGGCGATTGGGGTGTGGCTAAATCCGACCGTTTGATCTGAGTTGAGGGGGTGGTTATCGGGGTGAGGGGCAGAATACTAGATTTTTTATATATTAAATATGAGTAATATGTGTATTTTTACTGACACAAAGTAATGTTTTTTAAATTGAAATAATATTCAAATCATCGCCAAGAAAAACGAGAATTAAATATCACCTATGAGGTTTGATATCAGCATATTAATCATTAATAGTGGCAACGGAGATGTGATCTCGTCCGTCGGATGGAAGCGTGGCCATCCGATCGGGAGGAATCCATCAGGCGAGACTGATCGAGAGGATGCCACGTGGAAGAACCTGGCTCTTTCAAACTGGGGGCGCCGACTCGGCCTCCGTTCTGCCGTGGCTTTCTCTCCTCGGAGCTCACATGGCGTCTCTCTCCTCTGTCGCTCCCACAACTTCCGAGTTGCAATGCGGGCGCCGTGTGGAGCGGAGATGCTCCACTCGAGGCCTTGTCTCGCTTCCGCCGCCTCTTCGATCCGTGTGCTCTCCTTGGCCTTCTCTTCTCCTTCCTCTTCCTCTTCCTCCTCCTCCTGCTCCTCCTTTCCCGTGGCCCCATCTCGTCTCAGAACCAGGCGCTTCTGCTCGTTCAGGCCTCTGTCCTCCCTCAGGGAAACCAAGAAGCAGACGCTCCAAAAGATCCCGAACGCCCCTCAGAACCTCAGATTCGAGAGCTCGAGCAAGAGGAATGGGGAGGATGGGGTCCCGCCGGAGGGGGACGAGGAGGTGTTGGGAGGGGACGGCGCCGTAAAGGGGACAGTCTTAGCTGGACTGCTGCTTCTTGGAGTCGTTGGGGGCTTCGGCGCCGTGGGATACGTATACAAGGAACAGATCAACGTTTTTCTCACCCAGTTCTCCGGTTTCATTGAAGGTCTGTCCAAGTAAGAGGTTTCAAGATCTCCCCTAGAATTGGATGCACATTCTGTCGAATCAACTGAAATTTACCACCTCTATAATATTTTTACACGATACAAATTTTTCCCTCTGTCTGTTTGCGAGTTAGGGTTTATATGCTAGAACTACAGTGCCATAGTCTACATCGTTCTCTACATCCAACGTCATCTTATTCAATTGCAAAGACGAAATGGGAGAATATCCACAGGGGAAGGGTCTGATCGTTATGATTCCGGCAGCCAAGGAGATAATGGGGAATCAGTTGTGATAAACTTGTGTCATTGTTACTCGATCACGGGCAGAACAGTCTGTGCCGACTAAACAGTTGCGTCATTCTTCTCTCACACCATTGTTCTAACCGATCCTTTTTCTCTCTGGGTTTACTGTCTTGTGTGTCGCCTGAAGCGGGTAAAATCAGAACCCGGTGCCTTTAGATTTCCCTCCTGAGTATGATGGTTTTGTGAGATTTAGAAACAGCGGGGGCTCTATGCGACTGGTCCGCAGCTATCTCGCGGACCTTCATTCTTTTGCCTTTGTTTCAGTTTGTTCAACATTTGGCTATACTTCTTCAACTCTCCTTCATGGTGGCTCTCTTCTGAGAGCAGCAATGTGTGTGAGAGAGAGTGAATTTCGAACAAGTTAATGGTTTTTTAATATAGTCTGCAGCAAACCTTGTAGAGGAATGAAGTGAAGAAAATCAAGTGGATAGGTACTGATTTGTTCGGAATTGTTGGTAGTATAGATCGACTCTCCTCCGTTTCATATAGACTCTTTCGAAGCTTTCTATTAGCCCGCAAAACTATCCAAAATTTCCAAATCTAATATTCATCAGAGATTGAAACTGTGAAAAACCTATAGACCCCATGGCCAAGACAAAGATGGGGTCCCACGGATGCCGGCAGACAAGGTTATCTTGTATTATTTTAGGTTTGCAGAATTTAAACGTGAAACGATCCAAAAGTTTTCTGTTTGCGTTTATCTCTAGTTCTCCTCATTTCTCATGATTGATTTTATACTGCCGCGCCTTTGAGGAAACATATGGGCTCACTGTAACTTTTTCTGGACGGATAGGTTATGGACCTGCAGGTTATGCTTTATTTGTTGCTGTCTATGCCGGATTGGAGGCGAGTTCAGATCAGAACTTACTTTTGTTTTCTATTTCTGGGTTTCTTTCATGCCTGATCCTGAGTTCTGACTTACAACTAACTGTTGTTGACTTTTATAGATTCTTGCCATCCCTGCTATTCCGTTAACAATGTCTGCGGGTCTTCTCTTTGGAAGCTTCATTGGCACAATCATTGTTTCCATCAGTGGAACAGTAAGATGATCTTATAACCTACATCAATGAGATAAATCCCACGCTTGAGGACTTTACAGTGTTTTATCCTCTTCTGTAGGTAGCAGCAGCAGGTGCATTTCTCATTGCTAGATACTTTGCGCGTGATCGAATTCTGAAATTGGTCGAAGGGAACAAGAAATTTCTAGCCATTGATAAGGCAATTGGGGAGAATGGTTTTAGAGTTGTTACACTTCTGCGTTTAAGTCCGCTGCTACCCTTCTCTCTTGGAAACTATTTGTATGGACTGACTTCGGTGAAGTTTGTGCCCTATGTTTTGGGAAGGTTAGTTTATGATACTTCTACCCGTCATGCTCTAAATGGTAAAAAAAAAATCCTCTTTTTGTGGGTTCTTCTCTTGTTCATATGAGGCTCATCTGTGTCATACCATTTGGAGAAATATGGCACAGAAGTGTACATGCTGTCCTATCCGGTTTGAACATAAATCCTCTCATTAGTTGAATCTGGAAAATGCTTGTCTCTTCAAAGCAACCAAACCAAGATAATTTTCCGCCAGCCTTGTTGGTGTTCTTGACATTCTTTTTGCATCCTTTGAACTGCGCTAGAATCCTGAGATTGCCTGCAATTTGGCCCATGTGAGCTCCTACTAAGGTCAGATTGTTTGGGGAGTCCAAAATTAGGGTTTACTCCCTGGCCTAACGGCTTCCCCACTAATCTTCCTATCCTTAAATATTTCTCATAGTTGAGTGTTAGCCTCTCTAGCTTGTGGATAAGTGGAATGTCTTATTGTTGCAGCTGGCTTGGGATGTTGCCAGGGACATGGGCCTACGTTAGTGCTGGTGCATTCGGCCGAGCAATCATTGTAAGTTGCTGGCACGGAATTATTACTAACGCAGAATTTTGACAATTTGGTCTCCATTTTATGCTTTATTCGGGGTGCTTTTTTTTTTTTTTAATGTATTCTTAACTTATCTATGGTTGTTTTATGATTTCCTCTTTGGCTCTCTCTCTCTCTCTCTCTCTCTCTCTGTAGCAAGAAGAATCAGAGGCAGGATTACTCGGTGGCAGCGGGCAATTGCTCACTCTGGGTCTTGGTCTCCTTGCAACGGCTCTAGCTGCTGCGTATGTCACACGGTTGGCAAAGGTATCAAGCCCTTATCTATCATCTTTGAAAAATTTCCTTATATTAGAAACAAAAGAGAGGTTCTTGCATCAGAATGGAGCCCACTTGAACGTATGCTTATTTACCGGTTATTAAATAGTCCCACATTGATTATCGTAGAAATGGACCAAGATGGGTCCATTATCTACCTGACAATCCCTAAAAATTAACTCCGTATAATCCCCACATCGATCATTATAGAAATGAAGGTGCTGCCATCACATGAATGGCCACCCGGAGTTGACTTTTCTGAAGTGAATGGAAGCGCTTTATTCAATTCACGAGCCCACTTTTGTGCAGGATGCCGTGAAGGATATCGAGTAGAAAGCATCTCTCGCCATGCGGGCTAAATCTTAATGACATGGGGTGGTCGCAGGCGGGTGCAGGCGGAGAATCACATGAGTCAGAAATGTTCTTGCCATTGTTGCCTTCTTCATCTCCATAAGGGAGCCATGGCGGGACCACGATCCCCCCCCCTCCCCTCCCCATACTGGTACCAGGGAAGCTCTCACCTGATACTACTACTTAATGGGCGGAGGAAGGACGCCGAGGGTTCCCACGCGAAGAAGATAATGGGTCCCCTAGGTGGCTGGCTTCTTGATTGTGTTCATTGCTCCAATGATTTGCCTTCTTCTTACATGTTCTGTGAAAACGACCCACCGAGGCACCAAAAAAAAAAAAACCTAAAATCCATAAACATAAATAGCCTTTTTTAATTTTAAGGTCTAACCCGCTTTGATGATGGGGCTGCTTGAGCTTGTTATCCAATCAGATGAGGGCATCTGGCTCTGGCTAGGACATTTCCTCGTCGACGAGAATGGTTGTGCCGGTTCCGATCCCAAAATCCATCAGGGTGGCCGAATCGTCATCAAGAAGTAGAGGAAGCGGGGAACCCTGAGAGAAAGCTTCTGGGTCAGATGAACAGAATGTGGACTATGATGAAGCATAGAGAATACAAGGACTTGAGCAGGAGAGCCGAGATGCCGCCATTAATTCATGCATTGACGGTGCAGAAAATATGATATGTTGAGTGAGGAAGAAATCTCCGATGAACTTTGGATACCTCCTCCTGAAGGAATAAACGAAGCTTGATAAACTTCAGTTTGAAGAAGCTCTCACAAAGAACCTTTAGCTTGCCCACCTGAACAATTGTGCAAATATTGAACTCAGATGGAGAAATGTACCACACACACACACAACCTAGGAGGCTTGGCATGTAAGTTATCAATCAGTATCTTCTTGAACCCTGAAGCTCTGGACATAGTAATTATTTCTATGACCCAGATCAACAGGAATATCTGTGGGCTTAGTTATTCTTAAGTTCCAACAGTAGAGATGGGAGAACCAGAAAATTCAAACTCGGCTCGTTTTCTGGGGGCATGCGAATAGAACACCCAGAAGACTGTAAGAACAGAACCTGTTAAGAAAGAGGTCCTACCTACCCACTTGAAGCAGTTGATTTCTCATTGTTTACTCCATTTCAGTCAATAAAGAAGGCCGGATGAAAGGAAACAATGATATTGAAGATGACACCATGGGAAAACACCAAAGTGAAAGACGAATTATGGAGAATATATAAACTAAAGAAATTGCGGACAAGCACTCAGTTTCAAAGAGACGGTTTTCACACCAAGCACATTTATTCATGATTCGAATTTTCAGGTTGATGAAAACTAGAACATAGGGACAAAAGGAATCGTACGATCATACAAACTGTAGTTTTTCTGCAGTCATATTGGGACATACCGTTGTGGAGGGGGGCAATTTTCTTGTCATAGGTGGTTTCTCTCCCATTGAAGCTCCCACACACTTCAGAGTGAGAGCTGCAGAAAATGGGAGGCCTGAGTGTATGTGCAATGCAAAGCCATCAAAATGTTTACTCGCTAAGATGAAGAACTTCCATACAAATAAGTTCAGAAGCCATGCTCTGGGTGGCTGCATTTTGAGTAGACGGTTTTTCATCCTCAATTCCGTGGTGTATCTTGAGCTCCGCGAATCTGCAAAAGAAGTCGAATGGTTGAGGCGCGCTGGCCCTGGAACAGTAGATGAACAATAAAGTGACAGTTAAGCTTTGACTTTTGGCACAATGGACGGCACAACTATTCTCCAGATCAATGGCTTGTCGACTTGTTTGATCGGGTAAATTTTCCAACTTAACAAGTCAGTCATAGTGTGGATGGGGCCAGGACCCTGCATTTCTTCAGATGAAGATGTCACCGGCCATTCGAGTTAGAAGACCCAGCATGGCAAGTGAAGAAGCAAACATTGCTACAAAATTCATGCACAATGAAGATGAACTTTGTTCGAAAAAACTCAACAAAATGGACGAATAATTCGTATGTATTTCCATTCCATTTCCTTCCTTTTGTAAATTTTTACACATTCAAGCACTCGGTTCAATCATCCAAAAAACCAATGTTTTGCAAATGCTCTGCACTCGAATTCTTCCACTTTGTTGATAAAGAATCAACAAACCGAGTTTCAGATTTAAGGAACTCCGCGAATTTAGAAGATACATTAGTGAATATGGAGATAGCTGGTTCAGATTCACGTTTTACGAACTCCTTGATCTTTTTGAGAGTAGCAAACCGAGTTTCTAAGATATCAATTCCAAAGACGTGAGAAAATGACAAAACGGAAATCCCTCTGGAAGAGAAATGGTAAGACTGACAAAAGACATATCAGGTAAGCATGGACTCTCACTCAGTCTGCCACAACAAGAAAGAATTCAACAATCATTATCTGGTTTCGTGCATGCAATTATCCTTATGATCTGATATATATATATATATCAACTTCGGACCATCTCAACCTAATCATTCGCCGATCTTACAAGATCGATCGGGCCGGCTGCTTGGATATATTTATATATATAATCTTCCTGTGGAAATTAATACCTTCTTTGATCAACATATACTTCAGCAAAATGTAATTTCACATGAATAATTTGGTACCTAAACGAAGACAAACATTTTTCTGAAGTACCTTGGATGTACCCTCTTAATTTCCTCTGGGCCATCGGACTGTAACTTTACCATAACAAGACGGACGTACCTGTAAAATAACTCTGTCAATTCGAAGCACACAAAATATTTGATTGACAGGGAAAGCTATTACAATAACTACCAAAATGTTTGAGAGAAGGTAAAATTGTTTTCTTAAGTTGTTACACTCAACAATGGAACAACCTGTACAAGATGACTCTTTTTCCTTGGCTTTGTATGTTTTCTATTGCAAATTCTAGAAGGGTTCGGTACTTGCCCTCACACCATGTTGTTGAAAAGAGCACAGATTTTGTTGAACTGTTCATAGAAGCAGTTCTATTTACCCATTTACGAGAGAGGTGGATACAGAAGCGTTAACCCCTGGAGGAAGAGGCCACTAATATAGGGACTGATATTCTGCTACAGACTGTTGTATTCAGACTCTTCAAGGAAGTCATGGATGGTATTCCTCAAACGTAGAAAATGTGGGTCCCCCATCAGAAATGAGGGATGCCCTAAAATGACGAAGCTTAAATGGGTTTTTCCTTTAATAAGAATTAGTTTTAAGCTAAGATGTGCGAGTCCAACAGAAATGGGGTAGCCCCTGAAAAGATGAAGGTTAAATGTGTTTATCCTTTTACAAAAATTAATTTTAATCTATGTAATGCCATTTTTTATTATAGGACGAATTTTAAGATTGACCTGTAGAGAGTTCAAATCAAGCTAATCAAAAGCTGTTTCTCAGGGACGCATTGTTTCGTTACTGTCGGACATTCTAGGTCGTAAGAAAATTATGTAAAAAACTGAGGGTGTTTTGCAAAATTGTGTAAGGTTCCTTCCCATATAGTGGGGGTTAGAGGTGAATGAATCTTGAGGCGGTTTCTGCTGTTCTCCCCTCTGTCCTCTGTGACAGAGGTTTTCTACATTTCCAACAGTTACCATTGACCCAGATGTGCTTGACTTATGCACTATCTTGGTTCTCCATTTTCTGAAGCTTCCTGAGATCCCTTTACTAAAGCATATCAGTTTTAACTGGTACATTAAATTACGCCAAAACCATGAACATGTGAATTAACCAACATTCAAACAAGTGTCCAACGTTAGCAGGTATATTCTGACTAATCAGGGTCGACTCATGTTATAAGACTAGTACATAAACATGGTTACTTATGGAAGCAGCATATAAATATTGGCCAATCTTTGTTATTGATCAAGAACCGATTGGAAGTTCATTAAAACCTAGCCAGCTTAAATCCAAAGGGCAGCGTGTCCAAACATCATCTATATTATTTTAAACAACACAGCAGAAAAACTTGATATTTTAGAAATTTAACTCACAATTTCAACAAACATCATTGTTTCAGTGCAGGATCAGGAATCTAATTTCCGAAGGTTGAGTCCGAATTCTAACTTAAAATTAGCTTGCTTCTTCTGAAATCTCGCAAATAAGAGCCGATTAAGACACTCCCTTTTCTTAATCTACTTTTCCACTCCAATGTCTTCCAAGTGCTCGAGAATCCCTCAAGATGAAACTCCTGCTGTCGTCTCATACCTTTGCCTTTGACTTAATATCACCAAAAAAGGTGTCACTTTCGATGCAATATTGTGCACAATATTAGAAGAAAAAATGTTATAATAAGCCACATTAAATTTTTGAGCTCGGCTAGGTCTGCCTAATTTATGTTTAAAATGAGTACGATGATGACTTAATAACTTCCAGGATCCATCTCTCATTTTATGACAGGGAATCAAGATAGCTTCCGCGAGCGGAGTAAGGAAAATGATAAACCTAAAAGAAACAGATGTGCAGTGAAGAAACCAACATACTGACAGAAATCAGACGTACCGGATTTCAGACTCCCTCCTTTCACGAGATGTTACCTAAACATGGCCAAGAGTCCATGTAAATTACAAGATATATCTTCATAAATATAACACTGAAAATTTTCACAAAACAGGTTCAGAAACTACCTCACTACCATTTAGCATTTGAACCTTTGATAAACGCGCAATTAAAATAAAACGTGGTAGACCACCTCTTGCTGGATCAGCCACAGGATTTCCAGAAAGCCTGATGTCCTTTAGATCCATATTCCATTTTAATGATTAAAATCCAATGGCACAGAAGACGCAAGTAACAAAATAGCATATATGAAAAAATGGATGACAGAGATAATGAAGGTACACTTAGCAACTGACAAAAAGGAAAGAGAGTTGCACCAGCATGAAGAATCATGTTTGAGACATCTGTTCTCTATTTAACTTCTGGAAAAAGGATGTGGAAAACTGAGGCATAGATTGGTTCATCTCTCTTTGAAAGATCAAATTTATAGGCTTCCTTTGAAGTTCCTGTCGAACTCATTTTAGTCATCATCAAAGTAGATTAAAAGGTCAGGATATCAACCTGTCTTTTCTGTCAAACGCTAGTTCAGATTGATTCGCGATAAATTAAAGGCAATAAGTGATAATTGTGAAGGGGCCAGAATTGTGAAGTTCAATCAGTACCCCATCCCTAGCCTTCAGTTTCCAACGTGATAAATGACCATGTTGGGACGATGGATTTCATCACAGGTTTCAGCAACGAAGAATTAACTGGTCCTCACTGTTTGCCTTCGATATTTCTAATCAATAGGTTCAGCAGATCAGAATTTCCCCTTTAGATGTGGACTTCCAATTCCTTCGTCTTAAAAAAATGCGTCACCTACTTTGAGATGACAAATTTAGACCAGGAAAGGATCATTGGTATTAGAATATACCAATTCCACGTTTCACGAAATTGTATAAACCAACCTAACAAACATTTTCATTTCTCTCCACCTTAGCTCCTCTGTTCGTAACTGACTGGTCATATAAACCATATATGGCGCAGTATTTCTACAGGCTTCAGCCGACGACCAAACTCATGCAGTATTTCATCAGGCCTGAAACTAGAAATAGTCCTCTGCCAAGATATACAGTGATAGGCTCTCCACACAACCAAGTGCAGTTGAAAAGTCCTAAGAAGCAAAATTTTCTTAAAAAGAGAAATGACTGACAAGAAAAGTTCAAAAGATAGCATCCATCCCCCTTTCCGTGTTATCCTTTTCCCTTTCTTTCACGCCACCATTTCAATAGGAAAACAATGATCTTACGTTCTAAACATTGTCTACGAATTATGTCCGCACATTACAGTGAGTTTTTCTATGTAATTGCCATCATCAGTTCTGCCAGTCTTCCCAATATATTAATAACACCAAAATACATTATCATGGATGAATCTAAGCCACCAACATATTACTTTACTCATTTTTCATAGTCAACAGACAATAATCCCTGCTATAGCTGTGTAATAATACCAACTGGCATAATTTATGGCTAAAAATTCTCATACATAAACAATGATTATTGATGCCGTTTTCAAGAAGAGGTTAAGCTGGTGGCAAGGGCTAGACTTCTTTTGACATTCGGAAACAGGAAATCTCTCCGTACGACTTTTCATTTTCAATTCCACACTTAAAAACACAAGGCAAAGTGCCTTCACCTCAATTTGATCCCTCAGTCACCTTTTATTTTCATTAATGCCTTATTTATGTCATTTTGAACTATCATATTCCCCAAAAAAGATGTCTACCGCTGTCTATAAGCCATTTGGATATATTCCCAAAATCTAGACGTAAAAAAGGTATCCTCTATTATGTGCTTCCCCTATTTAAATGACGTAACAAATACAAAACTCTCTTAACCCATTTGTACAGAAACTATATCATGTACAGAGGAACAACTCGGTGAATAGTTGAAAAACAAGTTTACCATTAAGTTAGGAAAAAGGTTCAGTGAATCAATGGAAGCCAGATCTTCAATTTCATTGCATCCTGAAATTGGTTTGCACCAAATGGTTAGAGAACAGCATCTGAGATTTATTTTTTTTACCTAAACGAAGAAAATACCTAGAAGAAGGCAACGCAAATTCTCAAAGGGTGTACTACATTCATGGCCATCATGATCATTCTGCGGGTCTGGCCCTGGGGGGTAAAATACGTCCTTCAACTTGTTCTTGTTTAAATGTAGCTGTTCCAAGCTGAACAAAGAAAGTAATAAATGTTCATACTCAATATATAAGCGAAACAAGATATGCAGTAGTCGAGGATGATAAGTCTTCAGTAATGAATACCAAAATGTGAGAAATCAAGATGTAGAGCAGAGGATGATGTCATTGTTTTTCATACCATTTAAGATGAGAAAGCTTCAAAACCTCATCCCATGTGTCAATGCAATTATCTTCCAAATTCAAGATTTTCAGCGAATCAAATCCTTGGACATAAGAACGTGTGGATATCTTCAATTCGTTTCGCATTAGATGAAGCTCCTCAACTTCTGAAAGTGACAGTTTGAGAGTTTCTACCTACTTGACATTAGTAAGGATAGATAATTAATTTCAAAGAAATATGGAAAAAGTATCAAAAAAAGATGAATACCCCCAAGTGCAAGTTAACACCTGTTCCCACGTTATCCCGCAGTTATTAAGAACCAAGACACGAAGTCCTTTTGACGGGATGAACGTGATGGTATCACGCTCCAGAAAATTGTTTGTTAGATTGAGAATTTCAAGAGCTGGAAGAGCTTCACAAATAGAACCAACATCCTGCAACAAAACAACATAAACCCCAAGATGAGGATACCTTTCATACACTACATAATACTCTTCATCACTGATAAACAGATGGGAAAATAATCAGGTCATATTTCAATAGAAAAAAACAATCAAATATTAGTAGAAAGAGCAACTTATCCCTTTCGTCATTGCTACTGCATAAATTAACCGGTTGTAATGAAAATGAAATCAGTTCCTTTTAATACGAAATAGAAATAAAATTCTAGAAATCCTCTGTATTTTTCTTTTCAAAAACTTATTTAATGCTATAATAAGGCATAGAATAAGAGTGATCCAGCTTGAGCGTACCTGCCAACTGGAAAGTAGGTTTCCTGTCAGATCAAGCTCCTTCAAATCTGCAGCAAAAGAGAAGTAAGATCAATTACAATAGAAGTTTGGTATCTCCAATAATTACTCAAGTGCCGTCACATATTTTAGACAATCGAACATCCTAAACACTTCCCCGTGCAGTTTTTTCGTCCATTTTTGTACAATGAAGATATTAGATCTTCTAAAACAGATTACACGATTAAAAAAAATCAATGTAATACATGTATATATATCACGAAGTGTTTTTGAAAAAGGCATAAACTAAATATTTCTGAATACATGAAGATATTAGGTCTTCTAAAACAGATTACACGATAAAAAAAATTCAATGTAATACATGTATATATATCACGAAGTGTTTGAAAAAGGCATAAACTAAATATTTCTGAATACAATCCCGTCACTATATACAACGTAATGTTTAGCTCGCAAAACCGACAAATGTAGCTGTTTGACATTAATATTTTTAACCGTACTCAGAATCATCAAGAAAATGATGTTATCGAACAATTTATATCTATAATATATCTTATGGCCGTGAGGAGCTATACTTGGTACTGAAGAGTAGATCTCGTGTGAGTGTCCAACGGAGCTGACTCCCAGAAAAGATAGTGATGCACTAAGCAGCTCTTCAAGTCTGCTTAATTTTTCCCGGACTACATTCTCCCCCACAAGTTGGATCGATACTCGTTTGCTTCTTGTTGACAAGACGTACATTTCGTCTACAGCAATTCCAACGAAGACATTTAGTCAACAACGCAATTTAGCATCAAACATAAAAACAGAAATAGCATAGCAAACACCGCAAGTTGCGTTTGATGCAAATAAGTGTAGATCAGGCTTGATTATGAGGACAAGTAATGGTAAACACCTAACCACTGAAATGTATTATACGCCTCCAAACATAGAAGAAAAAATGCATGGCAAATCAAGAGCCATGGAAACTAAATTTTTTCGAGGAAATACGAAGAGAAGAATCGTCCACTTCGGAAACTTACCCTCCTCCTCCTTGGTAGATTCACCTCGGTATCGGAGACGCAGGGCCCCCATCAACGTAATCCCAGCACTAAGATTTCTCGGCCGGACCAAAGAGCCAGTCATCTGCCCCTTGGCGGAGAAGTAGCGCACGCCGTTGACAACACCGTCGTGCTTCCCTCCCCCATCGTCCCAGTCGACGCCGATCCAACTCCCGTCGTAGCCATCGACGGGGCCTACGTACCGGACTGTGCCCGTTCTCCGGGGATCTCCCAAGACATGGACTCTCTGACAGACGCTGAACGCAGGGACCGCCGGCCCCTCCACACCCGTTGTACCTTCCCCGCCTTCCTCCTGCGTCATTGGATGGATTCCACTGGTTCCTGAGAATGAAGGAGCGTTGGTTTTTGTATCCTGCTACCAGATGTACAAACCGTCACATAACGGGAAGAAGGCAGGCCCTTCTAATAACATATTTATCTCCATTTTTCTTTAGACTGTCCAAGAAAAATGGCCCAATAACTGTCACCATCCGCCCAATGGGCCGTAACCGAGCACACCCCCCCCCCCTGCGTTTCTTTTTCCAGTGGCAACCTGACGTAAAATCAACGGGAAACAGTTACCTATAAAATCAATGGGCCGTCTTCAGCCACCGTCCGCCACCGCTGCCACCTTCCTGCCTTTTCCTCCGTCCGTTCCGCCCATTCCGCCCATTCCGCCCATTCTGCCCCCGCCGCCTTCCTTTCCTCAGCCCGCATGAACCGTTCGTGTTTCCCCCCTTTTCTCCCACCGGTTAGGGCTTAAAGCCCCGGCTCGCAGTATCACGAACCGCTGGACCGAACCGGTCTGGGTTCATCCGAACCAACTGCCTCACTTTAGGTCCGGTCCAAGCCGGCTCGACGACTTTGCCCGAGCCAATCCGTCCCGCCGGTTTGAACCATTCGGACCGCTTGGTCCACGCCAGCCGAATGGTCAATGGCGGAAATATCCCCCCCCCCCCCCCGGGTTTCTTTTTCCGGTGGTGACGACGTAAAATAACCGAGAAAAACTTGCCAATAGAGCTCTCTCTCTCTCTAAGACTGGTACAGAAAATTGTTCGACGGGTAAAGAGAACATCAATACGAAATACTAACCATAGTAACTTAGGATAACGAAATTGCAACGACCGTGATGTAAAGGTACGAAGCCTCAATACCATGCAGTACGTTCGCGCGCGTGTTTGCGATAGAGATAGAGATAGACAGATAGATAGAGAGAGAGCGAGCGAGAGAGAGAGAGAGAGAGAGAGAGAGAGAGAGAGAGAGAGAGAGAGAGAGAGAGAGAGAGAGAGAGAGAGAGAGAGAGAGAGGGACGGGGACTGGGCGAACCACCGCACTCCCCTCATGGGTCAACTTTCAGAGGGCACCCCCCAAGAAGACCATGCGGACGGTCAAACATTTCGACATTGAGGTGTTGTGCATAAGTTACTGTTGTGCAATAAATGAGCCACTTTAGAACACAATAAATAAAGTAGAGTAGAATAGAATGAGTTCTCCCTCATCAATCAGTCAATGAGCCAACCCTCTCTAGGGCTTGAGTGATCACGTCCTCTGTCTGCGACAGGTTATGTCAATGATAGTCTGAAGAACGCTGGCAGACGGCTCTTTGGGAAGCTTCAGGAGGCTTGCGACTCTCTTGAAAGAGAGGCTCTGAAAGGGAGGAGGAGCTTCTTCCCGCGTGTTTTCCCCCTTCGTCTTCTCCCTCGTGATCTCTGGTAGCGACAGCGCCCACTGCATGGCCCAGATGGCGAGGGGCCGCATGTAGCTCATAGACCTGAATCTGTCTTCTGTGCTCCACGCTTCAGGAGTTTGGAAGGCGTAGCTGCCCAAATAGTCGGCGGAAAATATTAGTGAAAAAGGGATGTGAAGATCTCTGGTGGGGGGAAATATCAACTCACCCCAATCCTTTGTCCGACCATGCGGTCTCGTAGACACCTTCCGCGGTTTTGAAGGCCGCCTCCACCATGCCTTCCTGGATCATGGTGGCAGCCAGGCCGAAGGTCACCCCCGGCCATATCTCCCTTGATTGCATCGTTGACCTGTCGACGGTGCCATCTGGTCTCATTCCGTTGATTGCTCCGCGTCTCCCCTCCTTGATCTTCAACACATTAAACTGGTATATCTTGTCGAGGGCGGTCTGTGCTTTTTCCTTGTCGACCAGAGTCTGCAGCCCGCAGGCTCGGGCATACCTGGAATGGAGGGAAATGTGAGAAATAAATGCCCTTCCTTTTGAATCATGATCTGCAGAACTAAGGAAAACCTGAAGGTTACGGAGATGGAATACCCACCATTGGCCGGCCAACTGATCCGCCTGTATTGCGGAGCTGAATTTGCCGCCACTGTTGTCGTAGTTGAAATAGGAGCCATTCCACAGCTCCTCTTGGTACACAGCTTTCGCCCTCTGAAATTTATACCGGAAGTACGCCTCGGAAGCTCCATCGCCGACTTCACCGGCGATGGCGGAGGCGGCCTGAAGAGCCGCCAACCAGAGTCCCCCGGTGTAGGCGCTGACTCCCTTGCTTGACCAAACATCGTAAGTCTGATCCGGGAAACCTTCGTTCTCGATCATTTCGTCTCCGTCCTTGTCAAACTGCTCCATGTAGGCCATCGCAGTGTAGATGGACGGCCAGACAGCTCGCGCAAATGACTTATCACCGGTGGCCACTATGTCTCTGTAAACTTGAAGAACAAATTTAGGGTTCAGATCCTTCCACCTGTTTGTGTCGTGAAATGAATAGGCATTGATTTCGAACCAAGGATCGTTGCTTCCAAGATCATGAGGAACTGCGCCGATGACCTTCCTAGAGGTCCACTTCCCGTCATATACGGTTTTCACCTTCTCCGGATCATGTATCATCACAGCCGCCGCGAAGTCCCTCTGGACGCTGAGCTCGAGCTTGGGGAACAGCATAACCAGCGCGAAGGATGAATAGAAGTGGACGTCGTAGGTGTTGTACATGAGGTACTCGATCCCTTCGAGGTAGAGGAACTGGCCGATGTTCTCCTCTCCTTCACCGAGCAGAGATGATCCGAAGGCACTACTAGATAAAGCAGATGCGTGCAGATCCTCGAGCACCGACGTCATCTTGTGGAGCACGTCGGATGCCGTGTCGGTTTTTTGTTGGGTGACGTCAGTTAGGGTTCTATGAGATGAACTGGATCTATCGAGGGAGAACTTCTTCCCTTTGATCGAGGCCAAGCTCTGAAGGGGATGTGACCCATCTGTGGCGCGCGAGAAAGACGTCGCTTTAGGTCAAACTAACGTAAACCATGCTCCGCAGGGGAGCGCAGTGATTTGGAAAGAACGTGCGTACCAGTCCAGATAGTCCCTCCGGCGGTAAGATAGTAGAGCTGGTTGAAGAGAGTCACTGGGTACCTGAAAGGACCTTCAAAATTCATTTTTTTTTTGCACCCAAAAATCATGAAAAAACTGGTGGTTAATTACGTCACTCGGGTTTTTTCACCATTCAGGAAGACGCTTATCCAGCAGAATAGGCCTTTGCCATTCATCAATTTGGGCCTCCCAACGGCCGTGATCTGCATTAAAAGGACACAAACACCGATCAAGAAATCTTGGGCAGTATCAAGAAGCAGAGACTCTATCCACAATCCAGCTATTTTAGGTAATCAGAATATGACCCAGTAAATCCCGTACAGATTTTTCCTTTTGATGTGAATAGTTTTGGTTTGCTAATTATGGCGAGAGAATGTTGAAGGTTACCGGTGATTGCATCATGAGCAAGTTTAGCAGCCGCATCTTCCCCGGTTCCATAGAACTTCGTATAGCGCCTGCATCGATGGACCCACCCATCAGCGTTAAGCCGCCGGATTTGAACTTGGATTTCTGAGAGAGCTTGTCGAGAATGTTCAACTGACCTATGATAAGTCTTCCCGCCGGGGAACGAAACTTCAGGACAACACCAGGCAAGAGAGAATGTAACAGTACGGACTTCATTCGGAGGAACTGTCACGGAAGCAGAGACGGCTGCTCCAATAGATTCTCCTGGTTCGGATGGGGCCGACGCTTCATCGGGTGTACGGTGGGCAAACGATCGATGCTATACAAAGAAAAAAAAAAACGTTATACTTGGAGTCAGCATCATGGAGGATTGAAGAGGGAAAAAAAAGAGTGCTTCTGTGGGTTGACTTCGAATTCTCATCGGCCATATCTAAGTGTATAAATGTATTGCAGAAAAGCATTCAGACGAGAATCTCCATTCCTAATTGCTCATCCCAAAGTCAACGGTCCGAAGTCGAAGCATTCTCAACGGCATCACAGGCTAAAAAGAGAAGAGAAAATAGAAAATAGGAAAAAACCAGACCTCTTTGACTTCATTCCACATGTCCGCTGCAGTGAACCCATCAGAACTTGCGTTCATCGAGAATCGAGGGCAGTCGGAGACGTGAACATCGGCAGTCTCCTGTGCTGCAATAGCAAATGTTACCGGGGGCTTCCCATTTGCAGTCCTGGAAAGACGTACACGATGGAGTGTGAGAAAGGAGCAAAATTTCAAGCGCTTGCGCATGGACGAAGGAACCATCCACGACTTACATGTGGTGGAGAAGCACTCCATGTACGCCATCTTCAGCACTAGATTTTATTTTTTTTTAACATTTGAGTATCAGAATATAAGGAAGGACCAATTTAATACTGGAAGAATATACAAGCTACAAGGATTATCACACAGCAGCCTTACATCATCCTTGAATTAAAATGACCTCCAGTGAACTCAGATTTCCCTCCCACAGAGTTCTGCAAGAAGAGCCATGAAAACCAATGAATCAAGCAAGGTCCTCAACCTTTTCAGGTTGTAAAATGCAGAAACTAATCAGGATAACAAGGTAGTAAGCGCATGCTCGTGTAGAAATGTGAAATAAATGTTTTACGAATATGTATCCTGAGACTTACAGCCCATGTGAAAAGCAGCGTGACGTCTGCGGGACTTTCTGATGAATTATGTAGCTGCATAAGGAAGAACGAATAGCATCTGGATGAATAAAAAACATTCAAAAAATTGAAAGCTGAATACTCAGAAGTCGTTAATGAGCCCCTTGTTTGGTACCGTGAATGTAAATGCTGCAACAGGGTAGCTGCTCTCCTGATAGTTGTGGGGAATGAAGGGGGAAATCTGACGGCATATTATTTGAAGTTCTGGGTCAGGTTCTCCTGCATTAAAAAAAATAATAATTTAAGGATCAATTTATTGATTGCCTGCAGAGTAACAATTCAACTACATGGTTAAGATGATTACCATCATATATGGACCATGATCTCGGAAACAATGCATGGTATGTGGAATTATGACCATTTAGATTCCAATCCCAGGATTCCGTGCCTGAAGTCGCACTACGTCTGTGTATTTCGCAGCAAGGATACTTAAGATGCTGGACCAATGATAAGAACTCTAGCTTTGTATATTTAATTAATATATTTTTCCAAAATAAAATCTACAGTAACAAGGAATAAAGACTTGCTTACTTGTGTAGATCTTCACGCCTTGGGCATAAAACAGTGGAGCTCTTTTTACCATTTGGACGTGAGACAAAGACCTACGAGGAGGTTAATATCATGATGAAAACGCTTAACACCTCTAGAATTATAAAGAAAATTTCCGTGGCAGTAAAATTGCATTTTATTTAAACGATATTAGATGAAAATAATGTTACCTTTAAGAAAAGAATGTTTAGACATTAATATATAGCAATGGATCAAAATATAGTTCGTGTGACTACTACGTTTAGACAAATTATGAGGACACCAGAAGATAAAGGTGGCGACCGTGCTCAAAATGTCTGTGCTGAAAAATGGTTTTTTTAAGGTTAAACTCCAGTCGTGATTTTGACCAGGTTAAAGAACCTCAATTTTTCTTCATTGAAAGACCCTGTCCTCCAGAAAGAGACTCTTCCAATCATCAGTTATTAAATCTTCGAGTCCGTCAAAGATTAAAAGGTAAAAGTTTTCCAGAATTTTGAAGCTTTCCTAGAAAGTGCAGCTGGAGAAGTAAATTTCGACAGAAATAACAAACTTGGAGGCCTATTTCAGTCAGCTATTCCAATGCCAGAATGTTCAGTTCCAAGAAAATATTAGTCCCTTCTACCACATATTTTATAAACTTAATTTCGTCGTATTATAATCATCAAAAGAGCAAAACCATAGTGCTTATCATGGTAATACTGCGTATGCTCCAAATAATAAGTACACGACTTACAGAAAACTGATCTGCCAATACAGGCTCTTCTTCACGCACTCCGGGGAACAATTGCCAGCGTTGAAAGTGACCTTTATAGCTTCTTCCGATGCTTCCAGCTCTTCAGATTGAAAATTTCCATTGAAGATATAATTACATGGAGTTAATCCTAATGGAGTTTAATTTATTGAATCAATGGACATAACATCCGAAAAACATTTCTTCCCGAATAATGTAATTAAAAAAGCAATTAGCTGTGGCTCGAGGCAATGAAACGAATAATTATGCAAGGAGTTAACGCCGAAGAGCTAATTCGCCATTAATTGAAATTTCTACCCAAAATAAAAGCAGAATGTCCTTCTTGATGTTAGACCAATGTACATGACCGCAATTGTCAACACAGGAAGAACGAATCCCACACGGGGGATTAGTCATGATACACAGCTATGACCGCTAAAATGCATGTTTCTGGTTCCTAATTCCGTACTTACAATGAAACGAGGCAATTACTTGTAATTTATTCCCAAATTATAAAAATAATCACAAATTTTTAAACACTGATAATGAAAGTATAGAGACTAAACATATCACCTTGAAACATTTAATTTTTAGAGACTAAAATCGAAAAATTAAAGCTATTTTTTTTCACCGAGACTGTGCCCCAAGATCTTGAAGCTGGAATGCAGAATATGCAGTATAACCCGACATGTTGATGAACCCTTCCCCTCCGTGACAGTTTATGATCATGATGTCGCGAATAAGCAACCAGAAAACATTAAATTCTTCAATTATGTCACGAAAATAATCCTCAGGGAAGAAATGACGGGAAAAAAATTGATTTCCCTCAGTAAAAGGTGCATATTCTAATCAATAATGCATATTTAATTTTCTATAGCAGAATAATTTTGTAAAAAAATAAAATGTATAAGAATATAGATAGAAAATTGATGAAACATATAAGCGTACCCAATACCACCCAGGGGAACACCCTGAGAAGAAGTGTAGTTGTTCGGTGTGAAAGGATCTATTATTGTTTGCTGTAAAAATGAAGGCATGAAAATTAATGTCTAGGACTATGATTTTTTAACAAAAAGAAATTTCTCATAAGAGAGGAGCAGTTCGTGAAAGAAAACCTCACCCGTCCTTTGGAAATTTCTTCGACCACTAAGTAGCATAATCTGAAACCTAAAGGGGACTATCATAAAACTCAAGGAAACAGGTTAGAAAGTTCCTGGCCCATAATGTGAACGAAATAAAATACGAAAATTCAGGAAAAATGAAACGTGGTGAAATACAGAGATGATAATATCGGTCATTTTCATCAAGTATAAGATTTATTGGAGGATATCTTGTACCAAAATACAGAATGATAAAGCGAATCTATAATCACCAGGTTCTAAGATTTATCGGAGGATATCAAATTGAATGAATCAGAGTTACCCATTCTTCAAGTGTTTCTGTAAACCAAAGTGACGATAAAACTACAAATTTATGCGGTAAATTAAAATTTTAAGTCAAATATGCAAGAAGACACATGGCAGCTGAAACATGCGGTTTAAAATTTTATGCCTTTACCATATTTTCTTTTCACAAATATGAACCATAGGAATGTTCACTTCCAAGAAATAAAATTAGCTGTATTTTTATCAGATGAGGGCGGTGTGAATAACAAGTAATTTCACTAACACGTATGATTAGATTTCTAACTATCTTCTAGGTGTTAGAAAGCTTACTGGGGCGACACAAAGATCACAAATAGAAGCCATCCACCCCGTCTGACTCAAAACGCTAAAAAATACAATTTGATATCATTTATGTTTGGAAAGCTACGTTGAAGGAAGAATTACATAAATATGGATAATGAAAAATAAAATTATGACATCCTTTCTAGAAGTTCGACAGTTTCTTCACTTGACCAACAAGTACCATCAGGTATCTCTTGAACACATCCAATTCCACACTGTCACCTCTACGGCCCCGAGTGCAATACAGTCCCATGGTGTTACATCCATTTGGCGGTATATTTTATTTTCTAAATTCAATGCCTCTGTGATACCAAACACAAATAAATCTGTCCGAGTTGCTAGCCGTCTCTTCTGCAAGAGCAATCGGCCTAGAGTCTTAATGGATCTACTATAATATACTGAGATCTACTTCAATAGCATGAAGAAATCTATAAGCACTTCCCTCTAATTCAAGGAGAGTTTAGACAAAGAAAGGATGCAGGAGACCTTATTTTGTCTGTTTTTTTTCCCCGTAAAAGTGGGACACAGAAAATGGCCTAACGGATTCTTCAGGGTGACAGAAAATTTTCATTCAAAAATAAAGGAAATCAGATTTAAAGTGATATGATAAAAAATATTTTGATACGTCATGGAAGGCTGAGCAGGTACCAGTTTAATGATCTCAGGAAGCGTCATAGTAAACTCCGGAGGAACTTTTTCAGGGCTATTTATTTTTTGATCCCAAGTCAATGGTGCAACTTTCCCTGGATCCTCCTAAACAGAGAAAAAAACATGAATTAAGAGGTTACGAGGCAAATGGTTTTCCTCAGATACCATCTTTGAAACTTGATCATAACATGGTAAGATCACCGATCTTTCTATCTTATCAAGGTCTTTCTGTATTTAATCTCTTCCCGAAGAGGATAAAACTGTAGCTTAATTAAAATATCAGGAAAAAACACAAGCATGCTAGTGACATAACATAAGTCATCAGGTCTGTTCAAATGATAATACAACATGAAGTATGAGGTCCATTGCTTAATTTTGGGACTCATTTAGTACAGACCATGGATATTTATCCTTTGTGTCACATGGGTTAGGAATTCATGCTTATGCTCTCGAGGCCGTAGATAATAAACATTGCAGTGAAGGCAGAATGGAAATATGATAAGATTTGCGGTTAAAATCTGGGATATTGGCACAATGTTGTATGTTCAAACACATTCATTTTGAGGTCAACAATGGAATTAAAGTCTTGCGAAAATTCTTCATGAAACGAGCAGCTCGAAGTTCTTTGTGCAGGTTTATTAATCTTACTAGCCCACGAATATAATGCATTTTAAGTGTGAGTGCACAATGAAATTGTCTCAAAAAAATCAGAAAATGCATTTAATGACCATCAAAAAGTGAATCTTATGTAATTTATTGGCTCATCCAATGGATGTATCCTTGGTTGCACATGAAAAGAGTACTCAGAAGTGTTGATCATCGAGTGCATATCAATGCCAGAAAAATCCGAAACGACCCTAGTTGAAAAATATACGAAATATAAAAGAAAATGATTTGCAAGATTCCCTTCTAGAATTAGCATCCGAAGAATTGATAAAAAACATTGATGATTTTTTCTTCCGAAGATACCACCCTTCGGATGACTGGAAACTAGTTCCAAATAGTTGAATATTTTGAAAAGCGAGCCTTGCCTCATTCGAGAGAATAATGGTATTTATGAAAGAGATCCGAATATCTAGGATAAGTAAAAACCCTTTCATTTTGTATTAAGTTCAAAAAAAAAAGGAGCCTACTTTTTGATGATTAACCGACGAAGCAATATTCTGGAGAGAAGGGTTCTCATTCGCACCAAATCCGTTCTCCATCGTTACAACCTGGCGCGAGTCATCAAAATGTGAGAGGACGACGTCAAGATGAATGGCTTAACAATCAAAAATAAAACCATAAAACTTAAAAAAACTATCCAGCAAGTGGTGTTCACTCAAACATGCAAATCGTCACACAGAGCCATCAGGTTGGAAGCTGAAAGAATGATCAGAAATCTAAGGAAATACGCCTACAAGACAAGTTAGATAGAACGTAAAAATATACGACAAAACGGACCGAACCCGAAAGGCACAAGCTATAATCTGGCATGGTCTTTATTTGGAATATTAACCATTAGGTGCTACTCTTCAATATTATGATACGTCCTGCGAAGACCTTCTCCAGCTTTCTCATGACAAATAGAGCTGTAATTTTTTAGAATCCAAACGATTACTGGTAGCTGGCCACGGTGAAAGGAGGGGGCATGGGTCGATATGTAAGAAAGACAATCCTTCGAAAAAAAATTACACGTGGAAAAATAAAAATAGGATTTATCATTTTTCAAACCGTTATAGTGTAAAAAAAAGTTCTTAATTTTACACTGACAACATTATTTGAAAATTTTTAAAATGTTTTTATTAAAATTCGTAGAAGATATGGTGTAAAGAATATGGTGTAAAGAATATGGCTTCCGGCGTTCTCTGTGCTTTAAACATCTGAGAAAATTTGCCATCAAATTTGCCATTTCTTTTTAAGAATCAGAGAAAAACATTTGAGAAGAGATGCATTTTAATTATAAGACGAGGTATTTGAGTTTGAAGGAAGAGGTATCCGAGTTTCAAAAAAGAACGTCATCGGCATTTTCGTTAACATTACACATGAAAATTGCTCCGATAATTTCCTTCACCGAGGAAAAACATTTCCTCGGATATCAAGTGCATTGGCAGATCATTACGATCTGGCGACACCACACAAACGCTGTTTCTAAGAAATGGGTCGATTTCACACCCAGAAGAATCAACAATTCACGCAGACAATCAACAGCGGAACACTCCGCGAGACAGTAATCGAGACATATCGACCGCATAGATAGATAGATAGATAGATAGATAGATAGATAGAGAGAGAGAGAGAGAAGAGGTCACTGAACCGGTAGATATCCCCAGTCAAGATGGGAGAAAGAGAGAGGAAGCGATCGCGCCACCGAGAGCCCCGCAGCAGTCAGTCAGTCAGTCGAGTCTTCTCCTTTTCACATCTTGGGGGGACATACTCATCCATATTTATACACTAAAACCACGCTCCGTCGGCCAAATCCGACTGAACTAGACGTAGATATTGGCGAGAAGATAAACGTTCAGACTTTCAAAAGCTTGCAGGGGGAACCGCTGGTCCGGGGGGAGTCGTCGGTCCCTCTCCCGACCGGAGAAGGACCATGCGGACCACGCAGTTGTTTTAGCTTCTCGTCAGTGCACTGCATTCGCCGACATGTTGCGTGAGGCGATTCGCCATGATACTGTCTGCTGGGCCCCACCACCCCTCGACTCGGACAAGTCAACCCCCCTACAAGTCGCACGAATGTCGGCGGTCCATGTCTCCCTTCGGAAATATAAGTGGAGGAACGGTTATCGCCGGGCAAAGATCGCTGTTTTCGCGTGGCGAATCCGCCGCCACGTTTGGTTTATAAAGAAATATGGCGAATTAAATTGTATATTCATCTGTGATTATTCCTTAAAAAAAGAGGAGAGTTTGAAAAGTTGTCGGAAGTAGACGAACCGACAGGCTCTCCTCAAACGCACGGCGGAGGAGAAGCGCCGGCGTTGGGCCGTCGACAAACCGTCTAGAAGCAAGGGCAATTAAAGGCAAATCAATCTGGCCCCCACCACGAGAAGGATAGATTTTAAAAACAAATTATGACGTCACCTGCTTGACATAGGCGACACGAACAAATCTTACTCTCGAATGTGGTGGTTTCTTTTGGCTCTGAATGAGACTCACTCACCAAGCAAATAGAGTAATCACTCATTGCACAAGAGAGAGAGAGAGAGAGAGAGAGACCCAAAATGATGGAAGAAGTGGGAATGCCCACAATTCTTCACACACAGACCTAGTGTCCTTCTCTCACATATTCATAACCTCTCACCACTTCCCTTACGGCTTCCGCTGCATCCCTTATCTTTTAATAATGTAGTAGAGAGGGACGTAGACAAGAGAAAGAGGGAGAAATAGGTGGGAGCTCGTGTTCTCTTCTGCTTAACATATTGTTGGGGATTAAATCATGTTAGTGTAACATAACTTAGGTATCGATCTTGTTAGATTGTCTAAAGAAAGAAGCTGATGAGGGTGGGTCTTTACTGCATTATCGACAAAAATGCAGTGTTTACTGACAACTAGACTTATTCTTTGGAGCCTAGAACCAAAATATCTAAAATTCAATGATGAAAGCATCAATATCAACCATATTATGAATTTTAAAAGGGTTGAATCTTAGGTTAGAAAGAGTAAGTTGTCCCTTTCTTCATTTATGCTCCATAAATTAATTAGTTGTAATGAAAATGAAATAAGTTCCTTTTAATACGAAATAGAAAGAAATTATAGAAATCCTCTATTTTTTAATTTTCAAAAACTTATTTAATATTGTGATAAGATAGAATAAGAGTGATCCAACTTGATGAGTGTACCTACCAATTGGGAAGTGGGTTTCCTGTCAGATTAAGCATGTTCAAATCTGCAGCAAAAGAGAAATAATATTAATTCTATTTACACTTTTGTATTTCAAACAATTGCTCAAATGTAATCACATATTTTTGATATATGAACATCCTACACACTTTTGTCGCCTAGTTTTTTTGTCTATTTTTGTTCAATGAAGATATCATGTCTTTATTTTACAAGACCCACCATGAATGATGGAGACCTTCCGTTACAAAGGACCACATTCTTGTCATGACTGACCACAACACTTTTGAAGCATCACCAACATCTATGGCACTACCCCACCACTTACTAGAAGCTGGACAAAATTAGGATGCACCACTACCACAAACCCTTCTCACTCCACAAAGAAATGTACCACATGAATATTTAAACCAAAAGTATCTTTTGGAAAGGGAGGAAAGAACATAGAATGAGGACCACATGAAGTGTCCACCCTTATCATTGGTTTAATCCCTTCTTTATTTCCAGTATTTCCTTGATTTGAGTACTCTTGTATTCCCTTCCTAAAAGTCGTCGAGAGAATTTTCTTTCAGAGTTTGTGAGCCAAGTCTCTCTCTCTTAGAGAAGAGAGAAAATAGTCATGTGTTGTCATTATTTATGTGTTTAGTACCAATCATTGTATGATATTTAATATTATTTTATTCATTTGGGTCATCTCATCATCATATTCTACTATTCCAACATTATTTATCATTATTTCAAAACCAACATTTCTACCAATCTGATATTTGCGCACCCAAACTTGGTAATCTTCTTTCCCGTTTTGTCATCAATAGCTCTCAAAGGTAGCAAAACTCATTGATTTGATGTCTTTGGTTTTGATACTTCTAGTGAAATATATTTATGATTACTTACTGAATATTTAATGAATTTCATAAAATTTTGTAAATATTATCATGATCCTATGACTAACAAATAAATTTAATTAATATTTGATATCATTATATGTTAGAGCTAATGAAATATTTTAGATTATGTGTATATGTATAGGAAATATAGTACCAATGTACATGATGAAATCTCAAAATTCTTTAGATATCAAAAGTATTAGTGAGTATCAAATTTGAAATCTAAACAATGACATGACCAAAGTCTCAGTGAATAAATATCCAGAAAATCACAAATATTAAAGTCACTTGTAAGACTTGAACTTAGAATCTAAACAATGACATGTTGGAAGCCTCAATTAAAAAATACTTAGAAAATCACAAAAAAATCAAAGTCACTTCGAAGACTCAAATTTAGAGTCTAAACAACAACACATCGGAAGCTTAGATGCGAAGATATATGAAAAACCATGAAAACAGGTCATTATTGTGCATTTTAGACGGTGACATTTCAAAAAATTATGTTGAGAAAATGAAGGATTAAATAAGTTTATTTAAACTCAACCTCAATAGTAAAGATGGATAAGAAACAAATCTCTAGTTCAAGTTTCAAATTAAATAGATGATAGAATAACGAGTTTCAAAGCACTAAAATCACGTGATCATTTTTCAAGACAAGAAATGATTGGTGAAGAGAAAAAAGAAAAAGTTTGTGAAGATAAAAAAAAACTCTCTTTATCGTCTATCAACACTCCAACAAATATCAATATCTTTATATCAAGGTTTAGGCAATGTGAGCTTCAATAGAGTAAATAACACAACATCAATCCTTCATTTGACATTGATGATTCAAAGTAATATTCAATTCAAAGGATGATGCTTTCCATTAGACCTTAAAGTACTTAGGTCATAACAAGAGAGACATTTGAGCTGAAGTACAAAGTATTGATAGTTTGATTGTGTCTTTGAAAGGTAAGGTTTATGAGGAGAAAAAACTAGTGTAGTTTGGTTTTTCTAATCTTATGAAAGTAGTGTGTATTTCTAAGAAAAATAATAAACTCTCATAGAAATAATTTGTTGAAATTGAACTAATATAAAAACTTGCCAAATTAGAATTGAACCAATATAAAAAAATAATATTTGGTGTCTTTTATGATAAAGAGAGAATTGTAAGAGCACACATATCAAAAGAGAGAATCTTGAGTGTGAAAATAAGAATTGACATGAAGTCATCGAAACTCAATTCACCCCCCCCCCCTCCCCGCTTTCTATTTCTTAGTGTTTCACATAACCTCCATTGAACTTATAAGTACAATAATGATATTGATGCTATCCATGAAGATCTATGTTGTCTTTTGTTGATAGAACAAAAACTTGTTCAATTCTTAAAAATTAAAATATGTATGAACAAGTGATTACACTTATTGGAACAACATACCAAGACTATTCATAGGCTCTTCATGGAAATGAAGTAGACATTTGTCTTACTCAATATGTCACATCACCTAGTCTCAATCCCTCGTAGTGAAGCGATATTTGCATTTTTCCCATCCATCCCCCACTACTTGATCTTTCAACAACTTGTTCTGATGACTAATTACCTCACCAAATAGATCGTGTTTGGTGGCAAACATCTCAAAATGTCATTATTCTTGAGTAGAACCTATCACATTAAGTTCTCAACTATTTGACACCATTCACAAAGGCACTCTACGTGAACATCTTTTCAACGTCTTGCAAACAACCATCATCGTCAACTATCGCTGAAATTTTGAACTCATGTTGGGCACTTGGATGACCTCTTTGACAACATACTACAAGAAATATTTGTCAAAGGTCTCAAACATGACATCTATCCTAAAATTTGTCTTCTCAACTCTGAAGACTGACAACTATTATGAATATTTGTTTAACATGTAGAAGATCATATTAGTAATTTTTTACTTTGCCCACATCATTCAACAACTCTCACAACCTCTTCATCTCTCATTAGTCACCTTAAATCATTAAGTGTTAACCAAGGGACTTGGACTATAAGACCCTTGACATGTCCAATCCTACATAATAAGTGCATCCTTGAGATGCTATCTTGATCTTATTGTGGTTCAATTGTAAATCTACCAAGCCAAAAGGTTATGTTATTCTTATGTTGAGAAATATCTGAATGATCATATATGTTGCAAGAAGCTCCAAATTATGGTTGTCGCTGATGACATTTCTCTTGTGGTAAATAAAGAGGTGAACCCTCATAGTGACCCTTCTAATGAATGAGTTGAACTTTCTCTTAATTTGGTGGTGAGATTAACTAATCTAGAGATTATAAAGCTTCAAAATGATTTTTATTGATTAAGGCCTTCCTACCTCAACTACTCTTAATTATGTAGTCATTATGGGAAGCAAAATTTTCGTCTTGAGAAAAAGATTATGTCAAGGCACTTTGTTTGAAATTCTAAGGTAGCATTATTCGTGGTAACTTCTTCCTTATCTTTTCAAGTAATGTGGATTGTATCTTCAGTGTTCAATAATTATATAGTTGAAGAATTATAGAATCAGATTATAATATTTTCATAATGTAGTTTTCTTTTGGTGATTAATATATCATCCTTAAGGTTGACTCCTATCTCACCAAATTTGACATCTCTTTGAAATCTATAAAATGTGCCCTTGTTTATGATCTTGGAGTTTTTATCCATCTTTGTCATATTTTTCACATTTAGCTCTTTTGACACTTACAACCTCACTACACTTCTTTAACAAGAGTTTTCAATAGTCTTTTTAATATTAAATTACTTACCTTCTAAACATATTATCAACTTCTATCTAAGAACTTCTCTCATTCATAGTAAACCATATAATTATCCTCATATTTAAAAATAGAGATTAAAAAATTTAAATATATGTGTCTTGTGCATATCATCCAAGCATCAATCAATCCATTTTCAAGCTCCATTCTTCTTGTGTTGACACTTTTGTGTTGATTATCGAGCACTAAAGTTTGTTATTATTCTTGATCGTTTCTCAATCTCAATCATGGATGAGCTTCTTGACAAGCTACATGGTTCAAAAATTTCATCAAGCTTCATCTTCATTCTAACTATCATCAAATTCGAATGATATCTGATGATATTTAGATAATGACCTTTTGAGCACATAATGACTATCACGAATTTCTTGTTATGTTGTTCAACTTATATAATGTTCTAATAACTTTTTACGCACTGATGGTTGATATTTTTTGCCTTATTTCATAAAAGTTTGACATGGTCTTCTTCGACGATATTTTAACATATAGTCATGACTTTCACTCCCACTAACATCATTTATATCAAGTTTTCTCTATCTTCATTGCTCATAAACTTGATATCAATGTAAAAAAATATGTATTTGGTCAAAATTTACTTGAATACTTAGGTCATTGGATTTCTACGAATATAGTGACTATCGATCAAGATAAAGTTTCAATTTATTCAGAATTGGCCCACTCTATGCAATATCAAGGAGCTTGAGAGATTCCTTAGTTTAATTGAATGCTATTATTATTTCATCACTAATAATAAGACACTAGCTTTGCTTTTTACTTAGTAACTTTAGAAAGATACCTTTACATAACAACATCACTTATTAAACTTTCATCCAACTCAAACTTGCACTTAAGAGCTTATTTTTGTTCTTCTAAATTTTTCACATAAATTTAAAATCAAGGCAGATGCTTATGAAATTAGATAGGCACCATTTTCATGCAACACTACAACCCCATTACCTATTTCAACTAGGCTTTCTCTTAAATCAATTTATGAACAAAAACTTATGACTATAGTTATCACTATTAAAAAATAGTATAATTATCTATTGAGTTATTCTTTTATTTTCGATACTAATCAAAGATGTATTAAGTTTTTATTAAAAGTGTCAAATAGATCTTGAATATCAATGTTGGCTCATCAAATTCATTGACTATTCATTTAAAATCACATTCAAAGTCAGCAATGATAATAAAGTTGTTGATGCTCTTTCCTGTCTTCTAGTTTGCCCTCACCTTCACCAGATCACCTATTACTTATCCTCATCCTTTGAATTTATAATAGCTTCATAGGGAGGTCCATACCTCACCACTATTACTCCACGTTATACTTTGCCTCAAGGATCACATAAACAATTGAGTGCATTACTGACTTCATTGAGATCTCCTTCTCTAAAAGAGACATCTCATTCTTCTCTAATATTCAACTCTCATATCACATCCTATAGGAGTATCATTCTTCCCTTGTTGACGACACTTTGATTTCTAATACATTTACAAGTGTATCTCTCAGAATCTATACTAGCATGGGATGAATCAAAATATTAAAAAGTTCATTGAACACTGCAATATTTGGTAACAATACAAATTCAATTCTTACATTTGATGACTATTCGACCATCTTGGTGGTCATAGATTGCTTATGAAAATTTACTCATTGTACTCTCCAATATCCTTACACAACTCTAAGTGTTGTCAAACTTCATGAAATCTCTCTTTCAATCATATCTAATTGTGACAGAGTATTTCTTTTGACATCTTCGCACAAACTCTTCTATTTACAAGGCACAAGTCCTTGCCACAACATGACTAATCATTCTAAAAATGACAGTCAAATTGAGATTGTCAATTGTTGTCTTAAAGTTTACCTATGTTGCTCAACTAACGAACACATGTGCAGCTGATCTCAATGGCTTCTGTGGGTGAAGTATTGGTAGAATACCTTTTCAAATTATCTACGATCTTCTTCCATTATCATTGGTCTACATCTTTGTTGGCCATCACCTCAGTCAACAAAGTGCTTCAAAACTAGGATATCTTCTTTACTCAACTTAAACTTAATTTGACTCAAGTGCAATCTTGTATGAAACTTTACCACGACAAACACATGTAGAAATCCTTGACTATGGGTGATCTAGTTTATCTTAAATTATTCCCTTAATTGTCACCATACCTCTCTTGGTACAGAAATGAAAAGTTTGCCCCTAGATACTTCAGTCCTTATTCCATTCTAGAATGTATTGGCAAAGTCGCTTTTAAGTTGAAACTATCAAACCAATGCCTGCATCCACCTACTGTTTCACATCTCTCAACTTCAACCGGCCAAAAGATATTCTCTTACTACCCAACTTCTTCCACTTTCTTAATGATACCTGTATATGGGCTGTGGGACCTCTCGCCATCCTTGCCTCCAGACAATCTCCATTAGGTACCAAATTATTGGTCAAATGGAAAGACTTCAATCCCTCTTGAGATATCATGCTGATCTCTTTGGCTGCCAATTTACTACTTTCCACCTTGAGGAAAAGGTGACTTCCTGCAGTGGGACGTATTGATGAATACCTTCCACTATAAAGGACCTATTCTTCCCACGATCAACTACAACACTTTCAAAGCATCACCGACATCTAGCGCACTACCCCACCACTCACCAGAAGCTCCCTAGAATCATGACGCACCATCAGCACCAACCCTACTCACTCCACAAAGAAACATACTCTAATGGGACATGCTTCAGCATTATTTAAACCAAAAGCATCAGTTGGGAAATGTCCACCCGTGTCTTTGGTTTAATCACTTATTTATTTTCAGTATTTTCTTGGTCTGAGTCTTTTTGTATTCCATTCCCTAAAGTCAGCGATAGTATTCCTCTCAAGAGTATGTGAGTCAAGTTTCTCTCTTCGAGGGAAGGAAAAGAACAGTCAATGTATAGTGCTAATCATTGTCTCTCTTCCCCTTTAACATTATCTTATTCATTTGATGTTCGAGCATATTCTACTGTTCCAAAACTCTTCATCAATGTTCCAAAATCGGAGTTTCCACCAGAAATCAATAAGAAAATTGGTAATCATAGTAACTTGGATAATAAAATCGCAACGGCCGTGACGTAGGGGTATGAAGCCTTGATACCAGTTCGTTCGAGCGCGTGTTTGTGATAGCGAGAGAGAAACGGGGACTGGGCGAACCAGCGTACTACCCTCGCGGGTCAACTCCCAGAGGGTACCCCCCCACGAAGGGTATGCCAAAAGTCAAACAGACCGATAATGAAATGTTCGTAAATTACTGCTGTACAGTAAATGAGCCAATTTAGAACACAATAAATAGAGTAGAGTAGAATAGAATGAGTTCTCCCTCATCAGTCAGTCAATGAACCAACCCTCTCTAGGGCTTGAGTGATCACGTCCTCCGTCTGCGACAGGTTATGTCGATGATAATCTGAAGAATGCTGGCAGACGGCTCTTTGGGAAGCTTCAGGAGGCTTGCGACTCTCTTGAAAGAGAGGCTCTGAAGGGGAGGAGGAGCTTCTTCCCGCGTGTTTTCCCCCTTCGTCTTCTCCCTCGTGATCTCTGGTAGCGACAGCGCCCACTGCATGGCCCAGATGGCGAGGGGCCGCATGTAGCTCATAGACCTGAATCTGTCTTCTGTGCTCCACGCTTCAGGAGTTTGGAAGGCGTAGCTGCCCAAATAGTCGGCGGAAAATATTAGTGAAAAAGGGATGTGAAGATCTCTGGTGGGGGGAAATATCAACTCACCCCAATCCTTTGTCCGACCATGCGGTCTCGTAGACACCTTCCGCGGTTTTGAAGGCCGCCTCCACCATGCCTTCCTGGATCATGGTGGCAGCCAGGCCGAAGGTCACCCCCGGCCATATCTCCCTTGATTGCATCGTTGACCTGTCGACGGTGCCATCTGGTCTCATTCCGTTGACTGCTCCGCGTCTCCCCTCCTTGATCTTCAACACATTAAACTGGTATATCTTGTCGAGGGCGGTCTGTGCTTTTTCCTTGTCGACCAGAGTCTGCAGCCCACAGGCTCGGGCATACCTGGAATGGAGGGAAATGTGAGAAATAAATGCCCTTTTGAATCATGATCTGCAGAACTAAGGAAAACCTGAAGGTTACGGAGATGGAGTACCCACCATTGGCCGGCCAACTGATCCGCCTGTATTGCTGAGCTGAATTTGCCGCCACTGTTGTCGTAGTTAAAGTAGGAGCCATTCCACAGCTCCTCTTGGTACACAGCTTTCGCCCTCTGAAATTTATACCGGAAGTACGCCTCGGAAGCTCCATCGCCGACTTCACCGGCGATGGCGGAGGCGGCCTGAAGAGCCGCCAACCAGAGGCCCCCGGTGTAGGCGCTGACTCCCTTACTTGACCAAACGTCGTACGTCTGATCGGGGAAACCTTCGTTCTCGATCATGTCGTCGCCGTCCTTGTCAAACTGCTCCATGTAGGCCATCGCAGTGTAGACGGACGGCCAGACAGCTCGCGCAAATGACTTATCACCGGTGGCCACTATGTCTCTGTAAACTTGAAGAACAAATTTAGGGTTCAGATCCTTCCACCTGCTTGTGTCGTGAAATGAATAGGCGTTGATTTCGAACCAAGGATCGTTGCTTCCAAGATCATGAGGAACTGCGCCGATGACCTTCCTAGAGGCCCACTTCCCGTCATATAAGCTTTTCACCTTCTCCGGATCATGTATCATCACAGCCGCCGCGAAGTCCCTCTGGACGCTGAGCTCGAGCTTGGGGAACAGCATAACCAGCGCGAAGGATGAATAGAAGTGGACGTCGTAGGTGTTGTACATGAGGTACTCGATCCCTTCGAGGTAGAGGAACTGGCCGATGTTCTCCTCTCCATCACCGAGCAGAGATGATCCGAAGGCACTACTAGATGAAGCAGATGCGTGCAGATCCTCGAGCACCGACGTCATCTTGTGGAGCACGTCGGATGCCGTATCGCCTTTTTGGTGGGCGATGTCAGTTAGGGTTCTATGAGATGAACTGGATCTATCGAGGGAGAACTTCCTCTCCTTGATCGTGACCAAGCTCTGAAGCGGAGGTGACCCATCTGCGGCGTGAGAAAGACGTCGCTTTAGGTCAAACTAGCGAAACCCATGCTCCGCGGAGGAGTGCAGTGGTTGGATAGAACGTACGTACCAGTCCAGGTAGTCCCTCCTGCGGTAAGATAGTAGAGCTGGTTGAAGAGAGTCACTGGGTACCTGAAAGGACCTTCAAATTTCAATTTTTTTTGCGCCCAAAAATCATGAAAAAGCTGATGGTTAATTACATCACTCGGGTTTTTTCACCATTCAGGAAGACGCTTATCCAGCAGAATAGGCCTTTGCCATTCATCAATTTGGACCTCCCAACGGCCGTGATCTGCATTAAAAGGACACAAACACCGATCAAGAAATCTTGGGCAGTATCAAGAAGCAGAGACTCCATCCACAATCCAGCTATTTTAGGTAATCAGAATATGACCCAGTAAATCCCGTACAGATTTTTCCTTTTGATGTGAATAGTTTTGGTTTGCTAATTATGGCGAGAGAATGTTGAAGGTTACCGGTGATTGCATCATGAGCAAGTTTAGCAGCCGCATCTTCCCGGGTTCCATAGAACTTCGTATAGCGCCTGCATCGATGGACCCACACATCAGCGTTAAGCCGCCGGATTTGAACTTGGATTTCTGAGAGAGCTTGTCGAGAATGTTCAACTGACCTATGATAAGTCTTCCCGCCGGGGAACGAAACTTCAGGACAACACCAGGCAAGAGAGAATGTAACAGTACGGACTTCATTCGGAGGAACTGTCACGGAAGCAGAGACGGCTGCTCCAATAGATTCTCCTGGTTTGGATGGGGCCGACGCTTCATCGGGTTTACGGTGGGCAAACGATCGATGCTATACAAAGAAAAAAAATTACGTTACACTTGGAGTCAGCATCATGGAGGATTGAAGAGGGAAAAAAAAGAGTGCTTCTGCGGGTTGACTTCGAATTCTCATCGGCCATATCTAAGTGTATAAATGTATTGCAGAAAAGCATTCAGACGAGAATCTTCATTCCTTATTGTTCATCCTAAAGACAACGGCTGGAACTGGAAGCATTCTCAACGGCATCACAGGCTAAAAAGAGAGAAGAGAAAATAGAAAATAGGAAAAAACCAGACCTCTTTGACTTCATTCCACATGTCCGCTGCAGTGAACCCATCAGAACTTGCGTTCATCGAGAATCGAGGGCAGTTGGAGACGTGAACATCGGCAATCTCCTGTGCTGCAATAGCAAATGTTACCGGGGGCTTCCCATTTGCAGTCCTGGAACGACGTACACGATGGGATGTGAGAAAGGAGAAAAATTTCAAGCGCTTGCTCATGGATGAAGGAACCATCCACGACTTACATGTGGTGGAGAAGCACTCCATGTACGCCATCTTCAGCACTAGATTTTTATTTTTTAAAACATTTGAGTATCAGAATATAAGGAAGGACCAATTTAATACTGGAAGAATATACAAGCTACACGGATTATCACGAAGCATCCTTACATCATCCTTGAATTAAAATGACCTCCAGTGAACTCAGATTTCCCTCCCACAGAGTTCTGCGAGAAGAGCCATGAAAACCAATGAATGAAGCAAGGTCCTTAACCTTTCCAGGTTGTAAAATGCAGAAACTAATCAGGATAACAAGGTAATAAGCGCATGCTCGTGTAGAAATGTGAAATAAATGTTTTACGAATATGTATCCTGAGACTTACAACCCATGTGAAAAGCAGCGTGACGTCTGCGGGACTTTCTGATGAATTATGTAGCTGCATAAGGAAGAACGAATAGCATCTGGATGAATAAAAAACATTCAAAAAATTGAAAGCTGAATACTCAGAAGTCGTTAATGAGCCCCCTTGTTTGGTACCGTGAATGTAAATGCTGCAACAGGGTAGCTGCTCTCCTGATAGTTGTGGGGAATGAAGGGGGAAATCTGACGGCATATTATTTGAAGTTCTGGGTCAGGTTCTCCTGCATTAAAAAAAATAATAATTTAACGATCAATTTATTGATTGCCTGCAGAGTAACAATTCAACTACATGGTTAAGATGATTACCATCATATATGGACCATGATCTCGGAAACAATGCATGGTATGTGGAATTATGACCATTTAGATTCCAATCCCAGGATTCCGTGCCTGAAGTCGCACTACGTCTGTGTATTTCGCAGCAAGGATACTTAAGATGCTGGACCAATGATAAGAACTCTAGCTTTGTATATTTAATTAATTATTTTTTCCGAAATAAAATCTACAGTAACAAGGAATAAAGACTTGCTTACTTGTGTAGATCTTCACGCCTTGGGCATAAAACAGTGGAGCTCTTTTTACCATTTGGACGTGAGACAAAGACCTACGAGGAGGTTAATATCATGATGAAAACGCTTAACACCTCTAGAATTATAAAGAAAATTTCCGTGGCAGTAAAATTGCATTTTATTTAAACGATATTAGATGAAAATAATGTTACCTTTAAGAAAAGAATGTTTAGACATTAATATATAGCAATGGATCAAAATATAGTTCGTGTGACTACTACGTTTAGACAAATTATGAGGACACCAGAAGATAAAGGTGGCGACCGTGCTCAAAATGTCTGTGCTGAAAAATGGTTTTTTTAAGGTTAAACTCCAGTCGTGATTTTGACCAGGTTAAAGAACCTCAATTTTTCTTCATTGAAAGACCCTGTCCTCCAGAAAGAGACTCTTCCAATCATCAGTTATTAAATCTTCGAGTCCGTCAAAGATTAAAAGGTAAAAGTTTTCCAGAATTTTGAAGCTTTCCTAGAAAGTGCAGCTGGAGAAGTAAATTTCGACAGAAATAACAAACTTGGAGGCCTATTTCAGTCAGCTATTCCAATGCCAGAATGTTCAGTTCTAAGAAAATATTAGTCCCTTCTACCACATATTTTATAAACTTAATTTCGTCGTATTATAATCATCAAAAGAGCAAAACCATAGTGCTTATCATGGTAATACTGCGTATGCTCCAAATAATAAGTACACGACTTACAGAAAACTGATCTGCCAACACAGGTTCTTCTTCACGCACTCCGGGGAACAATTGCCAGCGTTGAAAATGACCTTTATAGCTTCTTCCGATGCTTCCAGCTCTTCAGATTGAAAATTTCCATTGAAGATATAATTACACGGAGTTAATCTTAATGCAGTTTAATTTATTGAATCAATGGACATAACATCCGAAAAACATTTCTGCCCCAATAATCTAGTTAAAAAAAGAATTATCTGTGGCTTGAGGAAATGAAACGAATAATTATGCAAGGAGTTAATGCCGAAGAGCTAATTCGCCATTAATTGAAATTTCTACCCGAAATAAAATAATTTTATATCTTCACAAAGGAAATAAAGCGTTGTTCTTTATCTTTAATGTAATCATACACGCTGGTATGGATAATTTTCAGAATTCCAAAGCAAAGAAAAGCAGAATGTCCTTCTTTCCTTGATGTTAGACCAAGATATCATGAACCAAATTGTCAGCATAGGAAGAACCAATTCAACACGGTAGATTAGTCATAATACATAATTATGACCACTAAATCCGTACTTCCAAGGAAATGAGGCGATTACTTCTAATTTATCCTAAAATTCATCACAACTTTTTAAACACAGAGAATGAAACTATAGAGGCTAAACATATCACCTTGATATGCTTACTTTTAATGACTAAAATCGAAAATTAAAGGTAATTTTGTGCATCAAGATTGTGCCTGAAGCTCTTGAAGTTGGCAATCAGAATATATAGTATAACCCGAAATGTTGCTGAACCCTTCCCCTCCGTGACAGTTTATGATCATGATATCGCGAATAAGTGTTAGAATATATACGTGTAATATTGTAAATGACTAAGGGTCTTATGGAAAGTGCATGTAGGGTTCGTCCCTATTTAAGGGACATTTTGGATGAATGAATGGGTGAGGTGGTTTTCCGCCGTTCTCCCCTCTGTCCTCCGTGACAGAGGTCGTTTCTTCATTTCCAACAATAAGCAACCGGGAAACATTATATTCTTCTTCAATTTTTTCACAACAATAATCCTCAATAAATACATGACAGAAAGAAATGATTTCCCTCAGTAAAGGGTGCATAGTTAACCAACAGTCCATATTTAATTGTTTATAGCAGAATAATTTTGTAAAAAAAGAAAATGTAAAAGAAGATTAAAATTTGACGAAGCAGATAAGCATTACCCTATACCGCCCAGGGGAACACCTTGAGAAGAAGTGTAGCTATTCGGCGTGAAAGGATCTATTACTGCACTCTGTAAGAATGAAAGCATGAAAAAATTTGTTTAGGACAATGGTTTTTTAACGAAAAAAAATCCCATGACAGAGGAACATTTCACGAAAGAAAACCTCACCCGTCCTTTGGAAATTTCTTCGACCACTTGGCAAAATAATCTGAAACCTAAAGAGGACTTTCATAAAACTCAAGGAAACATGTTAGAAAGTTCAGGGCTCATCAAGTACAAGAAGGACGAATAGACAACCAGCGTGATATTTTGTACCAAAATAAGGAATGACAATACGAATCTATAATCACCACGTTCTAATAGTTATTGAAGGATATCAAAATAAATGAATCAGCCTGACCCATTCTTCAAGCGTTTCTGTAACTATAATGACGATGAAACTACAGATTTACGCGGAAAATCAAAATTTTAAGTCAAATATGTAAGTAGACGCATGGAAGTTTAAATATGCAGTTTAAAATTTTATGTTTTTACCATATTTTCTTTTCACAGATCTGAACCATAGGAACGTTCACTTTCCAGAACTGAAGTTAGCTGTATTTTGATCAGATGAGGGCGGTGTGAATAACAAGTAATTTCACTAACACCTATGATTAGATTTCTAATTATCTTCTAGGGGTTAAAAGGCTTACTAGGACGACACAAAGATCACAAATAGAAGTCATCCACCCCCGTCTGACTTACAGTTTGATATCATTTATCGATGAAATAAATTGGTGCTATCCCCATGTTTGGCAAGCTATGTTAAAAGAAGAATTACATGAATTCGGGTAATGCAAAATAAAATTACGACATCCTTTCTAGAAGAGCCACAGTTTTTTCACTCGACCTACAAGAACCATCAGGCATCTCTTGGACACATCCTCTTCCACATTACGACCTCTATAGGCCTGAGTGCAATACAGTCCCATCTTGTGTTACATCCAATTGGCGCTATATTTTATTTTCTAAATTCACTCCTCTATGATACCAATCATGAATAAATCTATCCGAGTTGATAGCTGTCTCTTCTGCAAAAGCAATCAGCCTAGAGTCTTAATGGATCTACTATAATTTAATGAAATCTACTTCACTAGCATGAAGAAAGGATTCTTCAGGGATTAGACAAAGAAAGAATGCAGGAGGTCTTATACGACAATGTTTATTTTTTTTCCGCAAAAGGGAGATACAGAAAAATACCTAACGGATTCTTCAGGGTGACAGAAAAATTTCATTCAAAAATAAAGGAAATCAGATTTAAACTGACATGATAAAAGATATTTTGATACGTCATTTAAGACTGAACAGTTACCAGTTTAATGGCCTCAAGTGGCGTCACAGTAAACTCGGGAATAACTTTTTCAGAGCTATTTATTTTTTGATTCCAAGTCAATGGTGCAACTTTCCCCGGCTCATCCTAAACAGAGCAAACAACATAAAACAAGAGGTTACAACGCAAATAGTTTTCCTCAGATACCATCTTTGAAAAATGATTATCACATGGTAACTGTCACCGATCTTTCTATCATATCAATGTCTTTCGATGTCTAGTAAAAGAATATCAGCTGAAATGAAAAAAATGCACATTTGGAACGAAGCCTCTTGCAAAGATCCGCACAGGAGGATCAAAAACTCTTCCCGAAGAGGATAAAACTGTAGCCTAATTAAAATATCAGGAAAAAACACAACCATGCTAGTGACCTAACATGAACCATCAGGTCTATTCAAATGATAATACAATGTGATGCATCAGCCCTATTGCCTCATTTTGGAAAAATAGGACTCATGTAATACACACCATGAATATTTACCATTTGTGTCAAATACGTAATAAAAATGTCCGCTAAAAATTTCATGCCTATGTACTCGAGGCCGCAGATAATAAACATTGCAGTAAAGGGAGAATGGAAATATGATAAGATTTGCCGTTAAAATGCGGGATATTTGCACAATGGTGTATTTTCAAACACATTCATTTTGAGATCAACAGTGGAGTTAAAGTCGTGCGAAACTTCTTCATGCAACGAGCAACTCAAAATTCTTTGTACAGTTTGTTAGTCTTACAAGCCCACGAAAATATTGCATTTTTAAATGTAAGTGCACAATGAAATTGACTGAAAAAAAACTCAGAATAAAATCTATGATTATAAAAAATGGAATATTATGTAATTTATTTGCTCATCCAATGGATGTATCCTTGTTTTCAAATGGAAAGAGAAATAGTCAGAAGTCTTGATAGTTATTCAGATAGCACAACGCACTCAGATCATCGAGTGTATATCAATACTGAAAAAATCCAAAGAACCTGGTTAAAAATAAACAAAATATAAAAGAAAATTATTTACATGATTCTCCTCTAGAATTAGCATCCAAATAATTCATAAAAATATTGATGAATTTTTCTTGCGAAGATAATACCCTTCTGATGACTAAAGACTAGTTCCAAATAGTTGAATACTTTGAAAAACGAGCCTCATACGAGCGAATAATGTCATTTATGAAAGAGATCAGAATATCTAGGATAAGTAAAAAAACTCTTTCATTTGTATAAACGATGTGAGCATCAATCAATGAGGTTTGTATTCATGACTCACGCCTTAAACGCCGTATTCATGCAACTCTAATGCGCTTATTTCATGCAATTAAATTGAACAATCATTTATATTCCAATATCGGCCACCTTTAGGTATGATGGAAATATTCCACAAGAAAAAGGTTTATTGAACCCCTAGAATCAAACACAAGAAAGGCCATCTTTCCGACCTTCTAGTGGACACATATATTGGAAGTTAAAAAAATGGAGCCTACTTTTTGATGACTAACCGATGAAGCAGCATTCTGGAAAGAAGGATTCTCCTTCGCAATAAATCCGTTCTCCGTCATCACAACCTGGCGAAACTCATCAAAACGTGAAGGGATGACGTCAAGATGAATGGCTTAACATTCTAAAATAAAACCATGAAACTAAAAGAAAATTATCCAGCACGTGGTGTTCACACAAACATGCAAACGTCGCACAAGAAAAACGTCGTGGTGAAAGAATGATCAGAAATCTAAGGAAATACGCCGACTAGACATGTTAGACACACCGTAAAAATATATGATAAAACTAACCGAACCGAAAGGCACAAGCTATAATCTGACATGGCCTTTAATTTTATAATCTGACATGGCCTATACTCTTCAACAATTTGATACGTCATGCAAGGCCTGCTCCAGTTTTGTCATGAAAAGCAAAGCTGTGATTTTTCAGAATCCAAACGATTGCTGGTAGCTAGCCATGGTGAAAAGGGTGGCCCGGGTCGATATGTCAGAAAGGCAATCCCTCAACCAAAAATGACTCGCAGAAAAATAAAATTAGGATTTATCAATTTCAAAGAGTTATAGTATATAAGAAAGTTCTTGCTTTTATGCTGGCAACTCTATTGTTAATTTTTTAAAAAAAATTAATTACAATTCGTAAAAGATATCATGTCAATAATGTGGCTTCCGACGTGCTCTGTGCTTTAAAGCATCTTCTCCTCCATCAAATTTGTCATTTTTTGATAAATCGGAGAAGATCATGAAATTAAAGATGCACTGTAATTGTAGGTCGATGATGTATTTGAGTTTGAAGGAAGACAGGTATCCGATATGCAAAAAAGAACCTAACCAATCCGCATTTACGTTGACAATTACTCTTGAAATTGCTTTGATAATTTCCCTGCAGACTAACGGCCTAGACTCGCCGCGGAAAAACATCTCCTCGGAACTCGAGTGCATTGGCAGATCATTAGGATCTAACGACACCACACAAACGATTCACGTAGATAATCAACAGCTGGACACACCGCGAGACAGCAACGGAGAATATCAACAGCAGACAGAGAGAGAGATCACTGAACCGGTAGATAATCCCCAATCGGGACGGCGGAACAAGAGAGAGAGAGAGTAAGCGCGCCACCGAGACACCCGCACTCAGTCAGTCGTTCCTCTCCTTTTCCCTTCCCGCGGGAACATACTCCATTTTTACACGACACCGCGCTTCCATCGGCCAAATCCGACTTGGCAAGACGTGGAGATATTTCCCAGAAGGTAAACGTGCAGGCTTTCAAATGTCCGCAGCGGGAGTGTACCCAATCGTCGTCCTCCTCGTCGTTGTTCAGGCTTCACGTTACTTCACCGCATTTGCCGACAGGTCGCGTGAGGCGATTCGTCGTCTCAGATGCCGCGTATCTGCTCAGCTGGGACCCACCAGCCCTCTACTCGGACCGGTCAACCCCACAAAGCGGGGGCCGCGTCACCCTTGGGATAATATAAGCGGAGGGACGGCCATCGCCAGGGCAATTAAGTTGGCGCATCCGCCGACACGTGTGGCTTTTACAGAAATATGGCGAATTAAATTGTGTATTCGTCTGTGATTATTCCAAGAAAAAAAAAAACGAGTTCGAAAAGTTCGTCTGACATCAGACTAACGAACAGAGGGCCCTCAAATGCACGGCCGAGGTGAAGCTCCGGCGCTGGGCCGCCGACGAACCGTCTAGAAGCAGGTCCGATTACAGCCAAATCAATGTGGCCCCACCACGAAAAGGACAGATTTAAAAAAAAAAGAATTATGACGTCGCCTGCTTGAGGTAGGCTATGAGATCAGCACGCTCCTGAGGCTTCTTCAGCCCGGGGAAAACCATCTTCGTACCCGGAATATACTGCACACAGAAAATAAAGCCCCAGATGATGCATTAATGCCTCATAATAACATCAAAACTTATACATATATCTATCTATTGCATCTATATATGGGTATGGTGGTAGTAGCACATAGTAGATGTAAAGAGCAATTAAGTTCCTGTGTTCCAAATATGTACTGCGGACTATACATATATCTCAAGCCATCATTTTTCGTAGAATAAATACCTTGAGAGAAAAAAATAAAATAAAATGAAAAGCCCTGCATCTGATGGCTAATTAATTGGATCCCAAGTCTAGAGCAGCTGAATTCCCTTTTGAAAGGATTAATCAACACTCCAATTCGACAACAGCTGAAAACAGCTAATAATGCTATTAATAATATGTTTGGGGCGGATTATTCATTTTCTAATGAATACCCAGAATCGAGTGACTAATTTTCTTATGCTAACTTTCAAAAACCAGTACATATGCTTTCATTCATCCAACCGCTGATCTCTCTTCACCCTGCTGCGCTCAGCCTCTGCTTTCACTTATATCAAACTATCGAATGTGACCTTAGGAATGGAGTGTGCCCAAAAAAAAAAATTCGGAAGAAAGAAACAGAATATCATGCGACAGATTTTCTAAGAGCATTAAAAAAATAATCTCTTGGAAAACATTATAGCTAGCATACCCAACGTAAGGTAAAAAATTAAAGAAAACAATCAACTGCGATATGAATCTGTGTAACCAATACCTTCTTGGGGTTGAGAAGATAATCATACAATGTCGATTCTTCCCATATAACTGCCATATTCTTGTTAGCAGTGGAGTAAGAATAGCCTGAGGTGGTGCCGGACTGCCTCCCGAAAAGGCCATTCAGGTTTGGTCCTGAGAAACAAGAACAGAAGAGCAGTATATGAATCAGCACGATTGCTCACGACCAATCACGGCGTTCACTCCTCGGAAGAGATCTTCTACGGGTAGATATCCAGCATTTGAAAAAAAATCTTTCATCCATGAATTAATAATAAATAAAAAGATAAATGTGCTCTTGTTTTCAATTATAAAAAGGGAAGTCCAAGGATGCACTGTTCGTAGATAATGAGAAATCACAAAATGCTAGATAACGAGCATTTGATTCATAAAAAATAAAATTACATTTCTAATTGGGACAGTGTATCATAAGAGCCAGAGGAATGGGCCTCTCCGGAAATCAATAGGAATCGATCAATCGGGCCATCCTTTCATCCTAATCATTGGCAGACCGGGGAAAGATTCCGACAACCAGCCATAGTGATGAAATAAGAAAAAAGTGGACTTCTATCTGGTATAGAATGAAAACTTTTAAAACGCACGGGACAGGTATTTAGATACCAACCGATAAAAGAAACCCGGAGATTGGAGAGCGGCGAATACAATTGGACAGCGTAATCACAAGGAGAAAACGAGGATGATGCATATCGTGAATAAGAGGTTCAGGATCTACATCGTCGTCATCACTGCGTCCAAATCAAATTAGTAGTAAAAGAATGCACCCATAAATAGGCCAACAGATAAGGGCTGCAGTCCTAAACCATGTACCGCAGGCTAGAGGAAAAAATAATGAATTAAATGCAGGTCTTTCTGATCGGGCAAAGGTACAGGAGATCGCAACCATCATAGATATTCCAAAAAATCGACGAGGAAACTAACATCGGGATCAAATGAGGGAGGACAGATCTAAGGTTTCCAAATGGAAGAAGAATACAAAAGAAAGGAGGTGAACGAGAATTGTGAAAAAAAAATGACCCATCGATAGAGATCAGGCCGACCTTGCTTGTGCCCCGCCCCTTTGTCCACAGTGTGGCATTGAGCGCACTTCGTCTTGAAGATCTTCTCACCCGCCGTCACATTGCCAGGAGGTGCTTCCCCGAATGATGCCATCCTCCTTCAGAGAAGAGCTAGGGTTAGGACTCCTTTCCCCCTCCCCCGCACGACAGTCAGAAGCAGTCCTCCGCAAGGCACCGTGGGACAACAAAGGCGGCCACGCCAACCTATATTACCACCAATGACTAAAATATCCTCATCTATTCACCCAATACCCCCGGCTTTCACGCCAAACCCCGGGGGTATTTAAGGTATTCCTAACATCATTCTAGAAACATCTACGGAAAAAGCGTTGGAGCATAAAATTGAGGGCCTTTCCTTGTTGGGTGATACCCCTCGGATCGGCTCCATAATCTCTCTCGTACGACTCTCAGTCGCCTCCTACTATTTATTCCCCACGAACCCACCACGAAAAAGGAAAAAAAAAAGAAAAGGAAAGACTTCAACGGAAGACCGGCAATGAAGACGACGACATCATCTTCATCCTCATCAAGATCATATCAAACTCCGGTTACCAAGAACACCAAGAAAAAAAGGCCTTTACCCTCCAAAAGAGATTTTGCTTTGAGGACAAAAGTTAGAAGCTAGAGAGAGAGAGAGACAGAGATGATCAGTGGTCTTGTTCTGCTCCCGCGAGGCCCCTCAATCCCATAGAGTCAGCTACAGGGCGATAGACCAGCACCCACACGGCCACCGCAGCGCACCACAGCAGCGTGAGGAAGGCCGAGAAGACGAGGCCGTCAAAACCCGGGCTGCCCGGGGCCAGCAGAACCGAGATCCCCAGCAAGGCGACCCTCAGAGGGAGACAGGCGACGACCGAGAACAGCAACACGCCGACCCTCCTCTTGAGACCAATGTTGACCACCGCAGAGACCAGAAGAACCCCCCTGTAGGAAACGTACACCACCAGTATGACCTCGTACAACCCCACAAGAGCGGTGCTCAGTAAAGGGTAAGTGCAGAAGTAAACGCCCTCCCTCCTCTCATCGGTCAAATCCGGATAGGCGGTGCTCCAGAAGTAGGCGGGCAGCTGGTCAACGCCATGGCTGCTGCTGCTGCTCATCAAAATCCCAAGGTGGAGGATGAACAGGGGAAGGCAGATGAGGAGAGCCCAGAAGAGGGTCCTGCTGTTCCAGCGCCGGCCCAGCGCGCCCGGCTCATTGAGCAGAGAGGCGCGGAGGAGGAGGGCCAGAATGAGGAACAGGGCCGGCTCTGCAAAGCCCATGTTGGAGAGGACGTAGTACTTGCAGAAGCCCTTCTGCCATGCTGGGTCAGCGAGGATCCTCCCTCTCCCTCTCAGCAGGCTCAGCCGGGCGATCTCCCAAGCGGCCCACCAGATGGCGATCAGGATCAGGGCGATCCGGGTCGCCCAGGGGCCGTTGAAGTAGGCTAGCTGGGGGAGGACCCGTTGTTTCCTGATAATGCACCGGCGGAAGTAGACCGAGTGTGCGACGCAGAGGAGGGCCGTGATTATGAACAGGCAGGAAAGGGCGGCGCTGACCGTGCCGAGAGCGTCGGCGGTGAGTCTGCTCCTGGTCAGCGGCATCACTCAAGGGACGACGAGCTCCACGCAGGCACATTATCAGGTCAATGCTCATCGCGAACAGCAGCAGCAGCCGGTGCCTATCTCCCACATGAAGTTGTTGTCGCCTGAAGCCGTCGGAAAAATAAAAAAGAGCTCCTCCTCCGCAGAAGAAGACCTGAGAGGTGAATCCAGCACACGGCAGTTCCATCAGTCGTGATGTCGCCGGGGAAAAAATAACAGAGCACCGATTCAAACAGGAGTTGACAATCTTCGAGTCGAACTATCGTGCTCATCGACAACATCCAGATGATATTTTGGAAGAAAACAGCCAACAGCTCTCTAAAAGTCTGGTTTCTCATGAGTGGGACAATTCAGGAACAGCCGCCGCCCGAAGACCGGCAAGCCCGCAGATTGCATAAAGTCCCGAGAGCAAGCCCACACCAAAGAGAGAAGCACCTCCCGAAGAAAAAAAAAAGTTTCTTCCACAGAGAAGCGCCGACTTCTGAGCTTCGTCGGGACTCATCCTCCACAGAGAAGCCCGTAAGAAAACCGTTGCGAAAAAAACACAAATACCTCGTCGGATGACCCACCCGCATCCCGCAATCCGCCGGAGACCGGGGGACCCGACGCCGACGAAAACCCTAATGTCGACCTTACCGACGAAAACCCTAAGATCGAGGGGCAGGAGCCTGACACGAAGAAGGGGTAGGGGGGGAGAAAAAGGGCTTCCAGGATCGTGAAACACAACAGAGAGGAAAGACGACAAGCCCAGCGAAAGAGAGGAGATACGGAGAGAAGACTGGGGCTGGCAGACAGCCTGTCCAAAGCTGGCCCCGGGGGGTTTGATGGCGTTTGGCCGGTTCATGTTTGACGAAAAGACGGCAAGATCAAAAACCAGACGGTCGCGATGCGATGGGTTTTCCGACCTCTGTTGATCCCGGCGTTTGCTCCGGCGGTTACTCCGGCGGGAGACCGCGCCGGCGTTTGAAAACCCTCAACAAAATTCTTCCTACCCGACAACTCTAATTAGCCGTTTAACAAGGAGGACAAAGGGCAGCCGGAATACCTTAACGTGCATAAAGCGGTCATCCATGCCGTGCGGCCTCTGCGTATTCAGAAACCTCACGCATCTCCGGCACGTCTCGCTTATCGCCAAGGCTTTACTTCTCGCCTGTCCAAGAACGCGAAGACATTGAAGCGACAGAAGGGCGAAAATAGACGGTCGAACGATCGACAGGAGCGTACCTCGGTTTCTTTCCATAAAGCTGTCCGTCAGCGGCCCGCGACGAGACTTGCTGCATTTTATTTAAAAAGCCGTCCACGTCAAAATCTTTGCCCAGAGAAAAGCTACATAGGACTCAACGAAGAGAAAGAGAGTGCCGAATTTGACCATTCGGTGGTCGCTTCTGCTAGCTCTAGTCAACGGAGGGTCACCGTGCTTCGGAGCTCCTTCAGTTGACCTCGGTCTTGTCTGAAGAACCTTTGTCGGCAGGCAAAGCTCCATTAGCCCCAGAATGAAACTATGAACAAAATAAATTCGAGCAACTCACCTTTGTAGGTCTCTCGCCGTTGACTCCAAATCCAGGTCTGCATTTACCGACGGCAGGAAGGGACCTGGAGTTGTAGGCAAAGATAATGAATGGCCTTTAATCGAAGCAAATTTGCAAGGGTCACAGTATTTACTATGTCTGGACAGAAATAAAGTGAACCAACAGAAAGAGTCATGTCATAGGACAATAAAATTATGAAAGATTCCCTCTTTTATAGCTTCTGGGGATCAGGAGGTCATCTCGGAAGGGTGAGAGAAAAGTCATCTCACACCCAGATCCACAAGACTGTTTCTTGACTCTAGTTGACCCACCCGTTTATATATCATCACCCTTATGTGTTTAGGGGGAGTGGTTGACGTGGCACATTGACGGACTCCATCTATGAAGTGGACGAGAACGAGGGTGGAAAAAGAATGTTACCGATCGTCTGGTGTCTGCAGAATTCTTGCTCTTGTCCCAGAGAGCGAAGTGTGACCCTTTGACGTGGCTTGGGAGGTTTCTCCTTGATGACTGTGGATAAGAAAGAAACAGAAGCACAGGTCAAACAGAGTACTCCCGCCAGTTATGTGCAGATAATTCATAATCATCGAGAAAGAAACGACCTTTTCTTCCGAAAACTGCCAGCTTTCGCATCACTGGCAACATGTGTCTTCATTGAACTACTCTGCAAGGATAACATTAATCTCAATCATAAAATAATCGTATTAATTCTTAGAAAAAGTAATATTGGGTACCAAATAGTAGCATTCAAACAATCACAGAACCTCAACATCTGCATTCTGACCTAAGCAGCAGGCTGGCTTATGTTTATGTCAGTCAGAGAAGCTCCATTAAATGCATAAAACTTCCATTAATTAGATGCACTTGTCCTTTTAAATGCAACGCCTGATATAATCCTTTTAAAAAAATCCAAAAGCCCTCCCTTCCCCATTTCAATCTGTTTCATGATAAGATTTTAGATACACTTGTCCTCAGTACCAAGGTTCAACATTCCATTATTAGCATCTAAAATACTTTAGCTGCGGAAAAAATACTGATAGTCAAAATCTCACCTTCAAGGGTTTGAAGGGATGTTGTGCTCCACTCTCTCTAATCCCATCCGAGGTGGTTGGTCTCCTTTGGGTAGCAAAACGAAAGGAGCGTGCTTCAGAGGTTGATTTTCCAAGCGGTATATCTGACGTACCTTTGCCAGACCTCTTATCGGTTGGTAATCTATTGCATGGATCCTTGTTCAACAAGAAAGCATCCTTCTTTACCTTGCCTACAGAAAAACTGGAATGTAAACTTTGTGATGTACGTAATGAACCCGAGGAAGACTTATTCTTCCTCGTAAATCTACAAGATGCTGCCTTTCTCCTACAAGGGTTCTCCTCTCCGAGTACGGACTTCTTGGGTAAACGTCTTGGCCCTTTACTTTCCATAACGGCCTCTGAGTTTTCTCCACACTCCATCTTCGCACTCTGCCAAACAGAAGATGCAGATTCCTGAATAATTGCATGACAATAAAATTGTATCAGTACATAAAATTGTTTCACTGATAGAAAATCCAGAGTAAAAACAATATTTTAAATAGTCTTCTCTTATAATTTTTATTTTTATTTGTACAATAAAACTGAAATAGAAAAATCCACAGAAGTTCTCCACAGAAATGACTATTTATCTTGATAAAAGCCGATCATGATCTTCATATGAAATGAAAATTCTAGACATCGATAATAGAAGTATCTAGCATGGCGTATTATTGTCCTTTCGTTTGTTACATGTGTGGATTTTGTGAAAGTCCACGAAAACACACTAGGAAAAGAGGTCAGTTAAAAAAATATTCCCCACTGTAAATGCTCCTAAATTTTGTAGATTTCTTCGATTTAATTTGACATAATGTTACAGGGAAGCAGGAGCGAGAGAGGGAGAGAGAGAGGAAGTAAACAAACAAACGTAGATAAACAGACAGACATTAGGTCAACCGAATTGGCAAGAATGCCTTAAACTGACTACATTTGTTATATTCCTCCGAGTCTAAGAGATCTAAAATTATTGTAGATCAACCGACTTTTGGTCGCAAAAGGCAGGGTGCCCAACACAACCGCCATGAGACTCGAAGATTTGATAGAATTCATGAGGCCCCAACAGATTGCGAAACGTTACCCGACAATGATTGATAAAATGGTTGAATCGCGGTCTATAGAATTTTTTAAAGAGGTTTTTGAGAGATTTTGTGGTGCTATTACCGTCAGAAGTATGAAAACATAACTGTGGCGATGCTAATTTCAGATTAAAAAACTGAGTCAAAGGAACCACTAAATTCCAGTGTGAAATGTAAGCCAAATCTTTGCGGTGTTAATTTCAATTCAGTTGGATGATTTAATCTGGGAAACTCAAGGAAAATGCAACTAAATTCAACTAAATTCAGTTGGATGCTCCTAGACTTCCCTGATCAAGGAAAATGCGGTCCTAGAGACATGATATAATATGAGCCCTAGAATGCCTGTACAGGTGAAATATGTATACAATTCTATCAGTTCCATAATTTGCGTTTTTATTTTCCAATCCAACTGGAGGCTCATAAAAAACACAAGAACAAATGCATAGGATTTCGAATACCATTATCACTGACGTTGATGGATTTTCCATACGTTTACAGGAGGAGATATTGTCTTTGTCAATTGAAGGATGCTCAGGGGCACTTGACTTCATCTTGCTATAATCTGGACCATCAAGCCGACCAATGGAAGATTGAGCATCGTGAGTTTCTCCAACATCCTTTTCGGTATCATCCCTCCATATGGTTTGATCGGACTCAATGCCATCCATTCTTATTCGTGAGTCGAGAACTGATGATATCGTGGGAAGGTATCCAACATGAATATCATTAATACACTTCATTTCAGGCTCTTCATCCATGAGCTCTGTCTTCTGCTGATACTCGTATGGTACTGACGGCTCAAGATCAATGTGCCCATGCTGAATGGACTCAGTGGAATTCTTGTTTCTATCAATCTCAATTTCTTCCTTTGTAGATGAAATGCTACTCGCCTGTGCAACTTCTAGAATCGTGAGATTACACAGATGGGCACTAACTTCTGCCTCAACGTCTACTGCTGATGAATTAGAGCATGTCAAGAAAGACTTTGGATCTGACTGCCTACCATTGAAAGTATTAGCGGATTCGGTCTCTGTTGGAACATTAGTGTCATGCTCATCCGAGCAGGCACCAACATTAAGAGATTTATCTCCTACCCCATCATTGCGGTAGCCAACATTATCATCCCCCCCACTGTCCGTTGTGGGTTCTGCCTGATCGCTGACCTGTAAAGCTTTCATAGCCCGAATCCTTTTGTAGTACTCTTCAAAAAATGCTTTCTTTTCTGCGACCAAACCAGGAGACTTCAATTTCTCCAGCTCCTCCTTGCGTCCGTCATGGATGAAAGCTGACCTTTTTTCCCACGCCAAGGATTCAACTCCATATCTTCCAAAAGATACAGAACCGTGATCGAGCATTTGAGGAATCGCAGCATCCTGTTCACAAGAAAATAAGCAGCAAGGTCAAAGTATAAACGGAAAAGAAAATATATTCCCGTGTTCAAAATAGACGAATAGAGGGCCATAAAACCAGTAAGATCCTCTCCATTTCTCAGAATTGTACATAGCCCTACTCAGGTGTGTCAGTCTCTGAAGTAGTGATAAAATTTTTAGAACCCTCAAAAGAAGAAGTCTCCTAAAAACATGACAATGAAAAAAATTGATTAATTTCAAAAATTTAGTGTACAACGATCATTAGTTGTTTGACGATACTAAGTAGTTTTTTAAGAAATTCGTCGTCGTTGAGTGTACTACTGAGCTTCTCCCGCCCAAAAACGCCATCAAGAGATTTGATCTAAACATAGAGAGACTTAATTTCTTCACCATGCACGATTTTTTTAATAAGTTCACCAGGCATAAAGTTGCTTGGCCGAAATTATTCTACTACGATTGATTCTACTACGATTTCTACATTCATGATTTGTCTTTCTAAATTAATAAAAACATAAGAGACTTAAAAGAAGATCAACTAGGTAAAAACAATCTGCACATAAGCCCAGGGAATAAAATGCAAAAATTGTATCCACAAAAGATCAAAACAGAATATGTGAATACCTGAGAATCTTCTTGAATTAGCAGCTCCTCATGAGGCCAACCACAATAACCGTGATCCAGCTCAGTTGCCATGCTTTCCCCCTTAGATTTTTCCAATCAGAACCATTATGCTTCCCTGTTATAGATATGATAGACCATGATTTACCAGTCCTTGTAAAAAAAAAAATTAACAAAAAAATCAAAGAGAAATCATAAGCAACAGAAGAGGATTTATATGCCTACAAGTTGATGCTCTGAAAATAAAAGCACACTGTAGTTGTTAATCCAACCTGATATTGAGGCAAATTTAATAAAATAAACAGAAAGTAATATCTCATTGTTTTTAGGCGAATTTCCAGTAAATATAAATTCGATAGCTTTTAAAAGAACATTAACGAAATATTCAAAATATTTTTCCTAAATACTATGAGTTTAAAAATAAATAATGAAAGGCTTCGCGCTAAATTCATCCCGATAATTATTACTTAATCACCATTCATGGAAGAATATGTATAAAGAGGGCAACTTAAACAGTCCCAATCATCAACTTAAGCAGCTAACTGAAGATAAGTGATGACCAGCCTTCTTTGCTTTCCCGGATAGAAAAAACCCTACAGCAACTTGCAACATTCAAGGGTGGAAAAAAATACAGCTTTCTTATTTCTCAAGTTTTCGGTTTCACCGCTGCAAAATATGTCATAGGGAGTGCGAAACCAGAGTATCTTTCCTATCCATGCAGGATTTCGACCCCGAGTTTGCCAGCATCTTCGAGAACAAGAAGGCTCCGCCTACTTCTCACTGGATGTAACTTTAGATTTACCAGAAGTCACGAGAACAAACACTAACCCTATTCAGTTGTGCCCATCGTTGCCTCTAAATACTTCCGGACACGCACTTCAAAGATGGGGCTCACCCATACATTTAACCCTTCTCCGCTTCCCGCGGGACCTCTGGCCGGCCTGCACTCGAGCTCCATTACAATCGGCGTGTGAACAAATACAAGGGACATAGGACCTAGACGAAGCCCCACGTGGCCATCCACGACCCAACCAGTGAAGGCCGATGGAGAATCCAGACCGTCCAACGTGGGCCACCAAACGGGCTTCCTTCGTAAATACGACGGTACTTCCACCGACAGCAAGCCAACTTGTTCACATGCCGTCCCCAGACAAGGCTGCAACAGATAATGGTAAGAATAATTAGCAGTGGCTGATCTCTCTCTCTCTCTCCCTCTCTCTCCCTCTCTCTCCTCTGAGAGAACATCAGAACCCAGAGAAGACGACAAGCGGCTTATGCTCCGCCTTAATAATGGCCTTGACCCATGTCAAACCTTCATCCAGACAACAAACAAGAAAGGAATCGAGAAACTTGGCAATCGCGGCCAAAAAATGCGCAGCTCATCAGGGAAAGGGTACCGCGTGGATCTGAGAGAGATTGCCAAGCAAGGAACAAAGCGGACGAGGGAAACGTTAAGCCACTGTAGATTATCAGCACGGCGATCGTCGTCTCCGTCGGCGGGTGGCACCGAAGAGATGCGAGACGGCACACGTCAGTGCGACCGTCTAACTACTGCTAGAAAGAAGTTTCCATGGGGACCCCGTCAAAACGCAAGACCACTGGTCAAGACGTTGTACCGCTAATGTCCTGAAACTGCCTCTCATAAGCCGAGCATTGATTGAGGAGACGTTGAATGGAGAGTGAGTTGAGGGAACAGACACCCCGGTCGAAAGCTACTGGAGGCTTTACCTCAGCTTTTCGAGGAAAATGCGTCAAGATTATTCGAGTATGAGGAAAATTTGACGGTCTTTAAGGATCGCGGAATTCGAGTTTTCTCACTGGCAAGACCAGTCAGGGTCCTTCTTCGACACTCGTGAGGTAGGAAGGAAATCCCTAGCTTCCTCCTGAACAACGTCCGAACGATTCCAGGGTTTTCTTTTAGCAGATCTAATACCATAACTATCGATCTTTCTGGTTGCGTCGTCGGCCAGGATGAAACCTCTCAAAGAACGTGAACAGTAATTCCATCAGCTTCCTCAAGAGCGTGAATCACGCCAAACCCGACACACAGCCCCGAGACAACGGCGTCTCTCACGCCGGACAAACTAATCTAAATAAACCTTCGTGCGTAGAGGAATACATGGGGAGAGAAAGAAACCAGAAATCAAAACCCCAGTAAACTCAGGAATCTTCCTCTCCGCCCGCAGAACAGATTACCAAACACGAAGAAACGTAGATCAGAGGCCCGAGCTCTCAGGGGCGGGAAGAAAACAAAAGGCAAACCCGTACCTGGCCTCTCTATCTTGAATCCCTCCGGCGATCAACTCATCTTGCGCTTTTCCGGCGACGAAAGGAGAGAAACGGCGGGACCGGAGAGGTGGAAACTCAAGCAGAAGGTCCCTCAGAAGCGAGGCCGGAGGGGTAGAGGGTGATCCTTATCCCCAGGAGTGATAGCAGAGAACCCGTCATCCAGAATTCTCCGCCTCTAGGGGTTGGGAAGAAGCGTCAGCCAGGGGGCAGCGTTCTTAAAAGTCTTCACCGGCGCGATATAATTAAAACCGTCGCTCGGATCGCCGCCATTTTCCTCCTCTCAGCCGCTTAGATCACGGATGGATGCATTTAAATATTATTACAAAAATAAAAGACGGGTCCCGTATTTACTCCGTTCGGACCCAATATCTCTACAATCCGATCCATTGACCTCGTAGGGAATACCCACCGATTCGTGACGCCAGGATGGACGACGGCACAATGGAATCCGACAAAGTCAACCCATCTGAAGAAGCTAAGAGGCGGGAAGAGTGGAACAGACGATGGGTTCTGACTTCGCGTTGACTTCACACAGGGGACGACCCCCTGCGGCAGATCTGAGAAGGAGAAATCTCTGCGCCTCTTCTCTGCGACCTGACCGATCGAGAAGGCCGATGATGCAGTCGTACTGCCCCTCGGAAGGCTTCAGATTGAACCTCCCGGTCAAAATGTCGAACGCCTTGAGGGCCTCCACGGTCAACCCAGCATTTTCACAAACAGATAACACCACGTCGAAGGTGAAGCGATTCGGCGCGAACCCAGAAGACAGCATTAGGTCAAAGAGACCCAGAGCGTCCTCGTTCCGCCCGTTGATCCCGTAGGCCTCGATGATCGAGGTCCAGGTCAACGACCCTTTGGAGCCCACCTGGTCAAACAATGCCCTCGCCGTCTCCACCACCCCACACTTGCCGTACATGGTTACGAGCTCTGCCGCGACCAGGGGGATCCACTCGAGCCTCCTCCTCAGAACCTGCGCATGGATCTCCTTTCCGAGCTTCAGAGCTCCCAGTTCGCCACAGATCCTCAAGATCCTGCCCATGGAAACATAATCGGGGCGATGCTTCCTATCAGACAGCAGCATTGACCTGAAGATATCCAACGCGGCGTGTGGGCGACCGTTCTTCACGAAGGAATCGATCATCGCCGTCCAAGCAATCACGTTCCTCCTCTGCAGGCCGGCAAACACTCTGCAAGAATACTGCAAGCTCCCGCAGCTCGAGTACATCGTCATCAGGGAAGTGGCGATGGAGATGTTGGGCAGGAACCCGTTCTTCAGGGCGTAGCCATGGATCTCCTTCCCCTGCTTCAACACTCTCAGTTTGGCACAGACGGGAAGAACTGTGGCCACCGAGACGACGTCCGGCTTGAGCCCTTCTTGCTGCATCCAGACGATGGCCCTGAGAGCTTGCTCGAGCCTGCCATTTGAGATGTACCCCGCCATGAGCGCGGTCCAGGAGACGGCGGTTCTGGTGGCGCAGCCGTAGAACACGCGTCGCCCCGAGGCCATGTCGCCGCACTTGCAGTACATGTCGACCAGCGCCGAGTGAATAAACGGCCACTTCTGGAAGTCCCTGAAGTACTTCATTGCGTACCCGTGGAGCTCCCTCCCGAGCTTCTGGTCGCCCAGCTCTCCGGCCACGGGGAGCACCGTGGCGAGTATGACTGAATTAGGGGCTACGCCATGGCGGGTCATCCATCTCAGATACTCTAACGCCTCCCTCCACAAGCCATTGTGAGAAAACCCGGCGATCACAGCACCCCAGAGGACGACGTCCCTGTGGGGACTTTCGTCGAACAGCTTCAGGGCCATCCTGATTTTGCGGCATTTGAAGTACATGTCGATCAGGCTTGTGCGGAGCATCTCAGAGGAATGGAGGAGGCCCTTCTTGATCATGAGGGCGTGGGCCTTCATCCCCTGGACGGGGGAAGGGGAACCTGCGAGGCTCTTGATCAAGCAGGAGAAGCTGTAGGCATTTGGGTCGACGCCCTTCTCCCGCATCTCCGAGAAGGCCGAGAGGGTCCTGTGGCTCCATCGTCGGCCGCCCACCACGCTGCCTCTCAGCAGGGCATTCCAGGTGTACACATTCTCCGGCGAGAGATCGGAGAAGATCTTCTGGGCGTACTCGGGGGACCCGCAGGATGCATACATCTGGACGAGCTTCGTGAGGAGGAACTCGTTCCTCTCGAGGCCATTGATCCTGATATGGGCGTGAATCTGCCTGCCTTCGGAGAGCGATTTGAGGCGGGCGCAGGCGGAGAGGAGGCAAGAGAAGGTGGTGGCATTGACGGGAACCCCCCTCTGCTCGAAGTAGTCCAGAAGAGTGAGGGCCTCCTTGAGCCGCCCCTGTCTGGCGAGCCTCTGGATGTCCTTGCAGACGGCGTGCGGATTCTTGGAGTGGATGGGCAGAGAGCCATGGAAGGGGTGGCCTTGTCGCGAGCTCTGGGCTCCCTGGGAAGAAGGCGCAGAAACCCTAGAGCCGCTGCGGAGAAGACGGGCTGGGAAGGAAAGGGAGAGAGGACGGTGGGCTATGGAGGGGAAGGAAGGATGCGAGGAGGTAGAGGTGAAGGAGGGAAGAACTCTCGAGTCCATGAATGAATACAGTTCAGGATAGTGTTGGTCCCCTCAAAGGGGCAGGCGATCTTCTTCGGACTGGGTTTTCCATATTTTTGTTTTCTAAATATTTTTTTTTTACATGAACCGAAATTTAATTAATTAAAAATGATTTATAAGAAAAGTAATTCGCTTTAATTTTAATCATAATAAACAATATGATTAAAATTAATCGACATCTCTCGGCAGACGTTGAACAAAAGTCAAACCTACATGCCACGTCATCGATATAATAGTATTGTATTTTCCGAAAAAAGTCGGGTGAGCCGTTGCGGCACTGCAGACGGAGAAAGTCTAACAAGAGAGGGGGGGAACGAAAACCTGGTACCATAAAGGGTATTTTCGAAATGCAGTCAAACGGTGTGCGTTGCACACGTGGCGTTAGATGTAGACCGACTTGGCCAGTCAGATGCGAGCGGCGAACGACCACGGAGAACGGCTTCGTACGTGGCATTTTGCACAGGCCGAGAACGTACACAAAACTCTCTAACCTGGCGAAAGCTGAGGCGGACGGCGTGCCATTGTATTTATCAAAATGTGGCCCGATTTGACGTCGGTCATATGCGAACGGCGAGCGTCCACAGTGGCCAAGTCTGTGGCTTGGGGGTCGGGGGGCCGCTGAACAGCCGCCGTTGAAAGGTCCCAGCTTTGGGTGGCTGTCGCCACGCGGGGGGGAGCCGCTCCTTGTTGGATTCTCCGCTCTCCCTCCCTCCTTATGTCTGAGCCATCAGGAGTCCTGCCCACCACGGTGAATGAGTCGACAGCCATAATTTTATTTGGCGCGAGCTCCAGCGAGGCCGCCCATAGCTCCCCAACCCGCAGTTGGTGTCTGGAAGGTCCCCCACCGAGAGGCATTCTCAAGAGAGGGGTTAGTGATCGCACATCTCCGGCGTAGATTCTGCAGATGGCGGGGATTTCGTACCTCAGCCCATGCGGGTGCGAGCGAAAATGGGTGCGTGCTGCAGAAGTCGGGTCGGGTCTCCGCGTCTCTCGCTCTGCAGATCGGGGGGCGAAGAGATTCAGTTTCTCGATGTCTTCCGAGGTAAGAGCGCATGCCGAAATCCGAATATCGTTTGCCGAGGTCCTCTTTTCTGGATCTCACCACGAATTGTTCTTCCACCATGTTTATTTATAACAATCCAGAAACTTTGAAGGAGCCATAGCGTCCCTCCCTTTCCCCCTCCCCCTTCCCACCCCCCGCTCTGTTTCTGCCTTTTATGTTTTTTTTCCGCTTGTTACTCGGTTCTTTTCCTATCCCATAGCGAAGTTCGTAGCTTCCTACATTAGTTACAATGACTCACAGTAGTGACAGTCTATCTCTGGTATCACATGGAATCAGTAGCTACGGTGTGGTAGAGCTGCAGTCTAGGTGGTAACTCCACAGGTTTTGAATAATCAATCATTTAGTTACATATTATTGGTTTTTCACGGAAATTTAGTCCTTTCACCATACCTTGTATAGTTTTTCATTTAATTTATGCATTAAACATGGTGATGATGGTGTTGGTGTTTAGATGGTATTTCGGTGAATTCTGCTCGAACTTTTCTGCGCAATCTTTTTGTTAGGGGAATCTCTCTGGCGGGAAGAAAAATACCGAGTTGATTTTTCTTAACTACCGCCAGGGGTAACTTGTCTTCTTTTCACTGGCCATTTTCAATGCAAGCAACTGTAGTTCTGTTTCTGAGCGTGGACCAATGTTCTCATACTAGAAAGTGGTTTCTGGAAATGTCGAGCGCTAATCTGCCGATTTTTTGGGTTTTGTTTTTTAGGTGTATGCATTCTCAAGTGGTCGATTATCCTCCAGTTCAGCAGGGAAGGCACCTACGGCAAATGTTAATCGCTGTGTTAATATGGCCTTGGTAGATGAAAGACCCTCCCGTAGTCTACAAATGCCTACGAATACTGGAGTCCTGGTAAGCTTCCTGCGAGCCATATCTCGTGCTTAATATTTAAATTTATTTGATTCCCACTGAATTACCTATTCTTCATCATTTGGCAGGCCTATGATCTGGTTCAAGGAGCTCTGGTAAGTTCAGTCATACTTTTAATGGATGGAATCTGAAACATCTCTGCTTGTGTTTCTTCCCTATCTTGAAGCAATTATTTTCTTGAACTTCAGAGACATATTTCTCTCCCGATCTAGGGAACCATGTTTTGCATTTTCTTGGGATGTATTTTCTGCTATTCAGGAGACATTTTCCGTTTTCCACACTTTAATGATGTAAGAGTCATTATTTAGAAGATGAGAATATTCAGATTCCCCGTTCATCAGGACATAATTTTTTTTAGAATTTAAAATTTTGCGCCTGTTTTATTATCAATATCATTTATTTAGAAACATTGTGCAGGTTAGATGGAATTCTTTGATGGACAAGTCAGTACCTGATCCACCAACTGCTGTTCTTCTTCATGGAATTCTAGGTTGCAGGAAAAACTGGGGTTAGTATTTGTCCTGGGTACCTTAAATATGCTGTAACTTTCGTGATTCCAACTGCATATCTTTCCGAGTTAAATGGCTCACCTTTCTGCATCATCGTTCTAAGACAAGGGAAATGATTTTTTGCCACTTATAAATTTTAATAGATTAAATGAAAGCCGAAAAGTAGGTGTTGATGGTTCAGACAAGCAGATGATCTGCAGTGAAAGTGCCATTCTTCATAAAACTACTTGCTACTTATCTCTCTGTAAGAAGCAGCTCTCATCTCCTGGGCCTCCACATGCTAATAAGTAAGATTTCTGCCTCGATTCGGTGGCATAACAGGTGAACCCTTGTTATGAAGGACACCTGTGAGCTGGCTTAGTTTAGTGTACGATATGCCAAAAAAAAAAAGAAAAAAAAGAGGAAGATGAAGAAGAATAGTTCAGCTTCGTTTTCCTTAGACCAGTTCCCCAATGGCTGCCATTGTATCTCTGCTCAACTTATTATGGAGCTACATCGACACCTGGCTAAACCTCAGTGTTGTACTCTAAAAGTCATGCTGAACTGGGCTCCAGATGCTTGTCTTTAGCCATGATTTTGTTTTTTGCCTGCATGCAGTTTTAGTCAGCTGCAATTTTATTTTTTTCAGCTATTCACCCTTATTTATTTTTCACCTTAATCCTCAATCATCAGGATCCTTTGCTAGAAGATTAGGCCAAGAGTTTCCAATGTGGCAGGTATTTTGGACTCGACAATGTCTTTGTTTCTGAGTTTTAAGCCAGACTTTGAATCTATGTCGATTAATTCCATTTTCTTTCATAGAAAGTAGCTTTTTGTTGCATTGGGGTTTCCCTCGTGTCGAGAAAACCATTTTCTATTTCGTCCTTTAAATTTATTCTAACTTAATCTAATATTTTCAAACAGTTTCTTTTAGTTGACTTGCGTTGCCATGGTGAATCTACAATGTTGATGAAGCATGGCCCTCACACTGTCGCATCGGCTGCTCTCGATGTTCTAAAGCTGGTACCCTGTTCGCTCCTATTTCCTTTTATACCTTAATATTAATCTTCCTTTTTTTTCTTTTTTTCTTTTTAAATTTGATCCCTGATCGGATACCACCTTGTGGATTCCTGCTTATCAAATTGGTTTATTATTCAGCAATCCTGTTTACGAGTTACTCTGTGGATTTATAGGTGAGGCAGCTCAGAGTGACACCCCGAGTCTTGATTGGCCACAGCTTCGGTGGAAAGGGTATCCTTTCTCTTCGTTTACGTCCCTCTAGTCATTTAATGTTCATATTAACCTCGCTCATGGCGCCTCTGGTTTATTTTTTATTTATGAATTATATGTACTCTGTGCAGTGGCCTTGAGCATGGTGGAACAAGCAGCGAAGCCTCTTGCACGGCCTGTTAGGGTAAAAATCTCTGTCGATATGTTCATAAATGTTGAATTTTCTGGTTTCGTAATTTATGTCCCCTTTTTTTTTATATATCCGAAGGTCTGGGTTTTGGATGCAACACCAGGGAAGGTTCGCCCAGGAGGCCATGGAGAAGATCGCCCCGGTGAACTCATAGCATTCCTCAGTCGAATGCCCAAACAGGTATATATCCTCAGGCGTCTTCCTCATCTCCTTACTGCATTGCATCCCCATTTTCTCATTTGATGTTGTTGTGGTTTCCAAGGTTTCCTCCAAACGAGAAGTCGTTGAAGCGCTTCTTCGGGAAGGCTTCTCTCCAGATGTATCGCAGGTGCGTTAAGAACTGAGATCTTGCTCCGAGAATCATCCGTCCAGTATATGAACTGCTGTGTCTTTCTCGTTCTTAGTGGGTGGCGACAAATCTTCGGCGGACCGAGGATTCGGGATCCTCATCGCCAGGTTTCTCCTGGGTCTTTGACCTAAATGGCATCTCTGATATGTATCGATCGTATGAAGAAACAAATTTATGGTATTTTCCTCGATCTAATGATTCAGTTAATTTCCCTTCTCCTCGGTGCACTGATCTCCATACTCAATATAGTTTTCCGTTGACTTTTGTTCCTGTTTCCGTACTCCTGCAGGAAAGTAGTCGAGGATGTCCCCCGAGGAGTCCACGTAAACTTCCTCAAAGCAGAAAGAAGCCTGCACAGATGGGCTCTCGAAGATATCCAGAGAATCCACGCTGCGGAGGAGTTGGCTGCAGAGGAGGGCGCTGGGGTCCAGATGCATGTTCTTGAAGATGCTGGTCATTGGGTATGGGAATCTGGCATCATGAGTCTTCCTTTATCCTCTAGGGTTCAGTTTCTCAGATCGAAACCAGGCATCGAATTCATCCATTCGTATTTATAGCACTGCTGGAAAGGCCTTCTATGCCTCCGATCGATGGGATCCTGGCTGATTCTCTTCCCTGTTTCGTGCCGTGCTGTTCTTCAGGTTCATACGGACAACCCAGATGGACTGTTTAGGATTCTCTCCTCAACCTTCCACGGATTCCAGAAGAGGTGAAGCTTCAGAGCTGTAGACTATTTATTCTCTGACAAAGGGAAAAATTACAACGTCATTGACGTCGTCGGAACGCGCTGGAGATCCGCGGGGAGTTAATTCTAGGGTTCCTGAGATCCTTCGCAAGAGCTAATTTCTGTGACGTGATTCTTTCAGATGTTGAAATTTCCGGCCTTCCGAGGTCCTCCTCCAATGTTTTTTGCTCAATTTAAGCAATAAATCCCCCCCCCCTCCCCGCCCTTTTTTTTTTCTCTACCATCGTCCACAAGATCCCCCACAGAGAAATAGAGGTACGACCTTGAGACAGCAGCCTTCCATAGCCGCCTCCGTTGACCGCTAGGATCCGTGGGGCCGTCTACGAATTCAAGCCTATAAATGAGGCCACGCCATCTCTCTCTCTCTCTTTCTCTCTCTCTCTCTCTCTCTCTCTCTCTCTTCTGTATCTCACATCATCGTCATCTGCATCCTGTGGTCATGGAGGGCCTTCATCGGCGGACCTCTTATCGCGATTTTCTCCGTTCCTTTAGGTTCGGGGGGGGTGTGGGGTAACCGGAGCTCGGTGCTCTTCACCATGGCGTCAGCGACCAAGGTCTCCTCCGCCGCAGCAGGATCGGTGCTGTTCTCGGCGGCGCCGCCCGCTCGGGGACGCCCCTGCTTCTTCCCCCTGAAGTCCTGTCGTCTCCTTCCTCTCCGCCAGTCTATCTCCCGATCCGCTCGCAGGATTTCCTGCGAGGCGACGGAGGCCTCCAAAGTGGCGGAAGGCGGGGGAGCAGCGGCCTCCTCTCCGCCTGGTGGCGACGGGAAGAACTGGGTCCCCGTCGTGCCACTGGCGGCGCTGCCCAAGGGGGAGCGGCGGGTGATCATTCAGGGCAACGAGACCATCCTGCTCCTGTGGTACAAGGACGAGGTGTTGGCCATTGAGAACAGATCCCCTGCGGAGGGTGCCTACAGTGAGGGCCTCATCAATGCCAAGCTCACGCAGGTGCCTGTTCTTCTTCCCTACTCTGAGATAATCTTCATTTCCAAGCTTCTATCGATCGGCATCTGCTCTGGATTTTCTGTTGCTCGATCATCTATAATGGTTAAAGTTATACCGTGTCGATTGCCCTAGAAAAGGCATCTGACGACTGGGGGGACGTGTCATTAGGGACAATGGGGATGAATTCGGAAGGCGTTGGGTGCCTAATTCTTCGAAGGATCAAAGTATTTCCTCAAATTTTCTTCTATGAGGGATCTAGATTCTGCCATTGATCGGGAAATGCATCCTTCCAAGTGAGAGGAGCATCCTCTGGATCAGACTGTCCACATGGAAATCTTCAGGATAAATTGGTACCAGGGTTCATTCATCACTATGATTCAAGCCCAATAGTACAAATGTCTGGTTTCAGAACGGCAAGATAGAAGGACGCTGAAGCTAGAGAACTGCTTTAAGCAGTTTCCTAAACATGTTTGAGGTCAGAGATTGGTAAGTCTTGTGTGGGCCTTCTCGCAGTAGGCCAGAAACAGTGATTCAGTAGCTGGAGTCTTATCTGTCTCTGAAACTTTGTTTATGAAATTCTTGTTTATTTTCTAAAAAAAGAACAAGATTTTTTAAAAAAATACTAATTATATTGGATAATGAACAGGTTATTGCCTATTAAATTGCGGAAATTAGTATGCATTCGCACCACACATGGACAACTATTCCGATACATTACGTGGTTATTTTGGCAATGGTTTTTCTTTCAAAACCAGACTATGATAAGAATAAATCACCACATATTACTATAAATTTTCTCGACTTTACTGTTACGAAGAAAATTTTCCTGTGTTCTCTTTTTGTGCGAGGTAATTATATTTTCCTTGTCTTTATTCAAAGTTTCCAGGATGGCTGTATAGTCTGTCCAACCACAGATAGCACCTTCGATCTTCGGACTGGGGCAATAAAGGAATGGTACCCCAACAATCCTGTCCTCAGGATCCTCACTCCAGCATTGAGAAATCTCTTCGTGTATCCAGTGAAAACCGATGACGAAAACATCTACATTAGTACGGGAAGTGCCAGGCTTGGAGAATCTGCAGAGATCGTCTTCAGTGGCAGATCTCAACCTGGTGTGACGGCCTCTGATGTCAATGTGGACGAGGTAGGCTTTTATGTTGGTGAATAGTTTTCATATATCGTGACTCTCGATTAATAATATGAGAACAACCTCATGGGAATCGGCATGATCAAAGACTTCTCTTTTACAATGCTCAACATCCGGAAGAAGGAATATGTAAATAGGCATTGAATGATCACCCATGTTACTCTTTTTTTTTCTTACATTGTGCAATTGGCGACTAGAAAACGTATGTGGGTATGATCAGCAAACCTTCTCAAGGCGAACTATATCAGATAAATCTAACATTTCAATTTTAAATGTTTTTATCTTTTTTTAATGATATGTTTTCCTTGATGTTAACTGTCACTGTACTTTTTTTTATTTATGATATATATATATATATATATATATAATCTGATGGAGTTTTATGGATGCGTGATTTCTAATGTCTCTTTCAGGTGAGAATGGTCATTGATGAGGACGTTGGGGGGTTTGGTTTCACAAGCAAGAACGAGGTGCTGAATGGCAAAGCAGCTATAATTGGATTCCTGCTATTGCTAGATTTTGAGCTCTTAACTGGTAAAGGGATCCTCAAGGGAACGGGCTTCTTGGACTTCATCTACGCCTCTTCAAAGGCTTTCGACTCCTTGTAGACTAGCCTGCTCTTCTTCCGGAAACGCCCGAGATTATGATGGTCCCGGGGTCCCCAGAAATGTGAGTTTAGCTTCTCTCTCTCTCTCTCTCTCTCTCTCTCTCTCTCTCTCTCTCTCTCTCTCTCTCATCGGCCTCAGCATCTTCTCCTGTGAACCTTCATCAACTATAGATATTGATAATTATTCATGCTTTTCTATGTCCTAATTTCCCAAGAAAGTTTTTCCTTGGGTGTCCATACTGAACTAGAGCTACTCTGTTCTCCATGGAAGAGCCATCAAACGTGACCCGTCCTCTCTTGTTCTGGCTGCGGGTGTGGTCACTGGTTGGCGTCACCGTTCAGAAAGAGATCGGGACGTACATCAGAACGTACGAATACTGCACTTTTCTCTGGATCGGCCGCACACCCATCTGTTAAAGTCTACAAATACTGTGCCACTCTCTCTCTCTCTCTCTCTCTCTCGCTCGCTCTCTCCATTCAAAAAATCCGCTTCGATGGGCAGTGGGTTTGTTTTTTCTTTTTGACTCCTAAGAATGCATTATGCCCTCATTTTCTATTGGTTAGGTCTTTATATATCAGATTCGGATCCCCCGCCCATTTGGTGGCATTGCTTTACATATCAGATTCGGGTTCAAGAGATTGTGATAGGCTCGCAAACAGGGCCCGAATGCACAGACAGGAGAGAAAGAGAGATCAACGAAATGAACTGATTGAGATAACACGAGAAAAGGGGGCCGGAGGGTTTCCAAAGAAAACCCTTGAATAGTTCAAAAAGTGTCTTGGTGTGATACGGCCCACGGGCCCATTTTACACTCTTAAGTCCAATAAAGTTTAGGGCCGTGGGTGGTTGTTCAGGCCCAGTAGCTGGTCTAATTTGAGCGTTGGGACGGGACCCAACAGATTGGAGGTGATCTCCTCAGTCCCTGAGAAATTCCGAGTATCTTAATGCCTAAAATATATGCATTTACTTATGTGTATATCATGTAGAGAGAACCTAAAAATGAAATTTTCAATTAATGCAGGTACTTGGGCTTCCAAAGTTTAATTTATTACCGTTAATCTCCTCAAAGAGGTTGATTTTTCTCACTCAAGGGAATTATACGACGCCATCATAGTTGCACTTTTGCCGACGATCTTCTGACAGTTGGCTCTAATTGACGAGCCGCCCACATTCATACAAGGTAGGCCGCGTTCCATCTGCCCCTTCGACGTCCCGACATGGCCGGCTGCCAAATAAGATTATGTGGCACCCACTCGCGCCGCCCTGCCGTTGACTAGTCCACGCTCCAATGTGGTCAACTAGCCGACTTTAAATGCGCAACGGTTCGAAGGTCCACATACTTTGCTTGTCGACCCGCCGCAACAAAAGAAAAATAAGTCCGACTCTTCGTGTGACGGGAAGGAGCCATCCACGCGGCTCAACCAGAATCATCCACTGCGTTCGACGGTCTGTTGTACACCATCACCGAGATGTGATAACTGGCCGTCTCACACTGGTATGACGACAAGCCACAGAGCTGGCCTTTGACCTCCAGAGGAGAGCATGTGTGTACACGTTTTGGGTCAACTAGGAGCTTGAGGGGGACGGCGGTTCAAGTCTCCACCCGGGGAAGATATTATATACAGGGTCCTTGCTCCATCCCAGAGGCAAATACCATCATATCGGGAGTTGTCTGAATGAATCAACGGGGGGCAGCGAGCAGCGGCGGAGGCGGCGAGATGAGGTACAAGGGGGTGCGGCGGCGCAGGTGGGGAAAATGGGTGTCGGAGGTGAGGGTTCCGGGGAAGAGGGAGCGGCTGTGGCTGGGATCTTTCGCCACACCGGAAGCTGCCGCGGTGGCCTACGACACCGCCATGTTCTACCTGAAGGGGCCCTCCGCCGCCGCCGCCGCGGGTCTCAACTTCCCGAGGAGGCTCCCCGCCGGCGCGTGGGCCGGTCTCTCCCCCCGGTCGATACAGAAGGTGGCCTCGGACAAGGGCGTGGCGGCCGACGCCGAGCTGGCCTCCAGCTGGCTCGTCCCTCGCCGGAAGCCGCCGGAGAAGCCTCTCACTGTGCTCGGCGGCGGTGCAACTCGGGGAGAGAAGCGTGTTGTTGTCTTCCCCTTCGATACCTCCGTCGACGACATGGACATTTATCTGTAAGCCGGAGAAATCCGTGTTTTTCTAGTAGTGTTTTACGGGATGACGTCCTCATTACCGGTTGGCAAGAGGGAAATGTATCAAACCAAGAAAATGATGTGCACGAATGAGCCGCGTAATGGAACACACCTCCGATCCCGCTGGATGATATGTAGGAGTGAGTTTTATAGAGTGACCGCCATCGCGATCCCATGAAATGATGTGTAGGAACGAATGAATTCGCAGGCTGAACGCGCTCGTGAGCCCATGGAGGAAGCTTTCCTTCTCTCTTTCCTGGTACTAAGCATGCCGGGTACACCAGGCTCCACTGAAACAAGGAGACAGAGAACCACCATCTTCGTTCGCCGTGGGCTTCCATTCGACTGCCCGTCTGCCTCGTTATGGTGAAGCAGTCCGGGGAGACCTTCCAAACACAGGATTTTTCTTCCTAACGAGGTATGAAAAGACGACGAAACCGCTGACAGAATGTTCCTGAATGCCCAAAGTCAACGAGCCCCAGCGCCGGCCTTCTCCTTCGCCTAACGGGAAAGCTCCGATCTTGGTCGACTTTATCGTCCTCCGTCGCCATTATCTAACCCACGATCGCCTGCATCGGATCCGACGGGTCGTCGTGCGCCTCCCCGGCTTGTACGACGACAGTTTCTGCAGGAAACGTGGAAAACGGAAGGGATTGAGCACCGAGGAAGAAAGAAGAAGGAAGGTTCGATTAGTGGGTTGACCTCGGGCCCGATCTTGTATCTTGGTTCCCGAGTGGCTTGTCGACGGTCCTATTCTGCTGGGAGCCTCGAACTTCCGCGCAAGAATAATTCTAACACCTTGTTCAATGCCTGTTGGTCAAACCGCTAGCTGACGAGGAGAACGGCGGGCATCTTTGACAGATTGTCGAGGTTGTTATTCGGTGGGTCAACTCTTTCGAAACCTCGAAAGTCCACGGCCGGAATTGATCTTCTCCCCTGGCCAACTGATAAAATCCAAGGTCGTTGACCCTCCCATCGGCGACGCCTTCTCTTCTCGTTCCTCTCTCCAACAGCTCTTCTTCGACATCAACCACATGACTAACATCTTAGAGTCGACTGGTTCCGTCCTGCTCCATGGAGGATTTTCTTTCGGAACAAGCGCCCGATGATTCATTCCGTCCAATGGTAGTAAAAGAAAACGGAAGGTGGAGATGAGCATTAACTATGATCGACCATCTTGGATTTGTCCACCGAAGAACACCACGTTGACCTCGAAAGGCTTTTTCCCGTATTAAAATATGTGGCTCAAACCACGTCTTATTGAAGTTCCCTCGACAAACACAGGGATCGTCGTTTTATTCAGACCTAATCGAGATCCCAGGCACCCCAAATTGAACAGAAAATGCAGAGAAGCATGGGCACAACCTCTTAAGAAGCTAGCGCGATAACGACGGGCGGCGAGCTTGCTTAGTCGACCTTCTGCGGCGGCGACTGCTGCGGAGGGGACGCCGGAGAGAAGCTCGCCGGCGCCGGCAACGGCCGCCTGGCGGGGGCAGACTCAACGGCCGGTCTTCCCACGCCCACCATGGAGGTCTTCCTTGCGCTTGGCATGGTGAAGAGCAGCCGGAAAGTCCAGCTGAGAACATCCGGAGCGAAGACCCTGTAAAGCTGGAAGATATCATACCAGCTCGGGAACTTCACGTAGGCGTCTCCCCTGCAGGCTCCGGCGACCATCGACTTGGCGAACTCTTCCACTTGCCCTCCGGTGAAGGAAACCTGAAGCACGCAATCGACGTGAGAAAACGGGATCCGAGGGAAGAAGAAGAAGAACACCCACCTCCCTCTCCTCCTTCCACTGCATCTCGGCGCCCTCCTCGAGCAAGAACCGACCCCCGATCATGTCGCTCCCGACCCACCCGTGGGTCGCAATCGTTATTCCGATATCGTCCTTCACCTCGAATCTTAGGGTCTCATAGAAGTTGATCAGAGCCGCCTTCGCTGCCTGGGAGGACAAGCCCTACTACGGTGAGAACTGATCGTCGATCTCATCTTCTGAGGCAAAATAGAAACAGGATATTGTGAAGCGCTCACGGCGTAAAGGCTCATCTTGGGCAGTGGCAGCCAGCTTTCCACTGAAGCGTTGACCACAAGGCGCCCACGACTTCGCCTTAAATATGGAAGGGCGACGTACGTAGGGTAGACGTTCCCCCAGAAGTTGATGTCCTAACCAGACGTTGAGTTGACAGTAAGAAGAATTCATGGCAGTTCTCGACTCAGCCCGCAAGAAACCAACCAAACCGTATTGCTTACCATCAGATGAGGAAAAACCGTGGTGTCCGTAGCTTCCTCGAAGAAGAAGGTATGCCCCAAGCTAGCCGTATTTACCAGATGATCCACTGCACGCGGTCTTCAACCGTCAATCCATGTCAAGTGGTCATCTACTTCTATGAAAAATGAGACCCTCAAAGGTGAAATGATAGAATCCTGGTCATCTACAGGGTCAAAAAAGTAGAATCTCTCTCTCTCTCTCTCTCTCTCTCATCGTGGTTACGCACAGACACAGTACGGATTATACGCAAAGATTGCACCAGAAGAAACGAGCGTGATTTGTGGAGCGAATTTTAAGAGATCGGACAGGAAAAGGAAGGCTCACAGTGGCCGAAGAAGTTCACGGCGTCGCCAATGAATCTTCTGCAATCCTCTTCCTTCACTACGTCGGCCGCCATGACGAGGACCTGCTTGGCCCCCAAGAGCCGCGCATTCTCCCTTATCGCCCAGAGCCGGTTCTCCCTCCTCGCCACCAGCACCAAATTCACCCGCCGCCTCGCATACTCGTACGCGATTTGCTGCATAAACATATCCTCGCATAATATACGGCGAAGCTAATCGGGTAGAAAAAGCACATGGCACTTCTTCCGCTTCTTCTATCAAATTACCTCTCCGATCCCGGAGGAAGCCCCGGTGATGACCACAACCTTGCCATCCATATCCTCTCTGTAGATCGTGCGGAAGAACCATTCACAGGCGTGGAGGAAGCAAAGGGTCGGCCAGGCGAAGGCCAGCATGACCAGGCTGGCCGGTGGGACGACGAAATTGAGCAGAGAGTTGAGCAAATCCATTCTTGGGGGAGTTGCTGACCCGCCGGAGGGCACGAAGAAAGAAGAGAGAGAGAGAGAGATGATTCCGGCAGGCGTGCAAGGGCTTTTGAGGGCAGCGTCTCCCTGGTGCGGAGATAAGAACAGAAGCGGAGGTGAGTGGGGCAGAAGGCTCGGAAGGTGTCATCTGGCGGAACCAACTGCAGCGACGCATGCGAGCCATGCACACACTGTCCATGCATCCCTGCAGGCCGACAGATGGAAAACCGTCTCTCTCTCTCTCTCTCTCTCTCTCTCTCTCTCTCTCTAGCCACTTTTTCACACGGGCAATTAAGGAGAGGGGACTAAAACAAGAATAATGATGGGGTTTTTCACCATATACAATGTCAAAAAACGCACGCCCCCGACAACATTGACGACTATCATTATTCAAACCTTCTAGAAAAAATGACATACTTACAACCGATATGTACAGGCTATATACAGAAGATTTACACGCCGGCGGGGCCGTCTCACCAGAAAGGGCACCACCTGGGACGAAGAGGCACAGAAGAGGTCAGCCTAAAGGAACAGCTCCTTCATAGCTGAGATTTATACAACGCTTTGGATAACATCAAGATGCACCTCTGGGCACAAGGAAAATAAAATACGGCCCAAAGAGAAGCTCAGCTCTGTGGCCGAAATCTAGAACAACCAAAAAGATCGGCCGCAAGGCATGGCAGAAAATCGCGGAAAGCTCCTCATGTGTTAGTAGAGAAGATAATTAATCCCAGGGGCAACTCTGTTTCTGCGGTTCTAGCACTATTTCTAGTAATTAAATCCTCGTGCCTGTAATTACTATACACCGATGCGTCATGCCTTCCATGTTTTCTAAAAATATAATTCGGATTCATGGATCTAAGTAAAAAAAAAAAAAATCGCCGTAAAAAAGGGGGAAGTGATGCTCATCTGTACTTACCCGACATAATTCTGGCAAAGGTTCTCATGTGAGGTTGCCTGTGTGATTAACTTCTGGACTTGAAGCTTGACAGATAACCCATGATCCAGTTCACATATGTCTGCTGATATCAGGGTACTGTGATCCACCATCTGTTGACTAGAGCGTGTGACCCCAGATACCGATGATCCCGACGAGAAGTCCCGCCCAGTAAGCTTGTTACTCATGCGAGCCATCACGGCCACCGCACGTTCATTTAGGACCTCATTAGCGTCACCAAGCTGGTTGACAGCCTTCGGATATACCCAACAGTAAAAGAATCGCAAATCCCAGATTAAAAATTGAGCTTAATAGATTTTTTAAAAAATCAAGAATGAAATCCGAGAACTGTGAGGCAAGTAGAGAGCACCTGGAGCAGTTCCCTCTCTCTGGCACCTCGAAGAGGCTGAGCAAGATCCCTAGAGGGCACAGATTCGTCACTGTCCGCAACTGGATGCATATGAGCATTCCCAAAATTTGACGTTTGAGGAACCTCGTTAAAATTGAAAAGCCGCCAATTTATAAGAGGATCATGCACGAAGGCCTGAAAGGAAGAATGGAACATGTGAAGAAGAATTCCACGAGGCAAAAAGAGATAGAGAAAACTGTGTTAGCCCAATTGTGCAACCAAACATCCTCTGCATGATAAGGCGCAGCAGGTAAACAAAGTTCCCCTCATTACCTCCATCATGGCCATAACACTGTCTTTATTTGTTCGAAGGACTTGCATCACATTTTCACAGGTTGACCTGAAATTGCCTTCAATTCCACTGACCTCCATGGCTTTCACGAGCATCCTTGTCAAGCGAAATGGAACCTGTTCAAGAATTCGACCGCTTTTAAGCGGGGTGCACTGTGATAATGGTTAAATTTACAGCAATATTAGATAGGCGGATCACATACTTTCTCAGGAAACTTCTCTCGATTCATTGAAGCCTCAAAACAATCTCCAAAATCAATGTGCAGGATTTTTCCACTGAAAATAAAAAGGTTACCAAAATTACACGCAACGTGCTTCCATATCCGGTGCGCAACATTCTTAAGAGAGAACTAACAAAATATGGTACCTGTAACGGTGAAGCATGAGGTTACTGGGGTGTCGATCCCCCAATCCAAGAAGGTATCCAACCTGAAACAGAAGCACCAAATCAAAAGTGAAAAAGAAAGTCAACAAAACAAGTTTACAAACTTGAAGAGGTGAAGCGTCAATACCATGCTCATGACAGCTAAACTTCTTGTATAATTTGTTCGACGATCAAGCCAAACTTCAGATGTTCTACTTTTCAGCCAGAGAACCTAGGATCCCGCCAAAGCAAACTCAGGAAGGAATTACACAGGGATGAACAGTTAAACGTAGACGTATACAATTAGGTCATGTTCAGAATTTACCCTTGCTAAGTCATTTCCTTCTGTACTCTGTAGTGCATGCTCAAATGCTTCAACTTTACCTATGAGTGGCAATCGGTCATAATCTGGCGCAAAAGCTTGCATAATCCTCAGTTCTTGATTCACAAAAATCTAAAACCACCAAAAAAAGGTTGAGATGGCAACATTGTAAAAAGAAAAAATAATAAATACATGAGAAATGAAACGTACCTTCCGAGTCTCCCGATATTCCCTTATTAGATGGTGAAGAGTGTCACAATTTGGAACCCACCCGATTAAACCACTATTCGGTGACAAGGGAATGACTGCATAACGCTGGATTGAGAGATCCTTCTCTGCAGTTTTTCTTGAGTTCTCAAGGAGAGTATTCACCAGACCGAAAAGCTGAGGAGAAAAGGTTAGCTTAAACAATCTTTCCATAGAAAAAGGAACCCATTCTTCCAACAAATGTGCATGAACATCACAAGAATAACAAAATATCACATAACCACTCTAGAAAATCTCATCTACACAAAAACCATCTGGCAGAATTAAAATTAAAAGACACAAAAAGACTGATTCCTTGGTAGAAACAAAACACAGTTGATGGTAGTAAATCCCGGATGAATGCGAGTGCAATTCTGTAAGAGATTTTTCACTAGGTTCAACTAACACAAATCTGAATAAATCCAGCAATCATATTCCACGGCATTTTCAGAATCAATGACTATTTAGATACCTAGTGCATTAGGACAAGTGTTTGGGACTTTATGAGGACAATGTTAATATCATGAAGTCCTCACCCCCGAGGCCAATCAGAAAATCCAATGTTAATAAACGCAGAAAAACTATTATGGCTTCTTGAAAATCAGAGAAGGTGAGACTTTATGATTTGAAGAAGATGAATCTGAGATTTTTGAGATTGCTGAACTACTAGTTGATGTAGGACACCACTAGAATAAATGAGAAAGGCCAAAAATTTATGACCCAGGAAGCCTAAAAGCATAAAAACATGGACCATAACTGTTTGAAGGCCCAAAACTACTTTGAACGCAATATTCAAGCAACTAGGCCCAAAATTATCATGAATAACACCTCAAATTTGTAGAGTAGTAACCTTTCAGGGTTTTATTCGCTTTAGTTGATCCGCGTTTTAAGGTCATATTTTGGTCTGTTTAAAGGCTTAAACGCTGCAGCTTATAGTGCATAGCATCTATGATACCATTTTTATTCTTTGTCAAATTACTTTTTGCTTGTGGATTCAAGGGAAGTCATTCTGATCCTTGTGGATTCAAGGAGCGTCCAAACCAAACCTAGTGGACTCAAGGATAGAGGATTTTATGCCTTGTCGACTCCAATGTCGAATTTTCATTCTTCTGCAACTTCAATTTCATCAAGTGATATCAGAGCAATCTATGTGGATTCAGGGGACGTTATTTTAATCCTTGTGGCTTAAAGGATTGTCAAAAATGAATTCTTGTGAACTCAAGGATTGAGGAATTTCGTGCCTTTGGATTCAAGACATGATTTATCTTCTACCTTGATTTTCATCGTCCAGTAGCCTACAATATGGTGTAGGCCATAGCTGATGAAAAAAGGGTTTTGAGAGCCTACGGGACAATACACGTACAAAGCCCTATTTTATTTCTTAAATGAATCTCCAGCAACATCCCTTTTAAAACAGAACATATTTTCAACCAGAAAATATTTCCTTGTGCAGGAAGGAATTATTTATTTGAAGATAAGTTTTTTGGCAAAGTAAACAAATATTCTGCGAAGAAAATAAATCCCAATTCTTCAGTGAAGTTAAACACGTTAAATCCCAAAAAAATAACAAAGCACTATCAATCCATATCATAGGATCATGGCTGATGCCAGAAATACTTCTACAGTATAACCCAAGGAATAAATTACGTGTTATAATATAAAAACGGCATAAAAGCACGATGTCTTCCACAAATAAGATAAGGAAAAAAAGAAATTCCAAAATTAAAACTACTTTTTTCAAATGTAGAAGGCAAACAAGATTTATTTTCAATAAGCGAACGCATTATGAAACATGATAACAAATAAAAGAAAAGAATACAAACTTATCTTGATGGTCTCCAGAAGTTACTGAAACAAACTATTAGGACTAATAGTGAATGAACTATCAACGTAACGACTATCTACCTGCATGACACGCTCATCTTGCCTCAAATCTTCATGACCCTTCAATAAGAAAGTATATTCTTCTCCATCACTTCCATGAATTGTCAATTTCCGAGGCCGTTGCTTTGATGTAATGACAACAAGCTGTGGAGCGAATGAAGCAATTGTCACCAGTGTCCCATCTGAAAAACCAAGGGCAGATTGTAAGATCTTAGTTCCATAAAAAAAAAAAGGGAGACGAACTAAACTTTGATGTGAAAATGGGCACCTGCACGGTATGTTCCAGGAACTGCGAGCTCCAAATCTTGACAATTGAGCAACTTTAATGAAACAGACTGCATCAACAAAGGAGTAAGCAGATGGCTAGTTGAGCTAGGACAGGCCAAATAACACAAGAAAATCTTGCCTGTAAGTCGAGGGTAGTAAGACTAGGCAGTTGCTTATCAATGCGTTTGAAAACATGATAATACAAATCCCAAGCCTGATTCCACAAGTAATAGATTAGTTTAGAAAATCTCATTTTATCCTGGAAATAAAAAGGTTATAATACAGAGGCACAATTTCACATTATAAATAGAAAAAATTACAAAAATACCTGGGTAAGCTCAGCATCCTTTCCAGTGCTCTTATACTTTAAACAGCACTCGTGGGCTTCTTGCAATTCATGACCATAAGCCTGTTATGATAAATACATTTCTATAAAAACCCACAATGAACTACCAGAATGCTTTCACTGTAAAACAACTGTTACGTGGACAGAGATTTAAGCATGATTTATCTTACAAAAGGAAGTGGCATCATTAGCTATATACTAGTGAAAGTTAAAAGACAAACGACTCATATGTCAAAATTATTTTCCTCTTCCATTTTCTAGTTCTATTTCCTTTTCTTTCATTCCATTAATGTGCTACAGAACATATCGTGCATAGATTAACTAAATGGCCAAAAAGAGGAACAAAAATTTAAGATATCTTGCTTTCTACTTTTACCTATATTTGGGTACCTCCCTAACTTGAGCCATCACATTAATTGAACTCTTTCATTTGCATAACTTAGTCTGTACACATGCTAGCCTCCACAGGAAACTAACAATAAAGCATGACCAAGCAAAAGATTTAGTAAAACAAGTATAGAATGTAATGCGTAATCAAAATGAACAAGAAAAACACAAAAATCGGCAACTGCTTTCATGTTCATAAGATACCGCCCAGAAGCTAACGAAAAATAAGAACGATAGTCCAAGATAAAAAACGACGTCTGTAAATCCTGCACAATCTAATGAAATTAAAGTGGTGAAACGACAAATACTTCGAATACATGCGTATAAAGTTGACAAACGATTGTCTTTGTAACACAAAGACCAGTACTTTCAAGATGATTGGGGAAAAGTGATAGATATTATTCTTAGTTGGCCCTTGTGATCTATTGACTAGGTAAAACTTAGTACAACTCGTGAGTACAGTTGGTATATTAAAAGTAATGATATCAAATATGCATCAGAATCAGCATATTTTTCTAATTATAAGCTATTGAAAGAAAGTTTTAAAAACAAAGAAATTAGAACATAAACTTGTATAAGTCAGACTGAACTGGTATGAAGTGCGTAAATCAGTACGATCTAACTTGTTATTTCTGCTTTATGAGTCCTAATATCAAATGAGCACCAACGAAGCTTCGTTTGACACAAGATTAGGCCATCGTTCTCCTAATATAAGATATTAAGCCAAGTGAATGAACAGAAATATAGTTACAACCACCTTCTAACAACAAGTAAAAGATATATTCTTCAAGCGCATGATATATTAATGATAAAGGTCACACAATACAAGATAACCAACAGTCAAAGCTCTCAGCTTGAAGTACTGAACCATAAAATTAATAACACCTCACAAGGAATGTCAGATACCTGAATAAAAGCTGTCTCCATCGATGTTTCAACCCCATCGTCAAGCATAGCATGTAATGGTTCCAACACAGCCAGCATTCCCTCAATGTTACGCTCACCAAAGTACAAGCGACTAGCTTCATCCAAACCTTCATGCCACATCTCATGCCATAGTATAGCAACCCTGATTAATTCCTTAGATACAAGTTGTGCCTGAAAAATAAAAATATATATGATTAAAATTAGATGAGTAAATCCAATAGAACCTACCATCAGTTAATCATCACCTGATCAACGAGTACGCCACTATGCTGGCGAACTTTATCAACAACCTCCTGAGCAGCCGCTCGGCGCAATAAGCTAATGGACTTGCACGCAACTAGAAGAGGGTACATCAGAGCCTGAAAAGAAAATATATAAAATAAGATGTTGCAAAGGTATCATCAGAACCTTTGCACCACGGCATCATGGTGCAAAGGTATCATCAGAAAGGAGACACTCCAACGGAATCTATGTTGACAATTGCCACTCAACCGGGTCTTCTTCGGATCTATTGTAGTGAAGATGAGTAAAAATTTGAATGTAACTTAAGAGCACTTGACTCTTGGTTTATTGCAGATAACAATTCAAAGAAATACAAAAAGGAAATCTCATCACATCCCTAGCATTCATCATCACCAGAAATTCTGTGACCACGCCAGTGAAGACTTTGTGAGGGAAGTAGAGAATAGGGTCCTTCGATCATTCCATTTCATGAAAATGCAGTTAAACGTCCCCTGTTAGCAATACTTAAATAATACATATGGCCACAATAGCTTATATCCTGTATGTCATGCACTAAGGAATTAAAATAAATCGCTTCAGCATTTTGGAAGAAAACCTTTTCTTCCTCTATACCCAATCAAATCTTCTATCTGGAGAAATGGATCAACCTCTGCAGCATCACATTCAATAATCTTTAATCTGAGTCGTTGCTATTGAGCATCACCAAAATAAGCAAACGTACGTCGTCTTTTACAACATATCAGTTACAGTTACTTGAAACAAAGATATAGGTTGTCTTGTCATGCAATGGTGATCATGTGTCGAATAAGATTAGAGTTCAGGTTGTAAAGCACCTGAAAGTTTCAGGGAACTCTCATCTTAACACTGAGCAAGGCATGAAAATCTCCGCGAAATGAAATGCCTGAGTTTCAAAACCAACGATTTACCCAAGTTTCAGGTTCGTACTAGAAAGTATCATTTCACCCATCTGACACCTAGTGAATAGAGTCGCTTCTACATCACAGCAACCCTGCGTGCAGATTGGCGCAACATACTCACCAAAGAATAGCATATGTATATACATGAACAAAAAAATTGATAAACCGTGCTTAAAGCATCACGTTGTTTTGCAGTTTGCGTTACAATCAAACCTGTGGATGCTTCTTCCCTATGCGAACCAGTAATGACTGTATCAGTTCCCTCACTGCTTTGGTATTTGAGTGTATCCGAGCAATTATTTGAGGCAAGACAACAAGCCAAGTGTCAATATTGACGCGCGAAAATCCTTCCTGGAGAGCCCTTTGAACCTCAGATGTTGCCCCATAATTGAACCATAATGTCAAAAGACGAAGAATATCCTGAAAAGGAGAATTTGTCAACCTCTGTGAGAGATAAGAGTGGTCATAGATCTTCCAATGAACAAAAGTTTTCTTCAGATACATTTAAGATCAATGTTATAGAGATGAATGGAAGATTTAGTCAGATTTTCCCACGACTCGAAGTCAAACATGAGAACGAATTCTGGGGTAATTCATAAGGAACCTCCAAAGACTGGAAATAAGAGAGCACGAGGAGGTTGCGATCAAACCAACATCAGGCTATTTGGGCACAAAATCAGCAGACAAATGATGCCTAAATGACCTTTCGGGCAAAATATAAGATAATATTGATTAACTTAACGTCTCAATATCAGACTATATCTGACACAGTAGATAAATGAAATCACGCAATTTGCACTGTTAGTATAAATTAAAACGACAATACCGTACAAATTGTAGTGGTCCTAGTACCCAAGGCATCCCGGCTGTCAACATGAGCAGGGCGGTGTTTGCATTGCAATGTGCAAATGCGAATCAGTATCCGTATTCAGACATGCTACACATTTTGCGAATGGCAATTTGGCTGAATGTGAAGGCAAATGCGTGCATGAACACCCAGATGCTTGTCTCAATATTCATAAATGTCATCAATATGCAAATGAGCAAAAGGGAAAATAGGTAAATGAAAATGAATGTGAGCACAAGCGTATCCCAAAAACTCTCACCCAAACTTCATGTTCTATTATTCCTTTATATTTACTAAAATTTCCATTGTTTCAACAGACAAGCTGATACCATTGGCGATAAATGTGTGCATCTCCAATTCGAAGATACACTTTAATAGGGCAATCTTGCTGAGATTATAAAAAACTAATGAATGTGAGCAGCTTACCTGAAGCGAGTCATCAACACCCTTGGAAGTAGCAGCACAGGAAATTGAGAAAAAATATCCGGTCACAGCAGCAACGACATACTGCCCTGAAATGGAATTACACCTGAAGGCGTAATGAGACATTGCTGCAGTGTTAAACAAGGCCCAGGTATGCCAAGCCTTTCCCCAATGTCGAGCATTCTTAGTGGCCTTTTCCAGTGATCCAAGGATTTCTGTAATGTAAAAAATATGTCAGTCAAGTACGGATAGCACATAAATACCCAGAGTAAGAAGCATGTGAACACCCAAATACATATTTCCTACCTTCTATAGAACCATCATCCAACCCAGGAGAAAGTGTCCATTGCCAGGTTCCAAGTTTTAAATAGACACGAGCAAGAAGGGGGGCATCTGCACCCGATATGCTGGGTCCGGATGGATTTCCTGAGTAGAAATCAGCTGAAGCAGCAAGCTGTAACGATAAATCCTGAAGATCATTGATGTCAGTCAGACGGTACTGGAGATAAATTTTGGAAAAAGTTGATAAATACGCAGTCCACAACTGTAAAATAATACAATGTACCTGTAATCTACAAAAAGCTTCCTTTCGCTTGGTATCCTCACCAAGAGACCACTGATATTTGAGGTAGGCCAACATGACTTGAGGAGGTCCATTGTACAAAAAGGCTTCTGAGCATGATTCGGGATCATACTGTGCATGAACGAAAAACAGACCTCATACACATGGAGAGAAATATTTTGCAACGGAACTATAGTGTCCTGCACAAGACTCACCTGAAGCAACTTTACCAAAGTAGATCTAGCCTGACTGATACGACCACTCTTTCGGCAGAGAGAAGCAAATTTTAGCCATGTTTCAACATCATCGGTGGGCGGAAGCACCAGAGTTCTCACTACAAGAAGTGCTTGCCAGACCTACAAAACTTTTAGTGTGAAAACATTGACAAAAAATAGGCTCCAATAGAAAACTTTGGAATGCGGTATGAATAATAAGACCCAGTGAGATCAACTGCTATAACCAAAACAACAGAAATGAAAAAATAATTATAATAGAAAACAATGTCCCAATTTTGGACTTATTCTCTTAAGTAATCGTCATAAGAAAAAGTTGAACACCTCAACATTTCTCTTTGTCCCCCTTATCCTATCTGTCCACATATTTCGGATTAGTTTTCTCCGATCATCAGCAACAGAGCTTCCCACTGGAAGTGTGCAATAGTCAATCACCTGTAATGTTGTAACGGAAAATAAATTGGTGTTTGCAGGAGTGCTCTATATAGTGAAAAGCGAATAAGAAATGGCATTTGAAAGATACAGAACGAAATTGACCTCCTCTAACTCTGAAAGCTGCTGAATGCGGACCATGTTGCTATAAGCACGCTCATAACTTTCAAGTACCTAGACAAAACAGATATTAACTCGGGAGAAGATAAACGTCCACAAGATTTCATATAAAGGCATGGACATGATCCACCTCATAGACGCCAGCAAAAGAGACGGTAAAATGAATGAAAGAATTAACTGAAAACTCCACTCTCTCTTGAAAGAAGAATCCAATGAATAAATGAGCAGAATCAAACGATAAAAAAAAATCCTCAAGTTCGGGAAAAAGATAAGAAGGCAATTAAAATTTTCCCATACATAAAACTGAGAAAAGAAAGATAAATGCCGAACCCTTCTTCCAACCCAGGACTGCACGATGTTTGAGGTAAAAATAAAATGTCCAAAAGTAAATAGTCATGCCATAATGAAAGACAAATAAACAGTGTAAAGCCCAGGATGATAATGACTATCAGCCTTTACCGACAGAAGAATTAATATTAATAATCGAGTCACTAGAGTGCCACTAAACAAACCAATGCTGCTAGCTCTGTTGCCAGACACTTCCTTGCTCTTTCTACATATACACGTGCATCTTCATACTGAAAAAAAATAGACAATCTTACACGTCGCAATTTATACAAAATTAACAAATACATACGACAAGAGATACATAATTACCTTGCCACGACGAACTAATAAAACGGCTCTGAAGAAGGAACCATTACTACTTCCGTCACCACCAGCTGATGCATTGCCCAAAATTCGAAGTTTGTTCTCATCACCATCATCTAATCTAGAAACATATTCAGCCATCTGATCCCATTCTCCCATATTCCATGCAGCACTTGCAGCCTAATGTCATAAAGTAAAACAAAATAACATTATGGAGAAGCAAATGGATTGGCAAGAAACAACAGGAAGGTTTGACACAGACCATAGGTGCCATTTCCAGTCGAGCTGATGGCTCTGCAGGAGTCCAGTATTGTTTGCAAAGGTTGTTAAGTTCTTCCCAGCGAGCCAATGCAGCAAGGCAGCGCATACGGCCTACAGAAACATAAAAATAAGAACAAGGCTAAGCATCAAAAGTAAAACCAGTCTTCACCTATTAGTATATACAATATGAGAACTATATCGAGATTTGTAGTATGATATAAAATTTTCAGACGCAATATCATGAAAAGGAAACATCATTGTGAAAACTCAAAGTGACAGGTTAGAATTATTTGTGATTAAAAATATTAAAATAGTGTCACATCGATAATTTTCCATAACTCAAAACATTGATACATATTGCGATAACTTAAAATAGTCATTGGTTTCTTAGATGCTTAACATCTTACCTGTGTGCCAATTATAACATGAGGGATCTAATAAAATCACTAGGTAGGCAGAATGAGATATCAGACTAACCATTGATACATATTGCGATTATTCCTTCGAAATATGAAATAAACAGTAATAATTCAGCGTCATGGTTGAAGAAGTCAAACAACAAATATTCGGATGAATCAAACTTAATCGCGACCCAAAAAAACACTAACCTAAAGTAGCTTCTAAGATGAGATGAGAACTCGTTGCCTGACTGGCCTTCAATGTATATGCCTTGAGAGCATCATCCCATCGCTGCAGCTTTTCATACCTAAAAAATACACACTGTTAAACGGCTGGGCATCGAGAAAAATATGGATGATATATAAAACGTGCCTAAACTGATTCATAAAAATAGGTAACTAGACAAACTGTACATAATTAACATTACTTTGAATAAAAACCACTAAAAATGAATGGAAAAAAATCGGACAATATTGGACAGGTGCTATACACACCAAGATTCCTTCAGTTGAACATCTAAATGTTGTTGTGAATAAGTCAGAATTCCAACAGCTGCCTGTAAAATAAATGAAAGATAATAAATTTAAATGGATATTAAACTGGACATAGTACGTAACAGATGTCAACAAATTCCCAGAGACATAATATAGGCCAACCTGAATGAAGGAATGAAAACAACATACCTCGTGCTGGTGTAACTGATTATTTATGTGTATAAGAGCTTCTACAGCAGCAACAGGATTGCCCTCCATTTTCTTAGAGCAAGCACCTTCAAATTCCATTTCTTTGTAATGGAGCGCCTTTGCAAATGCTCGGCACTAGAAATTAAAATAATGTGGATGTCAATACAATTAAGACATGCAGTGTTATACGCACACAAAAAACTATTTTAGGCGAAAATAAAATCATTAAATAAATTAAAGCACGTCCAAAAACAACCTTCTCTGCAAGGGCACCAAGAAGGCGTATGTCTATAGGAAGTGGCTTCTCATAGTGTTCCATAAACTCTGCCTGGAGATATCAACATAACCAACAAAGTGAAGCATTACTTCCATGCCTCCTAAGAATTTTTTCAAAGAACTAGAGGCTGAAAAACAAGAAAACATTACCAAGTTTAAGAGGGTTGCAAGAATTTCTGGAGTTATATTTGCAGAGGAGAATGCCTGCTCGAGATTCCGTACCAGTTGCTGCTGGGATGTTTCATTCAGCTCCATCCAGCAACTTACAAAACCAGCAGCAAATAATTGTCGCCCAACAAAAGGCTAAAGAAAGTTTATGTCAGCAGCTTGAAGTCACAACATAGGAAAGATCAGGCAAAGATCAAGACCTGTAACTGGGCAAGCCTGGCACACATGCGTAATGCTGGAGAAGGGGATTCTTTAAGAAGCTCAATACTAAAATGTCTCATCCATTCTGCCCAATCTTCCTTCGTACTCCGTTGAGAAGCTTCTCCTGCAGTCCTTAGGCGACCATCATTGACCTATAAGAACGAAAGAAGGGCAAAACACAACAAGAAAATTAGAGTACAGAACGTGGCAACTTACCAGGGCACAATGATGTGAAGATATAAATACTACTAACGTTCAACCAAGGGCATGCCCCCAAATACAGCCGGTAATGATACCCAAATAAATCTCGCAGATTAAAATTAGGGTCCAAATACACATTATCAGATATTACGTGTTCATAACTCCCAAAGATATCGAATTACATAATTTGTGACCTGTGAAAGATAAATCATAGAATTGGTGAACATGAGTCAAAAGGAGAATTGGCATACCTCAGAACATTCAAGGGTTCAACAAGGAGTAAATCGGAGAACTAGCCTACCTCAAAATATTGAAAGGTTCAATATGATGTAAAAGCAGCCATGCTACGTACAGAGTTTATTGTACAAGACATTAGGACGATCCGTGTTTTCATGCACATCTCAACACAAAATCATGAATGACACTGAAAGCAAGGTTCTTTTCATTCTTTTAAACTTCATTTAAGAGCCATCGTCTCACAATTTTTTTAAAAAAAGTGACAATTTCCACAACAATGTTTTATTGTGGCTGCATACACTCACCCTACTTTAATTCCTTCAAGTTTGAAATCAAATCTTGCACACAACCAATGATATCCAAAAAGTGGGTTTTCATATTGATAGAAAAAAAATACTCGCCTGAAAATTTTCGCTTATTTAAAACCTCAATGATTTCATGGTTGAACAACTAATAACAGCGTAGCAATGGCATCGTCTTGTACAAGCATACAACATAAGAAAAACCGCAACCAACTGGTGCTTAATACCCATACACAGAGAGGAGCCAGGTAATGCACACAAAACCAGTGCAAGGGAAAAAGAGCAAAAAGAAGCCAGTATCTTTGACGGTCTAATTGCCTGATCTTTAGGTACATCGAGCCAAATGTAGCAAAAAGCTTATTTCATATACAAAACAACAAATAACGAATAAACTGAAATCGAAAGACAAACCTCTGTAGAAGTACCAAGAAGCTAAAAATAAACAGCACAAATAAAAAAACAAGAAACATCACTCTCAAGTATGGGAACTGTTGAAGAGAGTTGCTAAGCATCAAAGGAGATTACTTGATGACTTTTCATTTTCCCGTGCATCTCAGATCCTTCTTCATAAGGATCAAAATCTACATCATTCACAGGGTTACTGATGACCTCAGGAGGCACATGCCGATAAAACTTTTGAACAGTCATGTTCTCCAAAACAGGTGAATCACGTCTTTTCATGCGATTTTCAATCACATCAAAATCATTCTGCTGGGAAAACAAATATTGTGAGACATCATAAATCATAAAAAATTATCAAAAAACAGATGGAATGATAAAGGGATGAGACCCGTAATCGGTGTTTTGTGATTAATTTCCGGATTGATGGTATAAAAATCATGAAGTCCTCCCAAAGAGCATGAGCCATAAAACAAAGAGCATCTGCAGCGTCCTTCCGTAACTCATCATTGTTCCTGGAATGACCAAATGGGAAATAGTGATTTTTTCTTTTATTTCTGCAGAATTTTTGATATAATATACCTAGAAGATGAAATTCAAAAAAGTCAGCCAGTGACAAACGGAATTAAAACTGTCATATTTCTTGATCATTAAATTCCTCATTACTACGTTCTCTTCAATGATATGGTTGGATTTCGAAGTTAAACAGGTGACAAAGGTAAGTTTGAAAGTATTTTGGAAATATTTCCAAAACAGGTCCTTCCCTCTAAACAGTGCGCGCATCAATTTAATGATGTCATTCAATCCACTCTCCCAATACGAGATCCCCTGCCACCGCCTCCAACATTAAACTAATGTAATGAAAAAGAAGCCTCATCCAGATGCAACAATAGTGATCAAAATTATAATCAACAATAGTGACATAGCATATAAGATGTCGCATTATGTTGTGATCACCGAGAGAGCTCCCAAATAGCATGGGTTTATGACGATGACAATGACAATTACTACAAAAAAGATCACTATAAAGGCAAAACCATGCAAGATGGAAAGAGAATTTATGCATTCAGGTAAAGAAATAAAAATATCGTAAGCTACAAACCCATCCAGTACTAGCTTCAAGTGGTGAACAAGAGACGAAACATGACCAGCGACCTGGAACATTTCAATGGGCAAAATCAAACTCTAAAGAAGATAAATAAGAATAGAAGGGAATTTTTAAAAAAAAAACGCATAAAGAAAAGTGAACCTGAACATATGGTACCAACTTCGTTAAAGTATAAATTGCACAACGTCTAACATTCACAGGAGCATCAACTTTAAATAAACGAATGAGAGCAGGAAGAAGAAGATGCATGTGCTCATCCAAGTTCCCTGTATTTGTTTCAGATATTACATCAGCAAAAAGTTGCCAAGAATATCATACCAGATAATAAAATTAATGCATCAAAGGTAAAGGAATATGACAAGACTGACCTCCAAACACCTCAAGCGTATGAAGAATATCTGGAACATAGGTATAATCACTACATCGCTCAGCATCACTTAATACTTGGATACAGCATGGGAGAATTTTAGATAAATGAGTCCTAAATTCATCATTTAGAGCTAAGCAAAGTTGCTCCAAAAGGTGCAAAATCTGCGAAAAAAATGGATTTTGTTATATGGGAAATAAGAGTCGTTTACTCAATTAGGAGTATAACACAGCTCAAAACTTATATAGCATAAGAATGAAACGAAGGATATTAGTAGCAACAATCCATGTATACTCCAAAGAAGTTTCAAAAGACGATTATATATTCAAAGGGACATAAGGGACAGCATGCTGCTGGTATTTTCCCTCAGGTTACATAGCTTCTCCCACGACCCCCTCCAGGAACTCCGGAGCAGCCAGGATGAAGGAGCGAAGCATTGAAGGTCATTCCTCATTCTTGACTACGGACATTACGAGGTTAACAACAGCTTTACCTATGAACGGGAACTTAGTGCTCGTTATTAACCCAGAGGATAGGTTTTCAATGGCAACCAATCAGACCACCACACAGCTATGAAAATTGATGTTAAGAGAAATTTCTTTTCCCCATTAGGGAGTACACTCCTTGAATAATGTAAAAGTAGCGATGCTTCAAATATTAGTACATTGTCCTAATATCTACACTTCAGTACAATACTGACGATCTTACAAAGATACAATATCAGTAGTTTTCTATTTACTGATCCCATCTTTTATAGAACCGATTCCTGTAAAATGGATTTTCAACGGAATGAAAGAGACATGGTCCATCAACCTACTAGCAATGGGGGGGAAAACATAGCATGCCGCGAGAAAAGCATCGATTCGAGATTTTTATGTGATGATAACAGAGACCATGATATCATAAAAACCAATTCATTAACCCATATACCACACATCAATGCACTTAATTTATGAAAAATGTTAGATAATTCATATCATTCGAGATCAAAGCAAATGACTGCCTTCTGTCATGATGAAACCCTACCACAAAGTTCCCTTCAGATGATTTTTTACACAAAGTGGATAACCGACCATTTTCATTCACAAAAATTTAAGGTTTGCAGTGATCAATCAGAAGGAAATACAGATCGGTTTTTATCAGGGTGGTGGGAGTCAGTGACCAGAAAAGGCATGACAATGTGAATTCTAATCACACGTGGAATATCAGAAACCAACCATAAGGAAGTAATCTCAGAGAGGGGACTCACTCTGGTCCCCACGGCAAGTTATCAGCAAGCCGTAAGAAGCCAATGATTATGATAGTACTACTGGACATGTTTATTCATCAATGCATCTAGACTAAGGTAGTTAAGGCAGTACAAGGTTGACAGATAAATTGAGAGAACTTAGCATGTTGACCATTTCTCACGACCCAGATCCTGAACATGATAGCAAGCCACATTGAAACTAACAGGGAACGGACATGCCTGAATTACTAATACAACGGAAGATCTACGATTGGAATATATGCCATCATTGTTCTTTCTAGTAGAACACAAAATACACAGTGCGAAAGACAATATTGCAGTATATACACAGGAATGATCACAAAATCCAACTAAAGGAGATCCAGGAGCCTAGCAATAGGAAAACATGATTAAGACATTCATATAACTGGCAGCAATCCATACCATATAGCATGCCTGCAATTCAGCCAAGTTTTTTAGCAACCTATCATTCATGGGTCCAAAACATATATCATTAAGAAGTTATACTCACAGGTGAACCTTGTACAGGACGGTTGGTGACTGGCAGACAGAAGGAAGCAGACCATAGTTCAAAAATAAGAGAAAACAATTCCGGCAAATATTTGCGAATATGCTGCAAAAAAGTGGCGCTGCTTATATTAATAATCACTTTCAGGACATAATACCTCATTAACTTGCATCAACAGAGCTTCAACATGCTTGCACAAACTCACAAGAATATTTTTATTGAATTGAATATTACGTTTTCCTCACACAAAATTAACATCAACCTTCAACTGAATTTACCTGGCGCACGATAGACACTAGTGTTCCAAGTTTCCAAATTATAAACTCCTTCAACCCATCGTCACATGTACAGATTGCTTGGAGGAGATCAGGTAAAACCTGAAAAAAAAAGCATATTATAGAATGAGTTAAGATAAAAAAAGGGAAAAATTCAGATGCACCATTGTTTACCAAATGTATAGTACTATCATAATTGAAAACAGGCAAGTAATAAGAGTGAAGGCTCCAGAGAGAGAATATGAAAGAACATTACGAAACTAGCCATGCCCTTTACTTCTGGAAAGATGCCAGAAATATGAAAAAGATATGAAACCAAAAGATTACACTTCCTCTCTCCATCTCTCCTCCTTTAGCCCAATTATGTATTGGTGTATACCCCTACTATCTCTTAAGTTCATTAAATTATGCTGAAATATTCAATGGCCATTTCCACCAACTTGTATACAGGTATGCGCCTATAGTAACTTATGACATTTTCTTCCTGAAAGGAAGGGGTACGAATTTCCACAATTCTCCATGAACACGTGGATATCTCATGAATCACAGATCTTACTTTACATTGCTGAAAAATAACCTCTGTAACACATTAATGCGGTATGCAGGCCTTTAATGATGCATCAGCTCCTAGCATCTGGATAATAAATCTAAATCCTCTCACAAGTCGGAAAATATTTCCCTGGACACATTACATTAGAAAATTTGCTTCTACATGAAAAAATATTCATTCTAATTGAATCATTCAATAAACACTGCATCCTCCATCGTCAAAAGCCAAGAAAAACTAAAGTTTAATTCATCAGACTGCAATTCAATCTTCAATGAACAACAACTATACTTGCTCACCAAATACTCATTGAGCAATCTGATCATTATGTTCATCTCAACAAATACTCATTGAGCAGTCATCACTCGCCTCAACCTAAGGAAGGTCCAGAAATTGGTTGTATCCTCCTCATATGTCAAATGGTAATCAGTTTGAATGTTTTTAAATATTCAGTAATCCTCTATAACGAGTCAACAGTTATTTCAGAAAAAATGTTATTAACAAGAACACTGAACCACAGGCAAAACCTAGTAAAGAGAACGTCCACTCTGCTTCAGTTGCAACATCCAGAAATATGGAACTGAAATAAAACACGAACTCGCAGATGAAGCTAACTGATGATTTATACATCTTAGCAAGTACAGAAATAAAAGTTAATGAGTACGAAAAAAATATCCAAGTGACTTTTGTGACACCTCTCGCTAGGCCATTGCTCGACGACTTTACCTTGGGCAAGTAAGGAACACAACCGAGGCCCATTGACTACATGAACAAAAATAGGCTAAGTCAGAATATGTGCTTTAACCCTTTTTTTTTAATTTACTCTTTCACTTTGTACGAATGCTCACCTTGAATATGAACATCAAAGAGCCAACAACCTTTTGATGGTAACTTGACAATGATGGATCACGAAGAATACGCATCAAGGAACTAATTGCTACCTAATGTACAGATAACATAAAGAAAATCAGATCGTCATAAGTAGTAGTACCCCATAACAAACTGAAAAAAATACATTTATTTTCTAATATGAGTACCGTAGAATAATAATCCTCTGATGTTGAAAAAGAAGGCAATAAATCTGTAGGCAGCTCATCCAGAGATCGAATATGTTGACCAGAGTCACTCACAACACGAGCCACTTCCCCATGGGATCCTGGCAAATTCTGCTGGTTGCGTTTATGAACATGTGGATCTAATGCACCCATTATCCCCAGAACCTAGGAAAGAAAAAACATCTCAAGAAACAAACATATGAAGAGAAAATAGTTGTCATCAATTTCAGCAATATATTTACCTTCAGAACTTCTCTCCTAGTGGACCACGCCAACTCACCATTAAGCAACTTTAACAACAAACCAAGCAACTGTGGAAACTCATTGTAAGGGGCAATAACGTAGCTGAAAGGTCATCATTTAGCACGCATTAGATCCTTCACAGTCATCATTACAGATGGATCAATATAAAGGAGCAATAAAGAGAAAATCAGGTGATCAGTTAAATAGCTAACGAAGGTGGAAAAACACAAAAATAAAGCATCTCAACGAGCACAAACACTGGACACAGTGTCACTTGACAAGATCCTACATAAAAAGAGAAGGATTAAATCCACTACCAAAATTCGAATCAACTTAAATGAATCAACATTCCACCTAATATAGAGGACTAAGCAGTCAGAACGATTGTTATTTTGATTAAGGTGAACAAGAGTAAAAAATGTTATCGTCTAACTTAACCATAAGACATCACAAAAATTGATTGTTTATACATGAAAACGCATGAAAAACGGTGGAAAAAATCTAAATCCTTTATCAAATGTATAGCAGCTGGTACACATACGCGTATGGAACTGTGCTTTCCAAATACAATGTTACCCTTCAAGATTACAAAGAAAAACAAAAAATAACAGCTAGATATGTGTATAAGTACCCTGTACTCTGAACAACTTCTCCAAGAGTAGCCACAGCTACTTCCCGTTTGATAACTGAAGATCCATCCATGAGAGCTTCAACAATCAGCGGCACTAGCTCACCCAGATAAGGTCTCATTTCAAAACCGCCCTGTGAACTCAAAATGAATAAATACATCAGACATGGAACACGTTTCTCTCCAAGGGGGACATTGTTTGCTCAAAATTTGATTCACAACTATGAGGGAATGAACTGATGGCAAAATGAGGTACATGCGTGCAGACTCCCACTACAGAAAAACGGGAAGTTAAGCATGCCCATATTTACGTCATATGAAAAATAAAACGAATCAGATGCTATTGGAAATTAATGAAATTGAAAAAAATGCCTAAACAGCGTCATTGCCATTGCCTATCTCAAAAATGAGAATATGGGTTCCAGGCCTACAAAAATCCGGACAACAGCATGCCCAGTCAGAAACCTAAATAAAAATAGAGTAACCTGATAAGGATCTAGAACTAATAAAAAAAGCCTAATGAGACTATTTTTATATAAGACTCTAACATATTTCATAAATTGAACAGATACGTCATTAAAAACCAATATCTCAGCAAATCACATATTCGTTCTCTCATAAAAGACACTTAAAGCGGAATAAAACCGAAATTGGAAAAGATAATGGGAAAACTGATAATATTGACGACTTCAAAAATGCAGAAATAAACTGACTGAATAAAAATCTATAATTCAGGGTACTGTCATTTTAGTCTATAAAAGGAAACTATTTTTCATCAAATGAATTGCCGATTCAGACAAATAATCGATTCAGACAAATAATGAAACAAATGCAAGCTCAATTAGGAAAGGGACTGAAGGCATACCACTCTTGCAAGATCTCCGACAGTGGCCAGCACACCGGTCATGACACCATTGTTTGCACTCGCACCACTTCCTTCACATAGTTTCGCCACAAGCACCTAAAGAGAGAATTGTCTAAGAAAATATTCACATCAGAACAAGCAAACAAACAACAGACCTTGTGAATTGGAGCGATGTAGGGAAGAATCAGCCGTTCACAATTGCGAATTAAACAGCCCAGAAGTTTTGCACTTTCCTCTCTGCATTTATTATCTGCACTGCTAACACAAGAAGTGAAGAAAATCATGGTTTCCTCTACTTACACTCATGAATTTGAAATAAACATAAATAACAGGTCTTTAGATTTATTTTCCTGATGTGAGATAAGCACGTGAAACTAGTCTTAATACTTGTTTTCCTGAAACTTTAAATCCAGGCCGCACTCTAACATTGTGCACTTTATACCACACAATTTGACGAATAAAAAGAGAAAACCAGTTTTTAGCGACTTGTATAAAGAACAACAAGAATAGATTAAAATAAACGTGGTCGTAGAATACCACTGCCTTCAATGGGAGTGTTCATTAACCAAGTGCTGAAATAAATCTTATTTCTACGAGGAGAATCTGTTCAGGACTTTCCCAGCACAATTCTCTTTGCCTTCCATACATAAACCATTTGTTCATTTATCCTCCTCCAGTCATAATCCTCTCATCAAAACACTGCTAGCTTTCATTATGTTAACACACAGCTCCTCCCCTCCCCAACCCACGAAAAAAAGCTAGGTAAGAAAGATGCAGCAGAAAAAAATGATAAATTTCCCTCTTACCTTTGTTTGAGGTAAGTCAAAAGTTGAATGAGATGTCGACGAAGTGCTGGTAGAACATAGGCAGGATTCTTTTCAGACAATCGCCCAGCAATCAGTATTGCTAGCTCACGAACGGTGAAATCCTGACAAAAAGATATTTCAAGAAACAATTCATAAGCAAACATAAATATCTCACTCTGTCGTGTACATTTAGAAAAAAAACAGTTTCAAGGATCACACTGTTTGTCATAGATATTAGAAAAGTGAAAGCACATTAAATCAACAGTGGACAAACATCTGGTTTCAAAGATTAATACCTCGTCATCTAAAGCAACAAAAATTGCACTCAAACTATCAGCCTGCGCCAAGTATTCATCAAAACCACTATTCTTTTCCATAGACTGAAATACTGATTGCCTGACGATAACATCGGCATCCACAACAGCTGCAATTAGAAGTTTCTCCACAATCTGCAGAAACGATCAAACTTCAAGAAAGTACAAAAGAAATGCAAAGAAAAAATGTTTTTCCCCAAGTCAGAATACTAAAGATTAAGAATAAGTAATGAATGCAAAACAACACCCAAAGCTGCTAGCAAGGATGGGATAGTTGAAACATTCCTAGAATGCACTTGCAGTGTTATGCACAAGATGATATCATGTAGCACGTAAATGTATGCAGATGTAATAGATGTTGACATGAACTACCTACAGCTCCAGTTAGAAAAAAATGCATTTATACATCAAGGCTTCAAAAGGACGAAATTAACTACAGTATTTAAGAAAGAAGCCAATCCAAATTCGTTGCCAAAAGATACGATCAATCAGAATTAGCCATCAAAACCAGGATTAGTTAGCTAATGACGCAAGTGTCTTGATTGACCGATGCTTGAAACAATGACGAATAGAAACGGGAGGAAATCAGTATGCCAAGCTTTCAATAAAGAAACATTACACCAATTCCTGCAAACACACCTATTGTAATTCTGAAGATATTCAATACACTGTGCATGATATGCTGCTTCCCAATCAAGTCAAAGATGCCCTGGACATCACCAAGGCAATTTAAAATATAGGCCAACCGTAAAGGACGACTTCCCCAAGAATAACGGGAACAAATGTCTTGCACTACACTAGAATATCTTACTTTAGTTCCAAGGGTATAGATAAAGACAAGACAGATTAGTAAATTTCCTTCTCCGTTAATTTTCTTCATCTCAGTCTTGCAACAATCTTTTTATGAGGGAAAGTTCACCAGTAACCACTCCTAACCATCCAAAAAAGTCCAACCTAGAATGCAAATTTCTAGATCACAAGAGTCTGTGGGTTTAAATATTTCACTACACTTGTTAATAATGAGGTGCTCGTTTTCAAAGGTGATTGATCAGATATCATAAGATCGATTGTTTTAGATGAACCAGACGATTTCAGTTTCTCATGATGAATCTGATCCGCAGTATTCAATCACAACATAGAATTTCAATTGAAATAATAAATCACATTTTGCAAATAAAATGTATCATAAGATCACGTGAATCTGGCCTCAGTAAGATTAAGCAATGTAAATGTCTGCATCCACGTTTCATCCCTGTACTTTTTCCACAAGAATCAAAATAGTGAAGTATAACTTCTCCACACTTTTGAATGTAAGTGAAAATTTCAAACGAGGTGTGGGTATATTTGTTATTATATTTGCCCAATCTGATAGCACTTCTATTGATAGTGCTTGAAAGTATGTTTGAACCGAACAAATTCATTTGCCCAATAGATCACCTTTTTCAAACTACGCAAGCCAATATAATCACTGTCCAACATTTCAATATTAAAATGGCAATTACATGCAGATTTTTCATCCAGGACCATAAGCTTTTAAGTTTTCATCGGCGCAGTAGTCTGGAACATATAAATGAATTGTCAGAAACATTCTTAAAGTCTATATACTTCCATGGGCAAAATCATATTTTTGATTGAATTCATGTGGAGAAATCATTCTACTTAACAAGGTTGACTAAAAAAAAGGTAGAGAACATACTTTCCAGCAATCACAATCATGAACAAAAACGTGCTTGAAATAAGCAAAATATTTAACATCCAATATGCTTGAAGCTTTTAGAAAAAATGAACGAAAAAGCAAAAACATTGTAAGATCAAACTCAGTTAAGGATATCTTGGGATGGTGATTCAACAGAGTTAAGTGGTATGACTCTTGAGTACTCGTATTTTCTTTCATCATAAATGGCCCATTAATAACGACCTTCATAGGAAGGCAAGGGTTTTCAGGATCGATAGCATCTTCCTCAAGCTACCGCGTCACATTCCCTTACTTGGTGGGTGGAAGGCGGGCTTGGAAGCTTTTTGAACGATTCTAGCTCTTAGTGTCCAAATACTCATAAGGTTGGGTCAATGCCCATTGTACTCTTTCCTATCGATATGATTGTACCGGTCATCAGCTCCTGGAACTAGCAAATCTAGTCACATGTGGTTGATGTTCTCATGTTTATAAAGTCCAACTTTTTTAAAAAAACGCCAATAGTTTGGAGAGCTATGGAATTAAAAACGAAAAAAATCATGTTCATGGAGATCATCTAAATGAGAAAAGCTTGTGCAATATTTCAAACCTCTTCAGTAGTGAGGCGGCGGCGTCTTCCACCATTATTTCGAGTGGACCGACTTGATGCAAACTGAGAGCCAGTCATTACAGTAAAAGAGTTCGCAATTAATTTACAGCAACAAAGAGCAGCATCTCTCCGTGTTGTTCCATCCTCATCCTCTAAATAGCCAACAACAGATTCTCTAGCAAATTCAAGAAGCTCGTGACCCTGCAAACAACTCAAATTAGTACTTTTCACCATAGGGAGGCACATTTGCACTAAATTAAAATAATATTAATAATAATTCATTTTTTTCCTGAGAATTTATCAAATAGCAAGTATAGGTTAAATAGTTAAACATATGACAAACCTTGAAATCGAAATGAGCTAATGTTCTTAAAGCAAGTTGAGTGAGAGATGAGCTGCCAATCTCTGACATTTGCTGGGCATGGTTCGTGATATTTACACGACCAGTACCTATCGCAACAGAACCCCTAGCCTGTGGATAAGGGATCCTCGAAAGTGCCAAAGAAATGCAATCCAGTAGCCGCTCTTGCACATTTGACAGTAATGATGGAATACTGAAAGAAAACATGACGTTGCAGTTCAAGGAACATCTATGCAGTAAGAAAGAAAGAGAAAATTATACTTAAGGAAGCAGTGAAGAATATGGCATACCTGACAGTGATTTGTTCAAGTGCTTCGACTAGAGTGGGAGAAAGACCAGAAGAGAACATGGCATCTAGTAAAGCACGTACGTGAGGTTCCATTGCAGTCTTCATGGCGTTTGCAAAGCTCCCCACACAAGCCAATGCCTCTTGGGAAGGTTTACCCCTTCGTGGGGCAATCTGTGGCCATACAATAAGTAAGAACAATTAGATGGCAATAACAATTGAGGACAGCACAAGATTTAAAGAAAATGGTAATAACATACAGCCTCGCGCAGGTGCGAAGTGATTGTAGGCAAATATTGAACTAGTTCCCCATCCAGCGCACCAGCCATTTCTCCAAGAGCTATGAACCCACTGGCACGTTCAGCTGGGTTGCGCAAGACAGCTAAAATGTGGTCCATGCAAATCTATATTGAAAACGATATCCAATCAAGACATGAGAAAAAAAGATACAATCTAGAAAACACTTATGCAGTTACCTAGTTTACCCATTGGTACGAACTACAAATGAGCGAATGGAATATGTGACAAGGTTCTTAAAAAAAATCAACAAAGTTCTGTTCCAGTCAATTCCAGAAATCTTTAAAGAATAAAAGACACAAATAAACCTTCAAATAGTTGGTGACAAAACGGTCACGCAAAAAATGTGCAATACGAGGGAGCAACGACGTTATGCTCAGACGAACGAGTGGGTCCCGGTGATCCATGTATCTCAGAAAGATATCCGCCACCTCTCTGTACCTTGACATCATAAATTCCCCAGTGTTCCTGAAAAGTAACACATTTTCTATAAGATAGCCTAACCATATACAACTGACATGAAATAAAGTTAATTTACCTCAACAGCTCTCCAAGAGAAAGCAATGAACCATGAATACTGGGAACCGATGCATTTTTTCCCAGCCCATCTTGTGTGGCTTCAAACATCACATAATACCTTGTCAAAGAGAGGATACATAGATTAGACTAAAAAAGTTACAGAACAAAGAAGCAAGTACCAAGGGTGTAACAACAGAAAGAAAACTAGATAAAAACGTTCAGACATCAAGAGAAAGAGGAGATCTGTCATACTCAAACCACGAAGTTGCTCCATATAAAAACTTGCCACTTGAGGTTGTGAGAAAAACTCTACATAAATTACTTGGACTCACGAAGAAAGTCAACACATAAATGAAACGGAAAAACAACTTAGAAGATGCTAAAGTCAGAACGATCACATAAACTAGTAACAATCTGAATAAATCAACCAACAGGCACAGTTACAGGAAAAATTAGAAATTCCAGCATACCTTACATTCAAAATAATCCAAAACAAAAGTGATATCAACAGACAAACTGTCATAGCAAAAAAAATGAAACGGAACGAATTTTTTTATTTGTATAACATCCAAAAGCCAAGACCATGAGGATTCCTTACCTAATGGAAGAATGCACAAAGGTTCAACGGGAAAAGAAACGAGATATTATGAAGTCCAAGGGTAATATCTCATTAGCAAAAATGCAGACGAAACCAAAAAAACACTCAGAACACATTTTTCTATTGCAAAGACTAAAATCCAGGCAAAAAAAACCACACTGCAGAGAAACAGGTGCACAACCACGGATGATTATCCTCACAGATAATAATATTACAGCTCTCAAATAGCTAGCATACCATTGCACTCGCCATCTTGTCTCACGCTTCTCTATGACACGAAGACAGGCTCGCAAAGCCTCTACAGCTCGTTCCCGAACAAACAATTTTGGATCCCTCAAAGCAACCCATATGGCATCAACAAATTCAGGCACGTGAACATTAAAAACTGTTGAGGCATTTTCTGCCATTTCCTATAGGAGAAGAACAAGTAAATATTATTAAGCTGGACCAGCAAAAAGTGCATAACAATAAAAAATCTTGATCAACTACAGTAAACAGTTTTTCAGAATAGTCCATCAATTAGAAGGTGACAACCACACACATTGAAAGATGACAAAAACGACTAGGAGGCAGCAATCAAATTTTGAACATCATTAAACTTACTTTTAAAATAAGACAAGCAGCAAAACGGCGATGCTCTATCCTGTCGCCCCGTAGCCAATCCAATGCAGTTTTCACCTGATCATTATCATTTAATTGATGAGTCTAATTTAAAGAAAATCAGAATCCAAGACATTCCAAAGGAACCAACAAACCTGACGCTCGACTTCATCTGCAGTCATTGTGCCCCCTGCACGGGCTAGATGACCTAGTACTTTACTAGCAAGAACGAGAACTTCATGATCACGCTTTACCTCAAATACAGTTCGCAAGCAATTAGAAAATTTTGAGACCTTAGAAGCACCCTCCTCTAGAGTAACACCAATCAACTCATCTAGTGCCCTCAGAGCCGCCAAATTGTCGGCAACAGAATTACTTTCTAGAAGAGAAGGAATACGATCATATATTTGATCCATTTAAGAAAACAGTCCGCCAGTGTCCTCTTTCTCAAAACCCAATTCTGAATCGCCCTAAAATTACAATTTACAGAAAAACAAGATCAGAGGCATGACTATAATTACACATGAAGAATCATAAGATTTCAATAAATATGCTGATAAAAATATAATGCCATGAAGGAAACCAACGCAAAAAAAAAAAAGAAAAATGTCGTGTAATTTTCAAAAGAATTACACAGGAAACAGTGAATATTTCGAGATAACAAAAGAGGATCCAATCATTCTGTACTTCATAACTGAAAACCGAAAATATTAAGTATCATTCTATGAACGTAATGATTAAAAACAAGAGTGCGACTACAGTATAATCCAAGGAGAAAACTAAAAAACCTAAATTGTATTCTGCCACTACAATCGTATAACAAAATAAGGGAATAGAAAAGATCGGACGAGGTTCACAGGCCATGTACCACGTACTATAATTAATATCTCTGTTTCAGAAAATGAGAGTTCCTTAAATCTTGGAAACTCTGCTTGGCATGCTTCAAATGGCTCTTCATTATCCCCTCTCTTTCAGGGGGCAGGGCTTGCTTAGCTAAACAAAAATTGTTGTCATATTGAGACGTTATAATCATTTAAAACCAGATAATCCAACGGGCTGGGAACGAATTGGCTAAATCTAAAAGGATAAGGCGATCATGATGTGCTCGATCGTCATCATATTTCAAGCAGTTTTATCTAAACCCGATAAACTCTATGCAGTTCAATATGAGCGAATGCAGGAACATTCCAAAATTCAATCCGAAAGTTTTTTCTCATTATCCCGCACATTTGAGATGCAAAACTTGATGAGAATGACCAGGTATCAGCCAACTATGATGAGTTCGAGCAAGTCCAATCAGAATCGGCCATTTCAAACAGATCAATCACAAAAAAGAAACCGAGTTTAGCAATAATGTAGGATTCAATATAAATATCAATGGCGATCTGACGCCTCCCCAAAATTGAAAAAAGGATAGGGTTCCGATTCTGCTTTAGATCATACAATTCTGGGTCCCATGGTAGGAGTTCCATGCAACATATCTTCTAAACTTCACCCAAAACCCTCTCATCTTCATTCGCAAATCCATGATAATTATCTCTTACGTCTTTAAAAAAAGTGGCACTAAAATCAGAACGATAGATGTCCAGTAAACAAAGTGTATTTCATCTATAGGTAAATGATAAAATCTTACCTAGACATTTCTTACATTCTCTGACAAGCTGGAAATCTCAATGTTCCTCATCAAGCACTACCTTTTAACGCTCAAATAACATTCAAAAAGGAAAAACCATTTTCATTTCGTTGAAGTAAGAATGATGTTGACACTATCTTTCACACATTGCGTCCATGGAACTCGAGCATGTTTTCTTCCATCCATACCACGTTAAAATGGGAAAATAAAACGCTACAATTCGTTCGACCGAGTGTAACACTTTTTGGAATATTGGCCTAATCATCAATGAGCTCATTTCCAGTACAATGCCTCAATTTTTTTCATGAAATTTTTACTTAGAAGATTACTATCACGAAATTCAAGAGCATTCTCTTAAAACAGTCAGAGTGCACCGTTGGCTTCAGAATTTCACGAATTCATGGTTTTCATTTTTTTTCCGTGTAATCGTATGAAAACTCCCAGGAAGTTATCAGCATCCATAACATAATCGTATGAAAACTATAAGAAAATATTTAAAAATAAATGTGAACATTGTCCAGGAGAAAGATGTTTCCGATTGATAAGAAAACACCCAATGATAAAGAGACATTTTGAAAAGAAGATTTTTCACGGTTTTAAGCATCAACTTCTTAAAACATTTGAATTCTCTCCGAGGCGGGACGTGAACTGAGTGTAGCCCAGTAGGCCATGCCAACATCCCCCCAACCCAATCCCTGCAGAAACCACGTCGTAATTTTGACGACACCTACGACTAGTTTCTTTCTTCTGGGTTTAACATGCAAAACAATAAGGAAAAATATTCAACATTTTGCGAAATGCACAGACAGACAGAAAAAGACTTGCGTACGAGAGTTCACCCCACATAACACATGCCACAAACAGTTTCACTGTACAATCCAACCTGCAACCATTCGCGCAACAAGTGACGGGCATTTATCAAGCGGGCATGCATCTCTGCCCCATATAGCGTCCACCTTGGCTGCTACGCCGTTTAGCCATATATGTTCCCAAGTGCAGAGAAAAAAATAACTCAAGCAAACATTAATTCGATGCATAGCATTATGGATGCCAACATAAATAAGGACATACAAGCATAGACAGGGCGTCAGGCACATACCCTTTATCTCAAGAACGGCACCAGGTCGAGATTGCCCAGATGACAACAACGGCACTGAATCAGGAATGCAGAGCACGGCGATGGAGGACGACGACGACGACGACGACGACGACGACGACTGCTGAGGAAGAACATCCGAACCCACGGCGACGGATAAAAACCACAGTAGAACGACGAGATCGGAGAAGATCACGAGGGAGCGGGGCTCTACGTCACGGTTAGGGCTCCGAGCAGGGATGGCGCTGGGTTAGGGTGTAAGGGTTCCAGGGGAGAATGAAAATAGTGAACAAGCACTACCCACAGGATTATGCGCACCGGCGCAAAGACGACGAGCACAGGGGACAAACCTGACCAAAGCAAATGGCGATGACGACGCCGATGGACGACCATACAGCGGGGCGAGCCTAACTTGAACGGCGGCTGGAGGTCAATGGCGCCGGAAGATGGGATCGGCGACCAACGGTACTACTCTTCAGGTTACAGAGCCCTATCCCCCATCATATACCCCATACCCACGGGAACCTGACTGTGAGTGACCCGACCCATGACGGACCAAGGAATGTTCTTTCCGCCATTACCACATCCAGTTATCTCCGATTGCCCCTGGCTTTGAAATAGTGCCCATACTTGGGGGGCAATATTCCAAAGGCAATAAACTACAGGTATCCCTTGCATATTTTGCTTTTCTTTAACACGTGTCCTATATTAATCCGTCGCGGCCCATAAGGCACTTTTGGGCCGGTCCATCCCGCCTGATCACCCCCCCCCCAATTTATTTAAAATTACGGACTGCCCCCTAAACTTGTGTAAACTAATTTTCCGGACAAAAAGATTATCTATGTAAAATATTTTGCATGGGAAAAAAGGGGCAGCAAAAGTGACCGAGATATTTCCTAAAATACAGCCACGCTGACTATGGATTGACTACCAGTGAAGACGTCAACATTTTGACTTTCATTCATTTTGATGGCCCAAAGGAGGCCCAATTCAATTAGTAGACCATGTTCAATTAAAAAAATGTTCTTTTATAAAATAATAATTAATTAACTATTTATTCTAATATTTTTTAGATTACCAAATTTGGGTAACAGCATCTTCTCCCTCCCAAAGACACGATGAGAGTGGAAATCTTGCTTTATTCTATTAGAGATCTCAAATATGAGAACTACTACTGGAGGGATTGGGAGCTATGTCTGCTCCATGATTTCCCCTTGATTCACTAGAGAACCATCTCATAGGGAGATTGTGAGTGCTCTAGCTTCATGATTCCTTGACTTTGTTCACTTTTTGATAGAGGGATCACAAACTCTTACTTGGCTCCACCTACATTTGTTGGAGAACTATTAGATAAAGAGGTTGTGCATGCTCCATCAATAACAAATGATTGAGCTTCATGATTTCAAATGCTCTTGATCCATAGCTAACATTAATAATGGTAAATAAAGAAGGCATGGGATTATTCCTTGTCAAGTTACTTATAGAATATTGACAAGCCTGAGAAATCCTCATTGTCAACAAACCTAAGGCTTAACCACTATTAATTGTCATCATACGACATAACATGTTAGCAATAAGAGACATCAGCTAATAATTAACAAAAGCAGATGTCACTTCAATGTTGCAAAGTAATAGATACAAATAGATAGCTCTGACAAAAGATTCAAGAGATTGACTATCTCTAATATAATCATTATCTAGATTTAAGTGTTAACTTCCTCATCTCTAGTCCTTGAACTTGAACTCCTTCCACCTCTATCATCTTTCCTTCTCTGATACTTTGAAATCTCCAAAGACTTTTACATGGAAGCTTTATCTAAGAAAGTTTTTTTGTCCCTAAGAGTATTATTTTCCTCTTCTTTTCTTGGGGAACATCATAGTGATATCAAAGTCATGCTGCCCAAAACCAACAACCCTAAGATGGACCTCTTTGAGAAAAAGTTAGAAGATATTTGAAAGGTCAACACCAACTTTCAATGGAGCATGGTGTCATTGCAAACATAAGTCAACTCATTTCAAAAATAAATCATGTGACTTTGACAAAATTAGGCTACATCACAAGTGCTCTCAACTACTTGTGGCAATAAAAACCTTCAAAGGATCCCCCTCACAATAAGAATAAGATCAACTAATTTTTAAGAAAATTCAATAACAATCAGGTAGAGCTTGATGACTTGGAGGCAATGACCAAGTCAATAACCAATCTAATCATTATAGCCCTCGTCATATTATACCTTCCCTTCACATAGAATCATGACACAAATGGCATAGACCCGAGATATTAGTGTTTAATTGTCATGATCCATAAGGTTGAATTTTTCTAACATAATTGTATATCTCAATGCATCAACTCTCAATTGTGGAGAAATTGTCGACAACTTATACAAGCTTCAAGAGAAAAGCACTCACTTAATTCAAATGAACTAAAATAGATGAATTCTTCCATACTTGATTAGACCTTTGGTGCTAGCTCTTTGAGCACTTCAACTCTAACCAAATATATTCTTTCTATCAAAAATTCTTAGACATCAAACATATAGGCTCTATCATAGAGTATTGAGAAGAGTTCAAGTTGATGATCGCAACCTCCAATCACCTCCTCAAACAAATTCTCAAAAGCACTTTCTTCAAAGGCTTAAGAGAGAAATTAAAGTTGAGATAGTTTTGCTCAAGCAAGTGGACATCAAGATCATGATGAGGACAACTCAAAAGGCCAAAATCAAACATACAGAGTTGAAGGAAACAACCACAAGGGGAACAAGTCATGGGTCCTCTACACTAGAAGTCTTGACCTCAAGTTGTAGTATTTGATGCCAACCATTTTTGGAGTATAGTCCCTCAATGAATCTTAGCGGTAAGGGAAGAAGGTCTAATATGGCTCTATAAGAACCAATTGTTAAAGACAACATACAACTCCAATTAATGTCAATAGAGATCCAAGTCCAATAAGGTCAAATGCTTTATTTATGTTACAACAATAAATATTTATTGAACAATATTGTTGCAAACAACTATAAGTCTTTGTCATTCAAGAAGAAATTCAAATGAAAGCTCCAAATAAAATTAGTACTTTAAAAAAATAAAATTAACCTTAATGAAGATGATGATTTTACTAACCTTAAAGTTAATATACTGATTAAAAAGTCTTTCACTCAAGCTTTCAAGTTCTAGAGAAGATCAGCAAATATTTTGTTATGATTTTGGTAGACACACAGAGCTCTCACAATTTCATCTCATAAGTGACTGTTGACAAATTCAAGCTTCTAACTTTAATCATCTCTTCCTTCTAAGTTGTCACGGGGATGAGAGATAAGGTATAAAGAGCCTTAACATATTATAATATTTTTCTTGAACTATAAATGCTACATGTCGACAAAGAGTTTATAGTATTTTCTTTGATGACTATAGATCTTATGTTTAGACTACAATAGTTAAACATACTATAGAAGGTCAAATTAGATTTCATAAATTATACATCTTCTATCACCACCAAGGATTAGTGGATCATCTTATAAACACAAGCTCCAATTCACTAGCAACATTCTACAAGCCCATAACTTTGATGATCAAATTGTTCTAGATTATGAAAAAGGATGATCAACTAAAGACGTCTCTTTCTAAAATATTTAGAAATATTTGCTTCAAGAGAAGGTCTACCTTCCTTCCATGACATCAATCACTCTATCTAACAAATTGGGGGCATTTGACCCATCAAAATTTGACATTTTTAGTACCCTTACTTTTAGAAGATACAAAATTGAGAAGATGGTCTAGGAAATACTGACAATAAGTGTGATAACCCTCACAATCTTATACAAGCTTAACTTTGTTGCTTTGAAATAAAGACAAAATGTGATATTTTTGTTTCAATTGTAAAGTAGTAAATTAGGCGATTATCTTGGTGATTTCTAATTTTGATCATTAAAAACTTATTATATGAGTTACATAGCACCACTACCTTCTCAAGCCTAAATCTTTGATTCAACTATCACCATATTAGAATTAAGTGAGGATGTGCCTAAAACATCTTTTAGGAGTCACAAAAGACACTATGAATTCTTCGTAATGTCATTTGAAATGTCCAATGCATCAACGACATTCTAGACACTTATGTCTTGTATTTTTAGTCATCTCTTTCACAAATTAGTTTTTATTTTCTTTGATCACCTCTTAGTATACAACAGATATCATGATTTACATCGAAAGTACACCTGTCAAGTCTTCTCCTTTCTCTACAAGCACCAACTCCACATCAATCCTATAAGTGTGTCTTTGATTAGACAAAGCTTATTTACTTAGGCCACGAGATATTCACAAGGGACATTTGTCAACAATGACGATGTAAAAAACTATTAAAAGCTCACCTCTACTCACCATTTTCTAAGTGCTCCATGGGTTTTTCGGCCTCACTAGATATTATCAAAGGTTCAACACAAACTATGACTCCATCATGTGGCCTTTGAAACAACTATTAAAGAAAGATACTTTCTAATAGAGTAAGAAGTCAATCACAACCTTCTAACCCCTTAAGGTGGTACTCACCAACCCTTATGTGATGACTTTTCCTAACTTTGCAGATCCATTTGAGTTGGAAGTAGGTGCGTTGGGTCTTCCTATTGAGGCAGTGCTCATATAAAAAACATTGACCAATCATCTTTTTTAGCCAAACCCTTTCCTTCATGGGACACTTAATAATGGTGTATGAGTGAGAACTAATGACAATCATCATCATAATTTTAAAGTGGTGACATTATCTACTTAGTTATAAATTCACGATCTTTACATATTAACGAAACATAAAATATATCTTTGAATAGCAACATCATATTTTCAAATATGATAAATAGTTATATAAGATTATGAGCTTAAACTTTAAAGTTTACTATAAGATGAGCAAGGACAACAAGGCTGCATATGCATTCTCTAATTGACCTCAATCCAACCAATCATAATCAATGACCATAAAAGACTTAGAGGTCATAATCAGCCAGTCACACTAAGTGAAGAGTTTTGACATGACCTCTACCTCTCTAAAATCTTTTTGGCTCTTGATGATATGATATGTGTTTGAGAAGATGTTTCAATGGACTTCATCAAATGACTTTCTTAATAGACTAAGCAAATGTGTACTTCAATGCCTCAAACACCCCTTCATTGTGTTGGAAGTCATTGTATTATTTATCAAGAAAATTGTGTCTCAATGGTATTCTATCCTCCATCCTTACAAACAAAGATTGTATCTTCGTGAATAATTTTTAAAAGAATTATTTTAAATCCTAGGGTCATGTATTTGTTGAGTAAATACATATCACCCCTAGGAGAATGGCCAAACTAAAATGGTCAACTACAACTTGGAAGCATAATTGTGATCCCTTGTCAAAGAATTGTCATGCCCGTGGGTCAAGTGTTTAGCTTGGGCAAAGTTCTAGTTCAACATGAACTTCAACTCCTCCACTAGCACCACTCCTTTTTGGGTTGTATACAGTCACAAGCCTCCATCTCCCATAGTATACTCCCACTCTGCCAAATTAGATGCAATCAAGCATCAATTGCAAGATTAAGATGTTTTGACGAGCTGAAGCACCACCCTAACTTTGCCTAAAATCGTATGAAAGTATATGTCAACAAGAAGTGATGGGAGCTAGAGTTCAACATTGAGGACCTCGTCTTCCTCTAACTTCACCTCTTTTGCCAAACCTTGCTCAAAGGCTGGCCCAATTATAAACTAGGCCCATAGTAGTATAGGTCGTTTGTGGTCCTCCAAAGGATTGACATAGTGGCTTATCACCTAGATCTATTAGCCTCTTCTAGCACCTACTCAATCTTCCACATGTTGCAACTCAAAAAAGCCCTCAACATCAATAATGATGGACACCCAAGCTCTACCCTCTGCCTTCGAATTGTATGACTCCTTCAACCTAGTGGAACTCCTCAACACAAAACAAAGCTCACATAGACTTGAAGTGCTTATTCAGTGAGATAACTAACACCCTTTCAAAGCAACTTAGAAACCTACTTGCAACATCCTCCAATAGTTTCCTCACCTTCAATTGTGGTTGAAATCAATATTCGAGGGAGGAATATTGATAGGACACTAGTGAACTTGAGATATCCCTATCACCAAAGAACATGAGGTTTAACCACTACTAATTGTTGTCAAATTGACATGACCTATTAACGATAAGAGATGTCAATCAATAATCACCAAAAGCAGATGCCACTTCAATCTTGTGAACTGGCGGCTATAAATAAAAGGCCCCGATAGAAGATGGGGCCTAAATGAGAAGTAGTCGAGTTCTAGAGATTGATCATCTCTAATTCGGGCACTATCTAAATTAGGTTGTGATCTTCCTCTTCTGAGGTAATCAAACTCGAACACCCTCCATCTCTGTCATCTTCCCTTCTCTTGTACTATAGAATCTCCATAGACTTTTGTACCTTAAGTCAATGACTTTTGTACTGTGTGGAAGATTTATTTCAGGAGTTTTTTTGTCCCTTTGAATATTCTCTTCCTCCTCTTTTGCTGGACTCCCATCAGTTACTCGTAAGAGCGCTAGAGAGGGAGGAGGTGGAGAGGTCAGTGATCTCCAAACTCTACAATTATAGGTTTGATAGCTCTCATCACCATTTGTCTCCCCTACTTTGATCGGCTGCTTGGATTCTTTTGTGGGCTCATTTTCACCTCAACTTCTTGTTTTGGTAAGTCTAAGAAACCATATCACCTGCTGATTTCAGTATTTTTCAACCAACTAAAGATGCCTTCCTTGTGCAGCTTCCATCCATCATGTGAATAAGCCGAAATCATTCAACGTTGGGGTTGCAAGTTGGGTAAGATCACTGATTCTTCTAGTGTAGAATCACTGATTTATTCCATTCGTCATTTTCTTTGTGCGATGGAAAGAAAGTTAGATGGCAACTCTGGGCTACTCCGTCAGCCAACAAAGGCTTGTGCCAGGTTATCCCTGCGAGTTTAAAGAAGGTTCTGGCTACGGTCTTGGCCTTTCCACTCCATAAGTACATGTCCTGATCATTAATGGAAAGAGAGTAGGGTGAAAGAGCCAAAAATAGGAAAGAAAAAGAAGGCACGGAAGTCAATACTGGCGGGGAGCTGAGATGTTAAGGTCTAGAACAGTCAAATGATTTAAGCAACATAAATAAAACAGGACCCAAATTATCAACAGCATGAGGTGATCATCAACAGCCAGTTATGTGTGGTGCTCGGCGAATCACGAGAATTCCACCAAAATGTGCTCCCAAGGATTGGAATTTTGCCAGGCCTAACCTGACTTCTTCGCTGCCTCTCTTCACATTCCCGGCAAAAATAGCAAAACTGAGTTAACGTGCCTCATTTCCACTGGGGAACGGGAGCAAAACTAGGGTTGGCCGTCACTCCCAAAGTGTTTCTGGATGTCCTGGAACGATACAGTAGCAGAGCCCCTCCTTTTGGACTTCTGCTGAGAAGGGTGCTCTTTCCAGCCCGTCATGTAAATCACCTGTGATGAACAGCCAGAATGCCGTCAGCCGCAAGTCCTCAGAACCAAGATTCAGTTGAGGGGAACATATCAGGAAAGAAAGATTCAAATCGACGATGATCCACAGCAATGAGGTCCTCCAGTGTGTGGATCATCCACAAAGTGACAACTATACACTGCAGTACCTGAAATGTTGCTGGGACAGTCCCATCTTCTGTCGCAAACATTGAATCATACACTGCAGCAGTAGCAATGGCTGTTTCCTTCTTCAGAGTCTACATCCATTCAAAGAAGGAATCGACGTTGGGATGATTTGACATTTGTATGTATGGGATATAGCTTAGGAATTCGATGGACTTGGAAATGAATCAATGATTCGACGTCAGAATAAAAGAAACTTTATTGGGAAACCTCACCTTGTTCCTTTGCAAAAGAGCATTGGTTTCACCCATCATCCTCAGATGTTCGATTAACTCCAAAGCTAACATGTGAACACAGAATGACTCGAAAGCTGAGTGATCTGTCGCGAAAAAATTATTGCGCAGGCAAATCTAGGAAATTTCATCATGTAAAAATCATTAGAACATTTTTCGGTGTGAAGTATTTAAGAAGGCGGTTCACATACTTCTTCTTAGCATAGAAGTGCTATCAACCTTTAGGGAGAAGGAGACTTTATCAGGTACCTTCCGCAAAGTGGTAGTTTCATTCAGTTCAAGTTTCCAGCCGCTTAAGGAAGAGGGTTCACATGCGTTTATGGGGGGGTGTGCTCTGAGGGATTGAGAGGTACCAACCGACTCAAAAAAAAAAATCCATGCGCAATGGCACCCACGAGAAAAATGGTTTTCTACCTTTCCAATATGATATCTGACTTGTAATTATGTGGGAATGGAACAGTGGAACGAAAATGAGAAATCTGAATAGTGGCAAACAACTACACACACGCAAACAACTATTTCCCTGATGATACGGATAAAATTCAAATGCTTGATCATACAGTGGCTATGAAACAGAGAAGGTTTGAGCTGCTAAATTTGAGGAGAAGAATGTTGCACCATCAGAGTAAATGTTCTACTGAGTTTAGCCAGTACGTACCACTCTCATATCTGACAGTAAATTCATCCACATCAACTCCAGGAAGAGAGAAGCCAGCCCTCGTTAAAAGATTACCTGCGTCACGTACCTGAACAAAATGGAATGGAAGTTCTCATGCAGGAAGGGCCGCGCATGCCTGTTGATGGCCGTTACTTATAATGCAATGCTTAGTCACTGTAGTTTCATCCTTCTATTATTCAGATGACAAATTCAAATACCACGTCGTGTGATGTATTTGTTCAGCTAGTTGATCTAGGCTTTGAGTCCTTCAAGACAGTGACCAATTAGTTACTCATACATTGGCCAATGAGGCAGACCTAAACCAGTTGAGATCGTTATTGTCTCCCTTTGGCTGCAACAGGCTGATCAAGCGGATCCTACAGGCCCATCTCAAACCAACCGTGTGAATCTCAATGGTCCATGACGAGGGTGGAAGGCGGTGACTAATGGCACTACTGATAATGACGCTGATCACACGAAGCAGCTAATAATAGTGCTGGCAAGCGAACGGGGGGATTCCTTTTGTATAGATTGATAATGGCGTGGAGATGAGGCTGACCATGCAGAGCCCTGGTGGGGACAGGAAACGACCCGCAGTGCAATATTCTTCAGTCAGTGGTCAGCAGGAGTGAGGCGAGAGGGTGATTTCTTTTCTTATAAATCTTTATTGTGATCCCTCAGAGAAGCCTCTGATGCTAACTCAGGATCATCGAAGAGTAGTTCATTATTACATGCCAACAAAATTAAACGAAAACAATCTTTCACGATGTCATAATAATGTATTCACTTGCATATGGGATCTGGTTATCTGTGATAAACTGATACAAATTTGTTGGGAGAGTCATGCTGGCAGTCTAGGAGATGCTTCTGGGCATTAAAAATAACAACACTAGAGAATGATCAGGAACAAGAGAACAAAGACGATGGACAACTCGATATCAACATACTCGCTAATCAATGAAATCGAATTCCTGATCAGCTAACTTTAGCTGCTAAAAATATAAAGTAAGGTGTTATTGGACACATGCGGGGGCAGAAGGAAGATATTTGAGAAAATTTGCTGTGATCTGGAATGGGTAAAAAAGAATTAGAAATATTTTAATATCATGAATATAGAAAACCCAATGATCTGTCATGATCATAGTACACCACGCACTACAAAAAAATCTCACTCTGATCTTCACAACCAGCTAAAGCCGTATCATAAAAAGTTACTTACTTGTGCCAGGGGAGATAATCGGGGACTTACTCCTCCCTCACGCTCCATTTGTGCAATTGTACATGCTATTCTTAGCTCCCTGACAATTATTCCAAAGAGATAATAAGAAGAACAGTAAGATGCCGTGATCAATCACAAATGCTTCTACTTCAAAACTGAAGGGAAATAAACAACTTTAACGTTTCTCCACCAAGAATAGCCGCTAAAAACAGGCCATCAGGCTTCAGCGCCAATCTGCACTGCCATTGGTACACAGAATACTTTAGAAAAACGCATGTGCCCAAAGTACGTGCAAGCAGCAATATGAAATAAATCACTACCGAGAATGCCAAAGAAGGATTGCAAGAACAATGGTCGGAATCAGTTACTTGTATCATAGCTCCGGGAAGATCATTAGTCCAATGAAGTCCCAAACAACTGATTATCAAGTCGACGGAGCTTCCAAAGCAAATGAATCACCGAATAAATTAATAAATAGCATTAAACTATAACTTTAAAATAAGCTATACAACTGATTACACTGCAAGAAGTAAATAGACTTCCTTACATGCATTACCAAGAATATGATAAAGAAACTTACTTCTCCTTAACTGGGAGGAATTCCTCATCCCCAACCACATAAGATGTCTCAAGATTGTCACAAGGCAGATCCTTTTCAGAATCTTTGAGTTTTCTAACCATATCAGAAGACATATCCATCATAATGAGCTTTTCAATCGAACCTGAAATTTGACAGCAAGTTGGCTAACGAATGAATTTCCACCATGTTCGTTAAAATCCCAAAAACGAAAGAGTCCATATGCAAAATGATAAAACAAACATACAATCTGAGAAGATCCATTTACATGTCTGGCAGAATTGTAGCATTCTCTAAAATGCTGTGCTTACTAACCTCAAATGCAAATGCAGAAATATAAAAGATTTATTGGGAGTGTTCACTTTACTGGATGCTGTTACCAAACAGAACTCAAGTTCAGAAATAGTCGGACTATACCAACCACATCTTGAGATATTCCCAGATTGATGAGATGCTACTTGGTGACAATGATGATATATGCCCAAGTGTTGGTCCAAAAATGACTTATGGAAGGAGGTTACATAGAGAGAAATGAAGAAGACAGACAATCAAGTGATTACACATTATCGTGTAATGTAAAATATTTTTCTTCCCTAAATTGAATATTATCCGCCTAATTCTGGAGATATCATGGATACAGAAGATTTGCATGGAAATTATGTATTCGATGCTGATGTTGTCCATTCTTTTCTTGTGGGAAATTTTTTCTGTGCCCACTGCTCAAAAGAATATCGTTGATTAATCATCAAACAACAAATTATTAGCAAAACATTTCTCCAATTTCGGCTCTTTATCATTTCTGACCACTTGCTATGCTTATTTCCTCGTTTAGACTAACTCTAATAGGAGAAACTTCTCCTTTAAATATCAATTTGCGAACACTTGCATAAACTTCTTCAAGAGAGAACAAAATTTCAGATAGTGGGCAAACTCTGAAAGGCACAAGCATTCAGTTCCCGTCAGGGGACTGGACTAACGAAACTATAATATGAAGCATGAGGTCAGAGATCAAAGGGAACAAATACATGTCTGCTGTGTACCATAATCAACAAAAGATCGCTAAGATTGTCCAAAAATATCAAAAAACCTTCATAACAAGTAAGAACAATGTCACACCCAAGAAGTAAACATCGTTTCTCCAAAAGGTTAGACAATGCAAGGTGAAAGCACAGATTCCTTACCCGTAAGGGAAACTACGATTATCCCAGATATTGATTTAATACTTAAGTTGAGACAGTTCTACTGCCAATCCATCTATTCCATTAGCTTGAAAACTTATCTTCGAAAAATGAGTTGGCAGAGGCTTTCTAAACATAGGTGTCATCATGTCATATCTTTAGTCAAGATCTTTTACCAAGATTATTTTCGGTGTCATATTAGAGACACACAGAAACATGCACACCACAAAATGTCATGGTCCCTTTTTCTATAAATTATATAACTTGACCACCTGCACATATAGAAAGAAGCCAAAACATTAGTGAGGGAAACTTGGGAGAAACTGGGAATAGAAAAAATAACTAAATCTAGCATACGGTCATTTGCATGTATCAGACCATAGACAAATATTTTCCAACAAATACCATATGGAGTACTTTCAAGCAAACTCCCATGCGAAGTCAAACAACTACTATACTGATGGAAATAAGGAATAGCGAGTGAGCGAGAGAGAGAGAGAGAGAGAGAGAGAGAGAGAGAGAAGAACATTATTACATAAAAGGATTATGGGCATAAGTGTAGTAAAACATCAGTGACCACAATGACCAACCTCGTCCACGGAGCAGACGTCTCACAGCTCCCAAAGAACCTCCCAAACATAGTGCCGTATGAAATGACCTCTTACAATCCTGGAAAATTAATTTAGTGAATTAGATGAAGTCATGCGAGAGCATAATAACAATGCTTTCCTTGAGAACTGGATGTTGTGCATCCAAAGTTCAAACTAACCCAAGGCTGAAATTCTGATGGGTGGACCACAGATCCCTCCCATCCTGAGCTTAACTGGGCTTATACTTGACATTGAATAAGGACTTGATTTGGGATAATTCTGATCTATCATTTATCTGTTTCATTAACTTGGGAAGTCACGTTCCACAATATTGTCCCTTAGATTATGTCGTAAATTCCTCAAAACATGGTCGAAGGTTCTTTTTTAATAGCATAAACGAAATTGGGATCAGGTCTTATGCAAAGAACACGGGATTTCTCTTAAATAGATTACCTACACAAATTATTTGGGCATCGCAGAACTATGACCATAAATGTTCGTATCTCGAAATGTTAACAATGTCCAGGAAAGTCTAATCTCATTGCTTCACAGAAAAGAAAAAACCGCAACGTCTATATGTATTTCTGGTGTAATAGTTTGGTTGATAAATAAATGACAGTTAACAAAAACCTCAACGAGGAACCAATCAAGAACTCCATAAATCAACATGGGAATATTATGCGACAGATAATCCTTCCTCCCAGCCGCCTACCTCCAAACGGTCCAGGACATTCTCCACAACGGTGTCCACTAACTGGTCTTTCTCCCTCATCAGCCACGCGGCTCGATCTCTCTGGAAACGTGCAGTGCAGAAGACTAAAATCGCAGACACAATACGATCAACATAGCAGATATAGTTCCAGACTGAAGCATTGACGAGCGGTGTACTCGTACCTGCCTCTTCTTGAGGTTGCGATCGAAGACCCTGACGAGAGAACCATCTCCATCCGTAGAGTAGCAAGAAGATTTTAGACAAGGACGGGCGTATGAGCAGCCGACGGAGATGCGGGCTCCTCTGAACAATCTCCCCAGCACGACCATCTCATCCCTCTCTCTCTCTCTCCTGCCGCCACCACGCTCTGTGACGAAGGCTTCACACGAGGACTGTCTGGGAGCACTGATGGGCCAAGTCATCGACTAATATGGGACCAGAGGAGTCAAAACTCGTTAATTTAGTCACCTGATACGGCCTTCGGGCAATCATGGGTCGAGCCACAGCTGGGCTTTAGCCCACCTAGCGCAGATGGCCGCTAATGGGCTGATTAAACCGAGGCTGATGGCCCACTTACACATGCAGATTCGTAAGATTTCAATTATTAGCCTCATAAAAATGTAGCGCCACAAAGGAAATCAAAGAAAATGAAAGAAAAATGACGTGTAATTTTCAAAATAATTACACAGAAAAAATCGAATATTTCGAGATAAGAAAAGAGGATCCCGTCATTCTGCTCCACTGACGAAATTAAATATCACTCTGAAAATAATAATAAAAATCCAGAGAGAGACTACAATAGAACCCAATGATAACTTTTTTAAAAAGATAACTCAAATCGTATCGTGCATTGTTTCAGAAGATGAGAGCTCCTTAAATCTCGGAAATTCTGATCGGCATGCTTCACATGGCTCTTCACCATCTCCTCTCTTTCAGGGCCGGGGTTTGCTTAGCTAAACACAAGGTGTTGTCATATTGAGACGTTATAATCGTTTAAAACCAGATAAATCCATTGGGCTGGGATTGGATAGATCTAAAAGGATAAGGCTATCATTCGAGCTGTGAGAATTCTCCTCCGCTCTGTTCTAACGGGGATCTCAAAGATTCGGAGAGGAACTGCCGCGGGAGGGATCGGGAACTCCTTTTGCTCTATGCTTCCCCCCTCCTTCGCCGGGGAATCGTCGGATGGGGAGGCTGCGCGTGCTCCGGAGATATCAAACGACCGGGCTTCATGATTCCAGAGGCTCTTGCTCCGTAGCCGACGTCGATAATGGCGGACGAAACAAGGCATGGGTTTACTCCTTCCGCGTTACTCGTAAGAGCGCCGGCGAGGGAGGAGGTGGAGAGGTCGGTGATCTCCTTCAGTCTCTGCGAGTGGTAAGTTCGCAAATGATCTCTTCCGCCTTGTCCGTTGTCGTCGGATTAGCAGCGCGGCAGATTCAGGTTCCTAACCGCTGGAAGAAGTGTCTAACGGTCAGTCGTCGGACGAATGGAAAGCTGCAGTTACGATTGTTAACTCTCCAACGTTGAAAGGTGTACAGTTTAGATGATCGGAGAGTGAGAGAGCGGCTTCTGAGAGAGAGAGAGAGAGAGAGAGAGAGAGAGAGAGAGAGAGAGAGAGAGATCGTTATTCTGACGAGGCGGGGAGCCTCGAAGGTAGGAGGAGAGGGGGCTCCGGCGGAGGATGCTCCTGCACAAAAGGAGGCATATACTTTTCCGGCTGTGGATGTGCCCAGCCGGGATGCGTGGGCGGGAGCTTAGGCACGTGCAGCGCGTATCCGCAGAGGCCGTAGCGGCAGGGAACGCCGAGGGGGCACCGGACAGAGCAGCCCCCACAGTGGAAGGGGTTGACGTTGGTGTTGACGCAGATACCCACGCAGCAGCTCCACGCGAAAGGGCAGCGCGCCTTGCAGAGCCCGCAGTTGTTCTCGTCTGAGCCAACGTCGACGCACCTGTTTCGGCAGCACATCCGCCGCCTGAACGGGTGCTCCCGGTCGAAGCAGACCCATGGCCGGTGCCGGCACCCCACCCTCCTCGGTGCTGCTGTTGACGCCCTCCTGATCCAGGAGCCTGATCCCGCCGAGTTCTCCGGCTCCACCACGAAGTGGTTCTCCGCGACAGCGGCGGCCAGTACCGCCACCAACGCCACGGTGAGCAGAACCGTGCCGGGGGAGCGAGTGAGGGTCGGAAGCCGCATCGTCTGGGAAGCCGAACGCTGGCAGCTGTGGTGGCATCGCCGGAAGGGACGCTTCAAATAGGCGGAGGATGCCGACCGTTACGACGCAACCCGGGGGCAGGCAGCGTGAAGCCATGCTTGGCCTTCCAGTCCACGAGACAGGATAGCCAAAGTGGGACACGCTGGAGGGGTTCTAGCGACCACGTTTATCCAACCTGATGACGCGGGTGAGGGGAACGAGTTCGTCCAGTCGGATGGATATTGAAGATATTATAACAATATGTAAACTAATGGGGTGTTTGTGAAAAATGGAAAAAACATATTATTGTAAACAATGGAAATTATATGCGATCAGCTTCGATACCGGAGGATGTGAGAACTCATCGCTGGAGGGAGGACGTTCCCTTCTTCATACTGTCAGGAGAGGGAGAAGCGATAGCAGTCATGTCTTCTCTTTACGTCTCTTATCCCGTCCTCTTCTTCAAGTCTGGTCACTCCAATGCCCCGGAGGTTTGTGCACCCATTCCCAAGGCTGCTGCTCCTCGACTGGAATCCCCTTGTGCGTCCTTAAAGATCCGGGGAAGCAGGGAGCGATCATTCCGCGGAATCATATTTCGTGTGAGTGCTAGTAGAACCGAGACCGATTCGGAGAACAGAACACAAGCTTCCGCAGGGGTAGTGAATAGCCCAAATGATGGCGGAAGTTCATCTGGCAGTTTCCTTTCAATTCTCTGCCCTCTCCTCAAGCTATTTGCCGTAAGTCTCCATCTTCCGGTTATCTTTGTTCGCTGGATTCTTGTATTTTCCCGGTATACTTGTTCTTGTGGGGCGTCTTTATGGAGTTTGCTTAGGGGTTATACTAACTTGTAATTGATTTATTTGGAATTATGGTTTTCTTACTTTTTATTCTCGTCATTGGTCAAGTTGATGGCATTTTAATACCGAATTATTCTTATTGAGTCGAAAATTAGACTATAAATAACAAAGAGTGCTCCTTAGCGATTTTAATTGTATCCTCCTCCCATCTACTTAACGTTATTTAAAAGTTCAATGAGTTTGCATACTGTACTCCGTGTTTCCCAACAAAACGTATCTGTATGCACCCATTTTGTTGCTACCTTTAGCATTCTATGTTATCCAACGTTCCTCAATTAACCTTCCATAAATGAAACATCATGTTACTCTATAGTTTGTTAAAGTACGTGGTTTCAGATGAGAATTTACTCTCTGCGTTGATAGGCGCTTTATTCAATGAACGCTTCAGTGTCAGTCTCGATATAGACAGGAAGTTCCCCTATTAAGTTTTATTATCCAAGATTGTTATAATTTCATGTTCCTTTTGAGATGACTCTTTTTCAAGGTTTCTTCACATTTTATCGATTCATTGACATGATTTTTCTACCGTGTTAACAGGGTGGAGATCCTTCTCAAGAACGGAATGAATTTCTTGAGGTTTGTTGGTTATCTGAGCTCAGGATCGCAAGCACCTTATTTTAATGTTTCTGCATTTTCGTCATGATTTTTATATGTTCGATAGTTATGAGGAATATTTATCAAAAAACTTTGGTTGAAGATCTTCTACATCCATTGTGTTGTGAATAGATAAATAGATCGAGTAGACTATGGTCATGGGATCAATGTGACTACGATAATTTTTCTGCCTCTAAATGGAGTATTTTTTGGGAAGCTTATTTCCTCTATTGATTGCAGAGAACAAAACTATGTATGGTTACAAACTTGTTTGGAAATACACTAATACCCCTGCTTCAACCTTACAGTAGAAACGTACATACGGTGAAAATTCTGGAAAGTACTTCTGACGTACACACTTCTCCTGCAAAGGGCCACATTAGTGGCCACATTCTCTCATCGCTTGAATGAACAATCTGATACAGTAGGACGCTCCCATACCTGAGTTTTGTCAATCATCTCGGATCCAGTAGAAAATTCTCTTTCATAAGTCATGAACCAACCCTCTGCAGCATTCGTTGTTATTTGTAACAGTTCTATGAGATTTTAATTTTTTCCTCAAATCTTCTTTCATATCTTTACCCCAAGTAAGTCAGGATATATCAGGCAGAGAGGAGTTTCGTTGATCTCTTTTGTATGTTGGCACTTGTTGTCTGTTCTGATGCCATTTCGGTAGACAGTGAATGCCATCAGATTCCTCCATAAAGTGTTTAGTATGAGAATTAGGACGGTCTCTTGTCTTTCTTCCAATTGCTGCCGCACTTCGTTCCTTCTAATGACTCCATGTGTATGCAGGTAACAACTTCTTCTCTATCTAGTTTGGCACGGCTTCCATGGGGAACAAGGTCATACCTGGAAAGTTCAAAACAGAAAGATAATGAAGATAGTCCTTTATTACGCTTGCAACTTTATGAATTTGGTGAACTTCTTTTCCTGATACCTGATTACTTAATATTATGCAAAGAGACTTGTTACGAAGAAAATTTAACACTCCTCTTTGGTTCGTTCCTTTTCATTATGTTTCTCAAGTTAGCACTCTTTGGAGGTCGAAAGTATAGATTTTCCTGAGTGAGTTTGTGAGTCAGTTTCGTAAATAATTAAATACGTCGTTAATATCTGGTGTATAGGACATCTCGAGAGTTTTTTTCACTCTCTCTCTCTCAGTTATTTATGTGGGCAGAATTTTCCTAAATTACTTAATATTAGAATGCTAACGTTTTGTTTTCTGCTTTTCAACTTTATCCGTTCACAAATAGACCGTTCTGAATATATTTGTGAACAGAGGCGTGCCCATTTTGCAGGAGAGTTAGGGAGGCGATGACTGAGCTCGATCTCAGTGTAGAGGTGAGCCAATTTCATATATATACACTTCATCTTTATCCTAGTACATAGAAGAAGATATGGTCTCCAAACGTGGGGAATAGACTCAGCTACAGTTCTGCGTGTTGCCGTCTTATTATTCGTTATGAGAAACTAATTAGAAAAGAGAAAAATATTGATGCCATAGGTCGTCATTTTTGCTTTATTTTAGAATATGGTTTGATTGTGGATGCAAATCTCGTCGGTTTTCTTGCATTCATATTATTTCAAAGTTGTGTTGGAAGTCTTAGCCTTACTCTGATTGTACGACCTGAACCTAAAATATTACTCTGTCCCGTGCAGGTTTATCCTTGTCCAAAAGGATCTGTAAGGCACAGGCAGATGGTCCAAAAATTGGGTGGGAAAGAACAGTGAGTATTTAGTCTTTTACTGGTTGTGTAAAACGTCTCTAACTCGCTGATTTTTTGGTAAAATATTTTTCGTCACTACTCTTATGACAAGCGTATTGTGCATGTCGTTGAATTGTTGTGTATACTTTCGGTGGTTGTACAGCACTGTTTTCATCTTGATCCTCATACCTGTTTGCCTCGTTTTTTACTGTGTGAATGACAATTGGTTTCCTGATTCTCTTTCAGGTTTCCTTTCCTTTTTGACCCAAACTCGGGTACCTCAATGTATGAAAGTGGTAAGAATTCAATGCGTCACGAGCTTCAATACATCAAGGGAACTGTTTATTTGTTTTACGCTAGTATTTAGTCCATTTACGCTAGTATTTAGCTTCAAACTCTGGTAACTGAATGTATGAGTATTCTCCCCTTCATCATGGATCTTAGACATTGACCTCGCCAAGCTTTCCATTAAACTTTGGACCGACACCAATCTCACACGGCAAAGTTGATGCTTATTCAGTTTTACTCTTGTATATCTAGGTGATATTGTCAAATACCTTTTCCAACAGTATGGTGGAGGAAGAAACCCCTCTTTTGGGCTTATGGAGAGGTATCATGGGCATTCCTTTTCTGTCAAGTAATTATTTATTTTTTTATCGATAAGTCAAATTGTTTACAGCATTCTATGTCCTCTTTGCCTGTTCAAATGCAAACTTGATGAATAACATTCTTAACCAGTAATAATAAACCTCTATTTAATTTTCCGCAACACTTAGCTGACAGAAATATAAACACAACACGAACATGCTGTGTAATTTGGTAAACTATGCGAAGCCAGGATTATCTTCATCATGTATGCTTTGGTAATTTTACCGCTCATTGAGGATCTGCAACGTAAGATCTTCCTTCGAGCTCCATGCTGCCCCGAATCATCGTGAGATAGAAAATTAGCTATTATGAGATGAATGATGTTTCCAAGCTGCTTTAAAACTGGATAACTTCTGTTAGATGCTTACATAACTGTTAGCATTTTAGCGTTGCTCATCCAAAATGAACAATGAATCAATTTTGTATCCAAACTGAATATTTTTTTCGTTTATTAATTAAATTCACGATTTTTTCGTTAAATGATGCAGTACATTATTCACTGGTTGGATGCCGACCCTTCTTCGGGCAGGCAGAGGAATGACATTATGGAACAAGGCAAGATTGGAGTCACCTTCAGAAAAATTGGAGCTTTTCTCATACGAAAATAATCCAGTAAGCTTTCTGGTTTCCTGTTCTACTTCCAGATTCTCGGACGAGCAGACTTCATCTTATAGATTCTGTCTCTTTCGAAGTGTGAAAGGATCCCTTCGGTAATCTATCTGTTCTTCTAATTTTTTTTCTTCTTCGCAGCAAGCCAGGATTGTGCGTGAAGCCCTTTGTGAGTTAGAACTCCCTTATATTCTCCACAACGTGGGTGATGGGTCTTCAAAAGCGGAGTCCCTCGTTCAGATATCCGGATCCAATAAGGTGCCCACCCTTGGCAATCATCCACTTGACGTTGAATTGTCAGCTTCCATGGCTAATAAGATTTTAAATTGACCATCGGATCATTTAATTTTTTTTTGGGTAGGTTCCTTACCTGATAGATAACAACACAGGAACAAAGCTGGGCGACTCCAAGAAGATCTTATCTTACCTGTTTGAGACATACCGCACTGGTAATTGACATCCCCCGTTCACTTTCCTTTCATAAACTTTGCTGACTTTGCCTATATACAAGCCCCCCATGATATGTTCTATTTACTTCATCATATAAACTATCTCTCACTATTTCGCCAGTCAGCGCAACTCTCCGACAGTGACTAATACAGATGGGGAGAATGAAATATCACGTTTATACCATAATTACAGTTATAATTGTACATATATCTTATTCTTCGCGAGCGTATCGAATCTTATTCGGCAGAGTGAAACCGGTCGGAGCCTCCCTCGTTGGCTCGTATAAATATGTGTATCCGACCTATTTTATCCCTAATTTTATCCCTTTCGTTCTCTCTCTCTCTCTCTCTCTCTCTCTCTTCTTTCACTAGCCAACGACTCTCTCGTCGCCGGCAGTGTTTTAGCCGGCGAACTTCGATCAGAGCGGCTTCAATATTTGTAACATGTAGAGCCGATCCGGTTTCGACAAGACAGCACTGGTCGGTGGTTATTTTACTGTGTAAAGTATCTTACCGAAGAGAGAGAACGCCATGAGATCTAAACAATTAGGAGGAAACCTCTGAAACCAGTACGCCGTCTCCATCTTAGTCGTTGCAGCTAGTTAGCATCCTCAAGGGATCTTAGCGACCAGACCAACCACTCTGGGCAATCTTTACAACTCAGCCCCACCTGCCTTGTTTGGCCGGGAAGAAATCCCACCCACCCTGGTGGCGGTCTTCATCTTCCCATTCCTGAGGGTGCAGAGATTTATCCAACTTCTTCCTAGCCTTGGTGGGGAGAAGGACAGAGAGGCGCATGAAGACGATGAAGTCGAAAATTCAGTCTCAGGACAAGCTCAAGTATGCCCTCATCGGTTTCCTCCCCATCTTCCTTCTTTTCTTCGTTCTGAGGTCGAGCTTCTCCACCGCGGGAGATCCCCGATCGGCGACGGCGGACTCCCAGCGGCTGAATAGGACCGCCCCGCCGCTGTCCTGTGCCAAGATCCCCCCCTCACTGGCGCAGACTATCGTACACTACGCCGCGACCAACGAGACCCCCCAGCAGACCTTGAAGGAGATATACGTCACGGCCCGGGTTCTGGAGAGGAGATCCCCCTGCAACTTTCTGGTCTTCGGCTTGGGGCGCGACAGCCTCATGTGGAGCGCTCTCAACCACGGCGGCCGCACCGTCTTCCTCGAGGAGGACGAGGAATGGATCGCCGCCGTCCGCCGGAGGGCCCCGTCGCTGGAGTCCTACCACATAGTGTACACCACCAAGCTGCACCAGGGCGACGCGCTGCTGCAGTCCAGTACGGTGGCAGCAGCTCCGGCATGTGCCGCCATCGCGGGGGATATGCGATCGTCGCGGTGCCCGCTGGCCCTGGCGGGGCTGCCCGACGCGGCGGTCGGCACGGAGTGGGATGTGATCATGGTGGACGCGCCAACGGGGTACTTTGCCGGCGCGCCGGGGAGGATGGGCGCCATATACACGGCGGGGATGATGGCGAGGAGGAGGAAGAAGGCGGGGGAGACGGACGTCTTCGTGCACGACGTCGACAGGCCAGTGGAGGACAAGTACTCCAGGACCTTCCTCTGCGAAGGCTACCTGCGGCAGCAGGAGGGCCGCCTCCGCCACTTCACCATCCCCAGCAGCCGCCGAGCTCAACGGGACATCGCCACCCCCTTCTGCCCCTCCACGTAAAAACCCCCGCTGCACGTCGGCGGCGGCGGCGTTAGCCTCCATTTCCTCTCGTCTTCTTCGTCCACGTTGACCAGTTTTCCTATTCAGATTTGATATACCACCCCCTCGCCCGAGTGTAAGATATTTGAAAATGTACCCCTAGTGAGATTTCTTATAATAATTGGAGGTTGCATTTTGATATATTAAGTTACTGGCGACTTTCTCGCATTTGTTCGCCATCTCTCGCACGAGTGCGTGGGGTTTGCTTCAAAGGGTCTCTGTTCACAGGCTTCGTGGTATTTTTCCGGGAAACCAAACGCCGGAAAGGAAAATGCCGAGCTAGCGTCGCCACCAGCGCCCAGGTGTGATCACAACTATATATATTTGAATATATATATACAGTGACACCCGAATAAACGAGAAGGAAAAACTCGGAGAAACTTTTTGCTGGCGTTATTACGGAGGGAGTTTCCCCCTTCCTCGGCGAGCTTCCGTCCGATCCCTAGCCAGCGCTATCACAGCCCGTGACAAGTGGCCTGAGAGAAGAATCGCGCATTCAGCCGGTGCCAAGCAAGATGAGCAGCGAATAGTAAGGCCGAGATCCATTCCGGTTTCCTTGCCTATCTCCTGCGTTTTTCCTCCCTTTAGTGCTCTTTAATTACAGAGCTTTTTCTCCTCTGCAGTGATTTCCTCTTCAAGCTGCTTTTGATCGGAGACTCTTCCGTTGGCAAGTCGTGTCTTCTTCTGAGATTCTCTGTGAGTGAGATCTCTGTCCTTGTTCGGCGCTGTTCTCATTGTATTTGATGGAAGGGAGGAACTAAGCTCGGAGTAACATTTTATTGTAAATTTAATGGTAATCTTGGTGCGGTGACCTCGTCTCAGATACAAAACTTGTCATGTCTGAGATGTCTTTTTGTTTGTATTTGTTGGTTTCATTCTATCCTTTGTTCCCATTATGAACAAATGCTGCAATATTTTTATTATAGATATGAACATTGTGTTCAGAATTTTTGGTTTTATTTGTTCACATACGGTTTTCTCGTTTAAATTTGGGGTCTGATGAGATAATTTTCTTCTTGCGCACTTTTTCCAGGATGACTCCTATGTTGATAGCTATATCAGTACGATTGGAGTTGATTTTGTAAGTTTATAATTTGCCTATCTCTTTAGATAGCCTGTAAACTCTCAGGTATATGTTATTGACGCTGTGGTGAGCGGTGAAATTAAGATTTTCCTTTTTCCTTTTTTTATTACAGAAGATCAGAACTGTCGAATTGGATGGAAAGACTATAAAGCTGCAAATTGTAAGTGGGGTTTCTCATATCTCAGTGTATTTTAGCGATTTTTTTTGAGTAAATTCTGATATATCACGATGTTTGGACATTTGTAGATCTTTGAGAAATCGCGTTTTTATCTCAGCAGAACCTTGTCCTTCACTGAAAATCATCACCATTGCTTGTTTTATTTCTTCTTTTCCCACAGTTAAAGATGATATGCTGATGAGTTGGAGACTCTTATCCATTGTCATAAGTTCTTCTCTTATGTAACTCTGACAGACAATTCTCGAATTTTCGTTTTTCCATCTTAGGATTAGGTTGCTTCAGTAGCCCTTTCTCAAATGACTCCTTCTATGAGAAAGCTTGAGCAAGCGACAATATGTTCCTGGGGATATGTAGTCTGTAATTGGAACAAACTGGAAAACTGCTGTGGTGATGTAATCTAGTTCTTCTAATGTGTTTTTTGTGCACAAGTCGCACACTCGTTTTCTGTATCTCCTTGTTTTGGAAAGCAGAAATTCTGGCAAAGGTTATTACTATTTATTCCGTTCTTCTGTTCCGTGGCCTGAAGATTGTTGTGTATGCTTGAGCCTATAGCTGTATCATGTTTAGTTTTTATATGTACACGTTCCTATTTTACTTTAATTTTTTCGGCTACTTTATTTCTTTTTCTAAGAAACTGTTCAGCTCTAAATACTGTGGTCATTTATCTGATAATTCTGTATTCTTGGTGAACCTTTTTTTTGATGCAACGTGGGGTGTTAGACAGTTCCGAAATGAACAAAGTTATCTACCCAGAATTGGTAAATAAATAACTGCCAGGATTTGTGCTCAATTCAGTAACTGTCGCTACATTTGTTGGTATAAGGTTATTTTTAAAAAAGACAATCTTTTTGATGCTTACTTTGATGAATGTTACCCAAAATTATCCTTGAATATTAAGAAACTTGTTCTGTTCTTGTTTCTTAGTGGGATACTGCAGGACAGGAACGCTTCAGGACCATAACTAGCAGTTATTATCGTGGAGCACATGGAATTATTGTAATAGCTTCCTGCCCATTGTCTTTCAGAATTTTTGTTCTTCCTGAAATTTCGTCTCTGTTGTGTTGATGTGAATAGGAGCCCAACTGCAACCTGTTGTGATTAATAGACGTCCGAATTTCATAGATGTTGATTACGCTGATATTCTTGAGCGGAAGTACCATTTGGAAACCCGTGAAAGAATGTTGCTGAAATCGTCGCGGCGACTACTATTTTTTCTCTTTAAAATTATGTTATTTTTCTCATTAAACACATTTCCGCACAAAGTATTGCTGAAATCGTTTCATTTTATTTAATTGGTTTTTTCATGGTTTATTGCTCATGGCGTCGTAAGTAACATATCTTGCTCTTCTTTTTCCTTTTCTTTCCTTGATACAAAAAAACTGTGGTGAGCCAGCGTTTGTGATTTTTTCAGATTGTTTATGATGTTACTGAGATGGAAAGTTTCAACAATGTCAAGCAATGGTTGAGTGAAATAGATAGATATGCGAATGACAGTGTCTGCAAGCTTCTCGTTGGGAACAAATGCGATTTGGTTGAGGACAAAGTCGTGGACACGGAGAAGGCAAAGGTAATCTCGGATTTTCAAGTACTATTTATTATTTACTGACCATTTCTGTTTTTTTTTTTAATTATGCATCAAATCGCAGAACAGGACATGCAAACTACCATAATAACATATGAACCCTTATGATACCTGGTATGAATGCACTGTGGCGAACGATTACTAAACTTGAAGGAAGAACACTGCAGAATTCACTTTTATCGCGGGGGTTTTATGATTTTATGATCGTTACAACAAGGGATGTGGCCATTCTGTTGAGTGTAAACTACTGTGAATGTGTTCTCCGATCATTTGATTCTTGCCTTTGCATCCTATCATTTCCAAGACGTTCAAAAGGGGAAAGCAAGGGTCTCTGGTGATGAATGATTGCCATGAACCTTCTTCTCTTCAACTAGTGATTATGATCTGACCATGGACTGGTGGTTTTTCTCCTTACATCACAAAATGCAGGCCTTTGCTGATGAGCTTGGTATTCCCTTCCTCGAAACCAGTGCAAAAGACTCGATCAATGTTGAGCAAGCCTTCTTAACCATGTCTGCAGAGATTAAAAAAAGGTGAGTTTGCTAAAAATGCTCCGCATTCACCCATCGACTGAGTGAATGAGAATCCGTAAGCTCCTGATTTGAGCGATGTCGGGTTAAAGAGAAAGATAAGAGTATAGGTTCCGATCAATGTTGATCCTTTTTTTACCTTTTTTTTTTTCTGTGGATGCAACCCATTTATTAGTTTTATTTGTTCTTAATGAGGAGAAAGATGGTAATTTCTGTGCCATCTTCTTCTTTCTCGGACCGGTGTGGGTCTCCTGTGGGGCTTTTCATTCTTTCTCTCGTCCGCAGTGTTGACATTGCCGCCCCCCCTCCCTTCCTGAATTTTTTTCAACTCCAGCCCATTCGATTTCCTTTTGAATAATCGCGTCACATTGTTATTTAATGGGAGGGCAAATCTGCCATCCTATCTCACCCTGGGTTGCTTCTCTTGTCTCCCTCCCTTTACGTGACCTCGTTTCGTCCATTTGCAGGATGGGAAGCCAACCAGGCTCCGACAGGCCGTCCTCAAGCACCGTCCAAATGAGGGGACGACCCATTCAGCAGGAAAGCAACTGCTGCGGCTGACCATCTTCGATTTACTAACCGACTCACTGGTTCACCAGAGATGGGAAGAGCAACTCGGGTACTCTTGTGGCCTTCCCACTCCCATCCAAAATACCTCTTCTCATCAGAACTAAACCCACTACCTTCTCCGTTTCCTGAATTCTAATATGCTGCAAAATTTGCTTTACTCATCTAAGTCTGGATGGAAGGAACCCCATCAATTAATTTACTGACGCGGTGTTCTAAAAAATACTACTAATAAAAAACCTTGGTAAGATCCTCAGGGATTCCTTCTCTACTTCGAAGTTAGTCAACCCTTAGAATTGCTGTCAGTTCCTCCTTTGGCCGACATTGGCCCTCGATTTCACCTTGTTCCTCCTGAGGTTCTTCCTCCCGCCGGTAGATTTTTTACTTCCCTGCTTGACCTTGGGGTTGTTATTCCTCTCGTCCTCGGTGGAGGAGGCATCTCCATCAGAGAAGCCTCCGAAGCCCGTGAGCTTCTCGTACTCGCTTTCATCGATGATGCCTCGCTTCAGCTTCTTCAGCAGTCGGTACTCGTGGTCTAGCTCCTCCGCATCTTCCTTCGTCTGGGCGGCCTTCCGCTGCCTGCCCGTTGACTTCCTCGCCATCTTACCGGCTTTCCCGGTGGCTGGATTTGTTTTCTGCTGGGTCGGGTGGTCCTCTCCGGCCGCCGCCGCCGCCGCCGCTTCCCTCTTTCTCAGATTCTTCTGCCTCTGCTTCTCGCGAGCTTTATCTCTAAGTAAAGGAAAAAAAAAAACAAATAGTTGACCAACAGCTTAGCTGCGTGCCGTCATAGATTGAGGGAAAGAGGAAGGGCGGCGCTTACTTGTACTTGATAGCCTTCACGTCAACGTCTTCCGCAGCAGTGAAGCCATCGATGGAGAGAGAATGAAGTTTGACGTCGGGCATCGAGGGGAGCTGCAGGAGGCCATATCCCATGGCCAACTTCCCAATGTCTAGGTCCTTCCATCTGAAGCAGACGGGTACTAATAAATACTTGAAAAAAGAGAAGTGGGCGGGGGCAGAAAGAACCTGAATATATAGGAGCAGTGGTGCTCCTTGTACGCGCGTATAAACGAAACAAACGCCTTGAGGCCCTTCTCCATGACGTCGCGGTCCTCTTTAGCGGCGGAACGGACCTAGCAAGGTTAAATTAAAGAAGGAAGATTTTAAGGGGGAAATCAGTAACGATGATATGATATGAGGAAGAAGAAGAGAGATTTAGCAGCCGCCGGCAAGAATAGACAGGCGAGAGATCAACACCGGATTCTAGAGAGCAGCCCACCCATAATTCTCTCGATGTAATGTGTGATGGCAATGAAGCCCGATTCACCAGGGGGGGAAAATGGGGCTCGGAAGTATGCATAAATCACACATCTTGGCAATTAAACCGTCATTTTCCACCAATGTTCTTTTAAGACCCAGTAGGAGCTTTCAGGATTTTGTCCCTACTTAAGTAGGGACAAAATTGTCAAGAGAGTTTGACATCAGGGAGGCAGAGTCGTAGGGACTTCAAAGTTTCTGGTTAGAAAAATTGAGGAAAAACTCATGACTGCTACCAACTGATGCAGGAAAGCTGTTCCAACAATGGCATAGTCTCCTGATAGCTCGAACCTACTATCTATGGAGATATGCTGCCCTAGCTGAGTTGAAGCTAAGTCTGGTGCAAGTCAAAAACATGAATGGTGGTGGGTGTAAAATGAAAAGTAATGGAGTGAGTCAAATATTAAGGTAAAAATGGATGGGGCCATTTAGAGAGAGCGAGAGAGAGAGAGAGAGAGAGAGAGAGAGAGAGAGAGAGAGAGAGAGAGAGAGAGAGAGAGAGAGAGAGAGGTGTATAGTATTTTTGGGTTGCTTGCTTCAGGAGAATGTCTCAAGCATCAGTTCAATGCATCAAATGGCTTGGTGGCAATGACATTAACCTACTCATGAATATACCATCTAAATCTACAAACAGAGGGGACGGAACAGTAAAATACCCCTAGTTTTCTGAAAGAGCGGTGCGGGCAGAATGATCCAAAAGCTGTCATTTAGGGATCCTGGGCATTAGTGAGACAGAATGAGACTCCTCTCATAGTTGGATTGGTAGGTGTTGACAGACGATCTTTAACGTAAACCACTACTAATTACGTAGATAGTCAATACAGTCATCCACGCAAGTATTTTTCAAAACAACACTAGCAACAATCAAGATTGCACTAGTCACCGACAATATGAGAATAGCAACTATCTGATGAAATTTGAAGAAAGCAGTTTGTTATGGATAAGATTTGGTTTTTATTTTCTCATTTCTATCTCTCAACTATTAATTTAAATAGGCAACGCACACTTTTTCTGAACTCTAAAATTCTTGGTTGAAAATCGGAAAGGGATACACGGATACTTGCCTGAGGAACAATATCCACTGCATCATCCGAGATCTTCCTCTCCTGAAGTGGAACTCTTCTTAGTCGTAAGAAATCCACATAAGCATCCTCCTGGAGCGATCAGATGGGTTCATAGATGTTGAAATGAATTGAAAAATAAATGCCAAACGACAAGTGTTCTTATTTACCAAATAATTGTTCATCATATAAAAGGATAAGAACAAACCTTTGGAAGGAGAAAGACGATGGCACTACCTTGCTTCCCTAGACGTGCAGTTCGGCCAACTCTATGTATGAATACATTTGGATCTTGAGGAGGGTCATACTGCATGATAAACCAACCGACTCTGAAATCCTTTTTTTGATTAAATCCCACTCTTTGTAATCAGTGTGAGGAAGAGAAGATAAAAAAATGCAAAAGAATACCAATACTATTTCACTGAAGTTGATGAGCGTAATGATGACTTTCGAGACTGTAGTGCTCTACTTATTTTTCTGATTTACATAATAGTTCTTATGAGTAAAATTTATGCTCATGTTGTTAGATTGTTCTGACCACTACACTTTCTTCCCAGATGGTGGTGGGAACTAAATGACAGGCTGACCTCTCCACCTGTTGGTCTGGTAGTAGATCTCCTCTTTGTCCTCCTAGTTTCCTGCTTTCTGTCCCCCATTTATTCTTAGAATCAGTGTTTCCCAATCATTAGATTAAATTGAACTGTTTCCAAACCCTAAGTTGCTCTTATCACATTTGGGCGGCCTCAATTCTATTGATTGTGTTGTCAACCATAAATGTAAACCATTTGAGTTGTCTTAGATAGAAGGTTGGATAGAACAACTGCTGGAGGGCTCCTGCTTAAATGATGCAATTCTGTGCTTGAATATTTTTATCTGCTCCGATAATTATTTACTATCAACCAACTGTACCACCAGTTCACAGTGCATTGAGATGACTATGAACTTTGAATTATGAATGCTTTCACACACAATTGCAGGGAAATCATCCGAATAGTGTAATATGCTTTACTGGTAAATTAGACATTCTAAAACAATTTCACCTAAAAAGATAGTGCATCTCTCAGAGTTTCGTATATAACCCTAGATCTGAGTTTTCCAACTCCATGTTTCTTAACTCACCAATCTAACCTATGGCTGAAAACTTGTACTCCACTACGACTACATTAATTTTATTAATCAAGCATATTACGAGTCAGGATTGCAGATCACCATGTGCTTCAAAATTCTCAGTTCATATAATCAAAAGTACGAATTCTAATGTTCTTGAAAAGCTCTCAAGAACCAGAAGTCAAGAAACATCAGTCTAGATACATTAGCTATAAATTGGCACACTTCTAATGGGAGATAATTATGCACAATACTTCAGCAACACAAAAAGACAGTGCCAATCATAATAAGTCAAACATAATGCTCACTGAAACAAAGACCTGCCTGAACAATCCAATCAACACCTGGAATGTCAAGTCCCCTAGCGGCAACATCAGTGCACAAGAAGACCCCACTTTCAAGAGTTGTGAATGTTGCTAATGCTTTCTCTCTAGCAATCTGGAAAATATCACATTGGATGGAACACGAGTTTAGTATACGTGGCCAGAAATATTTCAAGTATTGTTCCATCCTAGAGAGACAATCACAACTCAGACAGTTCTTCAGCATACCTGCTTCATCCTCCCATGAAGGGATGTAAAGGAACATCCTTTGAGGATCGAAATTTTGGGCAAAACGACGCTCCAGTAATCAACACAAGCACACGTCATAAAGTAGCTGTAATAAAAAGATGATAAAAGAACAACTTCTACAAAGACCTGATTCATAAGATGTAAACTGAGAATATGAGTTCAAAATGTACATACATGATCATCTTCTTTGACATATTCTTGACAACAAAATCGACAAGTTGTGAAGACTTCTTATCAGCGTCACATTCCAAATACTGCAGGATGGCAAAGAAACATACAGATCTCTGTCAGGTTTCATTAATCACAGGCATTACTCTTGAGATGAAAATATTCCAAGGTAGATAAATTTTGAGATATGAAACACGGGATTATCTAATAATGAGGAGAAAAATTCGTAAAAGTATAAAGAATGGTCAAATGGTACATCAGAAACAACTTGAGAAAAGCTTCAGATTAGTTTTTTTTTAAAAATAATATTAGAATGGTTTGTGTCTTCAGAGTAGCCCAGCATTCACACAGACCACTACAATCCTAAAAAGTATATGGTGTGGAGTTGACGGGATACAAAGCTTTGCAGTTGCAAATAATTACATTAAGATGGGAAAACGCATGCAATCTCGAACAAGGATGTTGTGTACCTCAATGTGAAGGCCAGAAGGAGTTCTGGAGGAAGCCATTTCTTGTACTCCAGTAGTCTGGAGTTTTGCTTCAGTGAGAACTTCAACCCTCACTGGGTTTCTCATTCCAGCTCGGGCAAGCTCTTCAACGGCCTCTGTCTGAGTAGCGGAGAAAAGTCCAGTTCTGCGGAGCTTAGGCAACCGAGAGATAATAGATGTGAGCTGTTTCTGGAACCCCATGTCCAAGAGTCTATCAGCCTCATCTAAAATCAAGATCTGTACCATAGAGGTAAATGGATAAGCAAAACTGGATAACGTTACAGAATTGGGGTGAAGAGCACATGAACTGATGTTCCAAATCTCAGAACAATTTATCGTACCCATTCATACGATAAGCATCAAAATATGTCCACTAGCGTGAGCATTTTCCAATAAAAAAATTGAATACCTCAAGATTCCGGAAATCTAAGATGTCAATCCGTTCCATAATGTCAAATATCTTTCCAGGAGTTCCAATCAATACATTTCCTCCTTCCTCCTCAATTTTCTTCATATCCACCTTTATATCTACGCCTCCAACAAGGAGCAGAGTCTGTACGCCTGATAAAGTCGAGATAAAAGGTCTTGCAACGTGATATATCTGTGACGATAGCTCTCTTGTCGGAGAGATAATCAAGCCCATGACCTACACAAAAGAACACCGAGTGAAAATCACGCGCACTCAAGGTCTCTCCAAGGTTTCACATGAAATGCGGTAATTGAAAGCCACAATTGCTGATCCTCCATCCTCTCTACGTTCAACATGCTTCGAACTAAACAAGTATACCTCGGTTCGTATAGACCTACCTGGTGCGGTTTCGGCGGAAGAGACGACCGGCGCAGGATCTCCACGACTGGGACGACGAATGCTAGGGTTTTCCCGGACCCGGTAGCGGCGTCGACGGCGACGTCCTTGTAGCTGCACAGCAAGGGTATCGCCGCGGCTTGGACCGGCGTGCAGAAGCGGAAGCCTCCCTCTTCCAGGGCTCCGAGGACGGGCTCCGAGAGGCGTGGCTCCAGGTCCGAGAAGAGCGTGGAGGTCAGCGCTTTGTTGGAGGGCTCTGACTTCGCCATCGCCGCTTCCCTGCGTTCGTCCTCCCCCGCTGGAAGCACCGGCCGCCGTCTATACCGTTGAAACCCCACGCCCCCGCCCTTTGGCGAGCCCCTTGATCTGATCCGTCTGATTAATCAGACGGACCATAACCAAAGCGAATAGCTTCATCAATTGGTCCGTCTGATTGATGTTCCTTGCCTCTGATTGTATTAAACGGTAGACCCTATTTCTCGAATTTAAACCCAATGCCTTTCCCCTCCTCCCTCTCTCCCCCGACCCAAACATCCTTCAGAATGAGAACCAGAAGCAGAAGGATGTGTGAGGCAGGTACTCGGAGCAGAAATCACAGAGCTCAGCTCCTCGAGCGGTGATCCCTAGCGGGGGGGGAGGTGGGGGACGGCTTCGGTGGCAGAATGCAGGCCTCGGGGGGGACGGCGCCGAGGGCGGAGGCGATCTTGGAGTGGCTCCAGAAGGAGATGGCGTACCCGGGGCCGCTCCCTCCGCCGGAGCTGATTCACAAGGTGTGCCGCGGAAACATGGTCCCGGTATGGAGTTTCCTGCTGCAGAGGGTCAGATCGGAGCGGACGGTGGGGACATTGCGGCGGAACATACTGGTGCACGGTGTGTCGCCGGCGGCGGCGGCGGACGCGGCGGCTGGCGGGAGGAGGAGAGAGAGGGAAAGGGGCAAGTCGGGCCTGGAGGAGAGGGAGGCTGCGCTTCGGGAGAGGGACCTTGCCGAGGAGGAGGCGGCCAGGCTGAGGGGTGTGGTTAGACGGCAGAGGAAGGAGTTGAGAGCTAGAATGGCCGAGATCGCGCGAGAGGAGACCGAGCGGAAGAGGATGCTTGACGGGAGGTCGAGTGCTAGGTAACTTTATTGAAGGAAACGGTTAAAGGAATTGCCTTTCCATCTTTTTTTTCCTGCGACTTATTAACGATTTCTTTGGTCGTGGGGCGGATCAACAAATCACTATCTTGAACGTCACTGGTGCTTTCACATTTTATACCTAAAAATGTGCAGTAATCCAAGGGGAAAAGTTCCTCTATAACTTCTCTAGCGAGCCTGCAATGGGAAAGCTGTTTCCATTGAACCTTAACTTTTTAACGCTGATTAAGCGTGATATAATTCTGAGCCTTAACTTTGCAGTGTTCTCTTTTACCGGAAGAGGCCGATCTTTAAACCATTCCTGGGTTATAAACCTGTTATTTCTCCTTATTCGGGCACATTTTCCCAGAGCATCATCGATATCAGACTTTGTTCTGTATTTTGCTCCTCGTGACCCATAATATCCATCTTTGATCCCTAATCTCCTTGCGCACTTACATTTCAGATGTCGCCCATCACCTATTTTCCTTCTCAGTAGTCGGATTTCTAAGTTTTAGCTACATTATTGTTGGCGACGATTAATATTTACTTCATTTTATTCATCTCTTTTTCTTGTCTACATGTTACCGTACCATGCTAGCCGCATATTACAAGCTATCTCACTATCATAGTGTTAAATGGATCCAAGCCTCCAAAATTTAATCTATGATTGGAGGTTCCGTTGTTATGGCCTGTAAAATTCCCTAGTTAGTGCTGCATTTTGGAAGGTTGTTTGTGTTGAAAGCTACATAGCCTAGCCTGAGACTACTTTTTATCATATTTTAATGATTAGATGACGCGCCCATGAGTTTGTTTGTAATGCCGATTTTTCAAAATATTTCCTTGTACACTAGGGATAACGATTGTAAAGGACACACAAAGGATTATTATTAGGCCACATTGATGTTGTTTTTCCTCAAGAAGCACAGGTTGTGTTTCTTCACTGAATTTGGATTCATCTTATTTTGCCTAGAATGCCATTGTGGCGCTAAAAGTGATGCGAATTCTTAGTGTTTTCTTAATATTTTTATGTAAATAATAGTTTATAACTACTTGACAAAACATGTTGGTGACATTTTCTGATTTGGCTTTGAATGATATTAGAAAAACCTGTGGGTGTATTTATGTCTGTTCATTCTCCTTCCTCATTCTATACTCCTGATCTCAGGATTCATAGGCTCAATTCTCACCACGGGCTATCTGCATTTTTGAAAACCAACTCTGCCTAGTCCTTTAATCACATTGCACAGAAAAAGTATTTATTTATTTACCAGGAAATATTGTTTCTATTGTCATTAAGTAAATACCATGGTAAGATGTATACAGATAAATTTAAATTGCAACTGAAGATGTGTAAATTTATTGAGTAAAAGCCGTGGTATGGTGTCTGTGGACACATCTAAGTGCAAAAAAAACTATGTAATGCTTTTTTCCTTTGCAGTTGTGTGCATGTAATTGGGTTACTTGTTTCTCTTTTAGTTTCAGTTATGTATTATGATAATTTCTTTTTTTTATTGATCATTGTGTTCGGTTGCTGGGCGGTCTGTTTTGATTTACCATATTATTTTCTCATCTATGAGGAACACTGAACATCGATCTTTATTTTTATAATAGATGCAATGTCTTTGTGTGTAAAAGCTTTTCATACTGAGAAGAACATGAGTCTCTTGAACAGTATTGGGACAACGTTTCAAAAATTCTTTCATATCATTGCTGCAAAGGTGGCTTTATGATATTTTTTTTGAATTCCCTTTATTATATTTAGCGCTAACTATATTGCTTTACATTTGTTTATGTCAGACACAAACAGGTGATGCTGGAGGCCTACAATCAACAATGTGATGAAGCATCCAGGATATTTGCTGAGTATCAGAAACGTCTTCAATCTTATGTTGATCAAGCAAGTGATGTTAGATCCTCTGCTGCAAGTGGTGCTGAAAATGGCGGTGATCTAACTGTGCAAGCAGAAAATGAAGCATTTTACTCAACAGTTAAAGGAAACAGGTCATCTGACGATGTTATTCTCGTGGAAACCACCTGGGAAAGGAATATCAGAAAAGCATGTGAAACTCTTGCAGCACAAATGATTGAAAAAATATGCAGAACTTTCCCAGCTTATGAAGGGACTGGAATTCATTTGAACGCTCAAATAGATGCGTCCAAACTGGGAATTGATTTAGATGGGGAAATACCTGACGATGTGAAGGCCATAGCAATTGATTCTTTGAAAAATCCTTCCCTGCTTCTTCGAGCTGTAACTCTCTATACTTCGCAGGTTAACAGTCTGATTCAGAGAGAAACAGAAAAAGTTGATGTTAAAGCTGATGCGGAATTCCTGAGGTCTTTGTCATTTTATTAATGCTGCTTTCTATTGTTTGGTCAGCTTGAAAGGAGTTACAGTTTAATTACAAATATTGATTGCCACTACAATTTATTGACATGTCTGACATTCAGCTCCTATGACTCTACAGCTAAAGCTGTATTTTAATGCCTTATGTTTCATCTGTTGGACAATACTATAATGCACTCTTTTTCCTTCACAGATTTAAATATGAGAATGATAGAATAGTGGATGTCGCTTCGCTTGATGCAAGCTCGCATTTAGAATACCAAGTGTATGCAAATGGAAAATCGGAGTCAGACTTCTCTTCAAAAGGAATTTGGAGTCAACTTCTGGAAAGAGAGGTATGCCAAAAATTGTAAGATGCCTTTTAATTTACAGATATATTCTCGTCTTTTTCTCTACAGGGTATTTTTCTCCAAAGACCTGTCAGTTGAATGCTATGTTCTAGAAACACAGTTTCACTCATTAACCTTAAATGTTTTGTGAATATCTGAAGAAACCTGATATTGTTGACTTGCTAGTCATATTTATAAAAAAATCATCTACCTAAAAATGCTTATACAAGAAGAAATTGTGGTAAATGTCTACTAGCCTTCTTGCTGTTTTTTACCTTCTGTTGTTTTTCCTTATTGTCATCTGTTAGAGCATTTTTTTTTCTGCATTTATACTAGGAAAAGCTTTGCATCTTTGCGATTTTGTGCACTCACTTTCCCATCTTCATAGAGAGTTTGCTTTGCTTTTATAAAGACATTGCACTTCTTTCTTACCAAATTTCTGTTCGTTTATTCTTTATGAGATTTTCGCATTGTTGATATTTTAAGCTACTTTCCCTTCACAGAAAGAGCATGTCCAACAGTTTGTGGCTACTGAAGATGCCCTGAATAGAGCTGCAGAAGCTAAAGCCTTAAGTCATAAGCTTATTAAACGTCTGCACGGCAACAATGACATGGCTGCACCACCAGCAATCACTGCTGGAGCTATCTCTCAGAATATTGGAAATAACAGACATTTTGAGGTACCTTGTCTGGGCGTCCTCCTATGTTCGTAAAATCATTATTGGGATGGCACAAGGCATTTAGATTGTTCCTTTTTAGGCAGACAATTACGATTTAAGACACATGGTGTTGTTGTCATTTTTTTTTTTTTGAAGTTTCTGCATGTATTTGGGGGTGCCTGTATTCAAATTTGTTAACCAGCAGAATTCGTTGTTTTTTCCACTATGCAGTTGGACGTCCTGGCCAAAGAAAGGGAAGCTGCTGGGTTAAGAGCAAGCTTAAATACCTTGATATCTGAGGTCCAGCGCCTAAATAAATTGTGTAAGGAGTGCAGAGAAGCAGAAGATACCTTGAAAAAGAAGTGGAAAAAGATTGAAGAGTTTGATGCGCGTAGATCTGAACTGGAGGCTATTTACACGGCTCTTCTTCAAGCAAACTTGGTAGCCATGAGTTAATTTATTCAGAATCATAGTACATTGGAGAATTAATATCACTGTTTTTGTATTTGATGCCATAGATATGGATGCCAATTCTGTTCCTGATTGTTACTGTATTACATATTGTTTTGGATCGTATGAATATTTATTGTGGCATTAGTGTGTCTCTTGCGTACGTCTTTTATATTTGGCATATTCGAAAATCTTCTTTGTATTTAATGGAAAATGTTGCGTCGATACAATTTGTCACTGAAAACACTAGTGTAACACGGGATGACTTTTAGGCACGCATTGTTGGAATTTGCATTAACCAGTAGGTTCCTCAAAACAAGTTTTCGGTTAAACTCCGTAGAATCTCTACTTATTTAAAGCTGAACATATTGCAAAGTCTGGTGACAACTTTTTGCTCAGCAAAAGCATTTCCATTTTAGTAAACATTCCACGAATACTCCTCCGGATCTTACATGATATCCAAAGGAATGCAGGGGAACAACACGGGGGGCAGGTATCTTGCTCTAATTTTTTTAGCTAGTTTGTTGGGCTTCACGTTCGTAGTAGCCCTAGTTATGTTCTACCGTCACCTGTTTGGAGATCTTTATAAAGTATAACTAGTAAAACATGTATGAACCGGTCGTACCCATGCTTGGTGTGCCAGTCTTGCAAATGATTGGCTGTCCTCTTAGAGAATGGAATACATTGGATTTTCGACCTGCCAACACTGGCTGATGACTTCTACCAGTCGTGCAATCTTGGATGACCAGCAATGGTCGATGCCCTCGTGGTCATTTAATTTTTCTTGCAATCTACTTGTTGCTTTAGTTAGATCGACTTCTCCCTCTGCATTTGTGGCCTGATGCTTTAGTTCAATTGATTTCTGCCACTGCTTAATACTCTTGTTAGCAAAGGTCTCTTACTAATCATGCCGGGTTTATTGGGTCTCGCTGTGCAGAATGCATCAGCTTTCTGGGGCCAGCAGCCATTAGCTGCTCGGGAATACGCGTTAAAGACTATCATTCCAGCATGTGATGCTGTGGAAGTTATCTCAATCTGTGCAAAAGACCTAATCGAGAAAGAAGTGTCCGCCTTCTACCAAGGTCTAGACAATAGTCCCTATATGTTGCCATCAACTCCGCAGGTTTGTAAAAGAAACGTTTTTCTCCAACTATTTCAGGTCTTGAGGGGCATGAAATTTATTGTTTGATTCTTCTAGCTGAAGCCATATGATTTGGGATGGAGACTGATACATATGTTAGCTTTTCTGTATCCATTAGTGATAATGACAGGCCTTTTGCAAATGTTTTAACGTTCTGTTGCTTCTATACGTTAGATAAACCTACATATGACAGTTGATAATTTGGAATCAAGCAGGCCCTTCTCGAATCAATGGGTGCTAAAGGATCTACCGGACCCGAAGCAGTTGCAGCTGCGGAAAAAAATGCTTCTTTGTTAATCACAAGAGCCGGGGCTGGAGATCCTTCAGCAATTCCATCTATTTGCCGTATTTCTGCTGCACTCCAATCCCATGCTGGTAATTTTTATGATCTACTTTGTGCTCAACATCGTGGTAGTACCTTCTATGGTCATCATGGCGGATCTTTACTCGGAATCTGGCTGCTTTGATTCGGCGGCGTTTGGTGCTATTCTTCTATTGATTCGGCGAATGAAAGAGCTCCCTCAGTATTAACTAGTTATCGTCTCTTGTTGAAGGGTTTGAAAGCCCAGACACTGCATTTGCGTCAGTGCTAGACGCACTACAGTTTTGTCTGAAGCTGCGGGGTTCCGAGGCCTGTATTCTGGAAGATCTGTACAAGATTATAAACCTAGTCCACACTCGTCGGGAGCTTGTTGAGAACGACCGTCTTTTGTTAAATCATGCATATCGTGTCCAGCAGGGATATGAGAGGTAGCTTAATTTCTCTACTTTCTGTGATTTAATTCTAGTAAGGATATGTGGCTCTCCGGCTGACTTGTGGTGTGAGATCTTTGAAAACTTGTTTCGCAGGAAAACTGATTACTGCTTGAGCCTGGCTGCGGAACAGGAGAGCATCATAGTGCAGAGGTGGTTGCCAGAACTCACCGATGCAGTTTTGAAAGCCCAAAAGTGTTTGGAAGATTGCCAAAGTATTAGAGGCTTGGTAAGCATCTACTCTCGTATAAACCCTGAAATGTTTCGGCATTTGGTTAAAAATAGAACGGTCGCTACCACTCTCGAAAAGATTGCAACTGGTTCTTGAGCTTCTCTGATTTGTTTGTTGACAACTGAACCGGGAAAATCTTGACCCTTGATTGCTTGTTTCATATAATCACATATTCTATAACCCAATATGGGACGACGTCGCAGGTTGATGAGTGGTGGGAGCAGCCGGCTGCGACAGTCGTTGATTGGGTGTTGGTCGATGGGCAAAACGTGGCCGCCTGGCTCAACCATGTGAAGCAGCTTCAGATGGCGTTCTACGACCAAGAGCTGTTGTGAATTCCTTCACTGCGCCGGTTGATCCTGCAACGGGGTGATGCCTGCCGTCGGTTCCCTTCCGGGATACTTTAGGCAGAATATGGTGATTATTCTTTGCCCAACGAAAGAGAAAGAAGGCCCCCCTTCACCCTTCTACCCATTTGTAATTTATCGCCGGGAATGTGGAAATGGGCAGGCCCTCCTCTGTAACATATACCGGATCGAACCTCCAGGCGTTGTACCTACGGATCGCTTTCTTCTTCATGAAGTACGATTTCGGCTCAGAGAACAGGGGGGATGGATTTTCTAGCAGCTCCTAGCCAATTCGGGAATCAACATGTCCGAAAAGTCAGTAACAGGAGGGAACAAGTCCTCTTCCGTCCGTCTTTCTCCAACCAGACGATCCACACCAGAGGGGAAGAAGGTGAAGGGGTTCATGGTGGCGAGCTTGAGATCAATTCTAACGGAGGTTCATGGTGGCGAGCTGCCGCACATTGTTGGGGTACACCTCGTCGGGCCCGCCGAAGAAGGCCTTCCGCCCGAGAATGACGTTCACAGCGGAGGTCGGGTGAAAGGCATCCCAGAAGACGTACTGATCCCTGTTCCTGCACGGCGTCTGGAAGGGGAGGCATGTGATCTGGCCTCTGTTCCTCCCGATGCCGCAGCAGCCCCTGTCGATCACGCTAAACCCTAGAAAAACCCGCAGAGATCTCCATGAGGTCGGTTCGAGGAAGAAGAAGGTACCCGAGCGAGAGAGAGAGAGCGTACCGTAGGAGAGAGGGTCGGTGAGGATGCCCCTGAAGAGGTGGAAAACGTCAATGAGGACGAACCTGGCCCCCGGCAGGTTGGCGTTGAGGCCGTCCACCATCCCCCTCACGCGTGTGTTGAAGGGGATGACGAGCTCGTCCACGTCCTCGTTGCACCGGCTGAACGGGTTCTGCGCGAGGATGCTCGGGATGCAGGCCAACGAGCCGACGCTGGTCAGCACGAAGCGGCGTGCGCCGAGGTTGTACAGCCGCTGCCGCGGGAGATCGTCAGCAGAGTAACGCAGCAGGTACCGGAGAGGGTGGGGAGGAGGAGAAGCTTACGGTGAGCTGCCTGTTGAACTGCTGGACGAGGAGATCGGCGTACTGGTCGCCGTTGTACTGGAGGCGGGTTGGGTAATTGGGCAGAAGGTAGTTGTTCAGGTAGTCGTTGCTGCCCATGCCCACGAAGAAGATGCAGCGGCCGATGGAGCTGGTGGCCTCCGCCGCCCCCAGCCGGGAGGTGATCTGGTCAAGCGTGCTCTCGAAGTTGCTGATCTGCTGGTTAAAGGGTATGCGCCCAACCTGCACGGAGGAAGAAGAAAGAGAAAGAAGATCTGAGAGGAGGAGCCAAGCAGCGGCTGCGGCGGTGGCGACGATCTTCTTATATTCAGGAGGTCGTTTACTCACGAAGTTTTGGCCGGTGATGTCGAGGATCCCCGCAGCTGCGGAAGCGTAGTTGAGGCCATGGAGGACGTCGTCAGTGGAAGTTGCCTGAGAGTGGGCCGGTATCAGCGGCAGACCCAGCAGCTCGGCTGCCGATCGAAAACCATCAGCATGGTCAGCATAGCTTATCATATGTCAACAGCGACCATGTCAAGACCATAGATTTTCGTTTCCGTGTCGTAGCAGGTGCAGTACATTAAATCCAAGCTCATGGTGGCGTAAATGCTGTGTGAAAGAAGGTGACGAAGATGCGGACGGGTGGGGGGAAGACGACGAGGGCGAAGTCGAGGTCAAAGATACTGTGGCTGGAAAGTAAGACAGGGACTTGGATAATTAAATGCAGCCGACTACCTTTGCAGAATATTTATCGTCGTGGGGTGTTACTATAGATTGCGTTCGAATGCTACTGAGAAAGATACGTGAGTCTCCACAGCCGGAGGAACGGACGATAAATAATTTGAGGCGAACAGAACAGCGACAGGGGGGATAACAGTTAGGGTTCCAGCACTTGCCACCGAATCACCACCGAGCTCCGGAGATCAAGTGGGGGAGGGGAGACGATGGTACCTATTTCGTCGACGACTGTGTAGCCGTTGGAGAACCTTCCGGTGGGTCCGCCGGCGAAGTCGATGCCGTAGGGGTAGTAGTTGGCCTTGGCGAAGGAGGCCAGATTGTTGTTGTTCCCGTTGTCGATGAGCGAGTCGCCGAAGATGAACATCGCCGGCACCAGCTGTCCCCTGGCGGCGGAGCCCCTCAGCAGCAGCAGCATCAATAGCCATGGCAGCGGTGAGGAGCTGCGGGGGGCCATTCCTGCGAGTGGTCGGGGAGATGAAGACGGAGGAGAAGACGCACCCACAGAGAACGGTGCACCAGCGGTAGCTTCCCCTCAGCAACTGTAGGCAGTGGGGAGTGTAACGAGCTTTATAAACGGCCGCAGATGGTCGCCAGAGCGGTCATTAATGCGCGCCACTGCACCTCCGCAGGGGGAGTAATGTGTGCAATTCCTGCGCAGTCGATTCTCAGTATTACTCAAATGCCCCCATGACCAGAGCCCTCTGCTGTGTGAACGTCATTCATGGCCGCCATTAACTTCGGCAGCTCATCCCTATTAAGAACGCCTTCATCTGGAGCATACTCAGGAGGACGAAGAAAATCTAAGATCCCGGAGATTTCTTATAAGATTTCTAATTACGTTCGATCTCCAATATCGTGGCTTTAATGCCATGCAGAGTACGGCTGCCTGTCAAATCTCTTCTTCATAGCCGGGCAGAAGCCGCAGCTTGAGCTATTTGGCGTCCCCAGTGGAGGTCTTAAGTGCACGCGGTTCTCCTTGGAGTTGCAGTCCTCACCTACTAGGGTTTCAATAAAATGTGGGAGCGGCGGCGGACCAGTCGCCGGTTCTCAGGAGAGAGAATATTCCGGCGAGCCCCCGCCGACTGGTGGCGGACGATAAGAATGAGCTCCTCTTCGGAGCATAAGGTCGTCGGTCTTCGGCAATCTCTTCCCACCTTCCGCCGCTGGGAGGTTGGCGTTGACTTCTCAGGTCAACTAAGACTCGAAACGCCGATGAGGCGGCCGGAACCATGCAGGGCTTCTTTCTCCAAGTTCTCTCTCTCTCTCTTTCTTGCTCTCTCTTCCTTCGCTTTGATGTACTTCTAAATGGGCTATTAATGGGCCATGATGATAAAGGAGTTTGGCCCATTAGTAGCCCAAACAGAAGCGTTATCACCGCCCGGTCCAGTTCTTAAATGCTTCCGGCCTACGGCTAGTTACAACAAGTAATCCTTTACAGGAAAAATATTATTTTTTACCCTATAAAATAATTAAGGTGGATTTCCGATGCTTCTTTCTTAGTTTAAAAATAATCCATTTATGTTTTCCTAAAAATAAAAAAATCGTTTGTGAGATTTTTCAATTTTTCCTTAGAAAATTGGTACCGAATAATAATTACCCGTGAAACTTTTTATTTATAGTTTTACTTATTTATAATATCTGTAATAATTCTAAATAGTAGTAGCGTATAGGTGGAGCAGGCAGACGGTACCCCCAAGTAACGCCGTTGGAGAGCTGCCGGTGGGGCGATCGGCATGGCGGAGGGAGTGGCGGATCGCGTGAAGGAGCACTTTGAGGAGGTGAAAGAGAACTGGCGGCGGAATCTCGCTTGTCTGGACTACTTCAAGAAGGTTTTAGGGCGTGATGATCCTCTTCCCGCCTGGACCGACGCCGACATCGAGGAGTTCATTGCCTCCGATCCCGTCTATGGCCCCCAGGTCACTCTCCTTCATCTTGGCCCGTCGATTCCTTACACCACGTGCCGCACTATGATCCGTTTTTTCGACTGTTACATTTGTCACTTATTATCTCGGCAAAGGTCATGCTGTGTGTTTGAATTGGGTCTGCACGCCGTGTGATGTTTGCAAAAATGTTTTGCCTGTCTAGCTGATATTTTGCTTACCATCACGGCAAGGATCAGGGGGCGACTCTGCCAACTTTCCCCTTTTTATTTTGATGGATGGATTTCCAGACTGTGCATGCATGGTGCTCGCAAAATGCCTACGCCGTGGAAAAAGGCGAAAGAAGCAGCGAACATCCTATCCTCGTTGCCAATATCAGCCTACGGGAATAGAATTCACGCTGTCACTGACAAATGATTTTTATTTTTCACTCATTCTTCTTACAAAAGTTGTTCGGAGATTTTACTGGTACTGGCAATGTTACGTCGATAAGTTTCGAGAAACGGTAAAACTGAATTTGGATGCTCTCAACGTGTCAAGAGAAGGTGTTGATATGATGATGAAATTGGTACGCACCCTGGCATTCTACCAAGATGTATGTCTGATGATGATGACATTGTTGTATTTTACTCACAATAAAGTATATGCTTATTGCCAGGCATAAGGAAACCATATAGAGTCAGTTCTACCTCCATTCTTACCGTTGTTGTATTTTAAAAATTCTTTAGGTAGCGTTTGTGCTCCTACCAACATTTCTTCCTTGAAAAAATATATTTCATTCTCAGTTCTGACTAAAATCCACTCGGTCTTTGAATACGAATCCATATACTTACCTAGATGAGCATAGCGCAATCCTATCTCCAGGATGAATCTTTTAGCTGCCATCTCATGATTGTTGGTTTTAAAGTGATAAGTCTGCATTTTCTTTTTGAGTCGTTGTGTCATTTTTGGTTCGCATGGCCAGGTTGTTTTTGAATAAATGATAATCTGGTTATGTCAGACATATAGAGAGCCATTCTGTGCAAGCAATCTTTCAAACAATTGGTACTGCATAGCCATTTGGTGGAATGAATATGACAGGGTTGGGAAATAGCTCGAGAAGTTGATTGTGAACAGGAGGTTCAGAGTTGGAAAAGAAAACAGACCTTTGAAACATTTGAAAATTTTCTGTAGTAAGATGCTTAAACATCGTGTTTCTTGTGGATATAATCAGTCTAAGCATCCCTGATGACCAATGTTTCTTTTCTTGCCTTTTGTTAATCTTTGGCTATGTATTCAATGTTAAATCCCATGGTTAGTGATCATAGAGTATGGCTATGGTTTAAGTTATTGCCCATTCAACATTATTTTTCCTCTCAACGTAAGAATCAAACCATTACTTCATTGAAATATTTGGTCGATAGGCAATGATGATTAAACTGTGCCAACTTTTCTGGTTGCGTGGACAATGCAAGAAAATAAAGTGTGGCCGGGTTGGAGTGTAATCGGACTCTAGGTAGTCTAAACATTGTATAATTATTTGAGTTATGGAGAATAATCTATAACATAGGCTTGAGTTGATATGCCAGCGGTCTGATCGGATATGCACAGTGGATCTCATTAGAGCATAGTAAATGCTTGCGGAAAACCCAGATACATACATACATACGTCTATATGTACGTATGTATGTATATACGTATGATATGTGTATATTTTGCGTCTTTTTCAAACAATCTTTTCCCTTTCGTTTTCCTTGATACTGTGTGATTATCAGCCATCAGTTATTTCTTTCAAGTCAGATGGAATCAGGACTTCTTTTTGGGGAAGATTACCATGACTGGTTTGTCTTTGAATTTGACTAATACCCAAGGTTGATATCCATACCATCCTAGAAATATCGGGCTTCTAGCTTAGTTTATATCACATTGGTGTTATAGTGAACACTCGTGTGTACTCTTTTCGAGCTTATTTATTTCTGATCCTTTATAAATTGAACAGGTTTGGTCAATATTCATATTTTTATACACTTTTTGATTTGGTGTATACAAGTTTGGTATCCACTTTTTTATTTGGTGATATATACATTTCCTAGACGCAAGTATTAAATATCAGCTTAAATTTTATCACCATTAAGAGTCAGTGGATATATTTACCTGCTCTGTTTACTTTGCTAATGCTCAAGTTGTAAAGACTGAAAAGTCTTTCCCTTTATGTCATCATCCATTGATGAAACTTCTACAGAATTATTCCCACTGTGATTATTTCTTTCTGCCAAGGGTACACGGTTCCTTATGGCTTGCCATTTTCATGTTATTTCCTCTTAAAATATTTTTACGTGTACTTTGAACCCAATATCTCTATTGTTTCTAATTTCTCGTAAGAGAGATCTAAAATCAAGGGTTCATTTATGCTTATTCTTTTTTCCCCTCTCACTTTTGGTAACCTTTTTTTCTCTGGTATAGTGTTTGTTCTCTGGGTCTGGTGACATGGATGTGGAAATGTGTTCGTTTTGCAGTTAAAAACTACAATGAAATCAAAGAAGTTTGGGGCTGTTGGGGCACTTCTTGGGGCTGCACATTTATCAGGAGTTGCCTTGAAATATTCAAAGAGCCCACATGGTATTATTCAGTCTGCTTTCTCATCTTGCCCACAAGAAACGTAATTACTTATGCAGGATTGGATGTACCTTTTGCTTCTGAAACTTTTTGAAGCATTAAAGGCTAAAATTGATACCATGTAGACATTTTGCTGGTACTCGCTTCTTCAGGAGTTATACTTGTGTGGATAATGTTTAAAAACAAATTACGAGTGAAACCAAACGATTTTTCATTAACCCTAAATGAGTGAGGTTTAATAAGTTTTGCATCAGATGGCGATGATAAACTCGCTAGGTTTTGTATTTCTGACAAATACGCTTCTATGTCTTAAGTAGCTCTTGTAGGTATGAATTCTTTTAAAGATGAAACTTCCTGAACGATTCTTATTTAAACATTCGTACCGCAAGCTGATGACACACGAGGTGCTATTTTGATGTTGACCATCAAATGCAGAAACTACAAACCAAAACTGTTGCGGTCCTGTTTACAGGAATGTTTTCTATGTCAGTTCCACACAACATCACTGACTTGTTCACTCATTGAGAAATCTTTTCTTTCACAAGGATTGGTTATACGCTGTTATTTACACAGGCACTAACTTCCCAGTTATGTATTACCTATGATTTCATGCCAGATTGACATGAAGTCAGCATTGAACTCCCTATTATCTGATTATTTGGTGTTTAGAGCTCCAATTCTCTCTTTTCGTCTCCGCTACTTTGGCTGCTGTGCTGGTATGTCATTGCCAGCATTTTGGTCACGTGCCTTGAAGTCAGTTTTCTCCAAATAGGTTTTTCATTAAAAATGTTAGTACATCCACTACCTGATAGTTCTAACTGATTCTCAGTTTTAATATTTTGAACCTGGTGAGCCTTCTCCTTTCCAACCACAATGTTCACAATCTGTTGGTCAGTTAGAGACCTGTAAATTTTTTGATCAGTGATGTTGCATAATGTTGCGACAGGATCAACTTGTTGATCTATTCTCTCCCTGTAAACGAAGAAAACAGACTCGGTCCAAACCAGGTCTATTTGCTTCCCACATCCAGTTATTTTCATCAAAGAAAGGTGTAGTTTCAAAAAATGTGTTATATTTGTCCCGACCTTTTCCTATTCTCTACGTCATAAGTGATTCTTTTGAATTTGACTTTTCTTCTATCTGCATTGCACTTGTGCTAGGTAACTTCATTGGTTCTGCCTTATATTTTCTGGTGTGTTCTTTTCTGACCATTGGATTCGGATCTGGGGACTACTGTGACGTTAATCAGTATTTATTTCTTATAGAAATCTCTCAATATCATCGTTATGTTGATTTGGAACTACCAAAATGTAGTGTCCAGACAAGTAGGACGCAGAATTCTGAATATTCCTGGTTCTTTAAAAACATGGCTACCAAACACGGATTACGTTAATACATATACGATGGAATTCTGAATATGAATGTTCTGTTCCAGACGAAAACTTTTGGTAAGATGGGATTCTTAAATTTATCTTGTCTCTTTTTATTTTTTAAAACTTGGTAGTGACATTTTTCAATTCGTGATGCGTTCACTAAAATTATTTTGATGTCGGCCAATATGATTCTTGTGATTGTGATAAGAACCTAGATCAAAGAACTACGAATAATTCGTATTAGATGAAAGAAACAATCTCTAGAACAGAAATACCAAAGATAAAACACAGTAAAAGAACCCAGAACTGATAGAGAGTCGCATACAACCCTAGAACCCAGAATAGATGGAGGGTCGCATACAACCCTCCAACCCTTTCTTTTAGCTGCGCGAGATACTAACTCCGATTTCTCCTTCCTCTCCTTCCTGATCCGCCCCTCTTTATATCCTCTCCTTTCCCTCTCTTATTTAGGCAGTTAGTCTCCTGTGATAACTGCTCTTGCCATAACCGCTCGTTGTCATAACTGCTCCTTGTCATATTGCTCCTTGCCGTAACAGTGACTTCTTAACAATGCTAACCGTTATTGACTTATTAGGTTTTGGGCCTTCTTCCTTCTAGAATATGTGCGTGGAGCTTTATCAGATTGCTTTGGTATCTTGTTAATGTTGTTGTTACTCCCTTCAAGCTAGAACTTCCCTATACCCACTTAACAGGCCCTTTTCTGAGCTATGGAAACCTGATGTGCATTTCCAAATAAGTTTGTCGTGTGATTTCATGACCTCTTCAGACTGTTCTGGACTTCCTCCCCAATCCTGGTACTTTAATCAATAAAATTGATTATTACTGATTGGATGAGTCGAATCTCTACAACGAAATTTTACTTGTGATGGATCCAAGTGTGATGGATATTTCACTAAAATTGATTATTATTTGATTTGATGAGTCATAATCTCTACAACGAAATTTTACTTGTGATGGATCCAAGTGCGATGGATATTTTACCCCCCCACCCCCGATAAAACTCTGAAGATTAATATCACATTGATCGGCCAAACGCCAGGTGTTGTCTTGGCTGGTGCATTTGGGGCAGCCTGTGGCCTGAATTTTGGAATGGAAGTTGCTAATCACTGGTACCAGCTGTACAAGATCAAGCCTGGAGATGCTCATCTCAGGTTTCTCTACTGGTGGGAGGACAAAACTGTACACAGGGAGCTCTAGGTAAGTGATTTCCATCATATGCTATAATTATATGGTGCCATAATTCACATACGTTTGTTGAATTTCGTATGAACCCAATTTAGGCAAATAGTTTCTGAAATTGAGCTGTGCTGACCTTAGTTTTCATTTTCTTCCTTTCTTTCTGATATTTTCTAAATGGTTTCCTCCATCAGTCTTGATTTGCCGGGATTCATGTGTCGTTTAATCTCGCGGGCAATTTACCAAAGTTCTCTTCTTAATCTTCTTACATGGTGCCATAATTCACATACCATCGATTTGCTGCTGTAATGGCTTTCTGATGTCTCACTTCCAATCAAATTATCTATCTCCGTTATTTCTTCCCTTGTTCTAACATAATCCATTAAAATGTTTTTATCTGCCTCGTGTGACAGATAATCAGGAGGACTCGTTCGTTGTCAAGGTCAGCCCACCATTCAATGGCCCCGCTTCGCTTTCTGCATTTCTGGTTGCGTGCTGACCGAAATAGTACATTCGAGCTCCTCTTCAATAAGTCAACTTGATGTTACCCTAAATAATATAGCGTGCGAGTTCAACTCTCTGGGTGCACCTGTTGGCGTATCTTCTCCTTTCCGTGAGAATTTTCTTGGTCAAAGGACAAGGTTGTGCTCTTGTTGATGTGACATCCCCAGATCTGCGGAGGAATTCCGAATCTTTGAGATGGCATGGTCATATTGAAATCGGCTTGGCGTCCTCCAAGGAATGATTTTATGCCCATCAATCCTCGACGAGGGCTTCTCGCTTCTTTTATGCTTTTAAAAAACAAAGGAATGGCATGAAAATCGAGCTATTTTGGAGGCTCAGAAATGGGTAGTCGGTGTAGCCGACGACGGGATCGGGGATGTTGAAGGTGTCCCGGTCGTCCTTGTTCAGTGGCGCGTTAAGCTCGAACCTCCTGGGAAGATCTGGGTTGGCCACGAACAAGCGGCTGTAGGCGATCAGATCCGCGAGGCCCGCCGCAATGGCTCTGTTGCTGTCATCACTGTCGTAGCCTCTGGCGGCGATGAAGGCCCCTCTGAAAGCCTTCCTCATCGGGAGGAGATTCCAGTGGGTCTCCTGCTTCTCCCCCATCCTCTTCATCCTCGACTCCACCACAGGACAGTACGCTATCCCGTACCTGTTCAGGGATTCCGCCATGAACAGCGCTAGAGCTTCCGGGTCCGAGTCCCCAGTCTCGCAGTAGTCAGCGAAAGGGGAAGGCCTGTTTCCCACCCTGTCGGCTCCCACTTCGCCGGTGACTGCGCCGACGACCTCCAGCGCGAAGCGGCATCGGTTCTCCAAGCTCCCCCCGCATTCGTCCGTCCGAACGTTCACCTGGGCCTTCAAGAACTGGTCGATCAGGTGGCCGTGGGCGCCGTGAATCTCCGCGCCATCAAAGCCTGCATCCACCTAGTAGAAGTTTTGGTGAAGGAATCGAGAAAGACAGCAAGAAGACGATCTCTTCTCTCACCAGCTTCAATGGCGTTCCTCGCGGGCGCCCTGAAATCGTCAACGATCGAAGGGATCTCCTCTGTCGCTAGACGCCTTGGAGCTGAGAACTGTGAGGTGTCGATGCATTTGCTCCGAAGCTCTGGTGCCAGAGGCTTGTCAGTGGTAGAGATCGGAGCCTGGCCATTGGGCTGGAAACCTGCGGAGTCGAACCAGAAAATTTCCATCGCAACTGAGAGAGTCTTCCTCATTGAAGAGAGACGAAAGCACCGAGCCAAGAACACCTACTGCAATTGAAAGCCCTTCCCACGTGCCATACCTGACAGAAGAAGATCCCTTCCTTTTGATGGACGGCGTTTACGATCGGTTTCCACGCCTACACTTGCTCCTTGCTACAGATGCCCGGCGTGCGCGGGTACATGCATGATACCAGTGGAGACAAATAAACCAGACGATCGTGGCATCTCGGTGTATCATCGATGCTTGAAAAGCTAAACTCACCCCCGACCGGTGTCTGAGATTACAGCGGCCTCTGCAATGAGAAGCCCTCCTTTGCTGGTTCTCTGAGAATAATGAAGGGCGGCGTGCTCCTGGGGGATGTTGTCGAAAGCCCTCACTCGCGTCAACAGCGGCAGAACCACCCTGGAAGATCGGAGCACACGAGGGTCAATCCTTCTGTCCGAAGGAGCTGAGATTCCGATCAGAGCCGGCAGAATATATACAGGATCACGCGCCTGTATACTCTGAGAACCCATCCCCAACTGACCTGTGAGAGAGCTCGAATCTGCCCATTCTGAATGGAGTCACGAGAGGAAGATCCTTGCCCCCCCATCTGTAATTCCTTTCCCCCGCCCCCCGCCCCGGGCTGTCCCGAAGCCGGCGAGTTGAAGCTGACCTCCGACGGGCTCACTCTTATTGACCCGCCGGGAGAATGGCTCGGTGGCGGAGGCCGTTTTGAAATTGAATGCAGGGAGTCAGACTCTTTGCCTTTTCGTGTCTTCGTGATGACAGTTGACCATGCACCGTAGGTTAAGTGAACGTGGGCTACAGCCCTGTCCGAAGGCTACTCGTCTGTGGCCAAGCAAACGACGCTGTGTTCTCTCCGTCTCTCTCTTGCCTGATCGGGCGTTGTTGGGGTTTGACCCAGATCTTCGGAGAAGAGGCTGACAACGGAATATTCGTGATCTTTGGTCCAAGAAGAGCAAGCAGACCAAGGCGAAAGCCCTAGGAATCAAGAAATGGGTAATCGGTGTAACCGTGGTACGACAGGGAAGGTCGGGAATGTACATGTGCTCCTGTCGTGGTCGTTCAGCGGGGCGTCGAGCAAGAAACGCCGGGGAAGGTCGGGTTTGGCCGGGAAGAACCAGGTCGTACGCGATCAGGTCCGCATAGCTCTCGGCGATGGCTCGGTTGTCGTCGTCCCAGTCGTAGCCACCGGCGGCGATGAACGTCCCGCTGAAGGCCCACCTCATCGGGAGAACGCCCCGCAGGACCTCGACCTTCTCTCCTGTTCTCTTCGTCCTCGGCTCGATTGTATGGCTGTACAAGATCACATGCTCACTCATGGCGTTGGCCAACCCAGATCGAGAACACCTAGTTTAGTGAGATGTGCATCGGAAGTGCCATTACCGTCAAAAGAAGATACCGCACTTGTCATGGGTTACATTCACAATGGACTTCCAGACCTACCTACACCTGTTCCTTGCTACAACTACCAGGGGAATGAGGGTACCTAAGATCATAGAAGAGCACGCCAAAATAATACAGATGGATGATTCTCTAGCTTTCTTCCGCGATCAGAAGCCATCTGATGCTTGTTTTCTCTTAGGCACCCCTTACCTGTCCGCTTGCAAGTGTGAGGGGCTGGATATATAAGAGAGAAATACAATGGACTAGATAAGTATTTGTGGAGAGAGAAAGCATGAAAGGAAAATGACTCTCTCGTTTGTAGCTTTTGATCCTGTAGTTGACTGAAATTCAATTACATGAAGTTCTAAAAAATGGTTTAACATTATTAGCTTGAAGGACATCCCTCTATATCTATTCTTCATCACATTACTTGTCGATATCTCTATAAGCAATTCATGGCATCTAAATCCACAGATGCTTCCAGTTTATCTATTGTCTAGACATTTCGAGCAATGTTATTTTTTTCCGATTCATCCTAAGAACCTTGGGAAGATCTTAGAGATGGATTGTTTTAGAACAACGAGCATCGACATTTTCAATTGCATCCTTATCTGATCAATGACATACAAAACTAAGAAAGTGGCAACATATTTTCCCAAATGGAAGGCCCTTCGGGAGGAACCGGATGATTGATTGTAGTACTTCCTATTTTTAGGAAAAATGTACATGCGGAGTTCTCAAACTGTTATCTTCAGTCTGAATATGTGATACATTATTTACTCAAATTTGAACCCATGTATTACTTAATGATCAGATTCTACCCGTTGACATTGATTTTTCCCTTGTCACACAAGAAGAACGTCAAAGTCAATTAATTCAATATTCCAACTTCTTCAGCCATTGATACATCAAATGGCGTTCCATTTGATGTCAATACGAATTAGTTTAGCATTATAGCAACTCTATAAATAATCAAAGTCCTACAGCTTCAGATATTAATAATAGGAAGGACAATGACGGCGCATACGTCACTACTCTCATCACATCGCACACATCATTTGGACACCAGAAGCCCTATCCAGATAGTTCCGACAGGAAGCCTAGGGTTTAGAGCAGGGAGAAGGAAAGAGACAGGACTTGTATGGAACATGGGAGCTTTTATTCGCAGGGTCTGTGGATGTTGTCTGAAAATCAGGCCGTGGAGTCAAGAAAGGGGTAGTCGTTGTAGCCGACGACGGAGTCGGGGGTGTAGAGGGTCTCCCGGTTGTACTTGTTGAGCGGGGCGTCGAGGAGAAAGCGCCTGGGGAGGTCGGGGTTGGCGATGAAGAGCCGCCCAAATGCCACCATGTCCGTGTAGCCGGAGGCCACTGCTTTGTTGCCTTCCTCGCGGTCGTACCCGCCGGCGGCGATGAAGGTCCCCTGGAAGGCCTTCATGAGAGGGAGGAACCCCTGTTGGAGCGTCAGGCGGCCCTCGACGACGGTCATCCGCGACTCCACGATGTGGCAGTAGAGCAGGCCCAGCTTGCACAGGGCCTTCACCATGTACAGGCCGAGGGCCTCCGGGTCGGAGTCCCAGCTCTCCACGTAGTGGGCGAATGGGGAGAGGCGAACGCCGACTCGGTCGGCTCCGACCTCGTCGACGACGGCCTGGACCACCTCCAGTGGGAAGCGGTACCGGTTCTCCATGCTGCCGCCGTACTCGTCCGTCCTGTCGTTCACGCCGTCCTTCATGAACTGCTCCAGCAGGTAGCCGTGCGCCCCGTGGACCTCCACCTCATCGAAGCCTGTAGACGGTTCCATTCAACTGAGAAACAAAACGATGGAAAGGGAGGGAGCCGAGCAGACAAGAGGAGGGGGACGGAAGAGCCGACCTGCCTCGATGGCGTTTCTTGCTGCGAGCCTGAAGTCTTTGACGATGTAGGGAGCTCATCGGTACGCAGGCGGCGTGGAGGGGAGTACTCAGAGACGGAGTCATCGTGCTGGACCACGAGGAGGATTCCTCGGTCTGTGCTGGAGATTGGAGCCTGCCCCGTGGGCTGGAAACCTGAAAACGTATCCAAATAACAGAGAGAGACGCGTGAGGGACTGATCTCTCTTTTTGGGTGAGGATGAAACCGGGAGAAAGAAGAAGGCTTCTGGAGGATCACAGTAATTGGAGACCCTCCCCGCATGCCAGATCTGACAGAAGAAGACGGCTCCCTTGTCGTGGACGGCGCGCACAATAGGCTTCCATGCTTCCACCTACTCCTTGGTCCAGATCCCCGGCATGTTAGGATACCCCTGAGCGGTGTCTGAAACTCCAGTGGCTTCGGCAACGAGGAGGCCACCCTTCGTGGCCCTCTGCGAGTAGTACAGCACCGCTTGCGTCTGGGGCACGTTGCCGTACGACCTCATCCGCGTCAGGGGAGCTAGTACCACTCTGAATAGGATTACAGCAGAAATAAGCTGATACCGAAGAAGAAAACTAAATAATTTGATCGAGCATTGATGCTTTCCAATTGAAAAACCACGGATGGAGATGGCCGGAGTGTGAGTAATTCGGGATATTTCCAGCGGGTCGTCCGCTCGGACTGACCTGTGGGTGAGCTCGAATTCGCCCATCTTGTAGGGAGTAAGCAGGGGAACCGTCTCCTGAGACATCTCCGCCACTTTTCTTCCTCCCCCCGAGGTGGACTGCCATTCTCTCCTCCTCCGGTCTCTCCTAGGGCCGGTGGTCGGAGATGTATCTTATAGCGCGAGCGATTGGGTGGCCTGAGGTCTCGTCGCCATTCGTGGCTAGGAAGTGGTTGGCCGGACGGGGCCCAGCTTCGCTTTCTGCATGTCTGATTGCGTGGTAAAGGAAATAGTTTATGCGAGATGATCGTCGAGAAATCGACTTAACGTTACCTTAAACAACGTGCGAGTTCAAGTCTCTGGGGGTGCACCTGTCGGCGCATCTTCTCATTTCCGTAAAAATTTTCTTAAGGTTTGACCCAGATCCTCGGAGAAGAGGCTGACGACGTAATAGCCATGATCCCTCGTCCTATCAGAGGAATCAGACCAAGATGGAAGGCATAGGAATCAAGGAATGGGTAATTGGTGTAGAGGTCGTACGACAGGAACGGGAATGTAGAAGGTGCTCCTGTTGTACTTCAGCAGGGCATCGAGCTCGAACTGCCGCTGAAGGTCGAGGTTGGCCGGGAAGAACCAGCCGTGGGTGATCAGGTCCACATGGGCCCTCCTCATCGGGAGAAGTCCCCGCGGGACCTCGACCTTTTCTCCCATCCTTTTTGTCCTCGGCTCGATGGCATTGGCAGTACAATATATCGCGCTCGTTCATGGCGTCGGCCACGAACACGCCGACGGGCGTCTGGCCCCGAGTCACCTGCTTCGCCGTACCTCCTGTAGGGGGAAACCCTAATTCCGAACATGTGGGCTCCCACGTCGACGACGGCCTCGTCTACCTCCTGCGCGAAGCGGCAACATTTCTCCAAACTCCCCCTACGTTCGTCGCCTCGGTAGTTGAAGGTGGTCCTTCAGGAAATCTCGGCACCATGGGCACAGTGAATCTCTACACAGCGCTGATGAAGTATGCGGCGGCTGAAAAGTGACTATTCCGCTGATGAAGTATTTTACCTTGTGGAAAGTGTAAGATCTACGTGATGAATAGATGACTAAAAAGAGTCATTAACAACATTGATTGCATTCTTCGCGGCCACTCAGTAATCATCAACAACGAGAGGGATTTCATCCGTTCTCAAGCTACTTGCAACAGAGAGTTCTGTGCTGTTGGCACCATCATCATGAACCAGTAGGGAAGAGGGAGCTTGATCATCTGGCCAAAAACCAATAGGACCACACCCACGTTTGGCAATAGCCTATATGAAATTGATTCATTAGCTGGAATACGCCAAAAATCCCGAGATGTGATGCGTAGTTTTATTTTATGTTTCCAACTACCAAGGGAATGAGGGCACATGGTCGGATTGTTGAAATACTGAAGAGATTGATGCGAGATAAAGGGCCAATACATCTCCTTAAAAAGAGCTACACATTAATCTTTAAAGTTGATTAAAATTATAATTTTGATGACTTAATACTCATATAATCTCATAATTTTAGGAGAATTAGGATCATTAATTACCTATTAGGTTATCTAATTCAAAGAATCAAACAAGGGTTTTCAACCAGGGTTAGGACCATCAATCTTTCACACAAAGGTGGTTATCCTATGAATCTCACAAATTCTAAGAGCAAAGATTTAAAAATAATGATCAACTTCACAAGTAATTTAAAAATCAACACATTTTTGTAATAGAGATTTTTGATATCTAGAAGATTCTTATTGGTTCGAGTTCCACGAGCTTTGTCAGTGATTTTTCAAGGTTCAAATTGAGTGGTTCGCACTAAGGAGTGGACTGGTGTGGTTTGAAGTGAATGGGCTGTTTGAGCCATAAGTTAAAAATGAGGTCCAAAAGTGAGGTGAAATAATAAAATAATGATAAAAGAAAAGAAAAGGTGGAGAGAGAAAAGGGAGGCGGAATGAGAGGGCGTTGGCGAGAGAGAGAGAGAAAATGAGGGGGGGTATGTGGCGACGGCGGGAGAGAAGAAAAAGAGACAATGAGGGGGGGTACGTGGCAACGGCGGGAAAAAGAATTAGGATGGTCTCCTCGAGAAGGGAGGCTAAAGTCGATAGGTGGTGAGAGTGAGAGAAAGAAGGGAAGAGGATTTCGCGATGAGAGGATGGCGAGAAGGGGCTCTAGTGACGACGACAGGCTGGCAATGGGGCGGACGGCGAGGAGGTGGAACGACAGCGATGGGGTGGACGGTGAGGAGGCGGGACGATGGCGACGGGGCGGACGGCAAGGAGGCGGAATGACGGCAACGGGTCAGGTGGTGATGAGGCAGAACGACGGTGATAGTGCGAGAGGAAAGAAAGGTGAGTTTGGTGATAGGCCAGATGGCTAGAGGACGGAACGGCGAGGAGGAGGAGGCAGATGACTAGGAGGCAGAACGTGGACAAGTAGATGGTGATGAGATGGAAGGACGGCGAGGTGGGAAAAGAGAAGGAAAAAGGTCCCCCTAATCCAAGAGGATGATACCCCTAATCCAAGAGGCGAGCGAAAGAGAATAGGAACCCCAAATCCAAGAGGTGAGAGGGATAACACGAATCTTCTTGATTCCAAATTTAGTTTGAACTTTTTTTTCCCAGTATTCTTGAGTTTAAGTATTTATAAGAAATAGAGGAAGGTAGTTAGAGGCATCCCCTCCCAAAAGATGTCAAGTAGTGTCGACGCCTTCCTTAAGGGAGAATGGGTGCATGGGTGCCATGGCCTCTTCTCCTCCCTCTTCTTCCTCCTCGTGCGTCCACCTAGGAGAATGAACCCTCATATCGATTCCATCAGAGATCTATAGGCTTTGGAATAGTGAAGCTACAGGGATGAAAAATAGTTGCTGACGTTGACACTTGAGAGAGAGAAAATAAGATGATGATACTAGAGAAGGCAACAACACGGAGTGATGAACAAAACCGTTGACTTGAAACGAGTGGAATCGAAATAAGATGTGACTGTAACTTCGACGGCTTCTATGGCGAGAAGCACTCAGATGCTGATTTTCTCTTAGACAACCTTGACGTCTCCCCTCACATGTGTAAAGACTTTGATATGATGAGAAGAAATGAAAGTTGCAAATAAAAGAGTAATTTTTTCGCCTTTCATTCTTCACAAAGCCTGGTCTCGTCCGTCGAAATATGATCTAACAATAGGTTAGGCTTTGAACGAAATTGATCTGCCTAGATTCACTGTAAAAAAATGTCTCTAGTAATGCTGTCGGAACAAGGCACTTATGCCATTCATGTTGAGACTCATCATACCTTTTACTCTTTTTGCAATTTGTGAAGAACAGCCTATGATTTGGGTTAATCACAACTATTGGCCTTTCCACAGAGGATAAGTTAGATCGCTATCTACCAATAGTAAGCAGGATTTCTGCAACTATAGGTACATTCTCAAATCTTTTTGTTATTAATTAGAGGAACGAAGATTGTTTCAAATTTGTTTCGGTCATGTTTTTTCTCAACATCAAAATATGACGTCAAAATATGTTTTCTCATCAACATTAGAGTAGCCACCAGTGAATGATTTCCCATCGTTTACTCATATGAAGTCAAAGGGACAAAAGATTCAAATCAGATTATATCTCATCTTAATGTTGAGATTTAATACATAGTAATTTAAGTCTGGTGGAGAAGAAAAATGCTCGTGGATTGGTTCTGAATTTCAAACTATTGATCATGTTAATTGACTAAAATTTAATTACTAGAAGATGTAAACATTTATGTTAATATTATTTGCTTGAAGAACATCCCTCTATATCTATTCTTCAGCACATGGTGTCTAAATCTACAGATTCTTCTAATTTATCTATTGGGCTATTTCATGTGAATGACTCATTAAGACCTTTTTATCTACACCATTTTTATGACCTTAGTTTATCCTTAACATCACAACTACTTGTGAGTGATAAGTATAACTTATAGAGTACGGCCATGATTATTAGTTTGTGATTCAAAAATAAATCACATTTGTTATTTGATCACTCTCCAAATATGTCTGAACTTATATCTCTTTGTTCTCAAAATGGATTATTTTTCAAACATCATTATTTTTTCATGTATTTCAGACTGTACAACAAATTTGTGATCTTAGAGAAAGATTCATGCAGAAAATTGAGCCTCAACATTTTCAATTACATTGTGAGTTGATCAATCACATACAAGACCAAGACTCAAGTGATGCAAATTGAAACTCCTTTGAGAGGAATTGAGTCAATATAGATCTTTCTATCTTACAAAAAATGTACATGTAGATGAGTCAAAGAACTTGGTAAGTCCATTTAGTCAATTCAAATTGATTTATTTTTCATGATTTATTTTCTAAAATTTGAAATCATCTACTATTTAACAATCACATTCCACCTATTAATATAGTTTTTGCCCTTATCTCATAAAAGAACATCAAAGCAAGTTTAATATTCTAACTCCTTTAGGTATTTGATGTCAAGATGATTTGGTTTAAATATTCTATCAACTTTACAAATAATTTAAGTTAGTTCATTGATAAGAAGAAAGATGTTTCATATTATGCTTGTTGTCACTTTAGGGACATACTATGCTAAGTGTTACACATTCCACATTAATTATCTAATATATAACTAATTTCATTGGACATCTCTTAATCAAATTTCTTTTCATATTCATTCTATCGTCAGAATCTGAAAATTAAGTGACATGGACATTTTCATATGAGACCTTGATACAAATTGATGTGGGCAATTGATGACTATGTTCTTGAAATTTTTGACTTCATCTATAATTATAATAAATAAGTACGTCATCAATTTCTTATTTATAAAGTATGTGCTCTAGCTATGGACACTCATAGTATCACCCTCACGGATTTAGATAATATAATTTACAAATATTGTATTCACATATTAATACCATTATTTCTTTACATTTGATATGAAATTCAATAGTTATCTTACACACTAGTACTCATATTGTATTCAATCAAATCAGTGATGTAAAACTAAATTCTCATTTGATAATTACATATGGCAACCTATTACCTATGGTGTCATGATAGTTAACTTATACTTTCAGATTTATTTATTTTTCAAACATTTTTATTTAATAAATATGATAAGATAATGATTGGCATTGTTGATCAAGTTGAAGCCCTTTATGTTTTGGTGCTTTCTACTTTTTCATCATCAAAAGACTACTAAAAAAATTCAATCTTTACCAATACTATATTTGTTTGCACATGAAACAAAAGACAGTTGTTTATCTTCCAAGATTTTAAAGGCATTATTGAATAATTTACTAGTTTTTTTCCACCTATAATGAATCAATGTGGTGTTCTATTTGTCCTTTGACAAAATAATGTTAATTACCTTTTATTTGTCACATTTGTCTTTTAAAACAATCATTTAATTTTGCACATTATGACATATGAGGTACATTTTTTATTATGAGGTATTTAGGTTGTTGATACTATTTTACTAATGTTGAAGATTCAACTCAATTTATGTTGTCATTTATATAAAACTAAGTTTGGTTCAAAGAGTATTGCTAGCAATTATTTTTCTATAGTATGGACTGAATTTGATTACAACATCACAATTTTGACGTCATAATGCCAAGCAACTCAATTTTAATACTTTCTTTAATTAGCACACACATTTTACATAAATATTCATGTGTTCATGAATCATAATAAAAATTTATATTAGAAATAATAAATCAACACATTGAATGTAGTCAAAAAATTATTTTTTAAAACCACACATTTATTTTTTTTAATTATTCTGTTCTCATTACTAATTTATTATTAATTCAATGTTGTATCATGTTCTTAGGACTATATTTATTATCAATTGAAGGTTGTATCATTTTTCATTTTTTTGTTTTGTTTGCATGCTATTATATTAGAAGCTAGTTAATTATTTCACATTTCAAGCCTTTAAGTACTTAGCCTTTTGTCTCCACTTTCTATGTACATTGGATGAAATTTTAACCACATGTTAGATCTTGTTTCTTCATTAAAATGAAAAGACAAACTTTATGACATCATAATCGAATATAACAAGTAAAGTAGCTATCCGAAAATCACAATTTTTGTTTTCATAAATCTGAAAAAAGTAATTTTTAGTTTTTCTCAAAATGACAAATTATTAAATAAAATCAAATAACTAGATCCTTTTCTTGAGAAGATACAATCAAGGAATTTCATGATATCCCTTCTCTTTGTAAAATAAATTTATTTTGTTTTGTATGGTGTCATATAAGGTCCACTTTTGGGAGATTAGATGTAGCTTAGTTTTTCTCATAGAATTGATGGCATCCAAAAGTAAAAAAATTTTAAAATAATAAAATGTAATTTCAACACAAAGGTAAAACAATTCAAAAGTTTAACCTGTATAACTAAAACAATTTTATATGAGGAAATAAAATATACATGAGAAATACTACTAGTCATAGAAATATCATCCTAAAAAGAAGTCTCTCATCAAAATTTGAAATACTCTAAAATTTATAATATCAAATTTTATAAATATTATTTTTGTGTTTTTCAGAACATGTGCATAGACCAATATGATCTACCAAAGCCAAATGTTAGACTCGATAATGATAATAAAAGGGTGGCTTAATCTTGGATTTTTAGTAAGTCTAATTTTGAAATATATTTGATGTTTATCACATTATTTTTCTTCTATCTTTGTTGACTCTTTTGAATATCAATTTTTATCTTTATTGTTTTAAGTGCAATCATTCTTTATCTCTATTAAATTTTTACTTCACATTATCATCTTTATTTTTCCTCACAAATAATTCTTATCATTGTTGAATTTGATTGTTATCTCTTTATCATTGTGTGAATTTTTTTGCCTTTGCATATTATCGTTGATCACTCTTAAAAGGTCATAAATTTTTATTTACATAAATTGATAGAGATTCCATCCAAGGTAGGAGGTTGCAATGATCTATTATTGTTGCACCATTAGAGTCTTTTAGATTGTGATCTCGTTCTCAAAAGACGGAACAACATGGAATAGATGCACCAGAACTTCAACGAGGGGTTGCAAAATTACCTATTATGAGAAGATTTGAGTAGAGGAGAAGTCTTTGAGACTTGTC